ATCCATAAAGATTAAATCCAAATAAACACAGACAAACGAAAGTGAGAGAGAGAGAGAGAGAAAAAAGGAAAATAAAATTGATCCTATTTAAGTTGATCTCTCTCTCTCTCTCACTCATTCAGCTTCTGAATTTAGAATTGAATTCAAATTGCATGTTGGAGCGAAAAATTTGATTTTTTTTTATTACAACAACAACAACAACAGCACACTTTTTGAATGAATGAATGAGTTCAATGTCGATAATTTTTTTTTCTTTCCTGTTTGATTCACATCGGTTTTTTTCTTCGTTCTTAATTTCTCCGAACAATAACCGAATATGTGAAGGGATTGTCTTGGATTAATTTTCATTTTCCAATGTTGTAAAAGTGTAGGTGGATGATTATGATGATGATGAACGGCGGGTGGGGTTGATGAGGGTGATCGACCGTTTTTTTTTTGTTTCATTTCGTGAAACGTGCACGATTTTTGGTTCTGTTTCATGATGATGGTCATCAATGTCATTTGGTTAATGTTGAAATAAAGTGAAAGAGAAAAATTGATTTTTAGAAACCTTGAAATATCCAAATAATGATGTGATGATGGTGGTATCCCATTGGTCGGTTGGTTGGTTGGTTGATTGTCTGCCATACTCATACACACACACACACATACAGACTAAGACAACTTAATTCCATCATCAGACAGTAAAGGAGAAGGAAGGTAACGCCCTTTAAGGAACTTGAAATATTTGGAGCGGTCTGGAGAAAAAAAAATCTATTGATCCTTTTTCTTTCTGCTGTTGTTTTTGAACATGAAAATCAAAAAAATTTTGCGAAATCCCGTTGAGCATCTCATATAATATAATCATAATATCCGGCCGGTATTATACACCATAATAAGCCACCAATGCAATGATCATGATCATGATCATGATGATGAAATTGACATTGAATTTATTCGGGTAATCACAAGCACGTATTACATGCAAAGAAAAAAAGAAATCTGGTATTTTTCCTGGTTTCCAAATAATAATAATAATAATAAAAAAGATTTCAAAGCCATCAAATTTGAGTCACGTGTCCCACGAGAGAGAGTGAAAAATGTGACAAGTTTTTTTTGTTTTGTTTAGAATAGAATAGATTTCCACATCAAATTTTTGGAATATTACAATGATGATCATGATCCATATTATGATCCACAACAACAACAACAACAAAAAAACGACAACAACGACCGACCAAATCATTTACAGAATAAGAATTTTGAACGCGCACGCGTATTTTTTTTCTTTCGATAATCGAATGCTAATTGACGCGTAATAAGTGTTTTTTTCTTTGGTTGGTCGTTCGATGTGTGTGTGTGTGTGTGTGTGTGTGTGTTCCAAAATGAATCCACGATTTATAATCGGATATAAAATATAAATTTCTTTTGGGTTTAAATGAGATTTTTTTTTGTGTGTGCATGTGTATATTTATGTGATGTAAAGATGTCATTTCGTTTCGTTTCGCCCATTTTTGTGTGTTTGTGTGTGTGTGATTAACATTTTATTGTAAAAAATGGAATGAGAGAGAGAGAGAAAGTCAATTTGTTTCATGAATTAGAAAATTTTCGTATGACTGAATGAATGGACAGAAAATTAACCTTTCAATTTATATTTTGATCATTCAATTCAATTCAATTCATTGAACCATTCAAATATTTTTTTTTGTGTGTGTGTCACACAAATGATGATCCTATCATAGATATCGTTACAATTCGTTTCTTTTGGTGCAATTATTCAACTGGAAATGCACACTCACACTCATACACACGCCCTTCCTCTACCCTATTTGTGTTTCGTATTTTGTGTAATTATTCTTCAATCTTGATCACATCATGCGAAAATAATTTTGTTTTGTATATGTTTCCGAATTCTCATTCAATTGATCAAATTAGATGGAAAACATTATTGATTACGTATCCAATTCTGGATTCTGGACATTTATATTTTGGAACCAGAATCGATGATAATGGCACCTGTGATTTAGTTTCAAAAAAAACGACAACAACAACAAATTCTTGATCATCATGTAGTGGTGGTTTGTGTTTGAATGTTTTTTTTTTAATCATCAATCCCATGATGATGATGCTTGAATAGGAACATAAAACAAAAATCTAGAGAAATGAAACACAGAATCGCAAAAAAACTGTCATTTTTACTTCAAAAATTTTCCATTCCATCCATATATCTCGAATTTATAATAATAATAACCGTATGTATATGTGTTATTGTTGTCACATTGAAAATTCCCATTTGGGTAAAACGAACAACGTCATATGAAATGCAAATAAAAAAAAAAGATTTTCCTATTCGAATATGAATTCAACTCAGATTCTGGTTCTAAAATGTTTCACTGAAAATGTCGGGGATATTCTAACATCCAACAACGATCGAGGTTAACCATCCATCCATTCATTCATCTCTCACTATATTCCAATTTCGGATCACCATCATTCGGTAATTGATGTTTTATTGTGCAAAATGATAGATACATACATCTCAGTTCATTTGTTGTTGTTGTTGTTGTTGTGTAGTCCCTAAGGTTCGATTTTCGTTTTTTTTTCTGTTTTCTGTTTTGTTTGCTGTTATGTAATAATCATCATTTAGACGAAAATGATAGTTCAGTGAAACAGAAAATATAAGCAGCGATAACAATATGTTTTTTTTTCACGAAATATAATGATAATCGTCACTGTCACATAACGGCATCATCATCATCATCATCATAATCCTTATTACGAGGTTTTGGTGGAAAGAAAAAAAATTTGCATTTCAATGGCCAAATAATAACGCTGTTTCTGTATTTCATCCATTTATCGATGATGGTGGTGATGGTGGTGGTGGACATTGCACACACACACACACGCACACACGTGTTTGATGGATGTGAAAAAAAACAACAACACGACGATTCCATTGACTTTTTTCAAAATGAATCCCGAGAATTTGGTCTATGGACCACCCGCTTGAAATTTTTTTTTTTTTTTTTTTCTCTTTCTTAATATTTTAATATACAAACCCCGTTGATTTTTCATAGTCACCATCATCATCATCATTAATTAGACAGGAATATTTAATGAATTTTCGTTTTTATTTAAATCAAAGAATCAACATAGTCTGGTTTTATGCTGCTGGCTAAAAATTAAAACAAAACAACGACAACATCGATGAAACAAAAGCTAAGAATTGGTGGGTGGGTGGCTGGCTGGGTGTTTGGTGTTTGGCTGGATGTGTGTGAATCTAATATCTTACAGGGGTGTTTATTTAAAAAACAAAGCATCTCGTCAGTGGCAAAAAAAAATTTGAATAAATAAAATGATGATGACAAGACAGAAGAAAATATTTTTTTCCGCACCGGATATAATGATTATAACACAGAAGACAATAATGTTGAGGTTACGTTATATATGAATGATGATGATGATCGATAATGAGATAAAATGAACACAACGAATGTTGATGACGATTTCTGATTGACGGTCAAGACATGAATGAATATGATGGCTAAATAATTGATAGATGAAAACTTGATTATCGTCGTCGTCGATAATAACCATGACCATGATGATAATCATCATGATGATGATGATGTCCACCTAAAAGATCAAAATGATGATGATGATGTTTACCCATTTGACGCCATGCTTCAGCAGCCAATCGTAATGGTATCAATACATGTAATAATTTCAGATCATGATGTTGTGAACGTGCAATAGCTGCACCTAATGCAACACCGATCATCATGCTTTTTTTACTACGACCAGCTTGTACCATAGGAAATTGAAATTGAGCCACGAATAACATGATGGCAACAAAGTAAACGATGAAAATTTTCTATAAAAAAAAAAAAAATTAAAATCAAACAAAAAACGAAAATGAAATTAAATGTCAAATGTGTGACCATCTGGTGTTTGAAAATGTCAAACAAAACGACCACAACGTTTATTAGACAAACCTTGGACATTTTTTTTAAATAAAAATTTAAATTGATTTGTTGATTTAATTTGTTGATGAATGAATAATTTGATTTGATTTTCTCGGAGAAATTCATCCTTGTCTTTTATACTTTTTTTTGGTCTACAAGAGAAAGTTACTTTTCTCTTTCTTTTTGTTTTTGTTGTGTTTCGGTGTAGGGAAATGATGATGTAAAACACAGTTATAAATATGCGGAAGAGAATATGACATAATCGATTATATAACGATGATTCGAAAGATGAACGACTCGACGAAAATTTTGATATTAATATCGATATAATTTCGTTACGCACACATACAACGTTCAATCGCGATTCACCGACAAACCGAAACGGGAAATCATCATCATCATCATCAACGTTTTTTTTGTGGTAAAGGTTACGATCAACGTATTTTATGGTAACATCTTCACCGCTATGATTTGACAGTTTACATTATCATACAACAACAAACAAACATTGTATAACTGATTGATGATAATGGCCTAAAACAATCGATAGCCAATGACCTGATTATGATGATGATGATGATGATGATGATTTGAGCATCAATAAGATTTTTTTTCTTTTTCGTTCTGGAATTGTTTTTTCCTCAATGTAATGATAACCTTGTGTGTGTGTGTGTGTGTGTGTGAATCCATAGTATTCCAAATTGATTGGTTTCAATTTTTTTGTTCCATTGGTAAATTCAATTGATTTTCATTTGATTTATTGAAAATTATTCTTTTTTTCCGTGAAATGAAATTTTTTTTTTTAAAACCCGTCAACATAGCGGAAAGACTATCCATGTTAAAATAGTTGCCCGAAATTGGATTTTTTTTTGCTTTCTTTTTTCCATTGAATTGGCTGTGTGTGTGTGTGATTATTATAAACGACCACCACCACCACCACCACCACCATCACCATCAACAACAACAATGGGCATTCGTGTCTTGTTTTTTTTTTTTTTTTTTTGTTGTTGTTTATATGTTTGTTGTCTGCACAATTTTTTGATTCGTGTGTTTGATGTGTATATTTTTGTTTGATTTAAAGTGATTCAATTTCATCGTTCATTTTCAATCCATTTGATAATTAAATGGATGTAAATCAATTAATATTCAGTGATTGATCAATCATCATTCATCGTCATTATTTATAAAAATCAAATAAATTCCAGTGTTAGATAATAATTGAAAAGGAGCGAAAAAAAATCGATAACAATCAATCAAACAAGCAAACAGTAGCAGTGGCCACGAAATGCATCCAGCAACTATGGCTATGGCGGCTAAAATTGGTATTTCATCACCATCATCAACAATAACAACATCATCAACGCCAACGATGATATCGAAAAAATCAAAAATAAAACAAAAAGCATTACGATTATCGATTGATTTAAATTTATCAAACGATGATTCGAAAACATTTTATCCACATTTTTCGTTGAAAAAATTGATTTCTGATCATGATGAACAAAGGCAGAATAAAAAGAAAATGAAAAATAAACAATCATCATCGGTGGATCATGATCCAAAACGGCCACCAAAATTAGTATGTTGTAAAACTTGGTTCGAATGTTTGAATTTGTATTAATTTTCGTTTTTATTCTCATATTTCCAATTTAGTTTGATGATGAAGATTCTGATGAAGAAGTGGCAAGAATTGCCGCATCATTTGAACAAAAATATGGTTCCTGTTATGATGATGGCTATATTGATAAAGGCGATGGTTACGATGAAAATGATTCATTTGTTGATAATTCTGAAGCATATGATGAACTTATTCCACATAATATGACTGCATTACATGGTGGTTTCTATATTAATTGTGGTGAATTAGAATTTAAACCAATCGATGATGATGATGATAATAATAATAATAATGATGTTGATGATGAATTTGAAAAGGCAAATATTTTACAAAAATTAAAGGTAAGAATTAATCTATCATGTTATATTGTTTCTAATTATTGAAATTCAAAAAACATAGCGAAAACCAAATAAAATTGAAGATGATGATATGGAAATGGAAAATAATCATAATCAGAATCGTAGTCGAAAACAATCGAAACAAGCAAAATTATCATCACAATCAACTTTGAATGCAACATCATCGTCATCACATACGAAATCATCGAAAGAATCACAATCGACAATACCATCATCATCATCGAATGTTATGTCGAAAAAATTGAATAATCAAACTGCAAATCATCATAATGATATTATTGGTCATTTAGTTGAAACATCGTTACTATTTGAACAACAGAAATCCACCAGTGGTAAAAAAGTTCCATCATCATCATCAGTTGATAATCAGAAAATCAAAAAAGAACCATCATCATCCAAATTGAATGCTACAATATCAACAACAATGAAAAAGAATGCATCAACCACCGAATCGGATGGTCAAACAACAACAACAAAGGTAGTGACGTTGATTGAAATTTTTTAAAATTAAAAAAACTAATCATTTTTCTCTTTTAGCAACGAAAATCGAGTAATAAAATTTCTGTATTGGACCAATCATCATCATCATCATCATCACTTATCAAGCAACAACAACAAGCTGCTGCTGTAAATTCATTTGTTGCACAAAATCTATATCATCAAATGATAACGGATAGTTTACTGGGCACTATATCTGACAACAACAACAACAACAACAATCTAAATTGTCATCATCATCATCATCGTCATCATCTACGACAACGAATCCATATTCATCACCATCACAATTGATACAAAATTCAGCTCTACTTAAAGCTAGATTGTTGAGTTTAAAAACTCCATATGATATTGTATCCAGTATACCAATATCAAAACCAATGAATAAAAAAGGAATCATTACGAATGAATGGAATCGTTTTCTCATCGAGTAAGTAACATCAATGTTTTTAATTTAAAAGTAATTCTGATTTTTTCCTTCTTTCCAATTTTAGTGTCTATCATAAAACAGCAACATCGGCGAAAAATCGAACCAATATTTATGAATATTTAGCCAAATATATTGATGATGGTATTTCTGGAGAGGCATTATGTAGATATTCGGAACGTTTATGTCTGGAAAATTCAATGTTACCATTATCGTTACAATCACAAAAATTATCATCATCATCAAAATCAAAATCATCATCAATACAACAACAACAACAATCGTCAATACAAAAACAACAGTCAACAACTGAACAAGCTATTAATCTTAGTACATCGAATAATAGTCAACAACAATCATCTTCATTTAATGAAGGATTGGCTGGTAAATTAATGGTCACCAATAATAATAGTGGCGGTAGTCCAAATGATAATTCATCAATTTTGACAAATCGAACAGCAACAATTTCCAATAATCAGATGAAATCGTCAAGCAGCAGCAGCAGCAATAAATCCAATTCATTATCGGTATGTGTATTTTGAATTGTATTTTGTTGAATTAATTCAAAAATTTTCAATTTTTTAAAATCACTAGATTGGAAAAATCAAACAACCACAACAACAATCCGGTATTCATGATCCATATTCAATGTCAAATCATCGTGGTTTAGCAATGCTTCAATCATTAGCCTGTTTAGCATCATCATCAACAAATTCTACCACTACCTCATCATCTTTATCACCATCGGCATCATCAATGCTTCTTGGTTCTGGAACATTATCATCATCATCGAATAATAATAAATCATCCCCATCATCGATACGATCGGCTACAATAACATCGATGCCACCGCCACAGATACCATCACCATCAAGTTTACTTTCCGTATCATCTACAAATCATTCACAACAGCAGCAACAACAACTTCGTTCATCAACAACGACACCGACAACATCGATGCCTCGTAATATGAATGTACCGAATCCAAATTCATTATTAGCGGCTTTCGGCGTAACGAATCTTAATACTAGCGGATCATCATCATCATCATCGAATAGATCAAATTCGAAACAATCACCATCACCATCAACAACACAATCACAATCTACATCGAATACAACAGTCACACGTAATGATATTCTTTCAAGTTTTTTTCAAATACCCGACATGTTTACTAATGCCAATTTAATAAGCCATTTTCTAAACAATTCACCATCATCCTCTCCATCGCCATCATCACCATCGAATAATCGAATATCACCATCACCATCGCAATCATCATCATCGATGACTGTGAATAGTAAACAACCATCGAATCAATCCACAAGTCAAATGATGAATAAAAATCCTTCATTATTATTGAATAACCAAACACCAACTTCATCCACAGCATCATCGGCATCATCTGTCAAAATATCACCATCATCATCATTTTCGGCATCATCATTGATAGCAAAATCACCACCACCACAACAACAACAACAACAATTATCATCATCATCATCAACAACAACAACAACACAACCATTATCTTATGGTCAACCAACAACACAGACATTAATAAATTCGGTTGTAAATTTCATTAAAAATCCTCAACAACAACAACAACAAAATGCATCATCATCATCGAATAAAATTGGATTACCAAATCAGCCTAGATGAATATTGAAAACAAAAAAAATCTTAATCTTTCACCTGTGTGTAAATATTTTCACAACAAACAAACAAACAACAGTTCCAAAGAATTTAAAAATTCTTATCATAACAAAAAAAAATAACACACCCAAGTCTCTTACTTGTGTTTGTGTGTCTTTTTCTTTTTTTTCAAAATTTGAACTTTGAATCAAATAAAAAACTGATGAATAATAACCTCTCTCACACACACGTTTTTATAAAATGTAAAAATGAATAAAATTTCAATTTTTTTAAACTTTGCTCACATCATCAAGATGCTTAAATTATAAAAAAATGCTTTTTTTTTTTTTTCATTTACAAGCTACATTCACTCATTTTTAGTTTGACATTTTTTTTCGCGAATCTAAACAATTAAAATGATGATGATAATGTTCTTCAAGATGGTTATTATCACGGTTTTAATCCCATTATTATTGTTTCCATACGATTATATTGTCATTGTCGATGCATTACCAGTGAAAAATCGTCGTGAAATCGCCCTACCAAATCCATATGATACATGGGGTGATTATTGTCGAATGAAAAATCCATTTCATCCAAAATGTCGTGGTATTGCTGTACAGAAATTGATCGATATTTCTATTGAACAAATGGATCCAGAACACCGGGAACAATATCGTGAATTTCTTATCGGTTATGTTATTGATAAATATCCAAATGTTGTTGGAAAATTATTGAAAAATAATGATATAATTCGAAGAATGGTGATGAACGAATCGAAATATATCGAACAACAAAACCAGCCAATGATAACAACAACAACAACGAATGATCCTGTTACAATCGATATATCGAATGATTTTTATATCCGCAATAGTAATAATCAAGATCGAAGTATAATTTTTGATTAACATTTTTTTTTCATTCTCATTTTCATTTTCGAAATCGATATTTGATATAAAAAACAAACAAACAAACAAACAAATTATCATCATTATGATTTCGATAATCAAATCAAATCAAGAAAAAAATGATGATGATTTTTTTTTGTTGTTTTCATAATGTTTTCGATGTTTTTTTCCCTATACACCATACCATACCTGTTGCTCAATTTTTTCATCATATAATTAATTATTGTTTTATAATTGTCATTGATTAATATAACGTTTGTTTTATATCGGTTTCCATGGTGTAACATCTACACACACACACACACTTAAGATGGCAAAAAATTTGCTTATCATCTCTCTTTGTATGATCACTTATCAATTTATATTCTATTCAAAACGAGAATATTGAACCGATTAATAAATATAACAACAGAAACGCCATTCGATTTTATTATGTCATCATTAAAATGATTTTTCTTTCTAAATAAGACATCATTTTTTTGATTTTATAAAAACGAAAAAATTCGAATAAAGAATCGATTGAGTCAGCAACAACAAAAAAGATTCGAATTTTTTTTTCAAAACATCGTTGTTGTTGTTATGCCATCTAGTATCCTTGGAAGCAAACGTGAAACGAAAAAGAGAAAATCCTTTGTGTTGACCGTTCATCATTATTGACCAAAAATAGAAGAAAAAAAAATCCAGTGCATTGTGTTTGTGTGTTTCAAGACAATGGATTCAACACGATTAATAGATTTCCATATGATTCATTGAAATATCTATCATGCATGATTGAATGCGCTCAATGTTTTTATTGAATCGTGATTATTCGTGCGGCGCCAAAAACATCATTCATTCACCACATGCAACAATTGTCTCTCTTCATCATCATCATCTTCATCACTTTAACTAAACATTTCTATTTTTCGATTTATGTACCGAGATTCTGTGATTTTCTAAATACTCACTTCATAACCATAATGGCCTTTGTTTAGTAATATCGAATTTCATCATCATCAATATTTTTTGCTTTATCATTGCCTTATCATCATTTGATCATCGTCAATTAATTCAATCGAATAAATTATTTATGAAAACCATTACCGCTTATGATTGATTGATTGATCGATCGATTTATTTTTTGCCGAAATACATTGAATGAATATTACGAAAAAAATGGATCCATCATCGTCGTCGAATAAATCACCATTAATAAATCAAAATGATGATGAAGATGAAACACCATCACCATTAACAAATGCAACAACATCAAAAGATGCTCCACAGAATATATCAACAACAAATCTATCACGAACTGTATCAATGTCAAATATTTCACGTGTTAGTTCACGTATTGATCAAACATTCAAACAGTTTGCAACCAGAGTACAGGTGGCTAATAAATTATCCAAGGCTAAACGTAAAGAGGAAAATATGGCGATCAATGCTGGCACATTATTGGAAGAACCAAGTTGTCGAACCAAATCGATTAAAAAAATCCAAAAACAATTATCACCTTTCATACAACAGCAACAACAACAGAGCAAACAATTTTATCATGATCAAGATGGTAATGTTAAAGAAGGTGTCATTAGTGGCGGTAATCTTGTATTCGATGTTGATTATCCACTGTCGATTAGTGATTCAAAACGATCTATTTCACGTCCATATATCTATTTAACAGCGGATGTTGAAATGAAAAATATTACAGAAATTTTATTCGATGAATGGCACGTATCAATGCCACGTATTGCATTATTCCTGCTTTCCGATCCAGATCATTTTCGTACATGGAATAATCCAAGACAAATGGCTTCATTTCGTACCGGTGTTATGAAAGTAAGTTGCTGTTGTTGGTAATGAGAAATATTCATAATTTTTTTTCCATTTATTTTCTTAGGCAGCTAAAACTACAAGTATGTGGCTTGTAACCAATGGTCTTGATATCGGTGTTGGTAAACTGATTGGTGATGCATTGATTGAAGAACAAAATGAAATGCAAACCTATCGTTCGTCATTTGAAAAATCACGAAAACATTTCCCCATCATTGGCATTACAAATGATTTTAATCTAAGTTATACACAAGAATTTTTCGGTCCAAATATTCAGCTCAGTAAACCGGGCCCAATACCAAATCAACGTCGTTATGAATTGAATCCAATGCATACAAATTTCATCGTACTTCAAAGTTCAAATTCTGATGATTGTTATCATAATTTAATGATTAATCTTATTGATCATCTAACTAAACGAACGATATCTTCAACGGAACAATTATACAATGATAATGATAATGATGATCATGACCACCATTATCGTGATTCAAATATTCCACCACAATTTCGTTCACATTATATACCATCATCTGGTGATCGTCAACAATCAAATATTATTCGTCGACGAAGAAAAATGCATTCATCATCGAAAAAACTACCTCAAAAATCGCAACAACAACAAGCCACCAATTTAGATATAATTGTTCGTCCATCATATGGACAGAAAACCAATTGTTTTGGTTACGATCAAGATATGGTTGATGCCGAATCAGATGATGATGATGATGATAATAGTGATGATGAAAAATTTGATGAAGATCAACATTCATTCATTAGCCCAGAAGGTACTGTGGTTTATGAAGATGATGTAAGTGGTGCAAGACCAATGTCACCAATGTTGGAAAATGATTCAAGATCAATGAAAGAAACGAATGAAAAAATGATACCAGTCGTATGTCTGGTAATACAAGGTGATTATCATTGTGCTAAACTAGTATTGGATAATATACGTCGCCGTAATCCAATTATTGTTCTTCGTGGATCCGGCGGTTTTGCTGATCTTCTTTCCTATGCCTATATTGAAATGCAACATCGTTGCCGTGATTTGTATCATGCATGGGACGCTGAATTTGTTGAACAAACATTGAAACCATTACTAGTGCAGAAAATTGTCAAACAATTTCCTGAATTTCGTAATAATGCTATGGCAAGAAATACATTTCGTGATCGTATTATTGAATGTGTCCGTGAATCTGGATCACCACGTGGACGTGTTTATCTTTCCATATTGAATATGCACAATTCTAGTTGTGATTTAACAAATCTATCAGAATTTATATTGTTATCATTATTTAAATCACAACATCGTCGTGATAAATTAGATTCTAGTTTAATACGAAAAGATCTCTATCTAACATTGGATTGGAATTGTCCATTGGTTGCATTGGATGAAGTATTATCACGTAATCCATCATATAATCTTCAATTGGAAAAATCAATATTTGAATTAGCCGTATTGAAATCAAATCGTGAAGATTTTGTTGATCTTTTTCTCACGCATGGTTTTAAAATACATAAATACTTAACACCATTTCGTTTGATTCGTTTAATTCGTTATAGTCTGTTGGAATCGGATTTCTTTCGTACAGTTTGTATGGAAGCCATACTTGGTGTACCAGTATGGTCAGATAATTTTGAAGAATTATTAGGACGTTTAGCATCACCTAGTCATTCGAATATTGATCCGGAAAAATTTATTTCCAATGAATTTAATCAATTAATTTTTACTACGACATCGTTACATAATTTTGTTAGTCCACATGATATGTGTCTAAACATAATGGGAATGTATCAGGTGGATGCCGGTTCCTCTGAACGTAAAGCATTAGCAACATTAGCTATGTGGGCGGTTTTTAATCGTCGTTTTAAATTGGCTGAAATTCTTTGGAAACATTCGGATCAACCTATCCACCTCGGATTGATATTATCGATGATACTCGATCGTATGGCATGGTTTGTGTCGGAACAAAATATCAAAGATGATTTACAAAATGAATCGAAAATTTTCGCTAAATTTGCTATCGATGTATTGGACGCATGTTATCGTAATGATGAACAACGTGGTTATGATTTATTGGACCAGAAAAATTCCGATTGGGATCAACAAACCGCAGTGGATATAGCAGCGAATGGTAGTCATCGTGCATTTATTGCACATCCTTGCTGTCAGAAATGGCTCACTAATACATTCAATGGACGTATTCGTGTACGTGAATTAAGCTGGGGCTTCTTGACAATACCACCAGTCATCAAGATTATTGTTTCGGCTTTTTTCATATTGCCAATGTATATTTGGATTCGATTTCTTGATACAAATCATAAATGGACTGAATATAAAACAAAACTTTTAGAAGAATTCAATCAAGCTGATGATTCAAACGATAGTAATGATGATGATGATGAATTCCTAGCGAAAGCAGTAGATGAATTGAAATTAATACCATTGAATTCTGATCATAAAGCTATTGATGAACGACGACGAAGAAATCCCGATGAAAATGTGAAAAAATCCAACATAAACTTGAATGAACAATTATTTGATAATCAATTAACAATTTCATCATTGGACGATAAAGTACGTGCAGCATTAACACGTTGGAATCGTAAACGACAAAAACATTACGGCCATCATCGTACGGATCAAGAACGTGGCAGTAGTAGTAAAAATAAATCATCATATGATCGTGAAAGAAACAATCTATTCATCGATAAACAGCCACCATTATTTAAGATGATTAATTTACTTTGGAATTCACCGATTACGAAATTTTGGACCTATCATGTTTTCTATATTATCTATCTTGGTATGTGAATATTTCGTTATTACTTGATCATAAATTTATTTAAATTTTATTTTTTTAGCTCTTTTAAGTTTAGCATTAATATGGCCTGGCTGTGGTGAATGGCGATTAGATTTAACCGTTTGTGTTTGGACCTGTTAGTATTTATTTGTAATGATTAATTTAAATGAAAATAATTTGAATTTTTTTTCGTTTAATTTCTTCACCAGTTTTAAACATAATTGAACATATACGTCGTGTTTATGTTCTTTATCGTCGTTATACATCGGTACCAATGTTTTTTCGTATTTTGGAAAGCATTCTATTGATAATATTCTGGCTTACGTATACATGGGGACGTGTACTGATCGTTTATTCATATTCAATACATGGTCATCTATTTTCTCGTTATAATATTGATCCATACACAATGAAAGTTATACTTAGTGCCGGTTTACTTTATTTTTATTATCGTTTATTCTACATTTATCTGCCTATATCACCAACGCTGGGTCCATTATTGTATCGTTTCAAATTGATGGTATCTGTTGATTTTATTCATTTTATGCGAATGGCACTGATCCTATTGATTAGTTCGGGTATAATAATTCAAGCATTGTTATATCCAAATACCGAACTTAGTCGTGAAATGTTTCATAAAGCCATCCATCGATCTATTGTTTCATTATTTACAACACCTGTTGATGAATTGACACGTAATTGTACGATTAAACCACCGAAACATCTATCAACAACAACGACGACACCAAAAACAAACGATGCAGATAATACATTTAAATCGATGGCTAATTTGACATCAATTTTTCTTCAAACCGTCATACTTGGTACTGAATCATTGAATGAACCGATAAATCGTGAAGAATTATGTCCAGTGAAACCGATACCAATGTCACAATCATGTCCAGTATCCGGTTTTTGGTCATATGCATTTACATTTCAATTTTTAATTTGTCTAAAACTGATCCTAATGACACTGCTGTATGCACTATTTGCATCTACTGCAACTAAATTACAAACCGAGACGGATAATATTTGGAAATATCAACGTTATATTTTAGTCATTGATTTTGCTAATCGTCCTGCTTTACATGCACCATTAAGTTTATTTAAATATGGCTATGTTCTTCTCAAATTTTGGTACAATATCCTAACATTCCCTTGTAATTGTTGTCGAAATCGATTGAAAAAGAAGAACAATCGTATCGGTGATACAATCGATTCTTCAAGAGAAGGAGTATTTCTTGTTCAAGATGATAATGGTAATGATGGTAGTAGTGGTAGTGGCGATAATTACAAAAAACGTTTATCAAAAGAAGATTATAATTATTGGCGTCATTTGGCTAAAGCAATTTATGATGAACAACAACGTAAAGAAGATGAAAAAGATGTTATCAGTAAACAAACTGATACGATTCAATTAATTTGTGAAGAATTGGAACATGAAAAAACTATTCTGCGTACAATTAAAACTAAAATGAATGAATTTGAAAGAATGATGTATCAGACACAAATCTGTTTGGAAACAATTAAACATATCGATACATCATCCGCCAATGTTGGTGGTGTTGGCATCATTGGTGATTCTTGTCAAACATTATTGCGACCAAAACAACAACAACTGCATAAACGTACGATTGCAACAGCCACAACAACAATTCAACGATCAACCACAATGATGGATTTGACAAATCAATCACAAATACAAGCGATTGGCTTACATTATCTGGCTAGATTATCACCATATGCTGGTACAAGAATTCAACGATTTCCTGTAGCGGATAAATTCGTATCCTGGGATATTATCTGGATTAATTATGATCCAGTTATTTACTCGAGGAAACGTGAAAATTTTCCAACATCATTGAAAAAATGGGTAGATGAAGATCTTTTGGCTGTGAAAGAACGTTTAAAAACAATTGTTAAACGTTCTTTCACCTCTTCCAATATCTCATCTCATTTACCTGTATTCAATTGGAATGCCGTTTCGGTTAATCCGGCCGGATTAACTATCGATCGTCGTTCGTGGATCAAAGAAGATTTAGGTGCATGGGACCTACTTGATTGTAATTTATCACCGAAAATCATGGCTACTAATGAACAGCCAATAAATAATCTTATCATTTATAAACTTGATGAAGATGGTATACCATTAAATGTTTGGGGCCGTACCGGATTACGTGGCAAAGGAAATCTACCACGTTGGGGACCAAATCATTATGTGATGTTATTAGTATCAAGAACTCGAATTATTAATGGTGGTGGTGGCCAAATTCATGCTATACATGAATTTGCTTTGGAACGAAAATATAGCTCATTATTCGCACCGATGAGATTTATTGGTGATGATATTATGTTCAGTGATTTACGACAATTATTTCGAACGTTTGACAAAAATTCCATCTACAATAAATGGAATAATGATAATGATTTGTTGGAATATTTTCGCTCAATCGATCCACAGATAAAATCGGTGATACCAGCACAAGCATATTATATGGACAGTCCAGATAATACGGATAATGGATGGAAAGAAGTGAAAATTTATCATTTTCATTTTAATGATAAAATTGATTGGAAATTAACCGATACAATGATTACACGAGATGATGATCAAAATGATGATATGAATGATGGTGATTATCGTCATTCAAATTGTCCATCATCAACGCGTTCACAATTATCATGGATTAGTTATAATGAAGATATGCTTGTACAGATGCCAATGGAACAGGTACAATTCATTGATAATGCTATTCGAATGATTAACACTAATTGGATATGATTTATTGTTATATAAATAATAATTTCAAAACCAAAAAATAAATAATAAATAAATCTATCTATTACCTTTATTCTGATAATGTCTAAATGATAATTCATGTTTTGATTGTATTGTATCTGGGACATCAATTCATGTTCGCTGTTTAGTCAAATGTTTACAAGTATTTGCGCGCCATTTTTTTTCTGAACCATGTGCTGCCATCTATTGATAACAAAAACAACCACGTTTCCGAGGTACCGAAAGTGGCGACGCCTAGCGGATTTTCACTGAACTAAAATTTTTGCATTTTTTGGCAATTTTTGTCATTTTTTCGCAAAATTTTAGTTCAGTAAAAATCCGCTAGGCGTCGCCACTTTCGGTACCTCGGAAATGTGGTTGTTTTTGTTATCAATAGATGGCAGCACATGGTTCAGAAAAATATTAAATTGTGTAAAAATTTGAATTAATGGGCAAAGTATAGGCACATTGAGTTCAATTTTTATTTTAAAAAATTTTATTTGAGTTTTAAGACAATCACAAATTATAATAAAAAAAATAGCATCATAATCAGAAATTTCTTCATATATCACATAAGAATAATGCTGATTGATTTGAAGTGCCAGGCAAGGGCTAGTATAGAATAATAAAAAATGGATTGTTTCAATAATCTACCAGAAAAGAATGTGCCAATCGATAGCGTGAAGTTGCATAAAAATCTCATCCAAACAATTCACCATTAACATCAGGACGTACATCATATCACATATAGGCATTGTTATTGTTATTTCGAAAGAGAAAGTTTACAATAAAAAATTCTTCGAAAAGGTATTCATTTGATTTGATATTCGAAATTGTTGATCACGAAATCGTGTTTGAATCTAACAAAACAAAACAAAACAAAACAAAATAAAATAAAATAAAAACATTATTATTGATGATGATGATGATGATGATGATCGGATAATGTTCGGATATCCATCGAACATTATTACAGATTATACAATAACATCGAAAATCTAATCAATGAATGGAATGTTGTATGTACATAAGATCCATATCACATGATTATTATCTCATCATGATTTGCAATGCTATGCAATGCTAATTATCATTGGTGATGTTGTTTTAATGATAATCTACATCCAGCAACAAATAACACAGGATTTCCGGTTTTTTGAATCTATCACTATTATTATTGTAACGGAAATGGTTTATTTTTGGTATCTTTTGAATTCGATGATGGTGGTGGTGGTGTAATGAAAATTTGCCCATTGGGCAAACATTCTAACGATGATGATGATGACGACGATAATCATAACAATCGATATTATTTATCGATGCTTCCGTATTTGAAAAAAATAATCGATATATATACAAACACATGAAAATAAGACATACCTGTTATTATCTTATTTAATTAATAATTAGTCTGGACAGTTGTTTTTTTTCTTGCTGAATATTAACTACGGATGATAATTATTACATCAATTGATTCATCAAAAACTTATGAACAAAAAAAAAACAGAAAAAAATGGTTAACTGGATCGATCGAATGATAGATCATCTAACCTGTTTTCGCTTGCTTCATTTTATCCATTTAAATATATTCAGTCATCGTTGATATTTAAATTAATAAAGATAAGAATATCTTTCGAATTAAATAAAAAAAAAATCCAATCCAATGTTGACCATAAAGCGAATCATAAATTTAGTTAGTAAATGTTGATCATGATAATGATGATTATTATTATGACGATGATCTTGATGCCTGATGATGATGATGATGATAGTGTATGACCAGAGTCAAGCTGGGTCACTAGGTAAGAAAAAGAAAAAAAATAAGCCGGTAAAATGATAGTCATGTCTTAAAAGTTAACCTGTTTTTTTGTCTTATGTAAAAATCGTTAATACCATCATCATATAACAGAACAGCGTATAGTTGACCCAATCATTCACACCTTAGAAAAAAAAACATAAACCTTTGGAGAGGCAACCATATATGAGATGTTCATCATAGATAGTCCAGGGAAGAAAATCATTATCGAATTTGAAATCGAATACGAAAATTAAATTGTTTAAAGAAGATGGGAATGAATGAATGAATGATGAAAATGAAAAAAAACACACGCTCTGTCTCTGGAATATATAAATATTTCTTCGTTTCTCACCAAAATCGTTTCGTATCTTGGTTGTAGATAAATTTTGCGATTTCATTTCGACCAATTGACCCGTCAGGTATCCGAAAAAAAATTTCAACAGGTTCATGTTGTTGTTGTTGTTGTTGTTTCACCTCTAGTACCAAGCAGTTATTTTGTTTTCGATTGACCAAATACACGCACACACATATATAACATTTTCATTTTTTTCCTATCTATAAATAGATTCTATTTAACAGTCGATTATTACACACATGTACAAACGAACGAAAGAAAGTTGCAAAGTTTAATTAAAAAACGACGATAATAAAAATCTTGATCCATCCATCCATCCAAAAAAAAAATCGAAACGCGATCGGCCAATATAACATTACGGGTATAGGGTCATATGTGTGTGTGTAGCAAACATGATAGCATTTCGGTGATTGTAATTCAAGATTTTGAAATGATGTAAAATCGAACAAGAAATGAAAAATCAAATGATTAATTATGAACACATGTTTACAGTAAACAAACAACAAATAAGAGAAAGAACATCATCATCATGTATTTTTAATGGTTCTATATATCCGAACACATTCGATTTCTATTTATACAAATATTGGTATATATAGGCGAGGGTTAATCATAATCATAATGATGATAATAATAATTTGAGATGAAAAAAAAAAATGTAAATTTTTTCAAAGCAAAAATCGATTTATGAATTAATTATACACATGGAAAAAAATTGGCTAAAAACCTAATTAACATCAGAAATAGATACATAGATTGATTGAAAGGAAAAAGAAAGAAATCCATTCAAATTCAAATTGAAATTCATGTATCGACCATTTGAATTGTTGCATAGGCGCTGAATGTAACATTCTTTTTATTGTTGCTACTGTTGTTGTTGTTGTTGTTGTTATAATTCAAAACGATTGCCGAATTCGTTTGCTGTTGTTTGGAATTTTTTAATTGTTGTTGATTTATTCCAAATCTAAATCGATCCGTAATACCAAACAACGATGATAATGGTGCAGTAAAATGGCTTGATGATGAGGAATTTGTTGTCGTCGTTGTTGTATTCGAATCTTCACTACTTGATTTCTTCAATACCGATTTCATTATTGTTGTAGGCTTTTTTCTATTACAATTAACATGGGTGGAAATATTGTCACCATGGTAATCAATTCGATTTTGATATTTCAATTTACAATTTAATTCATCACTATTACAATCATTAAATTCCCCGGATGATGATTCTTCTCCAGATATTGATGAACCTTCAGAATTAAGATGAATATCCATCGTTGTTGTTGTTGTTGTTGATTGTAATTTTTCCATCTGATTATTACGTTTATTATTATTCGACGATTTTAATATTGATATTGTTTTTGGTTGTGTTGACGATTTTATCGGTATCGTATAGGTCGTATTCGATATGGGTGAAATATTTTCCTGGTCAAATGTTTTCAAAATATTCATCGACGATGATTGCCTATGATGACGTGATGAATCCACAGAATGTGATCGTGTATGTAATATTCTTTTTGGAAATCTTTTCTGTCTTAGATATAAATTAATTTGTGTTGTATCAAATTCTGATTCACTTTGTGTATTTATTGTTGAACCATTCATTCGATGATATCCATTGTACATTGTTGTTGACTGTGTATTATTATTTACATTTGATTTTTTAATAGATTTATTATCCATCATTTTTGTTTCTACTAAATATTGTGGTTGATTGCCAATATTTGTCGATTTCCTATTATTATCATCATCTTTAGATTCATGAATAATTTTAGCCGGTTGTCGTTGTCTTATACGTTGTTGTTCATCCAAAGCAATTAATGTCGAAGACGACGATGATGATGATGATGATGATGATCGATGATGATGACCGGAAAAGGTCTTTGTCGAAATCATCATTAACGTATTACCGCCATTATTATTATTATTTGATTCATTAATGTCGATTGGTGAAAATATTTTGTTATTATTCATTGTTGTATTGGTGGTGGTAATGTTCAAATAGGAAGATGACGACGGCGATGATGACTCTCTTGTTGTTGCTGTTTCAACAATCTCATCATTACGAATGATATTGTTGTTGATAATGCACCTTGGATGATTTAATCGATTCAACGTGATGATTGAAGTTGATGAAGAACAACCGTTGCCACAACCACCACCACCAACAGTGAATTGTGATGATGGTGGATAAATGTATGAATGAACATCGTGTTGTTGTTGATTATGATAATGATCAATGAATGATAAATCTAAATGACCATCACTAATCAATGATGATGATGATGATGATGGTGTTTGATTCAAACGTCTCAATGATTGTAAATATTTATAAACTTCACGTAATTGTACAACATCCTGTTCATTGAAACATTTCCAGACTAGCGCAAATAATGTCGATGATTCGGAAGACGATGATGATGATAATGAGGAAGACAAAGATTGTGTGGACGTAGAATGATGATGAATATCACAATAATTAGTAACGGAAAATTCATTTTTCACCACACGTTTAGGTAATGACAATAATAACCAAATAATCATTGTTGGCATTTCATAGTTTACATAACACAATTTTATCTGATCAAATGTTGATTGCATATAACAATGACATTGTTGTTGTTGATGACGATTCGTTGATATTTGTTGATCATCATCAATTAATTGTGTTGATGATAAAGATGGTGGTGACATTACTGACCATTGTAATCGATTACGATGTATACCGACTGTATAGATTAATTGTTCATTATGATTTTGATTATTATCTTTACCACTATCAGGTAGATATAATAATAAATCTGATTGTATAATCAATTCATTTATTAAACGTTTACTTAGACCATTATCCGGTTTTTTATCATCCAATTTATGTGTTATACATTCAAGTATACATTGTTCAAAATCAATGGAATCAATTTTTACGTTTGTTGGTAATGAATATAATGATACTTTATTAACTTGACATTCGAAATAATCTTGTTGTTGTTGTAGTTGTGGTTGCGATTGTCGTTGTGATGATAATTTCGGATCCGATGCCATTATTATTAATTATTAGACTTGACTTTAAACTATATATATATCAAATGAAAAAAAAATCATGATTAGTCCAGAAAAAAAATTCAAACAAACAAACAAAATCCTTACCATTTTCGAATCACTCTGCCTGTCGAATGAATGATGGTGAATGCTGATTTCCAATGATGATGATGATGATGATTATTAAGAGTTTTTTTTTCGTTTCGAAAAAAAGCTTGTTAAAGTAGTGTCTACCTACCAACAACAACAACAACAACATCAACAAAACGAAACGAAATGAAAAAAAATACGATGATTATTACTAAAAGAGAATTATTACGACGATCAACAAGCTAACTGAACAAACAGCAACAAGTAAATTATCAACAAAAAAAGAGTGAGAGAGAGAGAGAGAGAGAAAGGAAGAAAAATAAACTAAGCTAAATGTTCAGATAGACTAATATCAACAACAACAAATCCTAAAAATGGGTGTTTTTCTTCGATGCGAAAATAAAAATTTAAACCAAAAAAAATTCTATTCAATTCTATAGAATAGACAGACATTTTTTTTTTAATTCAAACAATCAAAATAGCTACTTACATCTTCTTCATATATCAATTTGTTGTTTCCGTTTGTTGATTTTTTTTTCGTTCGTTTGTTTGGATAATAAATGGATATATAGATGAATGGATGAATGGTGTGTGTGGCCTGATAATATTTTGATTTGATTTGATTTATATTTCATTTCTACTTCTACTACTCTATTTCGGGTATATTTTTTTTCTATTAAAGACGATCATCTCTCGTGGTTGTTGTTGTTTACTTTTTAACGATGATGATGATGATGATGATGATGACCACTTTCACAACAACGGGAAAAAAATCTTAACGGGGTGCTTCAATCAAAATTCAACATTTTAGACATACACATAGAAGAAGAGATTAATGTTGGTTTTGGTTTGGACAAGAGTTATACAGGAATTTTTTTTTCAATTGAATTTCACTATAGTGAATGTGGTTGATATACAGATGATGATGATGATGATGATGATGATTGGATCTGAAAAAAAGTAAAGAAAAAAAAACATACAAATCAAAACGAAAATTTCATTTTCTAACCTGATGTTTGTTTATTCATTGCTTGCTAGCTTGCTTTCTACCATTATTTCGAATGTTATGTTTCGAGAACCGGCGTGGCATCCAGTTTTGTTTTCCAGCTCTATTAATATCCGATGATAATAATTTTCATTTTCTTTCCAGTCGGATACAAATAATAATGGTGTCTTTTGAATTTATTCAATTTCTTTTGATTGATTGATTGATTGATTATGTTCAATGGTTCAATGAATGAGAATTAATCGCTGTCTATCTATATGGATATAGAGATGATTATGTTTTATTATTATAAATATCGATTGTATCGAATTCCATGTATTGTAATAATGAAATTAAAAAAATCGTCAAAACGATCGTAAAACAAAAATCAATAATCATTCGACCGAATTGACATTGCTCGTTTGTCTTGTCATCATCGTTGTTTGTTGTTGTTGTTGTTGTCATCTCAATGCTTATTTGTCGTTCTCTATTTGGCCCTTAAATGTCAAAAAAAACAAACAAAAAAATTTGTTGTGGCCTTTTGAACAAAACAAAAAATGATTAAATGACGAATAAGACGATGATGATGATGATGAAGAAAGAAGGAAAAAAACTCATTTCGATTTCAAAGTCAAACAATAATAATTATCATCATCATCAGTAATAATCAGGATCTAGTTTCACATTTCAAAAGCAAAAAAAAAAAATGAAAACGAAAACGAAAACATTCAAGTTCAATCAGTTTTTCTGATTTGAAATTAAAAAAAAAAAATTTACCTCGTCATTTCTCTTCGACAATTTAACGGGAAAATTTTTGTATTTGTATTTGTTTATTATTTGTCGGCCATCACAGTTCAGGTCGTTTTTGTTTTCTCATTTCGAAACAACGACATGATTTGTTGTGTTCGTTAAGGACATTGATATTTTTGTCACACATATATATGCAACAAGATATCGATCATCATCATCATTCCATTTATATCGCCATTTATAAATGACAAATTTACATAATAGACTCACGCAAGGAATGCTGAAAACAAAACAGAAAAAAATGTCCATTATTTAATCGAAAACGATTATTCAATAAACAATTTGACAAGATAATTTTTTTTTAAAAAAAATGATGAAGAAATTTTCCAGAATTTTTCATATACGACGTATGTGTGTGTGTAACCCAAACAATCAAAACAATGTTATGAGATGAATCAGAAAAAAAAGATTCGATTTGATGTGCGTGCGGGTTTTTTTTTGTGTGTTATTGTGTTGAATATTCAACATTGTTTGATTGATTGATAAATAGGATTTTCTTCTTGCTGAATGTGTCATTTTAAATAAACACGCCATATATATAATTTTTATATCTAAAATACCTGTTTCACTGTTAAACTAAAACCAACCATATAATTTACCCACCATTGGTGGCTGGAAACTAAACAAAAAAAAATCGGTTCTTTTTTTACTCGGGTGACTATTTTGATTCAACCAGCATCATTTATTTGGATCACATACATCAATCGACGGAAAAGAAGAACGAAGAAAAAAACAAATTTGATTGACGTTTTTCTTTGCATTTACCGGTCAACAAAAAAAACAAATATAGACAAGACAATAGATGATTTTTAAAGAAATTTTTTCCCTTATTTAGCATCAACAAACCTTGACCAAATCGATGATGGCTACCATTTCTTTCTCTCTCTCTCTCTTTCTGGTTGTGAATTTAGACTTTATTAGATTATAATAATAATCAGATTCAACACACTAGTATGAAGATAATCACGAGGTAAAGAGGCATAATTTTTTTTTATCGGCGCGTCAAATTTATCATTTTTTGCTTCTCTGGAAAAAATAGGCTAAATCTGAATACTAATTTTGCTGGAATGGAAAAAAAAGCTGCTGGTATTTTTATTTTCCATTGAATTTACATCACTAACCAGGATTCAGTTTCATCTCAATTATCGTTTTTGTTGTTGTTGTTGTTGTTGTTGCTGTTGTTGTTGCTGTTGTTGACGAGAAACAAAAAAATGGATGAAACAGATGGACCTTCGATCTGTGAAATTGAAACACATACACACACATGATGATGATGCACAGGGCGATCATCATCATCATTTTTTTAATGAGTCTGATCATCATTAACATCTTGATGATGATCATCATCATTATCATGATAATGAATGAATCCATGTTGAAGACATGGAGAATGTTGATTAACGTTGAATGTTAATTATTATTTAACATAATAATAATAAAAACAAAAATCTTATCGTTACTATCGATAGTATCGATTGATGGCCTTTTTTCGGACAGGATGATGATGATGATGGTCAAAACAGGGCGTGTTTGAATCATCATCATTATGCATTCCAAGTTTGTATGAAAAACAAGAAAACAAAAATACGAAACGAAACAAATTCCTTATGAATAAATAAATTCAAGTTTGTAGTAATTGATTTCATTTACATTCAAATCATTCAAAATCAAGGCTGCATATCATCATCATCAAGGTGACACAATTTTTCTCTACACAATTTAATCATTTCACATCAATATCAATCAAATGAAAATTCTGTATATATTACAGAACGAGTAGGAACACGACATTTATGAACACGCCATGAAATCAGAAATTAATCATTACATTAGTATTATGTCAATGTTAAGTAAATTAAATCAAATCAAATTTGAAATCAATCTAATAATAATAATAATATATCCAAATTAAGCGAGCGAGAAATAAAGAAAAAAAAAATTAATTTCAATCAATTCAAATTGGAATTCTTTCAATTTTCCAATTTTAGTAACATAAATGAATGTGTTATTGGAATTATTGATGGACACGATGATGATGATGATGATGTCCATATCTAAATCTCGAAAAAAAAATCATTAATGATTTTTTTTTGCACAGAAAAAAAATCTATGAATAAATCGAAATGAATATTGATGATGATGATGATGATGGTTCAATGATCTGATCTATTGGATATATGTCTATTTTTACTATTTATTAATGATGATGATGATGAAGAGATCGATATATCGATAGTGATGGAGGAAAAATAATTCGATTCGAATCATTCGATGATGATGATGATGATGATGATAAGACCATTATATGAAAAAATCTGAATCTGAATCTGAACCATATCGAATATTCACAAAACAAACAAACAAAAAATCTGGCTTTAACTTTCTATTTCTGTGGCTCTTAAACATTGTAATAAAGTTACAATGGAAATTTTTTTTTTAATAACTGACATCATCATCATCATATATCAATGACCGATCAATGCATTTGGGTAAAATCCCCCTATCACATGTAGAAAAATAAAATCAATCAATTTGGTACAACAAACCACACCATAATGATCACCTGTAGATTATGGACAAAAAAAAATATCTCCGCAAAAAAAAACCTAATGAGAATGATGATCAACAACAACAACAAAAGATGAATGAATAACATAAGGAAAAAAATTCAAAGATTGATCGATGATAAGATTGATTATTGAATCAAAATGGTTTTTTTTTCTTCTTTTGATTCATACTTTTTTTATCTTCATCATCATCAATAACAACATTGTGTGTGTGTGGATCATTACCGGCTATTTTATATTTTGAATGAATCAATCAATGATGATGATGATGAGGATTTTCATTTAAGAATTTTTCTTTCATCTTCGTTGTCTAATCAACACAGAACAAAAAAAAAATTCGAATATTGTTCAATCAAACATGTTGATCATGATCATATAATGATATTTTTTTTGTTGTTGTTGAAAAAAAGCTGTGTTGTTAACAACAATCATGAATGGTGTGAATCGTTAATGTTTTCTGTATTTCAACGAAAAATTTGCAGATGATGATGATCATCATCAATCCATCCATCCATCCAAAAAAGCTCAAATATTTTTCATCTTATTTTACGGCTTATCGGTTGTGTTTGATAGACACACATGTGTTTAGACAGTATACAAACAACAACAAAAAAACGATGACCTATTAACAGGCCCATTAAATTGATTGTGAATCAAACAAAAAACGGGGAGAAACGTGTGTGTGTAGTAGTATAGTGAATTAGTAGTGAAGAAATGAAAAAAAAACATGAATGAAACACAATATACAAAAAATACTTGAATCGAATCAACACCGATTTTTTTGTTGTTGTTGAAATTACCGATTTTAGATGATGGTGATGATGATGATGATGATGGAATAGTTTTTTTGTGAGAAAAAAAAATCAAGCAAAAATTCGATGCTATTTCGATTCAAAATGTCTGTTTGTGTGTGTGTGTGACAAATGATTGGTGGTTGTTTGGCGAAAACGAAAAAAAAATGGATGGAAATTTTTTTCAAAGTAAACAAAAAAATGTCGTTTGCATCACCATCATTTATACGAGAACAACAACCAGTGGACAACAAATATTTGTTCGAATCATTCAGATCCGGGTTTTTCAAAAATTTCAAAGTTTTTTTTATTGATTTTTCTGAACAAAAAAAAAATGTTTGTACATTATGATGATGATGATGAATGTATATAATGAGCATATAATTAATTACAAAATAATTTTCTTATTTGTAGAATTTGGAACGGAAATGTCATAATCATCTTGCATTATTTTCATCACCAGCAACAGATCCTGGATTGTTGTTGTTGTTGTTGTTGTTGTTACTGGTAACTGCTGATGTTGTTGATAATTTTTGCAATAATAATGGACAATTTCTTACTAATGTAGATGCAGCTGCCATCTGTATAGGTCGATTACTATTATCATCATTTGGAAATCGAATTAATGTTGTAAATATTGCTGCCATATTATCATTTGTAAATTCAATCGATACAGGCATCGGTGTAACAAGATTTTCATTACGATTTTTCATCTGTTCTTTCATCATTGAATGATGTTGATGATCTGCTGGATAAATTTTCCTTGGTGATTCTTTGAAACCAGATGTTAATTGACGAAAAATTGATTGCGTTGTTGTTGTTCGACGATATTGTTTTGATGATGGTGTCATCATCATCGCTGTTGTTGATTCATTGTATGGTCGAAATATCATTTCTGGTGATTCGTGTCGATTCTTTACATCATCATCATCATCCACGACAACGGTTATCGATGTAAATGGTCGATTAGCCATATATTCCAATTCAATTTCTTGTAAATGTCTTGCACGATATACGGAAATTATTTGTTTTACACGATAAAACATTATCGACATGGACAAGAAAAGAAAAAAACATGAAAGAAAAACACAAAAAAATATAAATAAATCAATACGACTTTGATCTTGTCTTAGTACAATGAACGCTTGATTTTCATCCGAATCATTATGGAATGAACCATGAATCATTATATAATAACGTGTCGTTCGAAGATCATGATATCGATATGGTATGGTTATTTCAAGACGATTTTCAATATTTTTAACCACAATTATTTCATATAAATTTTTCATTGTAAAATATGATGATATCTCACCATTCATATCGGCCAAAATCATTTGATATGGTGATTTTAATGTCACATTGGTTGAGCCGCCCAAATCCAAAAGATCAGAAATTTTTGTTTCATTCATTGTTGTCATCATTACATTGCTAGAATCATTATTGGCCATATTATACTGTGAAATATTACGCAGATATTTTTTATCAATAAACAAACGATGAAATCCATTTTCTGGATCAACTTTAACGATAAAAATATCATCTCTTGATGCCAAATAAAGATCAATACGGCCTTCAATAGCATACACTATTAATCGAATATCAACATTCATATAACGTGGTTGTATTCCAAAAAACATTGTACGACCATTTAGCAATGGTTTTTGTTGTTGTAATCGATGATGTAGGCAATTTTCTTGTGTCTGTGGATCAATACAATATTCTTTATCCAAATACATATGACGATAACATTGATGACCACCAGTTGGTTGACCATAAAAATAATCTTTACATTTTGAACATTGTAACATCCAACATGGCAATGAATATGTGGTCATTATTTGTGATGATTTAAAAAAATAAGTCTTATTTATGTAATTACTATATTCTTTTGAATTCATATAATTACATTGACGATCATTCTCGGTGTTATTGTGGCAATCACAATTTTCACCATTATATGGATTACAAACAGTACCATGGCCATTACACATACAATTACGGCAACCATCATGAATATTATCACTGATCTTGAAATAGCCAAGTCGACAACGATCACAACGTTCCCCTTCGGTATTATTTTTACAATTCACACAGATTGTCGATGGTTCCGATAATGGGCCATGTTGGATTTTTGTTCGACCATATTCATGCCAATAATCATCATCGAATTTGGTTATTTCCATTGTCGTTAAATTCTGTAAATCATTTTCATCGAAACATAATTCTGAATGATTATGACAAAACCGAAAACATGGTTGACATGATGATGATAGACGATTTTTCGTTGTTGTTGTTGTTGATGTTGTTGTTGGATCACCAACAAAAAATGGTTTACATTTTTCACACCATTTTCCTTGTGTATTATTATGGCATTCATTACAAATGTTTCGTTGATCAGCCGATGGACAAGTACTGTGACCATTGCATTGACATTCGATAGAACAATCATCCCCAATATAGCCAAAATGACATCGACAAACATCTGGTACGGCGCATATGCCATAAACACAACCTTGTTGACAGATTGGTTTGCAAATATTATTATTTTCATACATTCGATAACCACTTTTACATTGACACATAAATCCTTCATCAAGATCAATACAATTCTGTGATTTCATATCACATGTATGATGACCATTAAGACATTCATTCTCCGGTGGTGATTGTATATAATGCCATGATGTTTTCAACACAGTCATTGGTACATAATAAGGTTTGTGATTAAGTTGACTTAATAAATCTATTGATGATTGATTTGAACATGATTGATATTTAGGACCAAACAAACCGCCTTGCAAACAGAAACCAACACCATCGATAGCTAAACCATCGATAGCACACCAACCACAATGTAATAATGAAAGACAATCGACGGCTTTTTCAAATGTTTCACATTCCGGTGGACATTGTTGTGTTGTATGATGAAGACGATAAATAAAACCACCACCGATGCCACAAAAACCATGTTGACATTTAATGGCCATATATGTTGGTGACATACATTCATTGGTTAATTCGGACCATACACATTCATGACTACCACTTTCATCACCGGTGTTGGTTTCTTCCAAACAACTTGTACAACTATTGTAATCATTACATCGTTTAGGACAATCTAATGGTGGTATTGTGGGAACATTTTTCATTATCGAATATTTAACAATCGATGAATCAATACATGCCCAATCAAATATTGGATTCGTTGGTATTGCTGAATGGCCAAATCGAATAAATTTATATACCTGTTTGGTCCATATACAATCACCAAGCTGATGATTATGATGTGAATGGTGATGATAAAATGATGATGATCGTAAACGACGTTCATTAAGTAATAAACATTTCTGACAATCGGTGGCTAAACAACGACGAGTAGAACAATGATCCGTTTCAATTAGGCTAATATTACTGCATGTTGTCGGTCCAACAACAACAACACCACCAACCGACGATGTGAATTCATTTTCCCATTGACATGTATCATTCATACGTAAACATTGTCCATTAGCCATATGACAATCAGCACACCATTGACATCCATCATCATGCCGCCTCGATGATTCATAATTAGCTGCCGTACAATCACCACAATTTGTAAATTGATTACATTCTTTTTTCGTTGCACAATTTGTTGTTGTTGTTTTATCACTTGTTATTATTTTCAAACAATCCAAAGTCTCAATACCCGTTGACTTTTGTGATGACAATGATTGATCAAAACAAACACCGGTTAAAGTTTCATTCAAATGTTGTTGTTGTTGTTGTTGACAATATGAACATCCATCAGTTGATAAACATCGTTTTTGATCGTTGGAAAAAAATTTACAAAAATCATCTGGTAATCGAATTGTTTCAATTGACCACGATTTTGATGATGACTGGTACAAATAAATAGTTTTTGAATCATTCGAATCAATAGTCATTGACCATGATGATGATGATGATGATGATGATGATCCATGTTGGTGGTGATGATTTAAAATCGATGTATTCCACCAGGATGACGTGGAAACATTAATCATTGCAATCCATCGATTACATTTATAGAAATAGGCATATGATATTGGATAGTCATTTTTCTTTGATTTCTTCATTGTCGTCGTTGTGTCATCGTTACGATAATCGTTGATGATTTTTTTACCACCAAATACAAACATATAATTTCTAAATGAAATTGAATAATGTAGATAAAGCGGTGTTATAGAATTCAATACCGAACGTGGTTGTATACGATGCCAAACCAATGATTGACAATCAAGTGTATACAATGTATTCGAAATGGCCATTTTATGTGATTCTTTAAAATCTAATCCACCAAATACATAAATCATATTTGATTCGGACTGATAAACAGTTGAATGACCAACAATACCTAATGGTGATGGTCCTTTAGTCATCAATAATATCCATTCATTCTGATGTGGTCTGTAAATGTATTGATTGAAAGAATAACCATTGGTGGTAGAGAAACCACCGATTAAAATCAATGCATATCCATCATCATTATTGTTTTTCAATGATTCACCAAATTTGATCTTGGTCAATGTATGGCCAACTAATGGTGGTATTCGATGATTCATTGGATTGGTAAAATTAACTGTTGCTGTTAGGTTGATCCATATTGGATTAAGGGAATTATGGTGATCGTTGGCAAATGATAAACACCAAAATTCTGATAAAATCTCATTCGTACGAATATCTAATCCACCATAAACATAAAGTTTATTCTGAATTAATGCTGTTGCATGAAGATATCGATTCGATGGGAAAAAAAGTCCATTCGAATTTGATTCAAGATCTGATTGAATCCATTGATTATTATCTAGTGAATATAATGACAAACCAAGATGATGTTTTGAATGCGGATGACCACCAATAAAAATTAGAAAATTATCAAAATATTCAAGTGTATGTGAATGTAGTGGCCATTGAATTTTTGTCATCAATATTATTGATGATGATGATGAATTCGATTGATTTGTTGTTGTTGCCGTTAAATTGGAAGACATTAATGATTGATATGATGCATTGAATCCTTGTTGTTGTGGATGGTTATCGGTTTTATATAAAACGGTTGCAATACCAGAATAAGCAATAAATTGTAAATCATATCGTTGATTAGCACCACAAATTGATGCTAAAATTTGAGGATTCGCAATACGATTATCGGCCGAAACGATATCGGGTATTCCATCATAAATGATTAATGTACTATGTGAACAATTCAATTTAAATGATTGAAATATATTGATTTGAACTGGGTTTCTATGGCCATCTGATTCGGATTGAAATTCATTTTGTTGTTGTTCATCACCAGTTGAAATAATCCACATACAATGTGATTTGGTGGTCAACAACAATTGTGATTCAGATTTTTTCATTGAATAAAAATTTCGATAAATATCAGAACGAATGTATGATCCAAAATGACCAAATGTTGCCATCGAAATGAATGCTTTATTTTGACATTCTTGAAAACAAATACCACCATTTCGTGGATCACCATAATAACCGGTTCGACAACGATCACAATGATAACCTTCGGTATTATCTTGACAGAAACAGATACCGGTTTGTGAATGGCATACACCATGATGAAGATTAGCATGTCCATTACAATTACAAGGCAGACAACCAGAATTGCTATTGCCATAAGTTCCCATTGCACATTCATTTGTCGAACGTACATTACGATCATTGGTTATGATGAATGATGATGAATTTCGACAAAAATCAAATAATGATAATTCGCTAATGATTCGCTGTGACCACCGGAGACATTTGTTCATTGATTCACACCAAATACAATTACCGTTTCCATCGACACAATGTTCATATTGATTTCTTTGAGCACAATCCATTGGACAATTTTCAATATTTGTAATCATAATCGAATTGTTGATTATTCGGCCTCGACGTACACACAATTCATAATCAACAAGCCATTGACAATATGGCCATTGTTGAAGACATTGTTGACAATTATCCACATTAAAACATTGGATACATTCTTCTGGATCAATCATTAAATTATGTTCATTATACCCGGAACATAAATTCATTTCATAATGATTACGAATCAAACATTGTGACCGGGATGGACACCATACACAAGCAACGTTCGTAAGACATCTATAACAATCTGAATATGAATGACATTGGTCTTGAGCATGGATGAATGATGATAGCTGAAAATTATTCGATTCATTCGTCATCACGGTAGTAATTACATTCCAAGTCATTTGAATATCACTGTCATAATCTAATTGATCCATTACAATTCGAATCGGTAAGTGAATTATATAATCAATAAATTGATGATTAACAAATGATGATGTATTGATTTCAATCGATTCGAATGTAGAATTATTGTTCTTGGAATCATCATCATCATCATTATGAAGATAAATTCTTAGAGAATTTTTATCAAATGTTTGCGCGCCAAATGGATGAATAAAGCCAAAAATTCGTATCATTTGTTCATTTGGCAGTAATTGGCAAGGAATGGTCATTTGATCCACTGTCTGAATTGTCATCACATCAGGCATTGAAATGTTTGGCACATTAAAATATTTCCATATGATTAATTCAGAATTCTTGTTGTCCACGTGATGATAATGATGGAAATAGCTGCTGCTGTTCCAGTGTATCTGTGTGACAAAAATTTCATTACGAATCTGGCCATAATAACCACCAATAATGAATAATAAATTTTTTCGTCGTACCAAGGTATGTGAAATGATTGATTTGAATGGAAATTTTTCACTGATATCATTCAATTTAGTCCAATATCTAGATTTCAACGAGAAAGCATATGTTAGCGAACCATCACCAAGACAATCATTGTTTTGAATGAATCCACCAAAAATCACAAGATAATCATCATCATCATCAACAAATATCATGGAATGAAATGCACGTTTTTCTGGCACAACAACATTTTTTTTCGTTTCTTGTGAATACCGTAATTTGGACCAATAATTGTGATCGATATCATATTGATACATTGCATTCGAAAGCTTTCCATTCGTGCCACTGATTCCACCAAATACAATTATAGATCGATTATAAACAATGGCAGTATGTGCAGCTAATGTTCGACCTTTATTCAATGATCGAACCAATTCCCATTGATAATTTGATGATGATAATAAATTGATACGATAAATATTTGATGAATATGTGGAATTCTCGAAACGACCACCATGAATATGAAGCCATTGGTTATCTACAATGATTGCAACATGAAATGCAAGTGCCGGAATATTATTGTCTATTGATTGGATCCATCGGCAATTGGTTAGATTATATATCCAAAGATCATTGAATTGATGTCCATCTGCACCGATTCCCCCAAATATAATCAATGAATCATTAATAATATTCATGGTATGACCCCATCGTGGTTTTGGTTGATTTGTACTGTTGTTGTTGGTGTTGTTGTAAGTATTTTTGTTATCACAGTCAGTTAAATTGAACCATTTATTTTTCGTAATTGAAAATGATAATAAATCTCCATAAATTGATTCATAGCTACGTCCACCGAATGTATAGATTTGATCAGTATGGCGATCATAAACTGAATCATGAGATGCACGAGCAGAGAAAATGTGTTGATTAGAAAATAATTCGAACCATTTGGTTGACTGTACATCATTGATATTGATATTGCATGATGAACCAATACGTTTGGTGGGGCAATCATATTCAGTACGTGTATCTAAATCACAAGCATCACCACCATAGTGATCATTACAGTGACATTGATTATTGATACAATGTCCATTGTTCGTACAATTCAATGGACAATTCGTAAATGAATATTGCAATGAAAATGTTGGCAAATCATCATATGATGATGATTGACGATGGTATATCATCAATAATCGATTTCGATTACCAACAAATGGTTTCAATTGTGATGATTGGCCATAAAATGGACCATGAATAGAACCGATGAGACGATCTTCATAAGAATCACCATTGAACAAATAGATTGTATCCGTTGTTGAATTACAAGTTGATAAATTAATCCAAATAAATTGAATATTAATAAATTTGATGATGGATAGAGGATCATTCGTTTTGAATAGCCATTCATGTTCACCATCACGATCGTTGGTAATTGTACCGAAAATTGTATCATTCGATGATATTATTCGACGATAATAATCGGATATTGCATACGAATCCAATATGAATGAAAAACTAATCCAAATTATGAATGAAAATAAAATGAAATTATATTTTCCAATAAATGGTCGTTTCATTTCTTTCTCGGATCCAAATGTCAGATATTATTGAACATCTTCTTTTTCCGGTGAACCAGAAACAAACAAACGAAAAAAACGGCATAAATTAGACATATTGCAAATCAAATAATGATGATGGTGATTGAGAAACATTTTTTTACGCTCGCAACAAATACAAAAAAAACCCGCATTCGACAATTCGAGTGAATGGATCAACCAGCCAAAACAATACAAAAAAAATGTTCCAGAAACACACACACAACAAAAAACAGAATCCAGAATCTGTACGTACATAAATGACGTTACCGAAATTTCAATTTTATTTGAAAAAAAGAATTTTGTATTTTATAATGAGAAAAATCAATATAAAAAAAATTGTAGAAAATCGATGATAATAATAGAGAAAAAAATTTCAAATATAAAAAAAATGTCACATCAAAATTGTGAAAAAATTCATAGAGTAAATAGAAAAAAAAATTCAAAAATTTTTTTCAAATGAATGGATAGACTAGCTGTGTATTGTAGGTGTGGTTGTAGATCATTTTCATAGTAGTAGTGGGGGTGTGTTCAATAGTTGTTTTGATTATAATTTTTGTAAACAAAACAAAGCTACCAAATTGGATTATAAATAGGATTTTTTTTTGATCATTTTTGGCTATATTTGATTGTAATAATATTCTATTGTCTTGTATTTGTTGTGCGTTGAATTTGTTCACCCGATAGCGAGCTACTAATAACTAAACTTCGGTTGTATCTTCAGGAACTCCTTGTGTTGCAATCAAATAATTTGATGCTTGTCGTATATTCCAGTTAAATTTCGTTAACATTTGTGCCCAATCACAATCAACATGAATATTATGGCTACGAAGTTGTTGTCGTAATCGCTATTTTGAATAGTGGAATTTGATTAACAATCAATCAAATCAAATCAAATCGATTGTACTTACAATACATTTGATGGCTTTATGTATATCCCAATCGGTTGAATCTAAAATTTTAGCACATTCTTCGGCCTTTAAGTTTATCTATGATGAAAATTAAATAAATGATGAATCTATTGGTTTCATTCATTTATTCATTATACCTCATTTGAAAGAACTTTTTGCATGACTCGAATTTCATCACTATCAATATTTCGATGTCTCGGTACTGGTGGTGGTGGCGGCGGTTGTGGTTGTTGTGGCGCTGCAGCATTCAATGACTTTGATGATGAACTTTGACTTTTTGATTCAAATGAATTCGTTTGACTAACAGTGGGATTGAGTTTAATCGTAACATTATTCTGTACATTTGAATCTTTTTTACTACTATTCAAATCCATAATCTGACCATTACTATTGGCAGCAGAAGCAGTAGGAACGGTAAATGTTGTAACCGATGATTTAATCGGTTCAGCATTTGATTTTTCTTTGCCATTCTGTTGTGATGTAACTGTTGTTGTTGTCGATGATGATGATGATGATGAAGTAATCGGTGGCATATATGATGAGGAAGATACAGCCAATTTAATATTATCAAATGCTTTTTGTATTTCACTTTCCAATGATTCGGTTAAATCACTCGACCTAAAAACAGAAAGCGATTAATAAAAAAAAACAAATCTCCAGATGTTTTATTAATAAATAATCACGTACAGATAGGTTCGTGTCGGTTTCGATGGTGGTGTTGGTTGAATTGTTGAAGCAATTGATTTATGATCATCACCTGAATTTGTTTCTATTACATCAAAGCTTTTGCCTGAGTTTTGATTAGTTTTATTTAGGAAAGCAGCTGGTACTTGTGGACATGATACTTGTTTGAGTACTGGAACGTGCCTATATCCCGATGACGATGATTCATATGGTTGTTGTTGATGATAACCTGCATCAACTGATAAGCCATTTTCACCCATTACATTTTGATGATAATTACTTGATGATGAACCATTCAATTTATCCGATAATTCGGCTGGTATTACCAATGGATGACGACGTTGATGTGTTTTTAGCTGTATCAAAGGTCGACTACGATCTCTTGGTGGTAATGGTAATGCATTCTGATTTTGATTGATTAATGTTGACTGTTGCGATTGTTGTTGTTGTTGTGTTTGTATTCTTTGTTGATCGTTGATGTTTGTTTCACCATATGAATGGCTTGAAGTTTCTAAACATGAAAAATTTATCAGAATTATGGTAATGTAAATGAAAAACAAACAAACCTAATGGTGATCGTGATGACGCTACACGGGCAAGACCAGCCGTTTGTGCTGTAGTTGGTAATCGTGGTTGTGAAAATGATCGATTACCACGAACTTTTGGCCGTAAAACTTTACCAATACCGGCTGTTCGTAACATTCGTAATGGATTGTTTTCGATTCCATCGTCGCAATGATCATGATGATCATTATCAACATTGTACATTGAATTCATAGTGGTGGATGATGATGGATCATAATCGCTGAAAGTCGTTGATTCTTTATGTGTCGTTGTAGACGAAGGTGGTGGTGGTGGTGGTGGTGCCGATGATGGTGGACAAACAACATTATTACTGGATGATACACCTTTGTCTACTAATGACATATAAGCTTCTTTAGCTGCCGGTGTAATACTTTCGATTATGTTTCCAATCGATTCGGTTTCTTCACTAAATGTTCGACGTTCACTTTTTGGTGATCGATGTCCAGTAACGGGAAATTTGAATGAAAATTTCTTTTGTTTATTCGGTGAATTTGGTGTTTTCGGTGAGTCGTTTTTCGTCATATCAAGATCATCTTCCATCATTGTTCGATTAGCAATATCTTTAGCCATTGCAATGGCTGAATCAAGTTCATTTTGTTCAGCTTCTGAAATTGGTTTCACGGTTGATTGTTTCTTTTTCAAATTATTCGTTTCTTTACTAATCTTCAGGTTTAATTCACGAACTTCATTTTTAACATTTATACTGTTTTCATTGATAGCTGTTTCACTTTCAGCTGCATCATTATTTAAATCTGGTTTTATGTGATCCAATTCTCGGAATACTTCCTCCATTAATGATGGACCAAAATCAAGAACCTAAAAAAAAAAAAACAATCACAAAACATCATCAATTGATTGATTTATAATAACAAACCTCAAACGGTGGACTTTCTAATGCCCCAGCCATATCATCATTTTCTTCATCACTAATTTCATGATATTCATGATTTGTATTTGAATAGATTGCTGTTTTTGAATCAATTATACTGTTTCGATTGAAATTCGGAATAGGACCAGAAATGATTAATTTACGATTATTAATCTTGGAAGATTTCGTATCCATATCATTATTGGATGCACCATTTGATTTAGTTGATGAACATGATGATGGTGGAACATGATGATATTTACCTTCAAGAAATGAAACATCACCAAAAAAAACACCATCAGCACCAACATGACCAGTATGTTTGAGATCACCTTGTGGACGAGAAATCATTTCTGGACGTAAACGTTGTTGTTGTTGTTGTTGATGGTGCTGGTGTTTACGTTGACCATGTGGTGAATTATGATGATGATTACCACCATTATGTTGATGATTTTTTGATTCCAAAAATCCACGTAAAAATCTCGATGATTGTAAAACAGTTGATGTTATTGTTGATGCCAGTGAATGTGAATGATGATGATGATGATGATTGTGGTGGTTATTGTGTTGATTTTGGTTACCATTTGAATTTCCGGATCCACTACCACCGCTACCACTACCACCACCGGAAAGTAATGAATGAACAAATGATGAGCTTGAAGATTGATAATGACTATGATGACTATTAGATGATGGTAAATTTTGTCCCAAATATGCAACAAAATCACTTGGATTAATTAGGCCAGTTTTTCTATCATTGGTAACACCTTTCCATAAAAGTTTCGCATTACCATTGCTGCTATCATTCAAATCATCATCATCATCCAGATTATCTTTATCGATTACTGTGACAATATCACCAGATTTATATGAAAGATAATCTTTCATATTCGCGTTATCGGAATTTTTGATTGCTTGTAATAGTTCTGGTTTACAATCCGGTAATAGTGTGACAATTTCAGAAAATTTTGGCCGTAAATTTGGTTCATGTGTCCAACAATTTAACATTAATTGATAATATTCTTTTGGACAACATTCTGGCCGCTCTAGTCGTTGATAATTTGGCATATCAATAGCTTCAAGAATCTGTTGTCCAGTTAATGCAGCCCATGGTTGAAATCCGAATGAAAACATTTCCCATAACGTGACACCATATGCCCAAACATCGGATTGTGATGTAAATTTCAAATAATTAATACATTCCGGTGCACACCATGCAATCGGTAATTTCAGATTAACATTAAAATTACTCTGATAATAATCTTTACCGACACCCAATGCACGTGAAAGACCAAAATCAGATATTTTCACTTTTGTTTTACTAAACACCAGTAAATTACGTGCAGCAAGATCACGATGTATAAGTCGTTTAGATTCCAGATATGACATACCATCAGCAATTTGTGCAGCAAATAAACACAATGATGTTAATGGAAAATGTGCAATCAATGTCGGTTCTTTAAGACATTCTAATAATGAACGTAATGGGGCCAATTCTGTGATTAACATAACCGAAGGTTCCAACACAACACCATATAATGTTACAATATTTTCATGTGAAATTGAATGCATAATTGATGCTTCTTTTAGGAATTCAATTCTTGAATTTTCTAAACGTGCTGCCGAAAGACATTTTATGGCCACCTGTATACGTTGTCCATCTTCATTGGTCCAAACACCTAATAATAATGATAATGATGATGATGATGATGATGAAAATGAAATTTGAATCAAAAAAAAAAAAATCAATCAATCATACCTTGTTGTACGACACCAAATTCACCGATACCAAGTTCTTTATTAATGACCAATGAATCAGCCGATATAATATGACGACATGTTGTTTGCTGTACACGGCCAATCATATGATGATGATGATCAACATTTATCGTGGATGATGATGAATCATGATTTTGATGATGATTATTACCGATACCATTATTATCACTACTGTTATTCATCAATGATGAATTTGGATGACAGATTTCAATATGATTATTATTATTATTATTATTATTGTTGTTGTTGTTGTTATTATTATTATTCTTATTTGAGCTATTATGTCGATGACGACGATATGTATCGTAAATGACTTTCATTTTTTTTATATTTCTTCACTAATCTTCTGGTTGGTGGGGATTGAAAAATGAAATTGTTGTTTGATCCTTGAAATCAATGGCAGATCGATGATGATGATCAATATAGTCGCATTATTGAAATTGTTGTTATTGTTGAGTGTTTTTCTTTGGCTAATGTGATTTTTATTTTATTTTGAGCAAATTGATTTATCGGGTTGTTTTTGGTTTTTATTTTAATTGTAAAAAAATGAATTTGAATAAATAGAATATATATTGGGATTTTTTCAATTTGAAAATTTGCAAATACAAAGGCAGATTAATATACACACAGACAGACAAAAACATTCGAAATATGAAGTTGGTTTGCGGTTGTAAAATGTGGCTGTGGTAAAATGAGGATTCGAATGATGAAACAATGATGATGATGATGATCAACCATCTATTAATCTGAATTTTAATTCATGAAAACAATTAAGCATCGATGAGATGGAGAGATAGTCATTCATTCATTCATGTCTCTATTCAAATCCATCGTCGTTAATCCCTCTATATTCAACCAAACAAAAAAAAAACATTCGCCATTGTAATCCATTCAAAATTTAAATAATACAACGACAACAACAAAACATCTTCAAGACATCCCCTGATGATGATAAAGATGACGACGACGACAACAACAAAACAATGTTTCCTCCCTTTTTATTGATTGAACAACATCATCCACAACAATAAAGGATACAATTGAATTGAATTGAATTGAATAGACAAAAAAAAGTTCCAATTGGAAACAAAAATTGCAGCACAAAAACTTTCGAAAGTGTTTTTTTTTCTACATTCGTTTGTCGGTTGATGAACTAGAAACTCTCCCTTTCTCTCTATTTTTTTGGATCGCTTGAATGAAATGGAATGGATAGTTGGTTGGTTGGTTGTTTGGTGGTGGTTTGAACTCACAATATCTCAAGATCCAAACAAAAATCCGCGCAGATTTTTTTTTCTCTCTCGATGGATGGATAGTTTGTTTCACAGAGCAGCATATCAATACACAAAGATATAGATAGATAGATAGATGGATGGATGAAGAGCAGAGAAAACATCGAAAGCAAAAAAACCACATAAATAAATAGTAGTAGTGACCCAAAACAAAAGTTCATCAACTTTCAACTTTCAACAAACAAAATATAGCTGTATAATAAATAAATATATTGAATGAGTAATGGCCACAATTGATATGATTTCATCATGTCCATTTCGTTAAACGTTCAATAGTAGTAGCATTTATAAATGTTAAAATATTGATTATTCACCAACTGCTGAGAGTGTATGAATTAAATTATGTTTGTTAAAGTCACAATACATTCGTAGTTGAAAATAATATTAGAGATACGTAACTAACATTATTGCTACCACTACGATTTAATTGAATTTTTTTTGTTTAAAATTGAATTATGGTTGTGGTAGGATTTCTCGGACAAAAAAAATTCGAATCTTTCAATTGGATATTTTTTCTGGTATGTCTGGTCTGTTTGTCTATTTAAGGGTCAAATATTGGAAATCATGAATTTGATCCTGCCCAATATTCAATCATCTCATTGACAAAAATAAAATAAAAAAAGATCAATGGCATCAATAATCATGAATTGATTTTAATTGGATCAATCAATTCAATCGATTGGTTATGATGATTAATTTTATACTGCCAGTATATCCAGGCGTGGTTCATTCATTCATTCAGCACCACCATTTGGGATATTCATTGATCATCGTTGTGGTGAATCTGGACATTTTTTTTTATTTGGCATGAAAAAAATACACAATCCATCGTCACCATCATTATTATTATTATTATCACACATGCGACAGATTCTATTTCGGGATCATCGTAAATTTTGTCAACCAACAACGAAAAAAAACATAACCATAACCATAACCATGATGTAAAATATGGCCAGACGATAATGGTGATTGTGACCTTGAGACTGAAAATATTTCAAAAAATAATCATGGTGGAAAGTTTTGTTTTTTTCTGTGCAAAAAAATCCTTGAAATGTTTTTAATTTGAATGTTTTTTTTTCTTGGTTCAATGCCTTTTGTTGTTGTTGACAAATTTTTTTTTCATTTTGTTTTCATTTCATTCAATTTGAAAAAAATTAAAAAAAATCCGTTAACACACGGAATATTTTTTTTTCAAATTCTAATTTTAACCAAAAACTTCGAATAATTCTATATAGCAATCCATTATCGATGATGATTGAAAACATGATCATGTCCAATTGTGTGTGTGTGTTTCAAGTTAGCCGAAATTTATCGTCCTATAGGAATATTGATGTCTATTCTATATACACACATGGGCTAGGACACAAGATCACACTCTCTCTCTGTCTGTGTGTGTGTTATATAGACGAAATTCTGGAATTCTGGAACGTGCAAATTCTTTTTTTGAGTCGAGTTGAATATTGTTGACTATTATTATATCAACGACGCTGATGAATGTGAATGATTTTGAATTGGAAAAAGTAGACCAACAAAAAAAATATGCGTGTGACCGTCCATGACAATCAATATTTGCACAATTGAGCATCTCAAAGAATATTCTTTTTTCTTGGTTTCTTGTGTATTTTTCTTATTTATTGATGGAAATATTAATCCAGCCATAGCAGAAGCAATATTTGGAATTGAGATTTTTCTTTTTCGTTGTTTAATTCTTCAAAAAAAAGAAAGAAAAAACAACAATTTTTTTCAGAAAAAAAATTTTTAAATTCCAAGTGCTGGTGTTGATCTAAATAATAATTTGATTCCAAGCCATGAATAGTATGAATAATGTAGCATTTGGTGCAGGTAAAACGGGTAAGTTTTTTTTTATTCTTGTGCAACCAAAACAAAAACCGGATTTCAATAAATCTGTATTATCAATAGGAGCCGCATTTGATCCAATCACATATTTAACACGGCCACAAGTTATATTGAGAATTATTTGCTGGGTAAGTAGTCGCGATTGACATGAGAAACTTGATCAATTGATTTGATTTCATTTGAATTCCTATAGTTATGCTCAATAATTGTTTGGTGTTGTATTTCATTCAATGCATGGCATCGAAAAGGACGCAAAGAATTTTGTCTCTACAATAATGATAATGCTGCATGTCGTTTTGGTTCAACAATAGGTTTCATTGGTTTTTTAGCTGCAACCGCATTTTTGGTATTGGAAGCAATATTTCAGAATTTATCCAGTATTAAATTACGTCGTCGTGCTGTATTGGTTGATGCTGGATTCTCCGCATCATGGTCCATACTTTATCTGATTGTTTTCGGTTATTTGGGCATTGCTTGGGGCAAAGCTGATTATCCATATCTTGGCAATGGTATCAATAATTGTCGTGCAGCTATTGTTTTTTCATTTTTTTCCATTGCTGCTTGGGTATGTTGTGTGATTTTTTTTTTATCACAAATTATTTGCTGAATATTACTTTTTCCAACTTTGAAAAGGGTGCTTGCGCCTATTTAGCTCACGCACGTTGGCAACAAGGAGCCGATATGACAGAATTTACAAGCGGTTTTGATCCATCAGCATTCAATAATAATAATAATATGGGTGTTCCTGGTGGTGGTGATGGTTATACAGCTGGATATGGACAACAACAAAGCGGAACAACAGCCGCAGATATGACAGCAAATAATAATTATCAACAACAACAATATACAACTGCAAATGATAATGATCCAAATTATCATTCAAATCCATTTACAGCAATGGCTACACAAGAATCAAATGTTAATTATCAACAACCATCATATTGATCAACAAACAATAGCAATAAAAAAACTTACCTTTTAAAAGTAGTAATCGAATCACAAATCAGCCATCTTTATTCATTATATCACCATCTTATTGTATCGTATCGTATCGGATAGCATATAAATCATTTACATCAACAAGAATATTCACACAGACACAGACAGAAATGTAACGACAAAAAAAAAAACATTCGAATCATCGATTAAAATAGCTTTTGATTTGTTGATTTTCCAGTATAAATAGCCACCTATTACACCCACTGATTCTGAACATTATGACAAGAATTTTTTTTAAAAAATAATTCTATAGGCATGGTATGTTCCATCATCATCATCATCATCATCATCATCGTCATCATAATTCATCAAATTGATTAATTTATTTAGCTTGATCGATATTTTTTAGCATACACAAGTTCACAAGTTTATCAGAAAAAAAAAAAAAAAAAAGTGTGCCTAACCTGACTAAAATATTCGAACACACAGAGATACAGAAACATTCATATAAATAGTGCTCATTTTTTGAATTTCATCATCATTTCATTTCATTTCTGCAAATTATTCTGTTAAATATTGAACATTTCGATTTATAAATAATTCTCCCAAGGTAAAAATTAACAATAACGAAAAAAAAAATTGTCATCAGATTGATTGAGATTGTTTTTGTTTGTTTGTTATTCATCATCATTAAAAAAATTGAAAATAAAATTCTAAAAAGTCAGAAAACAACAACAACAAGAGCAAAACTGTTTTCATCATAATCTTGTTTCAAATACATCATATTCTGAGCAACATTTTTGATCATCATTGTTATTCATTGATAAAATTTTTCTTCTTAAATGAATAGCAGTCATCAATTTACGTCGTGGTTGTAACGGTATTCCCAATGTAATTAAATCATTTTCATTCAACATCATTAATGTATCAATATCGATTTGTTCTTGTTCAAATATTTCATAATAATCTTTTAGACCATGTGCATATAAAAATAATAACACCGAAATGGTTTTCGATTCTGTTGTTGTTGTAGCAGTTGTTGTTGTTGTTGTTTTTTTGTTGTTTTTCATTTTTAGTTCCATCATCACCATCATCATCGTCACCGCCGATAACAACAAAATCTGAATGATGATCAATAATATCGGAATAATTCAATAAAAGACTTCCGGCACTACCAATACTATCACTTGTTAAACTATTGTCACGTTCTTGCCATATTATTTGATGATTATTTTTTATCAAACTACTATTATCGTCATCATCATCATCATCATTGCTATTATGATCTTGACCTGAATCTTTGGATTCTTTATCATCTTCAACATCGTCATCATCAACATCTGAATGTTGATTATAATATCGATTGGATGTTGTTGAAAACAATAAATCAGGTGTAAATTTTCCACGAAATGCAACCGATCCAAATCCTGGTCTTTCAAATATACTGCTTGTTTCCATATTGATTTTTTTATCATCATCTTCATGATCATCATTCATTTTATTATACAACGAATCAATTTGAAGAAAATCTGGTTCCGATCTTGTACGAATCAGTTTCGTTTTCGATGTTGTTGAGTTGTTGTTGTTGTTGGCCAATTTATTCATACGGAATAATTTATTTTTCAACGTTGTCTTGATATGATTTCTATTGAATGTACTTGTCAATTTATTATTCGTAGTTGATCTTTCTGGCTTCTCTTGCTGTTGCTGTAATTGAAAATCGAAAACATTTTTTAATGGTAATCTTGAACCAATACCATTGTTGTTTGAAGATGAATCATCATCATCAGTGGAATCTTTTTTCTTAGATTCACTTCTAGTTGCTGCTGCTGCTGCTGCAACTAAATCATTTACACTAATGAATTAAATTTCGGAACATAAACAATATGATCATCACGACGTATACCAATCATCATCATTGATTGTATTGAACGACATGTTCCTTTTTTCGCTGTGGTGGTCGTTGTTGATTTTATCGTATCGATGGAATTATTATCATGGTCATTATCATCATGTTTTTTTGTCATACGTACTTTACGTGTGACATTTGATAGAATTTTTGGCATTTTAGTAATGGATGTTTTTCCGTTTCCACCGCCACCACCACCACCATTACCATTGACAAGATCGGAAAATTTTGGTAAAACATTATTGTTGTTGTTGTTGTTGTTAGAATGTTGGCCATTTTTTGCCGCTTTATCCAATGTATCATAAATATTGAATAATTCATCAGCCTGTTGATCATTATCAATGATTGTTGTCGATCCGGCCATTGTTGTATTGATGAGGCAAAAATTTTTTTTCATTAAATTTTTTTCCACTCTTTTACGTTCATCTTTTTCCGCTTGTCGTATGGTTTTTTGTTGCATTTTTCGAAATAATTTTATCCGTTTTTCCGCTTCCAAACGTGCTTTTTCCTTTAATTTTATGACAGTCTTGGAATTCAATGCACTTTGTTGTGCAACAACATGATCAATTAATTGGACAATTTTATCACGATTATTCAATGCTGCCACTTCTTTAGCCATATGATATTCATTATCCATTGACCATAGATTCACACCGAATGATATTAGAAATGATACACATTTCAAATGGCCATTCTGTGCAGCCCAATGTAATGATGTATTGCCAAAATAATCACATTTTTCTGGATCGCCACTAAAAAAATTTAATTTAATTTTCAAAAATCAACAGACAAAAAAAACAAAAACTAACCCTCTACCGACAATTATTCTTAATGCATTCAATTGTCCACTATATGCTGCCCAATGTGTTGCTGTCATACCATCATCATCTTGATGATTACATTCTTTACGTGTTGCATTACGTAATATATCCAGATAACCATCACGAACTGCTTGTCGAATACGTTCAGCTGATGTTTCCATTTTGTTTTCACGAATCCAAATCACTTTTTACTTTTACTTGTGTTCCCTATTTAGCAAAAAAAAAAAAAAGAAAACGAAATGAAAAAAAATTTGTTAAAAAAAACAATCAAAAATGTAATCATCATTTTTCATCTCAGAAACAAAAAAAAAATTATTAATTATAGGATCCACTTCATTGAAAACACATTTCCATCATCATCATCAAGTAAAAACAAATTCAACAGGTCAAATGTATCATTATTATTATTCAATGTTTTCTTTGGAAACATTACATTTTGATGAACTTGTGTTCCTGGAACAACAACAACAACAGCGATAGATCATAAATCACGTATATATACATACAATAGAGAGATCTTGACATCAAAAACAAGTACAAGATTTTGTTTTTTGGGCGAATCAAAACAACAACAACAACAAAAATTTGGACCATCCAAAAATGGTGTTATACATCGGAAGTATAAATTGCAAACTAAAACAAAAAAAAAATTCGAATGCAGATGAATGATGTATCATCATGTTTCAAACAAAAAACAAAAAGGTGGATTAAAAAAAAAAAATACACAGAAGAAAAGTGCGAAAACATTATGATCATCATCATCATCATCATCATCATAATCGATCGATAATCAGAAAAAAATTTCCATTTTCTTCGTTTCGAAAACATCATCATCATCATCATTGACCACAATTGACCGATTGAAATATGAAAATCTTTGATAGATGAGTGTTTACTATTTCATTTCTCATCACTTTCACACATACATTGTCGATAATCTCCCTTGTAGACTATCTTTGGTCGTTCCAGGAACACACATCATCGTTTTGTTAAGACAAAAAAAAATGCATTTAAAAAGACAATCGATTCGATGATTATGATGATGATGATTTCAGCAACTTTTTTTTTCGACCAAAAACAATTTTCAATCAATCAATCAACATTTTGTTGAAAATAATCGAAAAAAATGTTTCTTTACCGACCATCAACAACAACAACAACAACAACAAAACGACGACGACGATAATGCAAAAAAAATGATAATTTCGATAGAAGAAAAAAATTCAATGATGATGATACCATCATCGAATAAAGAGAAAAACGACAGAAAACTTTTTCGCAAAAAAAAACCAAGAAAATTGATTCATCTATCGTCGATAGCTCGATGTTGTCGTTGTGATTGTGATGATGATGATGATGATGATGATGAATGATTGAAAATCTAATTTAGATCTCTAATAATAGATTTTTTTTTTTTTCCACCAAAAAAAAACCAATTTCGATTGATTCGTTCGTTAGTCTTTTTGTGTGTGTGTGTGTGTGTGAACGCAAATAGGATACAAAAAGAGATTTTTTTTTTTACTGCCGATTAAATGTTTTTTTTTCTATTTTCATACCATGCAGGTTCACCATCATCAACAACAATGATGATGATGATGATGATGATGATGGTAATTGAAAAACCGATTGTAGCATCCGGATTTTCAAGCAAGATAAAAAAAAATATCTACAATTTAAACGATGTCCATGTCTAAAGTGTTTTTTGTTGTTGTTGTTGTTGAATACCAAGGTATATAGGTATCAAACATTTCACAATCCACTAAACATTTGTGTGTGTGTGTGTGTGTGTATTTGTATAATCTTTAACAATGATTCAATGAATGAATGGTAATGATGGTGAATGATGGTGATCACGAAAACATCAAATAATCACCATCACCAAAAAAAAGATGATCATCATCCACAAATCATCTTCAAGGCATTTGTAACATTTCATTGGATGATGATGATGATGATGATTATAATGATACCAAAATTCAATGAAGAAATGATATTATGATGATGATGATGATTATTATTATTATATCATATGGATATATGGCCATAAATAAATAATTTTTGGATTTGTGTGTGTATATGCGTGCATGTCAAAAAAAAACATGTCCATAATGCAATGGAAATGCAAATGCCAACAAACAAACAAACAAAAAAAAAAAAACTCACTTCACACATGTAAATATATTACAAAAATAAAGACAGAAAAAATTGAAAAATTCAAAAAAAAAACTATTTTCAGTACTTTAGATAGATGTGTTTTTTGTTGTTGTTGTTTCATATTTTCTCTTACCTGTGTTAAAGCACAATGATGATGATTATGATGATGATGATTCACAAACACAAAATGATGCTCATCAAAGCTTTGTCGTTGTGTTGTGGATCAGCCAAAAAACAAAACGAACGAACGAATGATGACAAAATTAAAAACACACACCGAAAAAAAAATTTGTCTAGAGAATGAAAAATCATTCGACCATATCACCGATGATGGGTGTTTATGTGTACTAATACACACACACACACACACACGTATTATGGAAAAATCATCATAGATAAAATTCATGAAAAGTCCAGGTGTGTGTGTGCGTTGTGTCCAAATGAGAATTGCACCCGAAATTTTGAAGGAAAAAAAAATTATAGCCAATGCACACATACAACAGAATAATAATTATTCATCATGATGCTGCTGCTGTTGTTGTTGTTGTTGTTGTTATTTCAACCGAAAAAAAACAGCATCAAGCTATTATCTAAAGATGGAAAAAAAAATTTAAATTTCATTCAATTTGTATATTTGAAAAACGCATCCGCAATGTTTTTTTTTCAAACAACAACAACAACAACACAATATAACATCCGGGTCAATTCATTGTTCATTTTCTGTTTGATGAATAATAATTTGCTGGTGGATTTGATAAACGTTGGTGATGGTGGTGGTGGTGTTGATGGTGATTGAATCAATTTGAAGAAAAAAAAAACTTTATTCAATTGATCGGAAATTTATTGTTGTTGTTGTTGTTGTTTTCTAATTTGTTTTTCAAAATTGAAATCGATCAATAACAACAAACGGAACAAACACACACACATACACACACACACAGACAGAAATCGTTTTTATGATAATAAAGATGTTGATGATGATGATTTTTGTTGTTGTTGTTGTTGTTGTTTATACCGTTGATATCAATAACAAATCGATAAATCGATTGATTGATCGATTCAAAACACCGGTTTTTGTAGAAAACAAAAACAAAAACAAAACAAAAAAAAAAAATTCGAATGTTTTTGATCTCAAGCCAATGAATGACAGCGACGAATGATTGTATACAACTGCTGCTGCTGCTGCTTTGAACACCGCGGTGATGACTGTGCTGGTGAGTGTATCTCGGTCGTTGATGGTGGTGGTGGTGGTGGTGGTGGTTACAGCCGGTTATTTGTCGTGTGTTCGAAAGAGAAAATATGAAATTTCAAATTTTTTTTTTCTATTTCAATTTCAAGAAAAAAGAGAGAGCGAACGAAAGAGAGAAAAAAAATCTTGAAAATCATCTTGCATTATCGTCATTCATATTAAAATGGTAAATGGTATCATCATCATCATCATCGATTGTGTTGGTAAAGATGATGGATCATCATCAACATCAACAACAATCGTGTTTGATCCATTTTATCACATTGTTAAAAACAAACGAAGCGAAGCAACCAGAAAAAATGAAATGATACATTTTTCTAATGATGATGATCTAAATTTGTCATCATCATCATCATCATCATTGTTTTTAATTATCGACAAAAAAAAAAAACTGTCAATTATATATAAACACATGATAATCGATAATTTCGAATGCAAATTCGTTCTTAATATACTGGGTATTTATGTACAACTCACACATTAATATTCAAATCGATGACCTTTTGTCAGATGTAAAAAGTCAAATAATCATCATCATCATCATCATCATAGGTCATGCAAAACTTGATTTGTTGACCAATGAAATTCCAGAATCATTGGACAAATGAATCTTTTTCTTTTTATTTGTTTTTCCATGTGTGTGTGTGTGGTATGAAAAATTTGCTCGAAAAAGAAAAATATCTGAATGTTGTAAACAAACAAACAAACAAAAAGTTTTTCATTGCAATGGAAAAACAAATGGACCCTGTGAAATCAAATGGAAAAAAAAAAAAAAATTTTCTTTTTCCCATCATCATCATTAAATTATGCTAAAACATTACCCAAACAAAAAATGTTCTCACCTCTTTTTTTTAATGATTAATCTCTGCATTGAATTTGTGTGCACCATGAAAAACTTTTCTTCATAAGCCATGATGATGATGATGATGATGACGATTTCGTGATCATCCAAAATGATGATCACGTGTCTATCTGTCTGTGTGTTGTGTTTTATGCAAATCATACACACACACACATACAAAAATGTCCAGGAAAAAATTGTCTTCATTCATGGTCCATTAAATCGATAAATATGAACGGATATTATTCCACCATTCATAGAGTTCAAATTACCCGGATATATCAACAACAACAACAACAACAATTAAAATGTGTTTTGGTTTTGCAAAATAAAAAAGATCCGTTTACTATTTTTTTTTTAAATGAACAGGAAAAAAAATGAAATCTCATCTTTTTGGTCGATTTATAAAATACACAAATCCGTAATATACAATAATATGGACAAATAGAAAATCAATCATGGCCATTCATGGTCGTTTGGTTGAATAGTTGTTATTTGTTACGGACCGTTTATTTGAAAAAAAAACAAACAAAACACGGGTAAGTGAACAAAACAGAACAGAGAAAACATTTTTATTCTCAAATTCTTTCTCTCTTTCTCTCTCTAGATGTATGGTTTCATCAATCGATCGTTGATTTGAAAGGTTTTTTTCCTTCTTTTTTCTAAAAAAAACTGGACATGATTAAAGGTCAATAACAATAATGCACCAAAACATGAATGACCATTATTTGTGAAATTTCAGTGAATGCTGATGATGATGATGATCATGGTGAACAATTAAATTAATCTGAACACAAATGCGGGCTGTTTTTTCTCATTATATCTGATATAAAATCATTACCATTAATCATTATCCATTGATGACAATTTTCTTTCATTCATTCATTCAATTTTTTTTGTTGTTGTTGTCGTCGTATTCGTAGTTGTGCTTCAATGAACAATCAGAACTTTTCTTTCCAAACAATTCAACAGCAACGATAATATAATATAATAACAAAAATTAAACTTATTGATGATCATAAACCTCAATTTTTTTTTCTCTTTAAGAATAGTTTTTTTTCGTTTTCAAACTCGGGATTCACCACCACCACAAAAACTTAACAACAACAACGACAAAAACCAGGTGACGATATGCTCTCATTATTCATTTGAATAGATTGAAATACTCACACATTATTATCTCTGGGAATTTGTCAATAATAACAACAAACAATAAACAACAGGTAAGTGTGTGTGTGTGTGTCTTTGTGTCTGTTTGAATGGCTAATAATTTGCGAAAAAAAAAAATTTTCTAATTTTAATCATCATCATCTCTTTTAGCTTGGATCATGAAATATATCATCATCATCATCATCATCATCACTTTGGCTAGTGGCTGATTGTTGATTATTATTGCCACCATCTTCACCATTACCATTATCATCATCATCATCATCATCTGATGATAATAAACAATCAATAATTTTATTAAAATAATTCCATTGTTTCAATGAATACAATTTTACATCCCATAATGCCTGTACCAGTTCATCATTACGTGATTCATCTAGTGGAATTTTTTTCGTTAATAATGAATTCAAACGACAATAAGTGATATTTAAACATGAACACCATAATAATGAACGTGATACAATATGATCATTACAATTGGTTACCTGTGTTTTCATCTGTGCTGCCAATTCATTACCATATGTCCATGATTGATGATGATGACGATACGATAGATCGTTGACGAATGAACGAAAATCAAGAAAATAATTAAATTTATCGAATGCAGCAGAAAAATTTTTACGTTCCTGATGTCGTATCATGCCCGTACCGAATGATAATACAAGATCCAATTTTCGAAATTCTGTTGATTGTTGTCGTTTTGTCGACGTTGTTGTTGTTGTTGCTCATAATGAAAATATTCCGTAATGGCATCCATTGTTGGATTATTCGACATCAAACCGCCATCAATATATGGTGGATAATGATGAAAATAAGTTGGTGCCGCTGATGATGCCCTTAATGCTTGCCATACAAACATTTTATTCGTTTGATTCTGATGATGGCTGCAGAATAATTGCAATCTAGGTGGATAACAATCAATACGACATGCAGCAATCAATAAATGTTTTGCCGATTGTTTCCACACATCTTCCATTGATTTATTACCATCTAATTGTGTTTTCAATAAAAATTCCAATTTATCCGTTGAATATGGCCGATTACCGTGGAAAATTTCATCTTTAAAATTAAAATACAACAAACGTAATTGGTTCAAAGATTTTTGTTGTGAAAATAAATACGCAATTATTGAACCGGTACTTGTGCCGGCAATCCAATCAAAATAATCAGATAATAATAATGATTCTTGTTTTTTGAGATTACGTTGTTTTTGAACAAGACATTTTTCCAATTCAATCATCATTTGTATGGTAAACAGACCTTTGATTCCACCGCCATCGAAACAGATTAATCTTGATTTTTTCATTTTTGTTTTCGTTTCTGTTTTGGAAACATTTAAATAATAACAACATTGCTGCTGCTGTTGATTTGGATTCAAAACCATTGGTGGTGGTGGTGGTGGATTTTCCATCGCTGTTCGTCGGGCTTCCATAAATGAATCGAATAATTTTACCACTTCTTGATCCTGACGTTTTGTTGCCACTTGATATGGATTCAGCTGTTCACCAATAATGTTGTTTCTTACATCGATATCAGCATCAAAAATTAATAGAGATTTTATCATCAATTTATTCGACAATCGTACAGCATGATGAAGACCAGTATCACCATTTAGATCACCATGATTTGGATCCGAACCATGAAGCAATAAACATAATGAACAATCAAAATTATTCGATTTTATCGCCGTAATCAATGGTGTTTCATTACGAAAATTTGGTGTATTACAATCGAAATATTGTAGCATTTTTTTCATTGTTTCTTTCCTGATTATCCAATGTAATGGGCAGCCACCATTATTCATGTGGCTGAAATCCATATCCACCAGATCACCATCAGTGAATGGAACGATTTTTTCGTTATCAATTTGTTGCAAGAATTCGTGATCACCAATAATAATTGTTAACATTCTGGCTGTCAAACCTGTTTGTTTCATTAGATGCAAAAGATTTTCTTTGCGTGAATTACGTACAATTATCTCGATTGGATTTAAACCAGCACGATTTTTCAACTGTAATAAACATCGATGTTTATTATCCATGGATAACATGGTGGTGATTGTTTTGAATATTTTCAAATTACTACACATTGCAGCTAAATGTAGTGGTGAATTTCCTTCGAAATCAACCAGACCGACAATCGAATCTGGTGGTTTTGCACATTGAACAATACGTTCGACTATTGAATCATTTTGTTTCATAATTGCTATATGTAGCACAGTAAAATTATCTGGTTCATTTCGCACAGTGATTTCGTTGGTATGGAAATTACGTTTTTTAAAATAATCAATTAATCCGTGCTACAAATCAAAAATAGAAAATGAAAAAAAACCAATCACCAAATATTCAATCTCAAACACAAACGAAACTCACAAAAGCAGCAATATGAATATCATGCCAATTTGGATGATCAATCATTGTCGTTATTATGGTTGAAACGAATCGTATACAACGACTTTTTTGCATCATATTCCTGGTGAATGTTGTCGCTAGAATTGTTTCAATATAACGAAAACGTCGTAATATTTCCTGTACATTATTCGTTTGCCATAAAATATTCATTTCTTGATTATTCACATTATTCATTTGATAAAGAATTTCATATCGATTTTGTGTCAATGGTAATGATTTCGTGCTCGTCATTTTTGAATGGTCCAATTGTTGTTGACTTTGTTGACGTTTTTCAATTAAAATTAATGGACCAAATTGTTTCAGAATTTTCACTTCGTTCCATTGATAATCACGTACAAATCTTGGTAATAATAATGATGATGATGATGAGGACATTTTTTTCAATTTCTCGAATTTTAATCAAGGATTAAATATGCAAAAAAATGGACAAATTTATTTAATTACAAAATTTTGAAAATTTAATTATTCAAAAATATATGGAAAAAAACTTATTTAATTCACTGAATTGTTTTAATAGTGAAACAATCATTCGAACAACCAAGTCCGGGAAAAATTACTTTCGATGGTAATTTTCGTTGATTTAAATATTCGATACGTGCAATACGTTTACGACGATTTTCAAATGGATTATGTCGAATACAAAACAATGTAATGGCCATGGTTTGATATAGCAATGCATTGACAGCAGTCATCAGGATACAATAATAAAAATAATCATCATGTCGATAACCGAATTCATACAAAATAATCTGTATTTCTCTATCATTACAACGTCCGAAACCAAATATCAACAATAAAATGGCTTCATTTTGATATCGGAAAAGATTGAATGTTGCCAACAATTTAAATGCCAAATGTGATAATGCATGTGGTGACATTGCACAAAAAACCGATAGTAGCGATAAAATCGGTAGTGATATATATAAATTTAATGGATTTCGACCAAACAAAATAGACAATATATAACTAGCACCTTGAAATGCAATCACTGGCAATATGGTGATGATGATCATATAATAAGGAACATATGGACGAACTGATGAGTAAATATCAACGATAAACGGATAGATGATGATTGATGGTATCATCAGCATCCAATCAGAAATTGCTTTGGCCACGTAGAATGTACCTGAACTATACCATCCTGTAAAACAAAACGAAAATGAAAAAAAACAACAAACAAACCAACAAACACTTACCATTACGATGTTCAATTTGAAATAATTTTCTTTGTGATGTGAAAATCATTGCGAAAAATATAAAACAAATTATGCCGAAATTATTTAGACAACAATTGGCGTATTGATAACTAATATAAAGTTCTAATCTTCCTTCAATCGAATGATTACAATCCAATAAATCTTCGTCCAAACTAATGCAACCATTTCTATAGGCAATATCTGGATCAATTAAACTTTTTATAATCAAACCATTCAACATAGTAAATGTGGTGACAGCCAAAATCAAAAATCTTGCCATTGGGCTACCAATGTAGAAATAGAATTGACGTTCGATTAATATTCTGATTGATTGTAATGAAAATCTTGTTCGATTCATCTGTGGTCCATCTAAAATGTATTGTGTATCCGTCAATAATTGATCATCCAAAATTGATTCGTTTGTCGATTGAACCAATGTTCTGATTTGTTGATCCAGATGATTCAAACTAGAATATTTCATCATTTCTTCAACGGCAAATTTATCATCGCCATCACCATTATCGTCGTTACAAACTTGCTGGAGATGGTCACTGATTTGTGATGGTGGTCCCGAGAAGATGCAAACACCACCTCTAGCCAGGATGTAAACCTGATCAAAAAGCATTAACATTTCAGTATTCGGTTGATGAATGGCTGCCACTATGGTGATGTTGTGTTTATGTGACATTTTTCGCAAACATGTAACGATCACTTCGGCTGAATTCGAATCTAAACCACTGGTTGGTTCATCGATACAAATGAAATTGGGCATTCGTAGCGACATTAGTTCCAAAGCCAGAGCCAGCCGTTTTCGTTGACCACCTGAACATTTATTGACCAATGTGTTGGCTGTGTCGGCAATGTCCAGTTCTTCTAGCAAGGCCATAGCCTTCTGTTTATGATCGATATTTTCACCAAGATTTTTCAATCTGCTTGCATAGATGAGACTTTGAAGTGCCGACAATCCCGGTGTCAGATGACAAGAAATCTCTTGAGTTATATAACAGGTTCTGAGTGGTGTGAACTTGCTTAGGTAGAATTTGGTTTCACTGCTCAATCGAGTCTTGTCCCGTCCATTCAACACTTTGAGAAAAGAAGTCTTGCCAGCTCCAGACGTGCCCATCAAAGCATTCAATGTGCCAAAACGAAATTGGCCATTCAGATTACGCAGTATATACTTGGGTTGTTCAAGATCGGTGGCAGAACGTAGTTCAAATATTGAGCCACAATTAAATAAACTTAATGACCTCCAAGCAATGATAATGCGATTTTTCGCAAATCTGTCAAATTCAATTTCCACTGCTGATTTCATACGTTGATCATCATCAGTGCCATTAAATGATTCATGATTATTATTTAAATCATCATAATCAATCGGGATAAAATCTAAAGATGGTGAATGTTTTTTTCGCAACACGAACCAATGATGATGGTTGCGGCGGAATCCTTGTAATTTAAACATCATCAATATTAACGTTAATAAACGTAGAATGATTGAATTGATTACGATTCGATATAGATCAATATAAACCGTATCAGGATCAATATCATGACCAATCAATACGGACGAAATTTCATCCGTATCGCAACGATCAATACCGTAAAATGAATAAACCAGTCCATTCTTAATGATTCTTGATCCAATCAAATCGCTAATGATTTTACTTGTCATCATAACAATATGATTATACGGGAACATATATCCATTGTTAAAATCAATGGATGCATAAACAATAAACGAAACGGCGACAGCAATGTCGGATAAACTGGCGAAAACCAAACTCAACAATTGCCCCATTGATTGTAGGTAAACAATGAACATCCATAAAAATAGGAAAAAACTGGTGAATCGATGCCAATTGAACTGACCATTATCAACATAGCTATGATCGATTAAGAAATACATCAATGTTGTCCCATGTAATGCGATGATTGTAAAATCAATTAATCGAACAATGACAATGGACCAATACGAAACACCAACACTGTACCAGCCTACAGAGGAAATCAATCAAAGTAATCGATTGTTGATCATTTTAAATTCAAAAAAACTTACCATTTTGATGTTCATTCTTGAATATTTTCATTAATGATGATAATGTTAAACTACTAATCCCGCTAAGTAGATAGCCAAGCATCATAATGAAAAACATTGAAAATGTAAATAAAATTCAACACGATAATCATCTTTGATTTGTTCTAGACAGGTTTGATTTTGTTTTTCATTCGATTCGCTTAAATTGGCAGCTGACACACAAGTATTAGGTGTGACGATATCCGAATCATAGAGATTTGTTTGGACAAAACACATCGACGCTATCATGATTAATGTAATGATACGCGAATCGACTTGTTTGATAAATGTTAATACAAACATTCTTGACATTTGAATCAGAAAATCACCGAATGAAAATCTCTTATGGTTGACATGGATTCCTTGTGGTAAGAATTTCATCTGCGGTATGACTTGTTTTAATTCGGTTTGTTGTTGTGACCAAGTAGCTTCTCCTAATCGACGAACATTTTCATCGTCAGTTCCTTTGCAGGCGATGGCCAGATATTCTTCAATCGGCGGTTTGCTTCGATCTTGCACATGACCAATGTGGTCGTGAAGATTCTGCTGTAACAATGATGGCAATCCAGAGTAGATGCAGACACCACCTTTTGCCAATATGTAGAGTTTGTCGAACAATTTGAGAATGTCCGAGTTGGGCGAATGTATCGATGCCAGAATAGTCAATCGATTCTGTGGATTGTCAGCCAACTTTCGTAGACAACGTACCATCAACAATGCGGCATGACTATCCAACCCTGTGGTCGGTTCATCGACGAACAAAAATTTCGGTGCCTTCAATGACATCAATTCTTGGGCAAGAGCAATACGTTTTTGTTCGCCTCCACTGCAAAGATCGAACCTTCTGTCGAGAACTTTGTGATCGAGCAACAGTTGATCGAGGACATTGGTCATCTGTTTATCCATTTCGGATCTACCATGTTTGTAGCTATTGTTGAATCGAAAGGCATAGTAAAGCACCTGACGAACTGTCATCGAACCGATTATCGTTTCATGGACATGTTGTTGAATGTATCTTATTCTCGGTTTATCACTCTCTCGTTGGTTGATGTAGATTTGCGAATCGGCACTGAGTCCAGATTGATATTTGCCATTCAAACAATTAAGAAGTGTCGTTTTACCAGCACCACTTGGTCCAAGAAATCCATTTAGAGTATTATATTCAAGATGGCCATTCATACGTCGTAGAATCACTTTTCGTCCACCACCAAAAATGAATCGATTATTCACTTCATAACGGAGATTTTTCCATGCAATCGATACATTTTGATTTTGATTGTTTGACAAAAAATTTATTCGTTTCAATACTGGAGCTGATGATTCCATGATGATGATGATCGACAGAGTGAAAGACAGAGATTTTTTTTTGAAAAAATTACGTTCAAAAAAATTATCTCCTAATACATTATACACCACTACAATCAACACTTGATAATCATCATTGATTTGATTCCAGGAAAAGCATTATATGTACTTATTAACTCACAATTTTCGTTCGCATTGAATTGAATTATAGTTGTAATAAACGATAAATTTGTTTTCAATTTTTGGTGCTTGAAATTTTGGTTCAGATTTTTTAAGAAAAACTTTTTGTATTTTTTTCGTTTCATTGAAAATTTGGCTGGAATGTGAGTTTTGTTGGCAATTTTTTTTTTATTTTGAAATTGAAGAATCCAATTTTTCGAGAAAATTTCCCTATGATGACACTTGTAAAATGATTCGAATTTTGGAAAATTTTTTTTTGCTTGCTTCATTTTTTCTTGTTTTTCTATACAACCACAACGTGTAACCTTGAAAAAGTTGATTTGTATCTAACGATTATTTTTTATTCACTTTTTGTGATCATTGTGATTGTAGATGATTAAATGGAAACGAAAAATTACGAAAAACAATTAAATCATCTTAAAACATTAATGACATTGAATTTTTGGACTATGAAAACAACATTGATCGATGGACGATTGTACGATGACGATATTTCTCATATCGATACACGCGTGTGTTGGTGTGTGTGGAATTTAATCGTTAAATCTTAGAAGATTGATAATTTACGAATTTAATAATTTATTCATCCAAGTGAAAATCATTAGGGTTGTTTTTTCATCTGCGAATCGTATGATTTTATTATTTCTTCAGCGTTCTTTTAATTTGATTTTTTGATAATGAATCGTATGAAGGAATAAATGAATTTTTCATGTAGCTGTCAATAATGTAAAAAAACGGCTGTAAAATGAATTTTTTTTGTTGTTGTTGTTGTTATCTTGATTCAGATTCTTTTACATGGGTTTTTTTCGCGAAAAATTTAAAACTTACCTCATCGTTCATAGATTGTATTTATTCATCATTTTTATAAGTATTGCCATCTGTTGATTGAAATGATTAAATGAAAATTTTAGAAACGACCATTACCACCACCTATCACTTCCATAAATGATAGCCATCATTTTTTTTTTTTTTTAGATTGTTTATATGGAATAGTAGTAGTAGTAGCATATGTGTGAGTGTGTTTGCTTGGATATTTTTTTTTTTTGGATGCCGGTTGTGTGTTATACGCATATGTTTTTTGTTGATCGAATCCATGGGCGGTATGCTGCATAACAATATACCAAAAAAAAACGTAAACAAAGTTTGGTCACAATGCATCAATTCTAATAAGTCTGAATACTCTCCTCTCATATATTCACATACGTCTACTACAAAACGTAAAAAAATTAAATATTATTTGTGACCAAAACCGTTTATTATACATGCCATGCTGTTTTTGTATTCTCTCCTCTTGTCCAAATAAATAACATCAACAACAACAACAACAAAAATCTGAATTTTGTAAAAACGCAGCAGCACATAACCGAAACGAATAAACAAAAAAAAAACATTATTCGAAACGAATAAATGAAAAGAATAAATTCATTCTTGAAACGGATCCATCTATCGTCATCAAATCGAAAATCGAATCAAATCAATATCATCATCAACAATATAACAACAACCACTACCACTAACGAATATCAACAACAACAACAACAACTGAAAGCAAAAAAACTTACACCATCGACCTACTTGTGTGTAAATGTTTGTTTTGTTTTGTTTTGTTTTGTTTTTGCTTCTTTTCACATTAAAAATTGCATTGCACGCCACACACACACACATAACACACCAACAGTGATTGTGGTATATATTCAGAGAAACGGCAACAACAACAACAACGAAAAAAAGCACACCATCATCCAAGACACACACACACACACTAATAGACTGATGATCATCATCAATAATTGAATCGCGAATCGAAAACAAATCATGATCATTCAAAACATTTGAATTTTATTCTTGAAAATTTTTGTCCAGTGAATTTTATCATCGTTTTGTTTTGTTGGCTCACCATTTTGATTGATTTTGGTGATCGAAAAAAAAAGATTCTTTCGAAAGCTTGTGTTTTGTTTTTGCACTTTTGTTTTTGTTTTCAGCACTTGAGTTTTTCGTGATTTTTGTTTTTAATTTTGATTGATTATTTTAATTTAACAATAATCTATCATCATCCAGCTAGCCAAATAGCCATTTTTTCTTGTTGTTAATCAATTTAAATGATAAACAAACCATTACCATCATCGTCATAGTGTTTGTGTGTGTTTAAAACTTTATTATTTCCAAACGTTCATCATCATCATCATTGTAATCGGTCTAATAATTTAATGGTGGTAAGTTTACATTTAGATTTAGATTATATCAATTCGATAATAATAAAATGAAACAACAAAAATATGAAATTCATGTTGTAATAATAACTGGCGCGCCAATATGAAAAAAAACCGTTGTTGTTGTTGTTGTTATTATTATTGTAGTTTTCGTTGCTGTCTATTGATTTATATTTGAATCACAGAGGACATGTACACAAACATACCTATGTGTGTGTGTGTAACAACATACCAAATGATGATAATAGGTATATGTTTTGTTTTTTTTTTTTTGTTGTAGTGGGAACGCAATCCTCTGTATCTTTTTTTTGGCCTTCTGGTTTTTTTTTGAATGATTATAATTTGACCGGAATGTTTTTTTTCTCTTTTACTACCTCTGGTACTATTACGTTCGGAAACGGAATCATTTCCATGGAAACCATTTTTTTCTATATTTTTTTTTGAAACATTTTCTAGTAACCAGAATAAAAATGGAACGAATTATTGTTTTTCATTCATACAAAAACACATATGCACAGAACCCCCACCCGCAAAATATTTTCTATTTTCATTATTATATTTTGGTTTTTTAATGAAAAAATTAGTTCATTGGGTGATAATCATCATCATTTTATTTTATTTTTTTTTTTTTTCGAAAACACATTGTATCTCATCATCATCATCGTTGTTGTTGTTGTTATTATTATTGTTGTTGATATGTTTTTTTATTATTCAAAAAATATATATATATAAAAAAGTAGTGGTTATTCATATTGCAATGTATGTATATTTATTTACAATACTACTACTATTACATAAATATTTTATCACCATACACCCATCATTATTTATTTTTTTTCAAATACCAATGCTACTACTACCACCTACTACTACTACTACTAGCTTACAACCACAATTTTATATCATCATATATATATATATTCTTTTATTATTATGATGGCGGCGTTTTTATCTTTTTTTTTTTTTTTTTTTTTGGCCAATAACAACAACAAAAACAAATCAACAACAATGTTGTTTATATATGAGTTTACTGCTGTGCTTCTAACTTCTAAAAAAAAAAAATTTCAACGATAACATTTCAAAAGTGTCTGTGTGTGTGTTTATAGCGTGTGAGAGAGTGTGTGTGTGTTGTTTGATGTCTCGATCTCATCGATGAAAAGCGAAAGAAGAAGAAAAAAAAGAAAGAAAAAAAAAGTAAACACCAGATCCAAAACCAAACAATAACAACGACGACGACGACTACGAAGAAGAAGAAAAAAAAGTGTTTTTGTTGTTGGTTTGTTGATGGTTGATGGTTGTTGTTGTTTTTGTTGTTGATGATGTTGTTGATGTTTAGTTGTTTGAGTCGTCGAATTTCATCATTTATTTAATTCTGGTTTTTTTTTGAATGTGAATAAATAATCAATTCGTGTGTGTGTGTGTTTTGTGGTGGTTGTTGTGTCCTTCATATTTTGTTTTGTTTTGTTGACAACACCCCTATCTCATCATTCATTCGAAATTTTTGTTTTCACATCCAATTCTTTGAAATTTTAAAAAAAAATTTTTTGTTTTCTCGAACAAAAAAAAATGGGAAAAAATCCATACTTTGTACGCGTGTTTTTCTGTGTATATTAATGTTTGATTGATTGATATACAGGTTTTAATTGATAATTTAAAGACCAGTAATTCAAGAATTCATCCGGTATGTGGAAACGATTTGAGAATTCTAATTCATAATCATCATCATCATCATCATTAACAAACGACGAATGGTGTGAAGTGGTTAATGTTTTTTTTTTGTGTGTGTGTTATGTGTCGTTGGATTTTTTTTTTCTTTTTGGGTTGTTTGCAATTTTTTTCTCTGTGTGTGTGTTTGGTTGATTTTGATTGAATTCAAGAAAAAAAATGAGATCTTTTTTATAGTGTGTAAAAAAAGAGAGAGAGAGAAGAAATGTTGCTGCCATCATCAACATAGTTGTTGTTGTTGTTGTTGTCGTCGATGATGTTGATGTTGATGTTCAATGCCATCCATTCGTCTCCAATCCAATGATAATAAATTTTTGTTGTTGTTGTTGTTGAGATTGTGATTATGGCGGTGTGGTGGTGGTGTTGATGTTATGATCTCATGTTTATAATGATGATGATGATGATATTTATGTTTTGTTTGCGTGTGTGTGTGTGTTTGTGTGTTTTTTTTTTGTATTATTTAGTTATTAGGATTAGGATTTAAATAAATTGAATCCACGTTTTTTTCGCTTGCTATTTTGTGTTTCTTTTGATTTTTTTAATGAATTTTTTTTTCGTTGATATTTTAGAAAATTTAAAGAATTTTTTATCATTATCAGATTCTTCAATGTATTTATTTCTTTTTTTTTTCTACTTTCTCATATATACATGTATAGATGTATAGCAAAACAAAATTTTCTTTTCATATATGATGATTATGTTTGTGTGTTTGTTTGTTTGTATTAATGTTCATGTGATGATGATGGTGACGATATTTTTTTTTTTTGCTGCAGCCACCACCAACAACAACAAGAAAAAGATTCAAATTTGTCTTGTTTTTGTGTGTGTATGTTTTGTATGTGTTGTGGTGTGTATGTAATAAACAACAAAACATAAGGCGCCACTAGCAAATTTTTTTTTTCAAGTTTATTTTCCATCGTCGTCGTCGTCGTCGTCGTTATGATGATGATGATTTTGTTGATTTTCTTTTTTACGCAAAAAAATTAAATTTTCTGTTTTTTTCTCATTTTTTCTCTTAATTTTAGAATTGATTAAAGATTCTTTTCAAAAATCAAACAAAACAAAATGAAAATGATGTGTGTTGTGTATTGAAAATCAAAATGAAAAAGAATGCCAATTGCAATTTTGACAAATAATTCTGATCAACAAAACAACAGCAACAGCAACAACAACCTATTGATTCTACAGATAATTTGACAATATCGGCAATAAAAACAATGGCCGAAACAGCAACAGTAGCAGCAACAACAACAACAACAACAAATAATTCATCATCTCAATCATCATCAATTAAATATGAAATAGCCAATGATAATCGCCATAATAATAATAATGATCGTTCATCATCACCTTCATCAATAAATAATAATAATAATAGTGGTAGTGGTAATAATAATCATCTAGCAACAAATATATCAGCATCAGATGCATATGATGCACATGTTTTATTATCATTACGTTCGGCACCGGCATCACCATCATCAATACAGCCATCAGCAAATTGGCCATTAATAATGAAAAATGATAATTTAGTAAGTGGTCAAAAATTATTACTGAAAAATAATAATAATGGACAACAACAACAACACCACCAACAACAACAACCGAGACAAATACCAATGGCAAAATTAGAAGCACGTGGTTTTGAATATCTAATTCGTGGTAATCGTACAATAATCGGCAGAGATAGTTCACGTGGAAAAGTCGATGTAAATATGGGACATTCGAATTTTATAAGTCGTAGACATCTGGAAATTCATTTTGAACCACCGTCATCAAATTTTTTTCTTACCTGTAAAGGTAAAAATGGTGTATTCATTGATGGTGTATTTCAACGACGTGGTTCACCACCATATAAACTACCTCCAACGTATGTATTGATTTTTTTTTTTTTTTTTTCGTTTGAAATTTATCATCATCATGATGATCATGATACAAATGTACGTCATCATTGTCTGTAATGTTTGTGTTATCAACATCAATCATCCCGCTATTGCTGCTTGTTGTTGTTACAAATTATCAAAATGAGAAAACAAAAAGTTTCAAGTTGCAACTTGTAACAACTAGTTTTAGCTTGTTGCGTTGTTGTTTATTGAAATTGATTGATAGTTGGGTGATCAATAAATCCGTTAAATGATGATGATGTCATTTGTTTTTTTTACCCTTTTTTTAAATATTAATGTTTTGTTTTTTTTTTATTTTTATTATTGATAAACAGATGTGTTTTTCGATTTCCATCGACCAATATACGGCTAGAATTTCAATCATTAATTGAAAGCAAACATCATCATTATCCGATGGATAAAGATGGCTTATCATCATCAGATGATTTAAATCAAAATAAATCAATGATGTTGATGGCATCGAATCGTATGAATGATGTAATCAATAATAGTAATGGTAATCAATCGTCAAAATATTTTAGTCCATTGAAAGTAAACATTCCCGAGATAGCAACAAACACATCGAATAATTCAGATTTTGTTAGTCCAATACCATCACCAACCGGTACAATTAGGTAAGTATAAGAACATTTTTGTTTTGTTTTGTTTTTTTTTTGCTGATAAATTTTGTCTTTTTAGTGCTGCAAATTCATGTCCAGCAAGTCCACGTTCAAATTCGGTTCGATTTCGATTTGGTAATAATAATTCGAATCATCATTTAACATCATCATCCACTAATAATAATAATCAAAATCAAATACATAAACCGGAAGAATTTCATAAAATGGTTGCATATGCTGCTGCAGCAGCAATGTCTTGTAAAGAAGAATCATCGAATAATAATAGTAATCAAGAATTGATCATTAGTAATAATAATAATAATAGTAATGAATCACAACAACAACAACCACAAATCAAGAATATTAAAGTATTTCAAATAACACCATCATTACAACAACAACAACAGCAGCAGCAGCAATATGCTCAACAACATGGTACACCAATTATTGCAAGTATATCGAATAATTCAGCACATCAAAGTATCATTATTAATCATCATACGAATGGATCGAATTTTATTAAAACACAAAATGGTCAAGCTTTATTGACTACTACTGGCACAACAACATTAACGTCGTCGAAATCGACATCATTGCAGAATAATGCAAATGATAAACATCAAACTACTATACATACACCATCACAATCACCACCACATTATTCAATTGAAATTGGCAGTAATAGTGGTAGTGGTGGTGCAGATGATGATGGTAAACCACCATATTCATATGCACAATTAATTGTACAAGCAATAGCATCGGCACCGGATAAACAATTAACTTTGAGTGGAATTTATACGTTTATAACGAAAAACTATCCATATTATCGTACAGCGGAAAAGGGCTGGCAGGTTAGTGTTGTTTTTTTATTGATTTGAATTTGAATGTTTTTTTCTGTGAAATTAATTAATTGTTTGATTTCTTAAAAAATAGAATTCCATTCGACATAATCTATCATTGAATCGATATTTTTTAAAAGTACCACGATCACAATCCGAACCGGGTAAAGGTTCATTTTGGCGTATTGATCCATCATCGGAAAATAAATTGATTGAACAGGCATTTAAACGTCGGCGACAACGACCAAATAGTGGTATTGGTGATCAACCTTCCGGACAATCATCTGGACGTGGTAATCATCCATCACGATCGGCACCAACATCACCATCACATCAAGGCGGTGGTGGCCATTATGTATCCGGTCTTGTAACACCAGATTCATTATCACGTGAACCAAGTCCATCACCAACACATCAGGAAAATATTGAAAGTGAAATCATTTCTACTGGATTTAATGTTGGATCAATTGTAACGCCGGCTTATCTAACGATACCTAATGCGGATAATTTTTTGATTATCAATAATAATAATAATAATAATAAAATTTATTCAAGTCGTTCAGCACCTGGTAGTCCTGGTTCAATATCAGGTAAGCTTTTTTTAAATCAATTGATCGATTTATTTCAATGGTTTTGTTTTATTTTTTCCAAGAAGAAAATATCAATAATGAACAAGTAATCAGTCAGCAACAGCAGCAACAACAACAACTACTACCACCATCGACAATGGTAACGACGATGACCAATAATAATAATGAAACATTTCCTTTGAATCCTCATCAACAACAATTGACATTAGCTAATGGTACCAAGGTTATATTGGATCGATCATCATTTTCATCATTGTCATCATCATCATCATCATCATTGTCAACAACATCATCATCCATAACATCAACACCAGCGACGACTACTTTTACAGTTGTTCAACAACAACCCGCAACAATAGCATCATCATCATCATCGGCTAATGCAGCAGCAACAGCTGCTGCTATTGCATTAACAAATTTACAGAATAAATTTGAAATTCATACCTTACAACAGCAACAGCAGCAACAACCAAATCAACAACCATCGCCTTCTACAACGCCTAAAATTATACAGCAACCTACGGTTATTGTTCAAGCTCCATCAAATAATACAAATAATAATCTACCTTTAACAACAGAACAATTGAATTTATCACGTGTTGTTATTTGTCAACCACAATCATTATCATCATTAAATACATCATCATCACTATCATCATTGTCGACAACATCAACAACGGCTGGTATGATGAATATAATAAAACCAACAACAGCATTGATTACGGCCAATGTCAATAATAGCAACAACAATTCTATCTCAAATTCACAATTACATCCATTATCACTAACGCCATCATCAACAACGACGGCGACGGCCACAACAATTCAAATGGAACAAAAACCTACGGTAACAACAACATCAGCAACAGCGACATCTGTTTCAAGATCAGCAATTGATTTATTAACAAGTGCTGCTTTAGCTGTACAACAGAATAATGATACAGTGGTAGGATCATCATCAGAATTATCATCACAGTCGTTGGATGATAAAAAACCTATGCCAGTTTTTGTTGTTGTTACCTCATCTACATCAACACCATCATCATTATCATCAGCATTAACAACAGCAACAACAACATTGACATCTACTACCGGTATTAAAAGAGATTTAACCGTCAAAATGATGATGATGATGAAACAAATAAAAGGATAAAACTTGAAGAAAATGTTATCATTTAAAAAAAACCATAGAACAATGATTGGATTATTTTAATCATTAAGAATCAAATTTAGCCATCAAAATTACCATTCATCATCATTACTAATATCAACATCTCCTTTTGAAATGCTCTGTTTATACACAAACATTCTGTTTTGTTATGATTTTTTTTTGGTTCCGTTTTCTATTTTTTTTTTTTGGTCATTATCATCATCATCATCATCATCGTTTGTTAATGTATGTGTGTGTGTGTGTGTGTGTTTGTATGTTATCATTATTCACCATATATATGAAATTATTATTAGAAATTATTGATTCATAATTAATGAGAATGATTTAGAAAACATATAATACAACAATAACATGATAATGAAAATTTTTTTCGAGATCAATCAATCAATCAATCGATAAACAAACAAAAAGTTCAAAAAAATTTTTTTCTTTTATGATAGAAGGTGTCCATCACAAATGTTAGATGTTTTTTTTGTTTGTTTGTTGTTGTTTGTTGTGTGTGTGTGTGTGTGTACTGTTTATATTTTTATCAATTGAAAACAAATGGTCCATTTATAATAAAAAAAAAATTTTTTTTTCATCAAATCGATTGATTGATCAATCAGTTCCAATCAGTTATATTGTCAATCCTATATACCATTCACAATAATATCTTCTCTCTAAATTTGCATGTTTTCTATCTATATCTATTTTGTATTTCGATTTGATTTTTATCATTTTGAATCTGATATCGATGGATCCAAATGATCCAAAACAAACATACATGCACACACACACAATCACAATCGAATTTTGTTTTTTCCATTAGTATAACATCATTGTATGATTCTAATATATTTCCACAGTTTTTTTTTCTGATGAAAACATTGAGTCAATATAATCATCACAACCAATATAAACAACACACATTTATTATTTTGATTGATGAAACAAAATACGCATAAATTAATTTGAATTGTAATCCGAATTTTTTTTTTCTTGTTTTAATTTTTTCTGGCGTTGAATATATATATATACACGAAACAAAAGCTTGTCATCATTATTATTATTATTAAAATGTTCAATGTTCTTTAACAACAACAACAACAACATTATGATCACCAAACAATAATAAATTTCTGATAACCAATATATACTTTGATTCTTTGAATTTCTTCACTCGATGATGATGATGATGATGATATTCAAACTGAATTTGTAAATCAAACAAAAAAAAAAATAAAACATTTTATTCGAAGAAGAAGAAAAACAAATCATATCTCATTCAATCAATCGATATCTTTTAGCATCATTCTTTTTTTTGAATTTTTTTTTCTTTCACTGTTTTCGTTTTATTTTTTGTTCATTCATTCGATTCATCATCATCATCATCATCATCGTCAGCGTCATGTCATGCATGAATCGTCCTCATATCTCACAAATTGATTTAAAGTCGATGTTTTCATTTTTTTTGTTCTTTCACCAAAAAAACAACACATTTTTTATGGTTCAAAAAAAAGAAACCAGAACAATGGATGATCATCATTCACCAATCACCAATCATCATCATCATTAATTAATTCAATTTGATAAAGAATTTCCTCATTTATCAACAAAACAAAACAAAATAAAAAAAAATTTCAAATATCTAATCATTGATGATAATAATAATAATATATTTTATGAATGAAAAAAAATTCATTTTGTTGTTGTTTTTTTTTTTGATTGATTGATTGATTTGGATCAATCAAAAAGGTCAATAGCATTTTGAAAGAGTACGCGTAAATAACGGGGGTCATCCTTGTAATAGATAATCAATAAAAACAGGTTTTTCTTCGTTTGATCGACATGAACACACACAAATCGAAAAACCCCTTCGATAGGGTTTTTTTTTTTTCGAATTTTGTGATGAAAAAAAATTCGAACAACTTGATTGATCGTTTTTTTCACTCGAATGGTAAGTCAAGAAACAAAAAATTCATCACGTTCAATTGATCATCATCGTCGATCGTCTATGTTCGATTCGATCATCAAATTTTATTTTTTCATCATTTTCGATTGTAAATCTTTCTGATCATTCTGCAAAATACACCAACAATGCATTCACCAACAACAACATTTATCATTATAATGATGATAATTCACATGATTCAGGCATTGGAATTGGATTCCATCACCAACAAACGACCATCACCATCAATGATTGTAGATGATATAGATTATATGGAACAATTTAATGATGCTAGCCAAATGTTGACCGATTTGGATCAGCTTTTAGATCAACTAATTGTTGCGCAGAATAAACAGGGACAAGAAAATTTATCCGAAAAAATAATGATAATGGCCAAAAATGCTGCCCAACATGTTCGTTATAAAGATAATACACCAATATCATCATCTTCATCGGCAATTTCATCATCAACGAAATCAAATGATAAAGAAAATGTTAATCAATTATTGACGAATCTAAATGATTTGGATAAAAAACTTCAGGTAAGTTTCATAAATGATGTTTCATATGACCGATTGTAATTTGTTTTTTTTTCCATCCAAAGTCAACATTTCATGATCTACAACAACGACGACGTTATGTATTGGGTGCAATGATCAGACAAATGCAATATACTGTACGTCGAATTCGTACCAATGTATCACGTATGCATACACAATTAATATCAGTGGACAATGTGGCCACACAGGTGCCGCTATTGCCAAGACCAATCATACAATCGATGAATCAATCGGCACCGGCACCAGAATTTACCGTACAACAAATGCAAATGAATAAAGAAATAATACAAGAAATTGAGCAACGTCTTTATTCGACATCGAGAAAAATTAATGATATTGTCATACGATTAAATGCAAGTCTTGATGGTAGCAACGATGTTGGTGGTAAAATTATTGCTGATAATAATGGACAACAACAACAACAACCATCATTAGCATCATCAACAAAAATAATGGCACAAGCAAAATCGAATCCAATTAATCCAATTAAAACATTGAATACGATCATACAGATGACGGCTTTTCAATTACAACAAAAACAGCAGAAAAGCTAAGCGAAACATTTCGATCGATCATCTCTATCGATTTATATTTTATTTATTTCAAAACGATAAAGAAAAGATTTAAAAGAATTTGATTTTAAATTGATTAATAAAAAGATCCAAAATTGTGAAACTAAATTGAACTAGTTTTTTCATCCGATTGATTGATTGATTGATTGATGATGATGATGATGATGATGATGGACCTGTTCTGTTCTTTTCAATTCATTCATATCTCTGGAGATTTTTTTTTTAAATTTTGATCTAGGATTTCGATATAAAGCAACAAAAATTAGGTCATACCTTACCAATTTTTTATGGTATAACCGAGGGAGAAAAAAATACATTCAACAGGTCATGCTCATACGGCAGCAACAGCAGCAGCAGCAGGTAATGTTATCGAAAAAAACAACAACAACAACTAGAAAAATCCTAAAAAGAAATCAAGATAAGAAATTTTAGGAAAAAAAATGGGAACAGGAAAATTATCACCATCATCATCGGTGATGATTTGATTGAATTCTTTATTCATTTTTTTTTTGTTTTTTTTCATATGAATATTGATAATGTGTATATTCGTGTACCAAGCACCTTTTTTTTCATTGGTAAGAAAAATGAAAAATCTCCACATCAAGGAAGTTCGTCATGGTGTGATTGACTCATATATAATGATGCGGATATTCAGAAGAGAGAGAGAGAGAGAAAAGGATCGGTCACTTTGATCGGTCAGTTGATATAAAAAAAACCTTGAAAATATAGTGGAAAGCCAACGTCACGGTGAATGTATGTCGATCAAATGAACTAAAAAAATAAACAACAAAAATCTGTTCAATATGTGTGTATGACCCCGAAATCTTTGATCATGATGATGATGATGATGAGATGTTGGTTGTTTGAATTCTAGTTTTCAATTTGTTCGTGTTGTTGTTGTTGTTTTTTAAATGATAATAATAAATTATTTAGAATCAAAAAATCAAAATGAAAAAAAAGCGGATGACCCGAACCCGAAAGATTAGCATAATGTTTGATGATAACGCAAGAACATTGGTTAGAGAGAGAAAGAGAAAGAGAGAGATAAAGAGAAAAGAAAAAAAAACAAGAAAGATAAGATAAGAAAAAAGGTCGTCGCGGTCATGGTCAACCCGAATATGGTCGACCTACAATGATATGATTTGTGAATAAAGATAACTGAGAATGTAAAAAAAAAAAAGAAAGAAAACCTGGCAAACAACTTGTGGACAACAACAAAAAAATTGGAATAACGGTCAAGAAGGGTCCACCACCATACACAGCATATAAAAAGCAAAGAAACTAAACTTTTTTGATGGTTTTTGATTTCGTCAATTTTTTTTGTTGTTGTTGTTATTATTGTTGTTGTTCTGATTTTTGAATTCCAAATAAATTTTCTTTTTGTGTGTGTGTGTGTGTGTCGACAATGAAATTCTTGATCAACATTTCTTGTTATTTACTGTTGTTGGTTGCTATAAACAGCCATGGTAAGTTGATGAATAATTTGAATTGATGAAAATTTTCATTGATTTTTTTTTTTTTTGCTATTAGTTTATGCTGCACCATCTTCAACACCAGAAGACCAGTCGCAACCAAAACAACAACAGCAACCAGCTGCAGCAGCATCAGCAGCAGAAATTATACCAGATGAAAAATTAGCTGGTAAAAATGATGATAAAAATGATCAAGATGCATCATCGGCAGCTATACGTATACCGGTGGATAATGCAAATAAATTATTATATGATTTAGATGCACAAGTACGACAATTGTTTGATGAATCATCATTATTACCGATAAAAGAAGAAAAAAGTGAAGATGATGGTGGCGAAACAGCCGTCGCTGTGGACGATGTACAAAGCTATAGTGCAGCTAATCGTGAATTAGATATTTATCCACGACAAACTGAAACAAATGCTCAACAAGCATCGTTGACAATACAATTGGAAAATTTGGAAAAACGTTTGTTGGTAAGTTTGTTTACATCAATGTTTGTGTTTGATTGATGAAAATCTAATTGGATTGATATGAAAAAAAAATGTAGAGCACCATAAATGAACTACAAACTCGTCGCCGTTATTTTTCATCAACAATGTTGAGACAAATGTATAATTCCGTACATAGAATTCGTGTCAATATAAGCCGTATACAGAATCAATTTTCTGTTGCACAACCATCACAATCATCTGGTTCATCTGGTGGTGGAAGACCTGGCCAATCTGGTATGATGCAAAATCTACAACAACGTGTTACTGATCTACAAAAAGCTGTTAATGATATTATTAATCGTGTAACGAGTACATTTCAAGGACCGAATGCACCAAAACCAACTGGACATCATCATCAGGCATTACAAGCGGTTAATTTTTAAAGAAGAACAAAAAAAAATCTTACTGACCTAACCAAAAAAAACAAAACAAAACAAAAAACAAAAAAACAAATGAACAGATAAACAAAACAGACAAAATTACTACTCACCATTTACATCATTCATTCATCATCATCATCAAATTAATTTATTTCTTCATTCTAACCCCTTTCTTTCCTTTTTCTAATTTATTTCTTTAAATCAATTTGGATCTGTATAAAAAAAATGAATGAATGAAAATATTCCAAAAACACGTGTATGATGAATATAAATGATGAATGAAATAGTTGAATGAAAATTTATTTATTTATATGAAAACATGATTAAAATAATTTTGAATTTTTTTTAAAACGACGACACGAATAGTTTGTGTATGCAAATGTGCGTTTAATTTTTTCATTTATGATCTATTTACAATTTCTATTTACAGAAAAATTTTGATTTCTGTGTTCTGTGTGTGTGTGTGTGTGTGTGTGTGTGAGAAATTTTAAATCTTTAAAATAATTGCTGATTAATGGCACTACAATAAACTAAAAAAAAAAAATTTTTTTGCTTGAATATTCTATCATGGTATCTAAAATATTTAGATGATACTAAATATAGGAATCGATACATTTCGTAACATTTCATTGGCCAATACAACACCATCGGTTTCAATCATACGAATAATTGGATCAAACATACTTGTATCGGAAAGCATTTGATTGATCAACATACTTAATGCTGAACTAAAATTACCTAGGCCACGAATCAATACAGTAATTTGACCTGGTTTCCATACTTTTAGCTTATCAACACGTTGTTGTACTTGTGGTTCTTCTTCTTCATCACTACCACCATCCTGTACATCGAATTCATCATCTTCACTTTCTGGTGGCGATAACTGTGTAATCTGTACCTGTGCTTTAGCTTTTTTTAATTGTGCTTCAAGATCACCATCGAATAATAGACGCCAATCTTGTATGACACGATATTTATAATGTATACGTGCATCTTCAATACCAACGGTTAAACCAAGTGAAATTGTATCATTCTGGCAAAGAACCCATGCTGGTTTTTTACGTTCAAACGTATAGGCACGTGTTACACCACCGCTATGTAAAAAGATTTGTAAATTATATTCCTCTAATTCGATAGTTGCATTCGGTAGCTGTATGAAGTAGAAAATTATCAATACATAAATAATACACAAATGAAACAAATAATTCACTTACCGCAAATGGTTCCATAACACGAACTAAACGTTTTAAGAAACGAAACAAACTGTCCACATATTCATCCAATTCTTCACCCGGTTCACATGGAACTTGACGTTTATTTCGTCGTCGACCAGCACGACCTGATATTGATTCATGATTCATACGTGATTCCATCATCCATAATTGTCCATCATCATCTTCTTCTTCTTCTTTTGATGATGATGATGATGGCGACTGTTGTTGTTGTTGTTGTTCATCATCCGACAGAGTAAAACTATCTAACATTGGTCTAAGATTCCATGTACCGGTTTCATGTATGCCCAAATGATCAATCATAATGGTTTCGAATTTATCATCAACTTCATTGATTACTTTTTTCATTAAATTTGATGCAATCAATTTACTTATATCGATTGTAGATGAAGACGGCGACGACGAAGACGAAGACGATGATGATGATGAATATTCACCACCATTATTAATGAATGTTACCATTTGTGAATCATAATAATTATAATGTGATCGCATACCAAAACCGGCAATCTCCAGATGATCATCATTACGAATGGCGGCAATTTTACCGGCAAATATTGTACGCCATCCATATATTGTATATGTTAAACGTCCTTTATCTGAATATGATTCCATTTTTTTCGATTTAAATGATATGCCATTTACTTTATAGAACATTGTCAAACGAACGTTTGGCATACGAAGTAATGCAGAGATTTTTTTCGATTTGGAATTGGCTGCAATATCGGCTACATTGAATTGATTAATACCGGATATTTTTATCGTATCAATTGATACATTCAATTTATATTCCGGTAGATGAATGGGCATATTGAATGTATCCAACAGTACCAATTCATCATTCAATGGTGCCGTTCCATTCAATGTATGTGGATCAAATGTAAGCTGTTCAAGTGATAGAAATTCACGTAAACGTTGTAATTTATTCTTTATAATCGGATTTACAACATTTACATCGAATGCTTTATCTATATGCAAAATGAAAAAAAAATTCAATCAAAAACAGAATAAAATCATTAAATTCTTACCATTCTTCAATGGTACATATGATGATGATGATGATTGATCTTTGAAAAATTTCTGTGCATCCGTACCGAAATCGAATTTAATCTTGATTTTTGAAAAATTTGCCGGATGTAATATTATTGTTTCACTGGTGGTGGTGCATCATCATCATCATCACTACTATTTTTACTATTATCATTGTAAGATGAAACGAATAATGAATGTAAAAATAATAATAATAATGTAATTATGAATAAAATTGATTGATTATTTGTTGATAAAAAATTTGGTCGACAACGACGAATATGATAAATTTCAATGGCCATCATTCCAGTATCATTTCAATGGAACAACACACAAACACACACACACAAGAACAAACAAGACAGTGTAATTTGTAAAAATGATCAATCAACAAACGAGACAAATTGCAATATGACCATTCAATTTAAAATTGGTTGGTCGTTTTATCATCATCATCACACACACACAGGTAAATTTAACCGTTTTGGATCGTTTCGTTTGGGTCGTCATCAAATGGAACACAGATAAGAGAAGACACTTACACACACACAGTGAATCAAGAAAAGTTTGGAAAAAAATCTCTATGTAATTTTCGTTTTTACACGAGGAAAAAATTTTTTTTTTTTCATTGAGAAAATGAGAAAAACAAATGGTCAACAAAAACAACGACAACGACAAATCTACTTTTGATTAGTTTGGTATGATGACCAGGTCTTACACCATACATTGTTAAATTGTAGGTGAGAGATAGGTGAGAAAAAAACTGCTAGGCCCTAGATTATAAACTACCACCACCATCCAATATGAAACTGACTAAATGAATGAATGATGATTATGTCGATATGAATTAATCGATCGATTGATTGATCGATAATCGGCTAGACACAAACACTGTTATTGACCATTCCCAGGTCAACGTAACAAAATAAACAAACAAACAAACAAACAGGTGTTTGACTTTCACTTTATAATAATAGTTATATATAAAAAAAACTGAAAAACAAGATAAACCAACAAAAACAACAACAACAACAACAACAACAGTGTTTGATCCAGAAAAAAAGCCAAAAATAGCCATTTCTTTTGGCTCTTTTTCATTCTCTTTGGTCTTGTTGTTGTTGTTGTTGACCATCTTTTCTCTCTCTCTTGGTCTCATCATTGGGAAATTATTCAAAAAAAAAAATTTCGCTTTCGTTTTTTGTATTTTTATGGACCAGTGGAACCCAATAAAAGAGAGAGGTTGTTTTCTCTCCCTGTCTCTCTCTCTCGCTTTTTTCGATCGATCAATAAATCAAATTCGATTCTCATATGATCATGATGATGATCATGATGAAAAAAAAATTTTAGACATAACTCTTGTTTGTTATGTTAATAAAATGAATGAAATAAAACAAAAAAAAATTATAAATACTTACGAGATGAATTTTTGATCATCAACCCAATTGCTTTATGTGTGTTTTTGGGCTAAATTTAGAATCATCATTTTCTTCATTTAAAATCGGTGTGTGTGTGTGTGTGAAAAAGTGATAGGCAGAGATAGAGAGAGGAAACATGATTTTGATGAGAAATCAAATTGTTCAATCAATCGAATCCAATCAAATCGACATTTTGAATGACAATATTTTCTTCTTTTTTTATGAGTACAGTGAACTTGATGCTTTGAATTTTGAATTGTTGACGGCCGATTCGAATGATGATGATGATGATGATAATGGTCGATGGTCGTTCGATCACGATCGATGATCGAACCTAGACAACCTTTGACCTAGATACATTTGAATGACGATAGAAAAAAAAATTTAGTGGAAGGTTTTTTTTATGGTAAGACAAAAAAAAACGTAAAATAAAATTTAATAGATGGTAAAAATAAATTTTAAAAACGCGCGTTCTCATCATCAAATGAATATATAGAAAACAAACAAACTTATGATATTACCATTATTATCTTGGACATCATGTTAAATGACCATATGAAAAGATGGATATAGATTATAGATGATACTTACATTCTTTAATGTTGACGTATTCGATAATCTCTAATGGAAATATGAATGGACGATATAATTGTTATAGACAAAAAATCAAAAAAAAAAAGTAAAAGTAAAAGTGTATGTGTTATATAAATATAAAAAAAACACACACACACATAAACATAAACCCGCTGTTATCGGTTTCGAATGTTTCTATTTCTATTTACACTTACGTGTGTGTGTGAAATGTAAATATCCGTCGATGTTTTTTTCCCTCTTGGATTTATTGAATGATGGTGATGAGGATGATGATGATGATTCAAAATGTTCCATATTACAATTCCAATCTGGTCCATCATCATCATCATTCATTCATTCATTCATCATTTGTTCACTAATTGTGTCGACGACCGATCAAACAATTTTTCCTTATTCATTTTTTTTCGGGTAAATTTGGTTGATTTTTCCGTAACCAATGATCGATAATAAGAAAGTAAAAGTCAAATATAAATTCAACATTTTTCGTTTATAAATAGTTTCTTTTTCGATATTGCCAAAAATGGTCAACACTGATGCTTGATGGATGGTGATTATAAATGATGATGGACATGTTGAAACGAGAAAAAAAATAAATTTGCCAATTATCGATGAGAAGATGATTCTAGGTTTTTTTTGGATGATTTATTGATCATCAACATTTTTAAAAAAAAGAAATCATTTTTCTTTTCAATCGAATCAAATTTCGAATGAAAAAAAAAAATTTCGATACGTCCTATATGAATAATGTTTCAGGATTAGCCACAAAAAAACGGGCGAGTTTCAATGAAATTTTTTTTTTTTTCTTTTTTGGATGTTTTTATTATTATTATTGATGTTTTTGTGTGTCTGTGTGTATGTAATATGTAATAATAATAATAAAAATATTTGTATACAATCAATCAACCAACCAAACAAAACAAAACAAAACAAACAAACAAACCTTAAGATCATATCATCATCATCATCTTATATTCGATATAAATCAATTTATCGAATATCAAGTCTTTCGGTTTATATTCAACAACAACAACAACAACAAATTTTAAATATTCGCGAATGGAATCGATCAATATTCCTGATGATTTTTTTTCTATCTCTGATTCTGTGTGTGTGTAATAAAAAAAAAAAAAACAAACAAATGAATGAAAAATAAATTTTTGTCTACATTTCTTTGCACACACACAACACACACACACACATACATACATACCTTTAAATCTTGAAGAATTTTTTTTTTATTACCACTAAATTATAATTAGTCTGTGTTTTTGTTTTTGTTTCACATCACCGCCAATCATTCAATTTTTTGATTTATAGTTTGTTTTCTGTGATTAAAAATTTTTTTTTTAATTTTAATGTCATCGTCATTGACATAATAATAAAATCTATATATATATATGACCACGACGTTGTTTGTTTGTTATATAATAATAGATGTTGGTTGATATAACAAACATACACATACGTACATTTTTTTTTCTCTCTTGATGACAATAATGGGATCAACATTTTCAAAACGTTTACAATCATTGATTGAATCATTGCCATTTTTTCAAACATTACACATAACAATGGTTGGCCTTGATTCAGCTGGTAAAACTACGGCATTATATCGTCTGAAATTTGGCCAATACATTAATACATTGCCAACTATTGGTTTCAATTGTGAAAAGATTCGTATTGATTTTAAAAAATCCAAGGTTTGCTTTTTATTGTTGTCGTTGTTGTTGTTGTTGAATACATTGATTGATCATTGATGTTTGCTTTTCATTTTCATCATCAGGGTGTTTCATTCACAATATGGGATATTGGTGGCCAAGATAAATTACGACCATTATGGATACCATATACACGTTGTACGGATGGTATTATATTTATGGTCGATTCGGTTGATGATGATCGTTTTGAGGAAGCACGTATTGAATTGATGCGTACATTAAAATTTCCACAAAATGCACAAGTACCGGTATTAATATTTGCCAATAAACATGATTTACCAAATTCAAAAAATCCAGATGAAATAACACAAGCATTAGGCCTAAATGATTTGAATGGCAAACATTTATGGCATATACAATCATGTTGTTCAATCACTGGTGATGATCTTGAAGATGGTCTTGAACATCTTTATGAAATGATAATTGAACGGCGTCGTATGCAAAAATTGAATCCAAATAATCATTTTCATCATGGATCGAATAATAAAAGGAAAAGATTATAGAAAGCAATGGTCCAACAATAATGATTCCGGTTAACAACAATTCACACCAACATTGCGTTTGTTTATTTGTTTGCTATAAAATCCTGATCATTTGATGCCAAAATTATATTCAAATTATTGACGAAGAAAATAATCAGCCACATTATCTTATGTTTTTCTTTTTTTTCTTCCTATTCCTATTCCTATCAAAAACAAACAACAACAAATCATTTATTTACCTGTTTATCCTTGGTTACCTATTGGAATTCTTTCTTTTTTTTTAATTACTTACCTTTCACACACATACACAAAAAAGTCTAACAATTTTCTCCATCCAAATGGGCCAATTTATTTGTACATTTCAAACACAAAAATATAAAAATCTTTTTTTCGCATGTAAAATATTGTAAACAAAATTGATTAAACAATTTAAATAATTATATTTACCTGAAAAAAAAATTTTATTCTTGATTCTTTTCTTTTTATTCTTGAAAAAATGTTTGTTATACGAGGATTCGAAATTTTTTTTTTTTTTTTTTGAATTTCAACTATTTCCACCTTGATGATTACACCTAAATGAATGAATGTTGGTGATTTGATTGAAGAATTTTTTTTTTTGAGAATTTCAATTTTTTTGCAATGAATTATCCACAAACAAATACCGTTCATTATCATCTTTATCGTAAATCATGTTCACCAGATTATTATTCAATAATTGATCATTATTTTGAACATCTTGCCGTCTATCTTAATGGCTATATCTGGCATAATGAATGTTTTCATTTGAAACAGCAAAAAAAATCTTTTGATCATCAAAATATCATCGATCAACAATATCTATTTGGTCAATGTAATTATGGTGAAAATATTGAAGATGAATGGTTCATTGTATTCTTATTGAAAACATTAACCGAATTTGATGAAAATCTTTTCGTTCGTATACAAGATGAAGATGGTGAATTTCTTCTAATTGAATCGGCTGAACATCTACCTGGATGGGCACAAGAACCACATCGTACAATTGATCGTGTTTTTATTCACCGTGGAAATATTCATCTAGTTTCATCTAAATATGTGAAAAAAGATTCAAATGCTTTGAATAAATTTTCACTGGATTGTATCGATTTCATTCGATCGAATCCGAACAAGACCGAATGTAATGAATCCATACAGCAATGTATCCGAAATCGAATTAAAATTTTTTCCCATAATCTGGATAAATTACATCATAATGCACGTTGTTTGTTGCCTATATCATTGGCCATTCTACTTGATCATCATCCTGAACTTATCGCCGCTGCTGTTCGTGCATTCTATTATCGTACACCAGATGATGTGAAAATCATTGGAACACATCAGTTCTATTCTTCGGATAATCAAACAGCAACAATCATTACGAATGTTCGATTTAATCGTTGCCTTTATGCTCAATTAGTATCACAAGATGTAACTGATGTCCGTAAATTGTTGTTGTCATCATTATCGAATGAAGATCGAATTCATCAGAATGGAGCTAAAATTATTGCTGGTTTCGAAATTTTACTGAAAAATTATCAACATATGAAATCATCACTGGATAGTGAAAATTTAGCATCGGCAGCAAAACATGTCCATGAATTTCTTACGATCACTTTGACCGATGAATTGACCAGCAAATTTTTATACAATAGAGAACAAAAATCATTACCATCCGAAGATGATGATGATAGTTGGCTAAATATCGATGAAGAACAATTTGATCGTTTATTAAGTGTGAAATTTAATCAACAAAAACAACCATCATCATCATCATCATCAGCAACAAAGGAAGAAATTGTCAAAAATATTCCTGAAACATTGATGAAATTTTTTCAAAATCAAAATGCTGGCCTAGATGGTGTTGAGCCGCCTCCACCATCACCACTGCAACCGAAAGCTGCTAATGAATCAAAATCAACAAAATCGTTTGATTTAATCAAAGAATTTAATGAAAAAGAATTTGTTGAATTTATGGAAAAAATGGCTATATTGGAATCTGAAGATTATTCAGATAAATCTGAAAATGATGACACCGATACAGACGACGACGATGATGATTCCAATAAACTACCAGAAATGGAAGCCTATATTGCCAAAATGGATAGTGAATTAGCACAAACAATTTTGGCAAATAGTTTTGAACGAGCTCCAAAAGAATTAGATTCAGATGATGATGATGATGACAATGAAGAAAATGATCTCAAATATAATGCAGTATCCAATATATTATTGAAAAGTTTAAATGAAGAAGTTGAAACAGCCGATAGTGATATTGTAGGACCGGCAACAGCATTGTTTGCCTACATGAATCAATCATTACCCGAATTGAAAATAAATCCAAGTGACAAGAAAAATTTACTAAAGAAATAACGATCATCAAATTCCATTCGTTTTTGTGCCTTAAAAATGGATCGTTGTTTTTTCATCTCTAAACGTCGTATAGCAGCACGTTCACGATCTTGACGTTGTTTTTCCAGCGTTTCAAATGATGGTTCCAATTTAGGCGGTTTAGCCGCTTCGGCCAAATAGCAGCGTAGTTTATCCATACAATCAGCTACATTTAATAATTGTTGTCTTGTTTTATCTGATCGTACGAGCCAATATCCATCTTTATTGATGGAATTTTTATGCTATAAAAATTGAAATTGTTGTTTTTGTTCAATTTATAATCAGAGAAAGATTTCAATTTTTAAAATGAAATAAACATACCAATTCTGTGATACGATTTTTAATATCATCTGGTATCCATTTAGCTGTTGGTAGATGTAATTTCATCGTTACTTTTGTATAATTTCGATTAACATTTTGACCACCGGGTCCAGAACTAGTACAATAACTAATATCTAATTGATTTATTGGTATATAGCCAGTGAATGTATTGTTTACAAATGATTCTTCCTAATTTATTTATGAATGAAAATCAAATAAAATGATGATGATTTATTGAAAATTGTTTTTTGATTGTTACCTGTTGTTGTTGTTGTTGTTGCGATGTATTATGAAATTGTAGAATTTGTGGCCCAGATAATCTAGAAATTCTGATGGTGGACATTCCATGATAATATCGGGAACAATTTCGTAGAAATGATGTGGCCAGCATTTTTTTTTTTTTTTTTTTTGAAAATGAAATTAAAAAAAAAACAAATCCTGAATCACATGAATTCATGAAGAACACATGAAGATTCGAAAGATATTTCGACTAATGTATGTGCTACTGTATAGGTGAAAATAGTGTAGAATTTTTTTTTAATTTTTTTTTCTAGATTCGAATGATAAAATCGTATTCGAAATTAATACAATGGAAACATCCACAGCCGATGATAAACAATCAAAGCCAAGAAAATCAAATCAAAGACGTCGAATGAAATTGATTCGTCGTCGTGCTAACCGTAAACAAGCTAAACATTTAACGAATCTAATGATAACTGAATCAAATGAACAAGTTGGTAAATTTTATGAAAAAATCCGCAATGAATATGATCATCGAAAACAACAATATGAACTAAATGAATTGAATAGAAAACAAGTTGAACCATTATTGAATGAAATTGGTCGTAAACGATCCGAACTTGTATCCACACTAGAGAAAATAGTGGCCATACAAAATTATCGAAAATCTTTGAACAACAACAACAATGTGGCCGATGACGATAATGATCGATTCTATCGAATAATTGGTGAACAAATACAAATCATTCGTGAACAAATTCGTACCACAAATCGAGAAGAAACAATCATACGAAATCAAATTCTAGCTACGAATAATGATGATGATGAATCAGTAAAATTCCTATCCGATGAAAAATTAATCTGTACAAAAAATCAACATAAAAATCTATTCAAATCAATCAATTTTAATCGATTATTACGATTATATGATCGCCGACGATTATCATAACATCTGATCGTTGATTTCCGCCATCAACAACAAAAAATATAAATATAATATATTCTGGTCTTCCATACGCATTATCATCATCATCATCAACTTTAAAGTTTTTTTTATATCCTCATATGGCACCGCCAAACATATTTTATTGAAGATCAAAAAAAAAAAAAATCATACGATTTGTTTGTACATGTGTGTGTGTGTGTGTGTTTATCAAACACAATTGTAATACATGTAGTTCAATGAATGTTTCTGATATATAAAAAATGGTAACGATAAAAAAAAGAATACTTTTTCAACACCAATGTGGCGTGTGTGTGTGTGTGTGTGTGTGTCTGATATCATTCGATTTTAGTGCGCGTGTTTTTTTTCCATTTTTTTTCTCTTCAATGCAATGTAAGTAGTACACATATTTTTATTCGGTTCTTTGCCCGATAAATGGTCCTCTAACTGTGAATGAATTTTATTCTCACTCATCATCATCATCATCATATATTTACATCCCTGTAATCAAAGAACTATATTCTGATTCCGCGTTCATCATCATCGGGAATATTTGATCGAGGTAAGTTTTTCTTGTTTCTGATTTCAGTAAAACAACAACAATTTTTTTTCTTGATGATGCTTATATAATAATTTATTTTATTGTTATCTATAGAACAAAAAAAATAATAAACAACCGCATTTGTATCATATACACAAACGCTGTGTTTTCTCAAATCATAACCGCATCATTCGAACATTTTTTTTTCTTGATCAATGAATCACCACTATTGACGATGACGTAATCATCATCATCATCATCATTTATATTTATTTATTATCATATCAACAACCTTAATCATAACAAGGAAAGAGAAATTTATTTAAAAAAAATACATTCAAACATTGAAAAGTTGTCCGCAACTGGTTGCTATCGATTGCGTTGATTCAAACATTTTTAATGAAATATAAATTCCATTTCAATAAAGAAGCATATGACATCCATGGTAACGAGAAAAAAGATAACAACCATAGATTGAAAAAAAATCAACGAAAAATGAAAGAATATGATCGATATATATTGGAATTATAAAATTTCAAAATCGAATAGGTTGTTAAACATCAAATGTTGACCACAACAACCTATTTATTTACTCTACTCTTCTTTTTTTTTGTTGTTGTTGTTTCAATCTCAAAAAAAACTTTCCATAAATCAATCAACATTTAACTCTCTTTTTTTCTTAGTTTTGTTGTTGTTGTTGTTGTTTAACAAACATTGAATTTTTACTTATCGACATCATCATCATCATCATCCACGAACCACAAAAAAAGAGATCAAAGAGAAAAGTGTATTCTGTGTGTGTGTGTGTGTGTGTATATTTGGTTTTTTTTTCTCACCATCATCATCATCATCAAAGGTGGATTTAAATTTTGCCCATCGTTGTTGTTTGAAATTGTTAACCATTTCAAACTTGATTTTCATTTTGTTCATTTCGTTTTTTGTTTTTGTTATTGTTGCTGTTGCTGTTTGTTGTTTTTATTTTTCTTCATATTTTTCAATCATCGTTTGTTTGGTTTTTTTTGCCTTATAAATAAATAGTTCATTTTGGATTTTTTTAAATTCAACTCGATTCATCAGCCATGTCGCCAGCTAAAAAGGTTTGATTCTTTTTATTTAATTTTTTTTTAAATTTAAAATTTGATAAATTTTTTGTTTAGGAAGTCTATATTGTTTCGGCTAAACGTACACCATTAGGTTCGTTTCAAGGTTCACTTTCATCGGTATCGGCCACACAGCTTGGTTCGATTGCTATTCGTGCATGTTTAGAAGATATTGGTCTATCCGGTAATGATGTCGATGAAGTTATTATGGGAAATGTATTGCAAGCAAATGTTGGACAAGCACCAGCACGTCAAGCATCACTTGGTGCTGGTATTACACAATCGGCCCCTTGTACAACAGTGAATAAGGTCTGTGCATCCGGTATGAAAGCGTTAATGTTTGGTACACAAAGTATTATGCTTGGTGATAATGATATTATCATTACTGGTGGTATGGAAAGCATGTCGAATGTTCCATATTATCTTTCAAGAGGTATGTTTCTGATTAACCTAGATTTTCATTTGTTTCATTTTTTTTTTTGTTTAATTTGATTGAGTCGTGAAATTTCATTGAACCTAATGATGTTAATAATTTTACAAACAGTGCCTGAAGAAGAGTGTCCAATCCATTTAGGTTAGGTTGATGACCCAAATTTTTGTTTGGATGCTATTTTTACTCTTGTCCATCTTCTCTCTCTCTTTTTTTTTTTTTCCTTACATTAGCAAATACTTGTAGTACGTAAAACAAAAATTTCTTTATCTAATCTAACATTTTCATATCTCTTTTTGCGAAATTCCAATAGGTAATACACCATACGGTGGTGTCAATCTTGTGGATGGCGTTGTTCGTGATGGCCTTACCGATGCCTATGATCAAATACATATGGGTTTATGTACGGAAAATCTTGCACAAACATTCAATATTACCCGTGAAGAGACTGATGATTTTGCAAGACAATCATATCAACGTGCGGCAAAAGCCCGTGATAATGGTATACATTCAAAAGAGATTGTACCAGTCGTTATACCAGGACGTAAAGGAAAACCCGATGTAACCATTACCGATGATGAAGAGATTGGAAAAGTTAACTTTGATAAAATACCATATCTTAATCCTGTATTTCGAAAAGATGGTACAATAACCGCTGCAAATGCAAGTTCATTGAATGATGGTGCTGCTGCCTGTATATTAATGTCCGAAACGGCATTATCTAAATATGGTTATACACCAATGGCAAAAGTGATTGGCTTGGCTGATGCTGCAATCGAACCAAAAGATTTTGGTATTGCTCCAGCTTATGCTATTGAAAAATTACTTAAAAAAACTGGCGTTTCAAAATCACAAATTGCACATTGGGAATTGAATGAAGCATTCAGTACTGTAGGTTTGGCTAATATTAAAAAACTTGGTCTTGAACCAACGAAAGTTAATCCTAATGGTGGTGCCGTCAGTATGGGTCATCCACTTGGGTATGTTTTTTTTATTATTCATCATCAATAAATCATACATCATTTCTAAAATATTAATTTTCACAGATGTTCCGGTGCACGTATTGTTAACATTTTAGCACATCATCTTAATCCCGAAGAATTGGGTATTGCTGCCATTTGTAATGGAGGTGGTGGTGCTTCAGCTGTTTTAATACAAAAGCTGTGATATATATAAAAAATTCAAACAAAACAAAACAAAAAAAAAAATTATTATTCTATAGAGATAATTATGTGCATGCAAATTACATTTTTTTTACAATTTATAAATTTATCGATTATTATATAACAAAAACAATCAACAACAACAACAACAATCGTTTACACACACACACACACACACAATATAGATATTCAAATGTTGGCAATCCATAATAATTACCCTTATTTTTATTATTTGAAAAATTTGAATTTGAATAAATGATAAACTTTTTTTTTATTTGTTCAACTCTGTATGCATAGTTTATTACAGATTTTATTGCTTAATTCAGAAAATCGTTTAAAAGTTTCAGATTCGGGATATTTTTCAATAAAATCACTGCCTTCATCACAACATTCTGCTAGACCAGTCTCAATAGGTATCGTAACAAGAAGATCTAATTGAGCATATTCTGCTAATGTTTGGCCACCACCTTGTGAAAAAATTGGACTGCATTCCTGTGTATAGTCAAAATTGACATTGTAAGTGATGATGATGTATGATGATAATAATAATAATAATCAGCAACACTTACCGAACAATGTTGGCAAACATATCCGCTCATATTTTCAATTAGACCAAGAATTGGTACATTTCCTTTATGGCAAAATGTTATTTCACGACGTACATCACCGACGGCCACCGATTGTGGTGTGGTCACTAGTATAGCATTTGTTTGGCATTTGGTTGGCAAATTGTTCAAACATTCCACAACACTGATATGTTCATCTGAAGTTCCAGGTGGTGAATCAACAATTAAAAAATCTAATTCAGCCCAATCAACATCGGTAAGAAATTGGCGAATCATTGCCGTTTTACGTGGTCCTCGCCATATGACAGCCGCATCCTGATCATTCAATAAGAATCCGATCGACATAACACTCAATACAGGTCGATCATGTTTTTCATATTTTATCGGGATCCATCTACGAAATATTGATCGATGAATTATCGTACGATAATGTAAATTGACCACACTTACCCATTCGAACCTTGGGTGACATTTTCACCAAGCAAACCCAACATACGAGGCGTACTTGGTCCACAAATGTCAATATCAAGTATACCAACTTTATAGCCACGATGTTGTAACGATAATGCTAATTGGCAAGAAACGGTACTTTTACCGACACCACCTTTACCCGATAAAACAAGTAGCACATGTTTAACGTTTTCGATGCCCATTATTGTGTCAACATGACAATACAATATTTTTGATTCAATCAAAATCGATCTGGATTCATTCATATAATAGACCATTCACAAAGAACGTTCGTAAATAATTATTTTCGATCGATTGATGAACTTTGGATCGGAAATAATTATCATCATCACCATAATAATAAAAAATCATGGTGTCTATGCATCAACTATCAAGGTTATAACTTGTTGCTATCACAATCAAGTAAGCATGACTTGGCCGCTTTTCATCATTATCGTCATCATCATTACCGTTTGCAATTCATCATATGCATACATAATGATGAGATGATCTAGCGACTGTCGACTTTTTTTTCACCAAGACCAACATCGCCATCATTAACATGGAGTCATGGCCATTCTGGTAATTAATATTGATAAGCACGTCGCATTTTGATCCAGAGCCAATTTGTTGATTTTTTTTTTCGTTCGTTTGTGTCTAACACCTCATTCGTCATTATCATTTGTTGTTATTGACTTCAACAGTCGATCCAACAACAACAACAACAACATGGATCATTAAGAATCCTTTTCCGTGTGTGTGTGCGTGTGAAAATGATAATTAACTAACTGTCCCCTTTCCTCTTTCTCCTTTCAACATTTTTAATGATGATGATGATGATAAGAGTCATTCTCATTCATTTTATATTATTATTTGATGACGCATATATATATGTAGAACAGCAGTCAATTGCAAGGAAAGCAAAACTGTAGTCAGTTATTTATATTGAACAACAGTGATTCTCAAACAAAACAAAAAAAAGTCACAAACATTTTAATTTTTTTTCAAATTCTTTTCTGAATAAAACAAAAAAAACAGTTACATAACGGTTATTCATCTTTCCAATCAATTATCAGCATTTTTTTTTTTGGTGACCACTGAATTGGGGATATTTTTTTTTTTTTTTTAGAAATCAATATCCATCAATTACAAGTTGAGAACCACTGATCGAATCTATTCGACCACTACCTCAGACGGACAGAAAATAATTTTTTTTTTTTTTTTGAGTTGAGTTTACGTGGTTACCATTGTGTCTTGCAATTATATGTGTGTCTGACTAAATAACTCTTGAATTCATCGAAAACAACAACAACAACAACGACATCGACGACGACGATAATAAAAAAAAAAATAATAACGGCAACAAGGCGATCCTGTTGTGTGTGTATCCACAACATCGAACAATAACTTTTACATTCAAACGTATCATCATCATCATCATCACTGAGACAATCGTAAAAAATCCACCGAACGTATCTTATTTTTTTAATGGACAAACCAGCTTCTTGTGGATGAATCAACGATAGCCAGACGATAATCAAACAACTGTTCCAACAACAACAAGTGAACATCTTTTTTAATCATCATCATCATTATTATATGCATACACATTCCGATTTTGATTCTGAAACGAAAACAATCACAAATAGTGAGTAGTAACGGTATTCATGTTTTTTATTTTTTTTTAATTTTTGACTTTCACCTTTAACCTTTTTTTTCTTGATTTTATAGTTTAATCTCTATAAAAATGGCTAACATGTTGAATGTGCAGGAGCTACGCCGTAACGTGATCAATGTGGTGAAAAATTATTCCGATGCACAAGTCAAAGTACGAAAAGCAACATCGAATGAACCATGGGGTCCATCGGCAACGTTGATGGCCGAAATCGCTGATCTTACCTATAATGTTGTTGCATTTTCAGAGATTATGCAAATCATTTGGAAACGATTGAATGATCATGGTAAAAATTGGCGTCATGTTTATAAAGCATTGGTGTTGTTGGAATATTTGATTAAAACTGGTTCGGAAAAAGTGGCCCAACAATGTCGAGATAATTTATTCGCCATACAAACTCTCAAGGATTTCCAGTACATGGAAGAAAATAAAGACCAAGGTCAAAGTATTCGTGAAAAAAGTAAATTGCTTGTTAATCTGCTTAAAGATGAGGAAAAATTAAAAGTAGAAAGATCACGTGCCCTTAAAGCAAAAGAACGATTCTCTCAATCCATGTCTTATATGGGTGAACGTAGTGATAATGGTGAACAAGCTTTTCGTGCTTCAACTAGTTATCCAGAATCATTATCGCATAACGAAACATCGTCACGTGCTTTGAATTCTGAATTGGAATCAGCACGACCTCAGACTGCAGGTGAAGAAAAACTTCAACTTGAATTGGCGTTAGCCATGAGTAAAGAGGAAGCCGAACAAGAAGAACGTTTACGTAAAAACGATGATCTTCGTCTAAAATTGGCGTTAGAAGAAAGCGAGAAGAATCGACTTAAATCTGGCGATGTTGGCGAAACTTCTCATCAATCAGCTGTCGATGAACTGCTCAGTCTGGCTGGCCCAAGCACCAGCAGCCGTGTCAATGATCCATGGTCTTCGACATCAACACCAGCCACAGCGCCTATATCACAGTCATCCACATCAGCCGGTTCGTTGTTGCCTTCTCCACCGATAAATAGCAAAAGTCATAGGGTGGTAACAAATCATCAACAGAATGATCCTTGGTCTACAGTACAGCCTACCGGTTCGAATTCCATGGATTTTGATAACTTGAAATCGAATAGTTTGGCTTTCGATGATCCATGGTCGACAACATCTTCATCACAGGCTCCGGTTATTGCTTCCAATGATCCATGGTCATTGAATACTACTGCTATTGGTCCGAATGTTGCAAGGAATGATCCCTGGAATTCCCCATCTTCATCAGCCACATTGGACAAAAAATCATTTGATGGTAATGTTGCTATTGTATCACTTGTTTCACATGATAACTTTATTTATTTATTTTTGATATGCACAGGATTGCCTGAACCAGTAAAGACATCGACAACAACTCCAATTCGTCGTACACCAGAAAGTTTTCTTGGTCCAAATTCAAATCTGGTAAATTTGGACGCATTGGTCAGCAGTAGCAAATTGCAAAGTTGTAAGTGAAAGAATCTTGTTGCTATTTTTTTGTTTATCATGTTTGTATCGTTGTAGCTACATCACCGAACAACAATCCATTTGCATCGGCCGTTCCACAACCAGTAATGAATCCGTTCCAGGCTAATAAACCATCCCAGCCAACCATTAACGAATTACGAGCACAAACACAAGGCAGTGGAATGTTGATTGGATCGGCACCAATTCTCATATCGTCATCACCATCATCATCAGTCAATACTACTGTGCCCTTTTCTTCATCGTCGTTCCATCAAACCAGCAACAATTTTACGACGTTACCATTGTATCCACAATTGCCGCAATTGTCATCTTCGTTACACAGTAGTAGCCAACAGAATTCTGTATGGGGAAATTCAAATAATGGCCAATCGTCTGCCTTTACATTGTCATCACCAAATAATCCGTTTGCAATGTGATCCCACACACACACACACACACACACACACACACAAAAATACACCTCTCTCTTGCTAGGCATTTCCTTTCCCTTTTTTCACCTTTAGTTGCATTTTTTTTATCGATTCGATTTGACCAGTGATTTATTATTGATGATGATGAGAGAGAAAGAGAAACAAAAACGTTTTACCTCTGACTGTATATATCGAGGACAAAACAACTTGACTTATCATCGATGTATGATTTATTCTCTTTAGACAATAACAATGATTTTATTTAATGAAACGCAGCACACACACACACACACACACACACTGACCTATGTATTACACACAACGGAATGAAGGCTAAATGTAATGACTTTTTCATAATTTGGTAATAAATTCAATCTTGATATCTTCATTACGTAATCGTGGTACAATTTCATCTGGTTCAAATGCTACAGCTGGTGTTATTACTCCATAATGTACATTATCGTTTCGTTTTAGCTTATCAAGTAATGCTAATGCTGTTTGAACGGCAATTTTAGCCGTATCTATATAGGCTAAATCTCCACCAGATATGGTCACTGCACTGGTCTGAGTCATATTGTCAGAGGTTAAAGTGGAAATGCCATTTGGCCATCCATATCCAATCAATGTGAATTTAAATCGATTTGTTTCGAGCGCCTGACGATCGGGTAGTACGTTACGTTCGAATGTACCAAACGACATCAGACTTGAATATTGAAGCAACAGTTGTTCACCTTTTTCAAATCGACTGAGCAGCTGAAGATTATAATTCATTGCTACCAATTTCAAAATATCGATCGGATTGTTTAGTGAAAAATAAACCTCACATTGAGCTGGAAGTTCTCCACGTTCACTGTAACGTTGCATTTGGCTACGAATGACCACTGATCGATCACTACCAGGAAATGGAATACAATAACCAAATTGATCGTGTCGTCGAAAAATTCGTCGTTTTAATTGGACTGGCCATGAAAATGGTTTATATTGGCTAAACAATTGTTCACGCATTGATCGAAGTTGATTTCGGTACTTGAATCCTTCTACAAGTGCTCTCCATGTAGCATAGTTAAATTTACGGCCATCCGTATGTAGCTGTAGATAATGTTCAGCATGATTTAGACGGCCTGGAAATTTTTGCTTCAAATACGAAATACCAATATCGGATGGAATCGAATCAAAGCCACAGGAACCGACGGCACATAGTTGCCGTTCACGTGCGATACGATCATAACGAAGATGCATCTGTTCCAGGAATAAAGGTTCACCGCTTAGATCCATGTAATGAGCGTCTGGAAAAAACATTCAAACATTCATTTGAATCATTTGTACTTGTCACCAGAATTTTCTTACCAGTATCCAGACAGGCTTTGATAACCGGTTCACCCAATAGACTATATGGACCAACACAATTCATGACAAGTTTACTACGAGCAAACACATTACGCAGCGATTGTTCACGTTCAATATCCGTTTCAAAAATGTCCAATTTATGAACAAATTTGATGCCAGTATATTGTTCGATTTCATGAAGATATCGACGTAATTGAACAACATTACGGGCGGCAACCGCCCAACGAAATGAATCATTGAAACCATAATGTTCGATTGTTTGTACTAAACGTTCGACAACAAAACGTCCAGTGAATCCAGTAGCACCAAATATGAGTAAATCAAATTGTTTGGCCATATATGTGTTTATATTATGTTTACTTTCAACACACTCACCACACTCATTCACAACAAACGAATAATAATTAAAAAAAACAATTAGAAAATTTCGGTCGTAAAGAGAATCTAAATTTAATTGAAATGAATTAATTTATAATTTATTAATCAACAATAAATGAACAATGTGTACTCAAATATTATGAATATGAATCTTGATGTAAAAAGTGAATTGAACTTTGTGTTTGTTTATAAACAATATATGATGATGACAAGTCAGTATACTGTGTGTGTGTGTGTAAGAATGATAAGTTATTCAATGTAAAATCGATATGATGATACCAATATCAACAAACAGATTGGTTAGGTTGTGCATTGATAATTATACAAAGCTAAATGCATCATCAACGATCGAACGATGAAATACAGTGATCAATTGTTCGGCTTCAGATGGATCGATTATCAATGATAAAGTCGTTGAATGTGTGTCAGTACTATGATGATTTTTTGATGGTGTTCGTTTTGCAAATGGACTGCCGGTCGATTTTTCAATACGTCGTGCTGCATTTACTGTCACATAACCATAATCGCTTAGATATTGACACATATTCAATATGTCGGATTCAGATTTGCCTTCCACGCTTATGCCTCGACGACGACAGATTTTGATGAGTGTTTCACGAAATTCTGACAATCGTATTTCACGTAAAGAACGTGTTTTGAGCAACACCAAGAATACGCTTAAAACGACCTGCTGATCAGATGGCAAGAAGCTTCGAGAATTTGAATCAATTTTATCGATGGCATTACCGTAAACTTTGTTGAGAACGTCCATCATAAGACGTATGGTCACCGGTTCATTGTTGGTCATCATCGTATTTTCTCGTGCACGAAATGGAATCATCTTTTTTGGCCTGCTAACTTTGTGACTTTGTGAATCATTATCAATAAGTTCGATGGCACGTCGACAAACATCCAATGCTTTGCGAATATCACCACTAAAGGAAGCAATTTTACGGGCACAGAATTCAATAGCAGCACGATCAATCAGTGGTTTGTTTTCATTCTGAAACATTTGCAATCGATTTTCAATGATTTTGACAATCTGTTCTTTTGATAAGGCAAAAATCGAATTTCGTGAAAATTACATTGGCTGCCAGCACGTAACCAGGACATTGTTTTAGCGGTAAAATCCAATGCATTAGCAATGCCGACCAAAATGACACGATCGGATAGCTGTAATGGTAGCCTAAAGATGCTGTTTAAAACATTTTGATTTTTCGTTTGTAATTGATCAATCTCATCCATAAGCAATACGGTCATTGATTTTCGACCAATGAGGATCGCTTTTAGCTCTTCTAAACATTGATTAGATGCATTGGCGGTGGCCACGGTATTGATCGACGTGGCCAATCGTTTTGGTCGTCGTTCAAAATGAGCGACTATTGAAGCATAGAAATCATTGGCATTCTGGAATGATGACATACAATTCATTGATATGAATTTGAATGAATTTTTCCATTTACGTGATAATTCATCGATAACGGTGGTTGTTGTCAACGTTTTACCAGTACCAGCTGGACCTGAAATGTATATGGTCAACGATTGTTTTGATGCCAATCCTTGATCAATGATTTCCATGATTTTTTTATATTCATCATCTCGGCCAATGATTCGATCAACATTCGATGAGCTAAGCATTGTTTTTGCATTCGAAATTGGCTCCATATTTGGATGCTGTTGTCCACCATTTGATGGATGAGACATTTTTAGATGAGATCGTTTTGATGGTGATAATCGTGTCATTGTTTTTTTTTTTTGTTGATGAAAATTAAAAGTCTTTAAAAGATGAATTTTAAACTTTAAAAAACGCTTATTCACTCGCATCACGCACACAAATGCAAATGTGCACACATTTATTGGCGCGTATTTTAACCCGCTAAAAACTGTTGGCCCGCCTCTTTTTTTCATTCGATACATGAGGACGACTAACTATCGATATGGAAAAAAAATTACGATTGTTTCATTTTCGAATGAATTTTTTATTTTTTTCTTGAAAAAAAACTTTCCAATCGAGCAGTACATTCATCGGAAAGAAAATGTTTAAAAAGTAATTCACATTCTCTTCGATTCGTTTGATGAAGTTCATTACGAATCTGTTGGTTTCGTACCAAAGATTTCGCATTCATCATTGAATTTGCATAACATGTTTTCACTAATCCTTGTTGGCCATAAATCCATTGTTCTATATGATCATTCCATTGATCATTTGGAATGATTCGAGATACGAATCCAAGACGATGTGCTTCGGCCACTTCAAGACGACGATTAAAGTAAAGCAATTCGGAAGCAAGAGATGGACCGAATATTCTTGGAAATGTAAACGTTGAACATCCTTCAGGTGAAATTGCAAGTGAACTAAATGGGCTAATGAAATACGTTCGATCGGTGGCTATCAAACAATCGAATAGGCCAAGAATGGTGAACATTATTCCAAATGCTGGACCATTGATTGCTCCAATCAAAGGCTTAGGAAAATCAATGACCGTTCCAACAAATTGCCTACATAAGTCAACCATGTATTCTGTCAGTTTGATTCGTTCCATGTCCGTCCTCGAAAATTGGCTATTCATTATTATCATTTATTTGGTATACTTTGAAGTGATAAGAAGCAATACTTACTCAAATCATTACCACTGGAAAAGTATGGTCCATTTCCTGTTACAATAGCTAATTTGATATGATCATTTTTGGCTACTTGTTGCAATATTTTTGTCAACTGAGCATACAGTTCCAACGATATGGCATTATATTGTTTGGTCCTATCCAAACGGATCCAATATACCTGATCTCGTTGTTCACATTGAATACCCGTGTTTGCAGATGATTTACATCGTATTGGTTGCCCGATCCATCGAAACGATTGTCTAAAGATTGATGAATATCTAAGCATCATGGCCATACCAAATATGATTTATATAATCACAGTAAATGAATTGGGTACATCCATATGCATCGTTTGTATATATCGATTTATATCTTACAATGATATCATTTGAATGAAATTCAAGACTAATCAAACAGTTAAAAAAAACATCGACATGGACTATATGAATGGCCGCGAATGAATGCAGCTGTCACATTTTTTTTCGTTCTCGAATCTGTCAAGCGGTAAATTGAAGTTAATCAAATCGAACAATAAACAATGGACGATGAAGATGGTAAATCGTATCGTTGGGAAACCGAATATGAAAAAACCTGGGAGATCATCAAAGAAGATGATCAAGGTCGAATTCAAGGTTCGGTGGATGAAATGCTCTACAAAGCGATTCGTAAACGTACATTGAACAAGAAAACAGGGTACCCTGCTTACTTTTGGCTCTGTGCGAGGGTCAAAAAAACATCGACATGGACTATATGAATGGCCGCGAATGAATGCAGCTGTCACATTTTTTTTCGTTCTCGAATCTGTCAAGTGGTAAATTGAGTTAATCAAATCGAACATTAAACAATGGACGATGAAGATGGTAAATCGTATCGTTGGGAAACCGAATATGAAAAAACCTGGGAGATCATCAAAGAAGATGATCAAGGTCGAATTCAAGGTTCGGTGGATGAAATGCTTTACAAAGCGATTCGTAAACGTACATTGAACAAGAAAAACATTCGTCTTGGCCTGGTAAGTGAGCAATGGACTAAAATTTTTTATTTTTAAATTAATTATCAATTACAACAGATGCGACATTTGGCCATCATTATTGACATGTCGTCCGCTATGAATCAAATCGATTTGAAACCTAATCGTCTTATTTGTTGTGTTCGATTGTTGGAAAAATTCGTTCAAGATTTTGTTGATCAGAATCCAATCAGTCAGTTATGTTTTATTAGCACCAAAAATAAACGTGCCGAAAAGATATCCGAATTAGGCGGAAATATTAAAACACATCTTGAAGCATTAAATTCATTGAAAATGAATGCCAGCTGCAACGGAGAAACATCGATGCAGAATGCATTACAAATAGCACATGCTATGCTACGATATATGCCACCACATACAAGTAAAGAGATTCTTTTCATAATGGGTAGTCTTACCAGTTGCGATCCTTCTGATATTCATAAAACAATCGATTTGCTTGCTAAAGATCGTATTCGATGTTCGGTTATTGGTTTGGCTGCCGAAGTTTATGTCTGTACAAATTTGACACAAAAAACAAACGGTGTTTACAATGTAGCAACGGATGAAACTCATCTCAAAGATTTGCTCTTCCAATATCTGAATCCATTACCATCTACGTATACAGAATCAACACTGATGAAGATTGGTTTTCCCAAATACGAAATGAACACTGTGCCATCAATCTGTGTTTGTCATCTAGACGATGGTGATGAACCTAAACTAACAGTATCTGGCTACTTTTGTCGCCAATGCAACTCCAAGTATTGTGATCTTCCTGTCGAATGTAAAATTTGTGGACTAACCTTATTATCATCATCACATCTGGCACGAAGCTATCACCACCTGTTTCCTGTTGAGCCATTCAGCGAAACCATTGCCTCCGATTCTCAAGGCAGCCGATGTTTTGGCTGCCTAAAACGATTGAATGGCAAATCAGCAACCTTGTGTAATTTATGTCAGCAGATATTCTGTGTAGAATGTGATGTTATCATACACGATATATCACATGTTTGTCCTGGTTGTACATCTGTTCGACGAATACCTTGAACATCATTATTGTTGCAATGAATATAATGGATTTATTAATCAAATAAATAACGTTCCAACAAAGGTATGTGTTTGTGTGTGTGTCAAATGAAATGTACATGGGTTTGTCTACTTTTTTTATCTATATAAAAAAAAATCTATTTGGTCAAAAATAGGTAATGTGTGTTTGTCTATGTATGTGTATATCCTGTACATAACAATGAGTGGTAATGGTCAAGTTTTTGTTTTACGATTACTTTTACGAAATCTTAGATTATTGGCAATTTCCGTTAATTGTTGTTCATGACATGATGATGGTGATGATGATGATCGCATTATATAATCAGTTAAAGCAACTATATAATTTTTGGCCAAAGTCAATGTTTCAATTTTGGACAATTTTCGTTCCTTACTAATGTGCGGTATTACCTCACGAAGACTTTGAAATGCATCATTCAAGCTATGCATTCGTATCCGTTCACGTTCATTACTCTCTAAACGTCGTAAGTTTCGATCACGAGCACTGCTTGTCTGGTTTCTTGTTGATGAATTCTGTTTTTTTGTTTTTTTTTGAATTTCAAAAAAAATATTAGTTAACTATTAATGTCTATATATATAGGAACAAATCATTTTTACCATTTTTCTTTCGTTACTATTATTATTAGTCGATAACATTGAAGTCGAACATTTCCGTTTGATGATTCGATCGTTATGATGATTGTTAGAAGAACAGGAAGAAATTCGTGATGATCGTTGTCGTCGTCTTTTTTTTTTCTTCTTTGTTTTTGTTGTTGTTGTCCAGAACCAGAATCATTGATATTCAATTCGATTGCGGAAGATTTATCATGACCACTAGATGTATATGATGTTGTTGATGTAGATATCGAACCATTGGATTCTTCATTATCGCTGCTCAACATTCGGATCAGTCGTCAAGACTACTATTAACACTAACTTGAAATAACAACATTCAACGATTTTTTTTCCTTTGTTTTGTTTAAATCGTTGTTTTTTTTCTGAAATCTTCAATAATGAAAAAAATGAATAAATGTTGATGAAACACGATACGTGGCTTCAATCTATCTATCTAAATGGCTGACTAGCTAGCTAACTAGATAGATTGGTTGGCCTGCTGTTGCGCCAAACTGATGAGTTGGAACTCTGGATCCAAAAGATGATGTGTGTGTGTGTGTGTAAATGGTGCCCACACCATCACCAAAAATATTCTCGATTCTGTCGCTTCATTTACATTGCTGCTGCTGCTGCTATATTACAATACTGTTGATCTATCCTATCTCTGTGTTTATTACATCACATATTTGTTGTTTTTTTTTACATTACTGATTATAAATAATCAGATGCTCAATGACATCAATCGAAACGAGTTGATCAATTGAAACAAATTTTATTTATATTTAAATTGTCATTGCTCATTCATTCATTCATTCACCAACACTGGACAAATTATTTTCAATCAAATCTTTTTCCTTATCATTCGATGTAATTATAGCTGGACTGCTCAATGTAGTAGCCACTGTTGTTGATGTTGTTGTTGTTGTTGTTATACGTCGCCGTTGTTGTTGTTGTTGATTATGATGATAATGATGATTATATCGATTTGTTGTTATTTGGCTATTTTCTAGATTTAATTGAGCATTTACATCGTTACCGGATGCACAGGTAAATGCTTTGGAAAACTTTTTAAAGTTTTCACTTAAGAATGCTAAAAACGTAAACAGGAATAAAATAATGTTATCGAATGTTTAATAAGCGACTATTTAAACACACACACATTTTTCCTTATCATTCGACACACTTACCCGTATAGTTATATACGTCGCCGTTGTTGTTGAATGATGATGATTATTCGATTTGCCGCTATTTTCTAGATTTAATTACACCGGAAAGGTAAAAACTTTTTAAAGTTTTCACTTAAGAATGCTAAAAACGTAAACAGGAATAAAAATAAGAAGAATGTTCATTATACAGTGAAAAAAAAAACACAAAATGGCAATTGAGACAAATCACACACACATACCCGAATTAGCATAAGTAAGACATCCGGCCAATAGATTAAAAATGAATGCAAATTGACTATGGCCAGATGCAATGAATGTAATGTAGAATTGTCCAATCCAATATGGTAAACAACAAAGTACGTACACAGATATAACTGTCAATACTAAATAGGTTACTTTACGATGTGATTTCTTTTTTTCTTTTGATTTTTTCTTCGGTCCAACATGTCGTAAACGACAAATGACCAAAATGTAGAATAAAAATATCAATACAAATGGTATGAAAAATCCCAGAAAGAATGAATACAATGTAAATGTACGTGCTCCTTTCATTTGATCACTTTCTGGCCATATTATATTACAGGTGACCGTGGTTTCCGATTCCATTGTATTTCCATACATAAATATTGGTACCATTAATAGTGCTGATATCTATCGGTCATCATCATAATTAAAAAAAAATCAAAACAAAAAAAAAAAATAAAAACACTTACCGTCCAAACGGTTAAACAAACAAATTTGGCAATAAAAGATGTTCGAAAACGTGGTGCATCTATTGGATGGCAAACAGCAACATAACGATCAGCACTCATTACCGTTAATAGAAGGCTACTGGTGAATTGATTGATCGATGTGAATGTCATATAGATTTTACACAGGATACGACCAAACATCCAATATTTAACGAAAAATGTTGTAATCAAAAATACCAAACCAATCAGAAACATTTCATCGGCAATAGCCAGATTAAATATGTACATATTGGTCACTGTTTGCATTTTTGAGAATCTCAACACCACATAGATGACCAATGAATTGCCGAAAAAACCGACCAAAAATACCAAACAATAGAGGATAATGAATACGAACAATATTAATTCGTTGGTTGAACGACTTTGTGTTGGTGTAGCTGGTAGTGAACCGGTTGATCCACCATCACCACCACCAACACCAACACCACCATCACCAATATTAGGATATTGTTGTTGTCGACGGCAATAATCCAATAACAATGGATTTTCCAACAATAATTCTAATGAACTATTGTTGTTGTTGTTGTTGTTGTTGCCAAATGTATGGCCAAATAATGATGATAATCCTAATTCACCAGGTAAATCCATGATTTTTGTGAATCGAATTTGTATTGATTTGTTTACAGCAATAATCTAATTTCTGCTCTTTTGCTGCTCGATTATTCTTGTTTCTTCGATTTTTTTTTTTTTTTTTTTTTTTGGTCTTTCCCGAATTACAGGACCGAATAAAAGCAGATTTTGGTGCGCGCACATTTCTTACTATAGAGATGATGATGTTATAGAATTGTCTATAGAAAGAAAAAAAAACTGTGGCCAAATGATTATTCACATTCTCATCATCTATCATCATCGTATTGGACACTTAATAATAATTCAATACGGCCGTGGAAGTGGATGAGAGGAAATGTTATATATAGCTACACTATATGCTATAGCAGTACTCATGTCATAAAATGATAAATTGCAATTTTATTTTTTCAAAATTTAAAGTATTTAAATATATTGATTAATAATTAATTAATTGTGAACCGGGTCGATTATATAAGATGTGACTATAAATGTATGTTTTGTACAAAGAAAGTGTTGTTGTTGGCCCACACATACAGATACATGATACACACAAACACATGCATGGAATGAAAATTATTGTGGTGGCAATGAATGATAATAATACCGATGATGATGATGATGATTAGCTGGTTGGTCGATTAAAAGCAAAGCCCAATAATCAATGGCCAATACAAATACAATGTATCACAAAGATCCATTCATGGTTGACTAGATGAATCGGATACTGGTGAAAAAACGGTCGATAGCCAATGGTCATTTTTCCAGAAATGAACTAGGCTGTGGTCTAATGCTGAATTGTTTAAGTGTTGAATCCAAAGCAGCTGCATTGCCCGATGCAAATGCAGCGAATGCATTATGAAACAGAACCAATTGTTTATGCATTACTTTGGCTTTGTTTTCATCCAAGAATTTCATTTTGATTGCTACATCTTCTTTGAGCCTTTCATATCTGGCTCGAACCTGATGCATTTTTTCCGAACTTAAATTAGTAGTCGTTGAAGTCGTGGTGGTGGCGGTGGTGGTGCCCGATGATCCAGCAGATGCATGTGATGTACACATAAGTCCATTTAGACAATTACGTTCGGCATCGTATTCAAGTCGGGCCGCTTCAAATGCTCTGATTGTAACAATAGTATCTTCAATTGTCTTGTACACTAAAGTGGTAAGATTCGATATGAAAAATCGTAATGCCATGAGCAATTTATCGCCATTTCTGGCTATGCTTTTCATCATTTCGGCATTCTGTTTAAAATCATGGCTAAGATTATTCATCAAACTTCGTTCACTATCGTCATTCATAATGGTGGGTGATTTGGTTTCTCTTAAGGCCAATTCATTCAGATGTTCATACATGGAATTCTGTGTGGCAATGATAGTCTGATATTGGTTGGACATGTCACGTGACAATTTCAATATATTTTCATATTTATGTTGAGTTTCACGTAATTTTTCGATCTCGATTTCAAGATCGGCATCGACCGTTCGTGAGCATTTTCCAAGTTTTTCATTGATCAATTGTTTTGTACATTTATAGGTGGACATTGACCATTCTTTCAAGGCATCCATTGGAGTATGTTTGTTCGAACCACATGAATTGGCTGCTGTTATGATAGCCGACGATTGAATCATATCATTTGAACCGGATAATGGCGGTGTCAATGGTAATGTAGCAGGTCGATGATGATGATGATGATGTCGGGCGGAAGCTATCGATTGTTGTCCTGGTGATGAATTTGAATCATGGATGGCTATCTCTTGCATCGAATCAAACGATGTAATATTCACTTGTCCTAGACTCGAATGATAGGTTTCGGTAGTCGTGCTTGTTTCAGCAGATCGACCAAGATTATTACCACCGCTATTGGTCGACGTAGATGAAGACATGATCAAAGGAACAAAAGGGCAAATTATTGCAACAAATTCAATTGACCAGAATTTGACGATCCAAACACTGAGTCAGAATTTGAGAGTGGATAAAAATAGTATACCTATTTCGACCCACGCCTTTCTTTTTAATCATCTGCATGATTCGATATTTTTTTTGCTTTGATATTTTTTTTCTGACCTGTTCATTTCATTTCTGTAAAATTAAATTCAAATTTTCAATGGCCAGCACTAACAATTCGGCTATGTGGAGCAAATTATTCAATTTGCCAACTTCTGGCGAGATCGAAATGGTAGATTCGATCCTAATGAAACATGATGGTCTGATCGTACGGAAAATGGACCCAAATCTATGTCATCATGGTCCAAAAGCTCAATGTGTCCATTGTGCACCGATTGAACCGTACGATGAATCATATATGAAAAAGCAAAACATCAAACATATGTCGTTTCATTCCTATTTACGTAAACTGAAACGTGGAGCCGATAAGTAAGTAATCATTATATCAATCAAATCTATTTTTATTCAACTCTGTATTCGTTTTGAACAGGGGAAAATTTATCTGTCTCGAAGATATCAGCTGTAAGATAAAACCCGATTGTAAAGGCCATCCTTCCTGGCCTAGAGGAATATGTACTAAATGTCAGCCCAGTGCAATTACGTTGAATAGTCAGACATATCGTCATGTGGATAATGTGACGTTTGAGAATACCTCGATCGTGGAGAATTTTCTCGATTATTGGCGTACGACCGGTAATCAACGTATAGGTTTCCTGTACGGTTATTATGAACCACACAAGGATGTGCCACTTGGTATCAAAGCTGTTGTGGTGGCCATATACGAACCACCACAGGAAAGTACACGCGATCTGATTAAAATACACATGGAAAGATTGGACTTCACTGATGTTGATATGATGGCCATGCAATTGGGCTACAAGCGAATTGGTTGGATATTCACTGACCTCATACCACAGGAGAAGGGTACCGTCAAATACATCCGTTGTTCAGATTCTTATTTTCTTACAGCTCAAGAATGCATTATGGCAGGATTCTTTCAAAATTGTCATCCGAATCCATGTTCATTGTCGAAAAGTGGTTATTTTGGCTCGAAATTTGTTACCGTTTGTTTGACTGGTGATCGCAACAACCAAGTTCACATCGAAGCCTATCAGGTAACTAATCAGTGTATGGCTTTAGTTCGTGATGATTGCCTTTTGCCGACCAATGTACCAATGCTGGCATATGTTCGCGAATCAAACAAAGAGCGCTACGTGCCTGATGTCTTCTACAAAGTCAACGATCAATATGGCAATGAAGTTACCAAGATTGCTCGACCTTTTCCAATCGAATATTTACTGGTTGATGTTCCCGTATCAGCACCGATAGAGCAGACATATACGTTCAATCCAATTCCTGGACTTCGGCCTTTCCCCATCGAAAACCGAATGATTGAAGGCCATCTGCAGGATTTTCAGGCGCTACTTCAATACATGCGACAGTTCCGTTCGGAAGATCAATTCTTTCAAGCCATGTCCGATTTTCATTTACTCATCTACCTTGCATCAATGGAAACGGTCCCATTACGTGATGCATTGGCCGATTTACTAAAAGCACTCAAATCCAAAGATGCTTCTAAAGCAATCGAATGGTCAAAACGAGAAAATTGGTCCACTGTCGAACAATTGTTCAAAGCTCATTCGGATGGTAAGTAATAATAATTAAATAAATAGTAGGCATAAATAATCTGAATCATTTTTGTTCTCATTCAGATTATGGTAAACAGTCTACAACACAATCAACAAATGTTCAACAACATCAGCAACAATCGTCGTCGACAGCGGCAGCCAGTACAAGTACTGGCCAGAAATGGTCATGTACGTATTGTACATTTGAAAATGAATTACAAAAAAGTTCTTGTGAAATGTGTAATTTACCAAAAGGAAACGATTTATGAGATATATTCACCATAATAAAATAAAATATATAACATTTGAATTATAAGCCTTATTATTATATTTTAATGGTCATGTCTTCAAAAATACAAAAACAAAGATCAGCTGTTTGCTGATTGTGTACTTGAATTGAACTATTGCCATTCACCGATCAAGAAGATGACGGTGATGAGGTTGAAGTGGTCGCCGTAGCTGTTGTTGATGATTGTTGGCCATCACTACAGGCTATGTCATCAATTAGCCTACGAAATAAATTTTAAAAAAAATTACATCAATTTTTCAAATCAAATGAAAATTCGAAATTGAATCGATGATATAATTACCGATGTTGACGAATTAGTGTACAATCACCACCTTCGTTTAGATTTAGATCGTAAACATATAGATAACCATCAGTCGTTGCAATCAATACGTTGGATCGTTGATTCGAATAAGTGATGGCACAAATTGTTCGTGATCCAGGACTAACCAAAGGCAGTTTAACCGTTGCAAATGAACGCCATTGATTCATTATATCGGCAACCGAATCAAAATAGCCGGCCGTTTGACAAAATTTCTTTACATATGATTTAAATATAACGGCTAAATTATCATCCTGAGGTTGGCTATTATGGGCATATATGATGAATAAATGATTAAACTTGGTAAGATTTATATGATCAGATAAAACTTACGGTTCATTCAATTTAAAGATATGCACCGTTTCTGTATTGCTAGATGCACATAAAAATTGTGAATCAGGACTAAATGATAACGAATAAATGGATACACAACGGGCATAACCACGACGAAATTCATAAATGCAATCACCATTCGATGTGTCAAATACCCGAATGACTGTACCCTGAGGAAAGGGAAAATAGTCCATGTTTAATCGAATTGAGAATTGGATTTTAATTTGATAATGATGATATATACCCTGTCAGAAGCGGTGGCCAATTTGGTTCCCTTTGTGTCGAACGTCAACGAAACAAGTGGATTATCATGAGCGGCAATGGTCAGTTTATTACCCAATTTATGAGCATCGAATATATTAACTTCTCCTTTGTCCTGTTTGGCAGGATAGGCTAGATAGCATTGTTCACTGCTTGAAGCTAACGCGATTATGCCATTTGGATTGCGTTGCGTTTGTCGAATTGAGTGAATAAATTTCAAGTCAGTTATATTATAGATGAATATCGAATCCTCCAGACAGACCACCAAACGAAGTCGATTCAATTTTACGGCTAATATCGTATTCGTATATGAAAATGATGTTATTTCTGTACGTTTTTTGTAATGACAAACACGTAATTTTCTTGGTGATGACAATGATACAATGGCCAATAATGATGATGAAAAAAGACGTTCAGCAATAGCTGTATAATCGGAATCATCTTCATATAAAAGTTCTAAACGATCCAGATCTTTAATATTATACAGACGGAATCGATTTCTAGTGCCTACGGCCAAAGAACTAAATCTAAAATGATCAAATGAGCTATAAATAATAATTATAATATTACTTACGTTGATTCATGGTTAAAATTGACAAACACACGATTCTCATCATCATCACCACTTGAATGTGAGAAACTCATCGTTATCGTTATAGTATTTTTTCACTGGAAAGCATCGGGTAAAAGGTTAACGAGAAGAGAGAGGGAAAAAAATTGATGATGATGATAATGATGACCGTTAAAATATCTAAATAATTGATAAATATTTTTGATAAGAACCAAGATTTTATTATTATTATTTATTATCAAAATTAAGTCGTAATATATTCGTATTCGTAACTTGTTTATTTGTTTGTGTTTGTGTTTGTGTTTGATGAATTATGTTGTTTCTGTTTCTGTGTATATATATATGTGTGAAAGCTAGTTGTCGTTAATTGTGTGTTGAGTTTAGCCATTATGACTGTAAAGAGTGTGTGTTAGCTCTGCGTTAGCCAATAGCCAATCTCATGCTTATAACCACAACAAAAACATTGCCAAATTACCATCAATTCACGATTATTAGCAATGTTTTTTAAAAATTGCAATTTACATGATCATATATTATTACAATATTTATGAATAAATTGACCATTGTATAATAAATGATGCTATATGATTTAAATCCGTGATAATAGGGTATGTTGCTTTCAATTCACTTATTTATCAATGATGATGAATTCTTAATTTGATTACTGCTGATTGATAATAATAATAATAATAACAACAACAACAACAACGTTTCACCTGACTGGTTCTTTATACCTGACAACAACCTGATTTGTATTTTGCAATAATCCAGGTGATCGTCATCATATATGAAGTATTTAGTTGAGTTATTTAAAAGCGAATGAAATGAACAATTTGTTTTTTAGTGGTAAAAAAATAGATTGCCATAGTAGCTATCTTATCGCCCAAGTTCGTAAAATTAGCTTTGACGGTTGTTTTTTAAGATTAAACTAGGTAAATCCATCATTTATCCATCCATGTGATGCCATAATTATATATGCATGATCCAATTTCATTGGTATTGAAGCTAACATTACAACCAAAACGACGATGCCGGGCAAAGTTAAAGTAAGAATTTTGGCTGGCCGTAATCTACCAGTCATGGACAAATCTAGTGATGCTTCCGATGCTTTTGTCGAGGTAAGTGTTGTAGAATATTTTGCCAATAGAATCTAAATTGTGTGTGTGTGTTATAGGTGAAACTTGGTAGTACCACCTATAAAACTGAAGTTTATAGACGATCACTTAATCCATATTGGAATTCTGAATGGTTTCGATTCGAAATCGATGATGAAGAACTACAGGATGAACCATTACAGATTCGAATCATGGACTATGATACTTATTCAGCCAATGATGCTATTGGTAAAGTTTATATCGATCTAAATCCATTATTGCAAAAAGATTCGAAACACGTACTGTCTGGTTGGTTTCCCATCTACGATACAATGCACGGTATTCGTGGCGAAGTTAATTGCATTGTTAAAGTGGCCCTTATATCTGATGCAAACCGTTATAGACAGTCATCTTGTGGTTTCAAATTTTTTTATTGTCCCAAGATTCCTGAAGGCTACATATGTGAAGCGATTCTTGGCTTTGTCGAAGAATTAGTCGTAAATCATGACCCGGAATATCAATGGATCGATAAAATACGAACACCAAGAGCATCGAATGAAGCTCGTCAGACTTTGTTTTCAAAAATATCCGGTGAAGTTCAACGTAAAATTGGAATCAAAGCATTGGATTTAGGTGGCAATGCTGTTGTCGGTTATCAACAACATTTCGATCTAGAAGGTGAATCTGGTATTGTCGTACGAGGTATCGGTACGGCCGTTCTTATATCCAAACTAGTCTCACTAAATAATAATTTGGCCACCGATATGCAACCAATGCCCGATGAACTTACCTGTAAATCAGCATCACCAACTGTTCAACTTTATAATGGATCGTCCAACATGTATATTCGAGATAGCGACACTGGACCAATACCAGCACCACCACCACCATCATTACAGTCAATGGCCACAATGGTTAAAGGTGAAAATCATACAGCCATTAATTCTAGTTCTTCTTTACGTCGACTATCCGATTCAGATCTCAATCAATTGAATCATGCTAATAACGATTGTAGTAATAAAAGTAGTAATTCAGTAGATGTAGCCTCATCATCATCATCATCATTTAATATGACCACGATAGGCAATCCGGGCACAAAATTATTGAATAATGTGAGCAAAATGAAATTATCACCAGAGAAGCTACAATTACTTGAATATCCATTTCTAACGTTGAAAACATTCCCACCTGGTCTCATAGCCAATATTGGTGGCATTGTATCGGCACGTTCGGTTAAATTATTGGATCAAATCAACAATCCAGATGATCCAGAAACACGTGATGCATGGTGGACCGAATTACGTAAAGAGATTAGATCGCACAAAAAAACATTGAATTGTAATGCGGTTTTAGGCTACACAGAAACTGCCTATATTAATGATGAAATCTGTATTCTATCCGCATGTGGTACAGCAGCATTGCTTAAAACATCAGAAACAGATATCGAACAATTGTACAATCATTATAATCAAAATATTGCCGCCAATGAATCAAAAAGTGGTCATTTATATGATTTGAAAAGTTTGTATTACCCAGCTGATTTTAATTAACACGCGCACTCATTCACCATTTTCTTTTCTTTTTCTCTTTAACTTTAACATAGATTCTTTTATTCAATCAACACAGCCATTTCATTGTCAACAGCAATTTAAATCAAATACAACAACATGTCATATATGTCATGTACCATATCAGGATAGTCAGGTTCCATTTCCGACCAATTTAATGATGTGTTCAATATGCAATAAATGTAAAGTACCAGATTTTCTATTCATGACTACTGAGCCATATGATAGTGTTCCAACTATTGGTTATGGTACATTGATACAAGCACGTGTATGTCGCCCGAAACGAGAAAGTAAAGGTGAAGCTTGTGCCAAAGAAATATCCGATGTAAGTAATTTTGATTTTTTTTTTGGTATCAATTAATTGATTGGTTTTTGAATTGTAGAGTCTTCCATTTCTTGAATATGAATTGTATAGACAATTGCTTACCAAATTGAAAATAAAAGGAATGAATTGTTTGTTCAACATTTCCATACAAAGTAAGTTTTTTCTTTGAATTTATCATCACATGATTATGAATAATTTTTTTTTTAGTTTCATTCGGTGAAAACATGTTGGTAGCTGTGGCTACAGGAACTGGTGCTTATCTTTCTCCATTGCATCCACCATCGCCACCTAAAATTTCATCCGGTAAAGGAACTTGGTGTTCAAAATTGAACGAAATACAAGCACTGATATCGGATAGTATAACTCGTAATCGAAAACTTTATAATTTAAATGTCAAAATTAGTGATTCGAAACTAGCGACAACTACTACTGTTTCGGCTATTGCCGATGATCATGTGGTTAAAAATGAAGAAATCAAATTTACTGAACAAACAGTCAACACGACAGCATCAGCTGATCCGGTGGAAAGCAAAGATACTTGTGTTCTTTTGGAAGTGGATGATACTGAAGATGCCGATATTATTTCATTGATGATCGATTCTGATGTACCCAAAGGATTCGATGTTTGTAATGCTGAATATATGCCCGGTAAAGAAAGTCAATTCGTATGCAATCTACAGATGTTTGCCCAGGTCTATCGAACCAAATTACAATCAATCAAACAATTTGGCCATCAATTTGATTGGATTATTCAATCGTTGTTCATTAAATTTCGATCACTCATACCATGTTGTTTGACTGATTTGAAATTTCGTATTGATATTCCTGAAGCAGATATCATTCAGATTACCGTAACGGGTACATCGATAGGTATGGGCCCTCCATTGAAAATGCCTTCACGACAACGTTCAGTTACTGGTAAGAGTTGTGAACTAATTAAACTATAATAAACTAAATTCTTTGTTTACATTGACAGTTCAATCCGAACATGGTGACAATGATCTCATATTTATCATGGACAACGTAACCGATACAAACAACGAAAACAATTATAATGGCCATTGTGAACAACCGAAAAATATCCATTATCATGTATGATCCATATAATATTTGTCTATTCACATTCGTCATTATTAATTAGACAATTTTCCGTTGCAGAGTAATCCAAAAGAACATTATGGTATCGAATTGACACCATTAAGCTATATACCAAAAGCTCAGATTAGCCATTACCTCGGTAATCTGGATTTCTTTTTCATACGTGAAAGCAGTAGTATTCGAGATGTAAGTAGATCATCATTTGTGTTTGACAATTTGTTTATGTTTATTTCTTATTTTAGTATGGTGGCCTTAGTGGTTTTGTACACAATTTTATGACCGAAGTATTTGCCATTGTTCGATCACATGTATCATCATTGAGTGGTAATGCTATGGCTTCGTTTCATATAACTCAACTTTTATTGCTTTTTAATCCACATAAAAATCAGGCCCAATGTTTGATCAATGTTGCTGGCGATGTTGTTCAAGCGAATTATTTTACAACCGAAAACAAATGATGATGGGTCAATTTAGTCAATTTTTTTTCGATTTTTGCAATTATAATCAAGTCAAATTCAAATCATCGATCATTGTTATTTATATCATGTTGCCAAAAACAAGACAAAAAATATTATGATTTTCAAATTAGAATTCAAAGTTATTTGTATTTGATTACGATAATAATAAAATTTTAAATTTCCCGCTCATACGTTTTATTTGACGGGCATTTTTTTTGCCAAAATATTGCAAATGTTATGTACACTTAGACTTTGTACAGCCAAAGTAAGGATCGAAAGTCAAAAAAAATATAAAATGGGAGGAGCTTAATTTTTTCCCCAAAAATAATATTTGTTTGAGTGTAATTAAAATAATGAGGTTATATGAATCTGTTCGTCTGGCTAGATGTCAATATTTTGATGATTGCAAGTGAAGAATCCAGTTGCCAACAACAATATATATTTGTTTGTATAGTAAAATTTGTGATTCTATTTATTTTGTTTTGTTTTTCTTTACATTGCCTGTTGCATATCATCCATTCAACAAATTTACAGACGATAACTCAATTCTGAATTTGATAATCTTCATTTTTCCTTATTCATCATCATTCGACGATTACGTTTTTTTTATTCACAATAATAATTTTGAATTCATTTCGTTTTAGGTAATCTGTTGCCATTATAGTGGCTAATTAAAAGAATGGGTTCTACTCGTGTATTACCCTTTGTTAGGGGTATTGATTTTAGCCATAATAATTTTCAAGAAGAAAAGTTTCCCAAAGAAGTGATGAATATGACCGGTTTAAGATGGCTAAAATTGGATTCAAGTCAAATAGATTGGATTCCTGAAGAAATGGCTTCATTGAACAAATTGGAATCATTGTCCATAGCCAAGAATAATCTGGTCACTTTGCATGGAGAACTTTCATCATTGAAAACATTACGATCATTGATACTACGTCACAATCGAATCAACAATAATGGTATACCTGTTGATTTGTTCAGGCTAGAAGAATTGTTTGTTCTTGATCTTAGCCACAATTGTCTTAAATCGATACCTTGTGATCTGGAAAAATGTCGTACGTTGCTTGTGCTCAATCTATCCAATAATCAAATTGAAACTATACCCAATCATTTGTTCATCAATTTGACTGATCTGCTCATTTTGAATTTGAGTGATAATAATCTAGGTAAGTACACGATTAATTTCCTTTGTGCTCGCAAATGATTAACATAATTCGAATTTAACCTGAACAGTTACGCTGCCTCCTCAAATGAGAAGATTGGTCAATCTACAGATACTTAATCTTAGCAATAATCCATTGGGCCATAATCAATTGAAACTATTGCAATCACTGCATTCATTGCAATCATTGAATCTATCAAATACCCAGCGAACATTACAAAATATGCCCACATCACTTGACAATCTTACCAATCTTACTGAACTTAATCTATCCAGTAATGAATTACATCGTATTCCCGATGTTGTATATACGCTTACCTCATTGAAACGTTTGAATTTAAGTGATAATCAAATAACCGAGATATCCACCTCTATTGATCAATGTTGGTTTAATCTTGAGGTGTTGAATCTATCGAGAAATCGTTTGAAATCATTACCACAATTATTGAGTAAATTAGAGCGATTGAGATGCCTCTATCTGAATGACAATGAATTGGTTTTCGATGGCATACCAAACAGTATTGGCAAATTGTATAATCTTGAAATATTTATGGCATCCAACAACAATCTAGAGCTCATACCCGAAGGAGTTGTTCGATGTGGAAAGCTGAAAAAATTGATTTTATCCAAAAATAAATTGGTCACGTTACCGGATGCCATTTATTTTCTAACCGATCTAAAAGTATTGGATCTCAACGATAATCCAGATCTGATTCTACCACCGAAACCCACTGAACTGAAAGAAAGCAATAAAAATATCTATAATATTGATTTCAACATTGCCAATCGACTTTGTAAAGCATCCACGAATTATGGCAACGGCCTCAATCCGATGAATACACCTTCGAAAGATCCGATCGCTAGAAAACTAAGACTGGTACGTCGAGCTAAGGAAATGACTAACGAATCGGATTCATCAAAAGTTCTTAAAGCAATGACCGAATTGGCCAAAGAGAACGAACATATTAATGTCAATATCTACGAAAGCGACACGAATCTGAAGCCAAAACGATGGGAAGAATCTCTGGAGAAACCACCACTTGATTATTCCGATTTTTTCGAAGATGATGTTGGCCAATTTATGGGCATATTAATCTGGGAGATTGACAACTTTTATCCGAGCAGGCTGGACGAAGCATGTCATGGAAAGTTTTACGAAGCCGATTGTTACATCATATTGAAGACGTTCGAAAACGAAAATCAAAATCCTGATTGGGACATTTACTATTGGATCGGCTCGGATACATCGTTGGACAAAAAAGCTTGTGCTGCCATTCACGCCGTCAACCTTCGTAATTATCTTTCGGCCAAATGCCGAACAATTCGTGAAGAACAGGGCGAAGAAAGTGAACAGTTTTTGTCACTGTTTCCTGAAGGCATAACATACATTAAAGGTGGCCGTACATTGAGCGGTTTCTATACGGTTGAAGAGGTTGCCGTAGCCACTCGATTATATCGTCTGCATGAAGTTTCCAATCAACAGCTCTATATGGAATCGGTCGCTGTGGATATTCGCTCATTGGACACCAGATTTGTATTCATTTTGGACACTGGCTACAAAATTTTTGTATGGAATGGTAAGCGTTCCAAAAATACTGTCAAACAAAAGGCCCGTTTACTTGTCGAAAAGATAAAAAAAGAAGAAAGAAAAAATAAGACGACACTCGAATTTGTTGATCAATATCAGGAACCAGAAGAATTCTGGATCGAGTTTGACAATCAAGGCGAAGACATTGCCAATATGGCTCATAATTTTGTCGTTGAAGGCATCGAAGATTTTCGTCCAACTAGCCCGGTTCTATATCAAGTTTGCCTAGGTACTGGTTATCTAGAGCTACCACAAATTCGTTACAAACCGAAACAGCTAAGTAAAAGCTATTTTGAAAGTAAAAATGTCTACATCATGGATGTTATGACCGATGTTTACATATGGTATGTATATCAATTTTCCCATGATAAAAAAATACATGATTTAATCAAATAATTACGTACAGGGTTGGCCGTAAATCTGCCCGGTTAGTACGTGCTGCCGCTCTTAAATTGGCCCAAGAGATGTTTGCCATGATTAAACGGCCTGAATTTGCACTGGTTACCAGATGCCTTGAAGGGTGAGTATTGTTTCATTTGAATCATTGATGCGTGAATCTTATTTATAATAATGTCTATTTAGAGTCGAAACACAGTCTTTCAAATCTCGATTTGCCACCTGGGATGAGATTGTGGCCGTCGATTTCACAAGAACTGCAGAATCTGTTCAAAAAATTGGTGCCGACATGAACAAGTGGCTTAGCGAACATTCTGATTTCAAATATGATTTGAATGCTTTGTTCATGCCTAGACAACCGATCGTAACGAAAGAGGAATCTATTCAATTGGCTCAAGAATGGAATGAAGATCTAATCAATATGGAAGCTTTTGTATTAGAAAATAAAACGTTCAAAAAATTACCCGAAGAAGAACTGGGACATTTCTTTAGTGGTGAATGTTATTTCTTCTTGTGCCGTTACTATTGGGTATCCGATACTGATTCACAGGATGGTGTCGAAGAAGCTGAAGATTTGGCCGACGAAGATGCCCAGATCTGGATTGTTTACTTTTGGCAAGGCCGCGAAGCATCCAACATGGGTTGGTTGACCTTCACTTTCACTGTACAAAGCAAATTCGAAGCCTGGTTCAAAGGTAAACTCAAAATTATCAGATTTAAGCAGCAACAAGAAAATGCCAAATTTCTATCACATTTCAAACGGAAATTCGTTATTCATTCTGGTCGAAGGGATCTAAACCGGTCAACTTCTGAGCGTTTAATCAGGCCAAGCCAGAATGAGTTTTACCATTTACGTTCCAATTGTGATATTCTTACGCTTCGTACCATACAACTGAATTTGGACAAACCTGTCATCCTGTATTCGGCTTTTATTTACATCCTCAAAATCGAATCGGCCATCTCCGGTCAAAGTGCCAATCACGTTTTTATCTGGGTCGGATCAGCCGCCGATGATGACGACGTACAAGTGGCCAAAGAAGTGGTTAACCAAATGTATCCATCCGAACAATATCCGATGACCGTAATCAATGAAGGATTTGAACCTGAAATGTTCAAACAACAATTCGGAAAATTTACTGTCGATAATGATTGTTCTTTCATGTCATATTCAAGGCTGTTTCGTTGTTCCAACGACAAAGGCTACTTTACTGTGTCTGAAAAATGTTCGGATTTCTGTCAGGACGATTTGGTTGACGATGACATTATGATATTGGACAACGGAGTACAAGTGTTCATTTGGCTGGGTTCTCGTTGTAGCGAAATCGAAGTGAAACTTGCTTACAAAAGTGCACAGGTATATGTTTTGTTTTTGATTTACAGATTAATTTATTGAAATTCTTTTCCAGGTATATGTGCAAAACATGAAACTCAAACAACCAGAACGGCCACGTACTTTGATGTTGACATATAAAGGGAAAGAGACACTCAAATTTCGAAAATGTTTTCATGGCTGGTCCGAATTCAAATCGATCAATGATCCCAGGATACAATTGGATAAAAAAATACTACCCATCATTTATGAACATACAAATTTTTACCAAAAATCTAAAAACCGAAATGATAACAATTAATGTGATGGGCTTTTTTTAGAGTTTTCTTTATTATATTCGACATTATGCAATCTATGAATTATTATTGCATTATTCAACAAGACATATATGCTGTTTGTTATATAGGGCCTGATGTTATTGACAATAATTATCCAGATGAGATACATGAACTCAAAATAAAGAACTGAACATTTAATTTATATATAATTCAGTTTTCACTCATTTAAATCATCATAATAATATGATTGAAATTGAAAATTATCGGCAATTTCAATTTATAAAAGTGCTGCCATCTGTTAAAAGAGAAAATAACTTTTTTTTGACAATTTCACTTTTTAATAATAAGCGAACAAAAATAAGCAAAGTTGAAAGTAAATGTTCGGATGGTCAAATTCTTTTCTATTATATAGATAGAATATATAGATAGATTTATGTACAGAAACAAAATCACGCCACAGACAGACTTCTCGAGTATATTAAAATTGCGGCAATTGTTCGACATCTATAGTGTGAAACAAATCGAGTGCGTTTGCATCCACTTGCATTAGAGCTTTTCCACAATCCCAGATTTGAATAGAATTCGTTGGAGGCGTCGGATCAAAATTTCCCACTATAGTCGTTATAGTTGAGGTGGGTGATGAATCAGTGATCGTCGTGATCGATTCATTCATTTGATGGTTGTTTAGGCATAACTGATGCAGTGGTGGTTACATATCCGGTCCGTTCTTCAATTTGATTATCGGTTGTGGAAAGCACTTGAATTTCGTTTAATCTTACTACTTCACTTTGTTCGAGAGGACCCAGTATCAATTCGGTGGAAGTGTTTGGATCGCAATCTAATTGAACGGTCGAACCATCATCATTCGATGTGTATGAAGTCCAATGATTGTCCCAATGATCCGTGACAATCAGATCACTTGTGTCGTTGATACAGGTAACCACATTCGAAGTGGCCGAAATAACCTGATGTTGAACATTGGTCGGTACATTGGCATTGAACACTAGGCCATGGATTCGATGATCGTAGAAGAAATGGCTTTCATCAAGTAGATTACTAGTATCCAATTCATTTGGTCTTAGTTGAGCTGTACCGGTTGGCTGATTGTTTTTGACATTAATACTGTTACTGCTTGTTTCATCTGGGTTAGGACTACTAGAATTGACGGCTACCAGACTATTATCACTCTCGATCGGATGGATGATTTGTGCCACTGAATCGGTATAAGTAATCGGATCGACCAATTCAGAGAGATCGACATCAGTAAGTATAGTATTCCAACAATCGGTTTCAATCATATCCTGTACATTTTGGACACACACTTCATTTCCGAATCCGACAGTGGCGGTAGTGCTTGCCGTATTGTTGTTGTTGCTACTGCTAGTGTCGCATTCGACCAGATTGGCTACTGTAGACGAGAATGTATAGCTAGGATAACTAGTATCAGAACAGACCACATTATTCTTGTCGATATTGTCGATAGCTGTGTTCAATTCATTCATGTCCATCATTATTTTGTGCTGCTGCTAAACGAAAAAATAAAATTGTAATGATTACAATTCATCAATATGAATGGCTAATAAAATTTGGACTCACCTGGCTGTACGATTCAGCCGAATTTGGGGGAGTTTCCTGTTCAATGCTTGGTTCTCGATGGCTGGAAAGATTGGAGGAAGTTGTCGCTTCTATATAACCCATAAATAACTGAGAGGACGATTCGTTGTGACCATTAATGCAGCCAGCAGAATGTAACCAAGCTGTCGATCCACTTGATTGACGCTTTTTACGCTTATTATTGTGTTTGGCATAAATTGGCAAACGAAAACGATCATTATAGGTGGCATTAACCATTGGACTTACCTTTTTCTTGGTTCCAACAATCGATCCATTTTCTTGTATTGTGCTGGTGTTTTTATTCGATCTACAATTACCATTCATATGACTTGCATTTAGTGTTGGTCGTCGTTTCTTGAAAACACCATCTACGAGGCTATTTGCATAGACGGGATCCAGTTTCCAGAAACCACCTTTGCCCGGTTCATCTTTGCTGCGGGCAATTTTGATGAAACATTTATTCAATGAAAGATTGTGCCTAATTGAATTCTGTGTGAAGAAAAAAAAACGATGGACGATTAATTCATCCGATTCACATTCTTCATATGCTTGTAACAAAACAATGATGTTTTTTAAGCATTTTTTTACATCATTAACAAAATTATTATATTCTACCTACATCAAAATATTACAGATAAATTAGATTGGATGCTTGTGATAACCCTCAAAAGTCATATTAATATGAGGTATATGAATAAATTTTTACAAAAAATACAAATACAAAATTCTACAGAAAATAATGAGTCATGCAAAGACCGGAACAATAATAATTAGCAGGAAAAGTCTAATTAATTGTCGTACATCACGTAATTGTGAGTGTGTATGTGTGTGTGTATATATCATCAGCATGATCATGTTTTTTTTATTATATAAATTGGCCTATCATCATTTCAAAAAAAAACCGACCAAAAAAGATGTAATGGTAATGTGTAGGTAATTCCTATTGGTTCCAACCATCATGTTCTGGTAATGCACACATACATTCATACATACATAGAAATTCTGTGGATAAAAGATGGAAGAACCGAGAAAAGAAGGCGGCTCTTTTTATTGTTCAATCCATCCCGCTACATAGTGCATATATGATGAAAAAATGAATTTGAACAACCAGAAAAAAACCGTCACTTTGGTAACCCACGCCTTGTGTGCTACCACAAACCACAAACAACACATAAGACTAACAACAATGGCCATTTATTTATGTCGGTGGAGCCGTGGCGTCGGTGATTTTGTCTTTGTTTATGTGCTTGGGATTGTGTAACTATATTGCTGATTGGTCGGTTGCTACGCGATATCACACAAACAACGAATGAGGGAGGAATATGCTTGTAAAACATAAAACTACTATAGAGATAAAGAGAGGCAACGATCGATATGATCGCTTGATACTGTCAGACACAGTCAGAGATAAGTTTATATCGAATTCAAAAAAGAACCATACATAGATTGAATCCAATGTTCATTATAATGATGATGATGATGATGAAGCTATCGCATTCTATTCCATCATGAGATTCATTTGTTAGTTGAAGTAAAATAAGCAATAGGCATCTGACTATGTAACGATCGATTGTGTAACCATCATCATCACATTGTGTACTATCTAGCAGGAAAATTTTTCTAGTGATTGTGATCACTACCACCTACATACCTGCCAGTTTGGATCGGCATTTTTGTAGTAGAGAAAATTCTCTTTGATCCATTTGTAGATGGAACTGAGCGTCATTTTATTCTTATTGGCTTTCATTGCCATACAGATGAGCGTTGCATATGAAAATGGGGGTTTTATCTGGCCATTCACTTTATAGTCGACAATGGTAGATTGTGATTCCTGTAGTTGATGATGGCCATCATGGGGGTCATGTGGCTGCTGGTAGCATGATGTATTCAATGATGGTGCATTCGAATTGCCATTCGATTGCTGCTGGCTGTTGCTATTACCGGCGTTGGCTCTATTCTTTTTGCTATATTTAATATTATTGGCCATCGATTTTCGATTACTCGATTTCTTTTTATTGCTACTCGTTGTTGTTGTCGTCGTCGTCGTCTTTTCTTTGGCCCCAATCACCGATATATCGGTTGATGAATGATGAATGTTATTGGTTGTTCGGCTCGATTTGGCCATTTTGGATGCATTTCCGTTGGACAAGAAAATCTTTTCATTGGACAAACCGACTTTGCCGATGTTAATGGCTTGAGTAAGGGAATTATGGCTGCTTTCTGGAAATGAACTGGAGATTGCTTTTGATTTGTGACTCGGGATGGATGTCAATTTGACTGACTTGATTGACACCGATGATGGAATTTTTGTTGTTGTTGTTGTTGTTTTTGACTGCGATTGAAGCTGTATAATACCATTGTTGCTTTGACAAGCGGTTACTGATGTTTGTGAATTGAGAGGAAAACAGACTGGACTGGCCGGCGGTGTGGGTGGCGTTGGCGCTCCTAAACGAGTCATACACATGTTAAGATTTTGAAGCCAACTCAAACTAGTGAGGCCATCATCGTCAACGTTGGAAAAGGCGGCAATATCCATCGAAGACTTGGATGAAGAAGATGCTCGTACCGATTGAATTGGATCTAAAGTATCGGTACGAGCTGCAGCTGGTGATGTAATTGATGGCCAGATTGTTGATGGTGATTGTTCGTATGTGGTTACTGAGGACATCATTGGTCCAATACTATAGGATAAAAAAAAGAAAGTTTTAGAAACGGCCATCGAACTCAGAGGGACTTGTATTCAAACAAACATCTCCAGTAAGCCATGTATAATTAGCTAACCGTTCTTTTTCAGCCGTAGAAACAACGGTTCTTTCGACACGTATGGCTGATTCTACAGTTTATCTGGGATGACAATATCCTATTGAACAATATGTTCACGTAATTGTCTTCTGTGTCGTAGAGAACAGCATCGTTGCCCTGACACGCGCTGCTGGTGATGGTGACACGTGTTACCTTCACCCAAAGCTATTGTTTTCCCATTCTTTGGCCCAAGGTAATCGTGGAAATGGCAATCATTCTCTCTCTCTCTCTCTTTCTCTCGCCACGATGATTGTCTCTTGGATGAAACAATCAAATGAATTATTCGATTGCAATCTCGTTCATTCATTGTTTCATTTACTATTTCACATAAACGGTTCTAAATGTAAATGTTTCATTCATCAATTCCATAGTGACGGTTCAACCGAAAAAAAGGTTGCCATCCCTGAACGAAAGAATCACACAACCATTCAATCGAAATGATTACAATTTCTCTGTCGATGACATGAAATACATTCAAAACACAAGAATCAATCGATAAATGAGAATACCTGTCTGGCTATTTGATCATCATGATAAATATAGTCATAGGTTAGTCTTTGACCATAGTGGTCAGAATGAGAATAAAGAATAGGGTGGTCGGCCCTTATGGTCATCATTCTCTTATTACCTAAATGGATTTTAGCGTGTGAACATTATGTGGTAATTATCGGCCAAAATTGATTTGACACTAACCGCTACACAAACACATACACACACACACACATACGCATAAACATATACAAAATAAGTATTGTTTGGTGGTGAAACCAAAAATAGAATCGAATGGCATAACCAGTAGCATGACGTTCGATTATATTCCAGGAGCTCAATATCTCATTGTTAAAATTGTATGTGCTTTATCCAAATTGCCGCTCGACCAATGTGCGTGTGTATGTGTGTTTTGTGGAAAGCAATGGACAGGATTGCTTTTCAAGAATCCAGCATGTTTATGTTTACTCATCATAACCACAATACCATAACATGAAAATCACCTTTGGGAGATTTCTAACAAATTGTTCGAAAAAAACTCACCTTGATTTGTAAATGTTGAATGTGAATTGTGGTAAAAATTTGCGATGGATCAATTTAATTGATCGAATCGATGGTCATACACACACACACACACACACACAAAAGATAATCAAACACTAATAATGATGAATAATTGGTATAGAATGATGATTCAGATAAAAACAAATAGATCGGCCATGATAATAATCACAATAAATTGACTAGAAATGTTTGAAATATTTGTCGACACAATGGTTCACATTATCATCATCCAAACACAATGATGGCTAGATGACGAATGTTTTCAGATATATAAGATGCATGCATGCATCATCATAAAACAAGAACAGGTCAGGATACGAATCGTGATGTGAATGAATCGACCAATTGTGTATATGTTTTTTTGTTGTTGTTGATCACAATTCGAAGCTTCGTTTCATTTCGTTTCGTTTTTTTTTTTTTTTTTTTTGGTTTTATTGGCCCTACAAAGAAGAAGAATAAAATGTTAGCAAATGAATGATTGGTTAGGAATGAAGAAGGTTTCCCATATATATAGGCTATATATACTTACTCCTCGGGTTCCAACATTTGCTTTTTACCTTTTTTTTTGGATAGGATGGATGGCTGAATGTATATTATATGATTGTGATGTGTTTGGCGCGCGCCGTTGTTTCTGCATCTGCAAAATAAAAACTGTTTTTTTCACACACACACACACACACACACACACACATACCTGGTTAGATTCGACATTTCGGCTAGGTTGGCGCACACACACACACACACACACCAACCACAATATTCTAACCAAGAACAATAATAATTCAACGATAGTTAACATCAGCGACGATGCGACTATCGAAATATAACCCAAAAAAATAGAATGCTAACTATTGCATCGCATCATCGTCATCATCATCATCATCAATGATACGGTGTGTGTATATGGATGGGAAACAACCGCCCACCAGTTCAGGTATCCCAACCCATTGCAAATGATGAAAGCAAGAGCTTATTTTTTTTTCATTTCGTTTCGTTGGTCGATTCGATTTCGATTTGAATTCTGATTTTGGTTTGCATTGTTTTTTACCATAGTCAGTATTATTATTTGGTGAGAGTGAAATTCTCCATCATCATCATCATCAAATGAAAAAAATAGCGAGCAATAATTGCCAATCTTAATGATAACGGTCATATGGTGGCACCGTTTTTGAAAATGATGAGTAAAGAATATCAAGAGAATCCGTCAACGAAATCATTATAGTCGTTGTTTTTTATGGTTTTTACCCAAGAAAAATACCTGAAAATGACTATCATTTTTGATGGATGGATCGATGGATAACAAGCATTTTATACAATAAGAACCAAAAAAATAAAAGCAGGGATTTTTTTCGAAAAAAAAAAAAAAAAGGAAAAGTTTCGAAATAAATCTATACTGTTCATATAGTACGTGACGGCTTGAAATCGAATAAACAACAAATAAATATAAATCCACCCTTTAATAATCATTTGAATTGATGAATTTTTTTTTAAATATTACGATTTATAAATTCTAATATATATCAATGAAATGTTGAGACCAAAAACATTGACACAAATCCTAAATCAAGCCAACACTGCTGGTATTTCTGCTACGTTGTAAGTAAAACAAATTAACTTGATTTGTTTGATCTTGGTCCGATCTTTTTCAAACTTTACTTTTATCGAGATTAGATTGTTCAACAAAGATGGCCGTTTATTAGCTTATTCTGGTTATGGTGATAAAGATGTTCGAATGATTGCTGCAATAGCTAGCGGAATTTGGGCTTCATATAGTAATTATGGCCGTAATCATCTGGCTTCAAGTCAATTATCCTATGTATACATTGAAGCTGAACATGGTATTGCTTTGATAGCTGCCGTAGCCGATGTTCTTCTTTGTTTGTATTCACGTGATTCTCCTGTCAATGTTGATATTGGAACATTGAAACAAAAAATGAAAGCTTTAGCTGATCATCTGGAGGCACCATTATCACAATTATCTGGAATATAATTGATCAATTTTTTTTCTGTTCGATAGATAAAGAATTTTTTTATTATTATTAAAACAAACTGGCAATTATTATTATAATAAAATAATAAACACAACAAAGCAAACAAATAATTCAATTCTACAATTCATCATTTAGTTGATTAGTAATCAGAGGTGGTTTTTTTGTTTCATTTCAATAATTCGGCCATTCGATTCAATGCACTACCAGCTTTGAACCATTCAATTTGAAGATCATTCATTGTATGATTTAACGTGATGGTTTCGGTTTTTCCATCTTTTTGTTTAATGATACATTTGACAGGCTAGTGGAATGATTTTGAAAAGAAAACAATAATTTAGTTATGAGGTCATGATCAAACATTTTGTCATACCGTTCCAGGTGCCAGATTTTTTAGATCCACCAATGAAATTCGACTATCTGGTTGGATTTTATCATAATCAGCTGGATTGGCAAATGTAAGTGGTAATAGGCCTTGTTTTTTCAAATTGGTTTCTAGAAAAAAAAACAAGAGTCAAAAACATTGATTTAGCATCATCAACAACAAACGAGTACTTACCATGGATACGAGCAAAGCTTTTCGTGATAATGGCACGTCCACCAAGATGTCTTGGTTCCAATGCAGCATGTTCTCTACTACTACCTTCACCATAGTTTTCTTCACCGATGGCAACCCATTTCATATTTTTTGATTTATAGAATCGAGCTGTATCAGGCACCGGTCCCCATTCACCATTGACTAAATTACGAACTTTATTGGCCTCGTTATTTTCAGAGTTGATAGCACTACACAATAACAAAATAACAAAACAGAATGGTTAATTGAAATGACAGAAACATAACAATGATGAATAAACAAACAACATACCCGATAAACATATTGTTAGAGATGTTATCCAAATGACCTCGATATTTGAGCCAAGGACCAGCCATACTGATATGATCGGTGGTACATTTACCTTTGATTTTGATTAAAATAACCATATCTTCAAGATCTTTACCATCCCATTTATCGAATGGTGATAGTAGCTGCAAACGATCGGATTTTGGATCAACTTGTACCTGAGTTTCTGAGCCAGCTTTTGGTGGAGCTTGATAAGTATCGTGACCAGGATCAAAACCATCTTTAGGTAATTCATCACCGGTAGGTGGTTCTAATTTAAATTTTTTGCCATCAGCACCAGTTAATTCATCGGTCAATGGATTAAAATCTAAACGACCAGCAATCGAAAGAGCTGTGACCAATTCTGGTGATGTTACAAATGCATGTGTTGCAGGATTGGCGTCATTACGGCCAGTAAAGTTTCGATTATAAGATGAGACGATTGTGTTTTTTTCACCTTTTTTAATGTCTTTACGATCCCATTGTCCAATACATGGGCCACAAGCATTGGCCAAAACAATGCCACCAAATTCACGAAGTACTTTTGCTTGACCATCACGTTCGATTGTCGCTCGAATTTGTTCAGAGCCTGGTGTCACGGTAAAGATTGATTTACTTTTCAGGCCATGATTCAATGCCTGTTTTGCTAGACTGACCGATCGATTCATATCTTCGTAGCTACTATTCGTACAGCTGCCAATAAGACCAACTTTAACTTCTAATGGATAACCATTCTTTTTGGCATTCTCACCCAATTTTGAGATTGGATGAGCCAAATCCGGTGTGAATGGACCATTAACATGTGGTTCAAGAGTATCCAGATCAATTTCAATGATTCGATCGTATTTACATTCAGGATCAGCCGACAATAGCCCACGATTTTGATCGGCCAAATCAGCAATAGGTTTTCGATTCGTCGATACCAGATAATCTCTCATTCGAGAATTGTAAGGGAAAACCGATGTTGTGGCACCAATCTCGGCGCCCATATTACAGATCGTTCCCATACCAGTGCAGCTTATCGAATCGACACCTGGACCAAAATATTCGACAATGGAACCAGTACCACCTTTTACGGTAAGTATATCAGCTACTTTCAATATAACATCTTTCGATGATGTCCATCCATTTAATTTGCCTGTTAATTTAATACCAATCACTTGAGGACATTTAAGTTCCCACGGAATATTGGCCATTACATCTACGGCATCAGCACCACCAACACCAATGCAAAGTCCTCCTAGACCACCACCATTCACGGTATGACTATCGGTTCCGATTAAAAGAACGCCAGGAAAGGCATAATTTTCAAGGATGATCTACAAGTGAAAAGAAAATGTCATCATTATAATACATATGAATCAAAATGATGAAAACTCGTATCGATTCTACACCTGTTAAATGATCATTTCAATTTCTGTTAATCAACTTCACGTCACAATCAGGCAGCTTATGTGCAAATTGCCACGCAATGATCAATTGATTAACGAGATCAGAAAAAATACGAAAATCAAGTTTTACCTGATGAATGATACCGCTACCAGGTTTCCAGAAACCAACACCATATTTAGCTGAAGCAGTACTGAGAAAATTGTACACTTCTTCATTGATTTTAATGGCACGTTTCAGATCTTCAGCACCACCAATTTGTGCTTCAATCAAATGATCGCAATGAACCGTACTAGGAACGGCAACACGAGCTAAACCACTGGAAATAAATTGTAACAATGCCATCTGAGCTGTGGCATCTTGCATAGCAACACGATCAGGTCGTAATCGTAAATAACTTGTACCACGTTCAATGTCCTGTTCACGTGCATTGTCCAAATGTGAATAAAGAATTTTTTCCGATAAAGTCAATGGTCGTTGCAATCTGAACAAAACAAAACAAAAAATCAGTTACAACTAAAATTCTTAAATGAAATATATAAAAAACCATACCGATCACGAACTATTTTTAAATTTTCACTCAATTTTGTATATGGCATCGGTTCATTATCGAAACGGCTCATTGGTACGGCAGCTGATGCAAAACATCGTGAATTTTTACTATTCAACGACCAACGCCAAACACCAAGATATGGCTTAATGATGATGATGATGATGATAATAATTCATAGATGAGAATCAAAAAAAAAAAAAACAAAACAAAATTTAAAGGTTAATGGCATCATGTAAACAAAACAGATTCGTCCTTCATATGATCTTTATCAAACAAAAACAAAAAATGATAACCTCTCATAATCATCACAGACAATCAAAAAAAAAAAAAATTATCACTTCAATACCTTGGTAAGAGATGTACGATATAACATGATTAATGATTAATTTTTTTCTTAAATCAAGAATACAACGTTGTTTCACAATTAGAATGAGAAGATTGTTGCCGGTATTTTTCTGTTTTTTAAATTTAAATAATTTTATTAAAGTAAAGTAAACAGGTCACACATACTAGCGTAGACAGTTCACTTTTTTTTCAATAATAATCGTCTGAATGAATGTGTGTGTGAATTTTAATGCTGCACAGTGAAAGATTTTGTCCTATAAAATGTGAACACAATATCACAACATTCTTTTTTTTTTTTTTTTTTGATAGTCGTTCATATAGTACGTATGCTTGGCCATTTCATAACAACATGATGATTTTTTTTTCGATCCAATCTTTTCTATGAATCAATGAAATGATAATATCATGGTCGTCGTCGTCGTCGATGAATCAAATATGATCAGAAATCCAGATATAATTTTTTTTATAACAATCAATAGCCGGTACAATACAATCATCATTGGTATATATAATATTGATGAGACGATGCATTCAAGGCCACCAAAACAACATTGTTGCATACATGATGATGGTGGTATTGAATAAATCGTTGTTCATCATCATCATCGAAAAATAAAATGATTGGATTATATGACGCAACGAGGCGCACACCATCACACACGCAAATTCGAGTTTTTTGTTTATTATTATTTTATTGTTTATATTGTTTATATGATCGTTGATATGTTTTCAACACAGTCACACCACCATCTTCACTCAAAACCGATATTTCATTTTTTTTTTTTTTTTTTTTTTGTGGTATTAAATTGACAATTCGGTAACTTATATATGATTCTATGATATCACACAAGAACAACACAACAAGAAATGTCGATTCGTGGAAATATTAAAAAAGTTCTTTTTCCTCATATTGTCAAACATATTGTCATCTCATTATGTGGTGCATCGATATTTTTTATCGGATATTTGATGTTTGATTTGATATCCACATTGGTGGATGAAATTCAAAATAGCCCTTCGAATTCGTCCAATATGCATGATGGTGGCCATAAATCCGATGATCCAATGACAACCGGAAAAGGTAAGTTATTAATTATCGAATGAATGAAACATTTCAAATGATTCTTTTTTTTTTTTTTTGTCTTTTCTGTTTCAGTACTATACTATTTCCGTAATTTCTTTATGCTTATGTTATTCGCCTTAATGCAATTATTTGGTCTTGTTGGTGCATTGAAACAGAATCGAAACATTTTGTCTACATTTATTTGCTGTCTAATGGTTGCATTTGTTATGATGGTTATTGATTATCTAACCAATACTGGTTATCTGTCATTGGGCATATTTTTTCTTATTCAAGCATCGTTTGCCTATTTATTGATGATTTTAAATCAATATCGTGGTCATCAAATTTCGAATATACATTATATACCAATGCCTGATGAAGATGTTGGATCTATTGGACATCGGCCATCAATTGTATCATCAGATTCAATGCGTTTTTGAACCACTCACACATGTGATAAATAATGGACTTATTACGTTTAAAATGTTGATTACATGATTTTTTATTTTATTTTATTTTTGATTTGATTTTGATTTTATTCATCTTAATGGCAATAGAATAAAAATGTATGATAAACATGTGATAATGGTTGTCATAGTCAAAATTATTAAATGTTGTTGATTATATTGTTGCGTAGTAGCACGATTACAATTATCTTCGGCACAATAACATTCTTCCCAATATACACCATTTTCATAATAACCCCAATCACAACTCCATGATATACCACGTTCGCTGACCTGTGCACAACGACGTATTACACTACGCCAGCGGCCATCCCAAATGAAACCACGTGGTCCTTGTTGTATGGATTTGAAACAAAATGTACCTGGTGTATTTGCTTCTTCACCCATACAATCGACAGCAATATGTTGACTATGATTGAATGCACGATACGCTCCACAATTATCGGAATTTTTACCATCTTTTTCTGTACTACATTGATAACATTTGATTGCCACAACTACAGGAAATCAATCACATGAGGAGGGGTAATGAATGATCATTAGCAAACAGGTAGGTTACAGAAGAAAAAAAATCCAAACAAACAAACAAACCTCTACAATTTGACAACAATATCGATACTATGGTTATGACCATCAAGGTCATCATTGAACAAAAGACAGATAAATCCATTGTCAACGTCCCAAAGGGGTCGATATACTTTTATTGTTTGGAACCTGTGGGAATGCAACAGTGGTGGTGGTGGTTGTTGTTGTTGTTGTTGGTCACAGTCTGTCAGCAGGTAAACTCATCATGTTGAATTCAGCTAAAACCCCGAACATACAATACTGTGTGTGTGTGTGTGTGTGTGTGAATAGATGGGAACGTCATGGTAACTTGAAATGAAAACAAAAGCGGCGGCAACTATAATACATACTGAAGAAAAAACTGGCAGCTAAAATTGAGCCTCACCTTTCATTGTGGTGGCTATTTATTCGAAGATATGTCGATAACATACACACACACACATTGAAACACGTTGGGCTAATAATAAAAACCAGCAAGGTGTGATGTAGCTCGCGTGTATCTTTAAATGTCAGTTTAGTTGTTTATATTTTTTTCCTGTAACCATCATCATTCGGCAATCATCATGAAAAATCATCATCATCAAATCATCATCAAACTATGGATCATTTCAATCATGATTCTTGGTCTTTTCCTATCAAACGGTAATTTTAAATTGAATTTACTTTAACCATTATTTTGATTAATTGTCGATTATTATTATTATTGAAAATAGTATCGTGTATAAAATGTTGGGTATGTCATTCAGATTCTGATCCAAAATGTGCCGATCCATTTGATAATAATACACTGCCCATAAAAGATTGTCGTGAAGTGAAACGTAGCCATCTTTTTGAAGGTAAGCTTCTGAATTCAACATCACATCTGATCGAATCATTGATTTATTGAACAACCATAGATGAAACACCATATGAAACATTGATACGTAAAGATGAACAAAAACAACCACAATTAAAAATGGCAACAATGTGTAGAAAAATTAGACAAAAAATTCATGGCAATTGGCGTACAATCAGAGATTGTGCATTTCTTGGATCACCTGGTGAAGGTACCGGCAATGAACATAATTGTCTTTATAGAAAAGGTACATATGATATTTATCTAGAATATTGTACCTGTAATAGTAAAGATGGTTGTAATGATGCATCACAATTAACACCATCACCACCATTGGTGCAGATATTGTTTTCATTATTGGTAACCATTGTCTTCCTTTTGCTCATACAAAAATGAAAAAAAAAGTTCAAGATTGACAAAAAAAATTTGCCTGTATATAAAAAAAAATAATAATTTGATCACCACCAAACATACACAAACAAAACTTTACCATCAAACAAATAAATGATTTTTTCCCCCCATAAATTCGATATATTTTCATTATCATCATATGTGATGTATATATAAATAAATAAATCATCATCATCATATTTTATATAATCGTCTGTTTTGTTTTTGTTTGTTTGTTTGTTTTTTTCTGACTAGAAAATACCGTACACTATAGATAGATATTGGTTATACATTATCATTCAATTGATGATATTAATGGTTTAGATTTAGAGAAAAAGAGTTATAAATAATCGGTGGTGTGTGTGTGTGTATGGTTAAAGATGGGTAAGGTTATACAAAAAAAATAATGATAACGTACATTCATTCACAGATTTTTGTTGATTGAGCAATAGCTATAAAGTTGATGATTATCTGATGAAAAATAGATGATCATTCATTCATTCATTCAATCCAATCAAATCAAGTAAACGAGAATGCTTTGATGAAGATTTATCATCCATAAATTGTTTTGTAAATATTTGCATTTGATTCGTGTCAAACAATGCTGCTTCACGTTTTTTCATCATAAATTCATTCGGTAATAACCATTTGCTTTCATAACATTCTTCGATTGTGGGTCGTTTACTAGTTTTATAACGAGAAACAAAAAAAACAATCAATACTTCAAAATCATAATCAATGAAAAAGAAATATATATACTCACTGTGGTGTTAATTTAAAAACAGACAACAAAAATCGAATTGCTTCTTGTGTAACTCGTGGATATAAACGTTCGAAAAGGTATCTGACGAAAACAACATTTTCAGCCGTTTCTTGTGAATCATGGCCTTTGAATGGTGAATGGCCACTAAGCAAAATGTATGCCAATATCGCCACTGTCCATACATCCGTATATGGAAGCGTCACTGGTTCATTTCGAATTAATTCCGGTGCTATTTTTCAATGATTAATCAAATCATTAGTCATGAAACAAAGATTCGAAATCAAAACAAAACTTACCAATATATTCTGGATTAGCGGAAATTGTCAAATTATTTGTATTAGCACTACTAGTGTGATTGGAATTGATGTATCGTGCATTGGCAAAATCCGTCAATTTAATTTGTAGATTTTGTTCACTTATAACAAGTACATTATCTGGTTGTAATTCCAATAGGCCAATACCACGAAAATGTAAATATTGTATGGCATCTAAAACCTGACAAAGTATGGTTGCCACATGTTGTTCACTATATGATTGTCGTCGACAAATATATGTGAGAACATTTAAACCAGAACATAGTTCAATAGCCAAAGTGAAAAGATTACCATCACGATTGGCATACATTAATCTGGCGATTCTTTCATGTGCTAGCGATTTAAGAATTTCATATTCATGATTAATCGATGATTCTGATTCACTTTGGACAAGAACACATTTACAGGCCAATGTTTTCTTGCTACCATCTTTAATGTAAGCACGAGCAATAACAGAGAATTTTCCTGTAGAAATTATTGATTTAAAATCATAAAGTTCTTTAAATTCAGATTTAATCAATTGTATTGGTTGAACTTCTTGATTGTAATCGATTGGAGTCGATTTCGTTTCCATCAAATCATTACAAACGAATTGCATGGCCATTGGTAAAGCGATAGTTTTTATGCTAGCATCATCAGCAGATAACATAGTGACAGGTTCACTTGGTGGGCTTGGATCACTATTTCCAAATTTATTCATTGCTGATAATCGAAATTGATATGATTCATTTGGTTCAAGACCGGTGACCAGGTAGAATTCTTGATGAATATTCGAATCGACGATTGACCATTCAGAAGTGGAAAATTTTTTCATTTCTAATCGATACGATTCTATATGAGCATCAGCTACATGTTTTGGTGTTGACCATTGCAAATAGACATCATGGTTCGAATAATCTTTGATTGAAGGAGCGCCAACATTGTTTGGAACATCACCAATCGATAGACGTGCTCTGCTTACCACAGAGCCTAGGGTATTACGTGCAACACACCTATAAACGCCACAATCATATTCTTTGGCTGGATCCAAAATCAATTGGCAGCGACCATCATCTAATCTTTTCACTTTGGTTCGATTTGTTTCGATAACAATCAAATCATTCCGGAACCAAGTGTATGATGGTGTAGGCAAGCCTATAGCATAACAAGTGAATACCACTCTTCCATCGTCTTGAAAAGATGTATCTTGAAGTTTTTCCCGGAAAAATGGCATTACAAAATCAGAATTATCAATCGTTTCGGGTTTAGAGATTCCAGTTTCTTTTTTCAATGTTTTCAATTGGCCATGTAAATACAATGGAGTTCCAACTTCTCTTGCTAAACGTTTAGGTTTACGACCCGGTTTACCGCGCATTTCATCATTTATTTCTTCGTCCATAATGTCGGTAAATTTACGACGTTCTTTGATCGATGGTTGTGAAAATGTACCGGCCGGTACATATGATGTACGGCTCCAATGAGCTTGTTGTAGATTCGAAGCCATCATTGGACTATTGGCAGCAGCAATTTTCAAATATCGACGAATACGTGCAGGAAAATCTGTATCACGAAGCTGTAAAAGATAAGTGTCTGGGCCACATTGATAATGACTTTCGGATGTAAAATTCTCTGCACCAAATGTTTGATTTGGTGGATAAACATTTTCGAATGGTGCAACATTTCGTTGAAATCTTTTGATTTCTCGTTCCGGTGATACTAAAGGACTATATTGTTCGCCAGGTGGATAAATCATTCGACTTGGATGTGTATAACATGAATGCAGTGGTCGACGGCGATAGTATCGACGACACGATGCATTCTGATACCATTTATATGAACTATTCTTATAATCACGTAGCTTATCCATAATGTCCAAGGAAGATTTATATGGTGAATGTAAACTTGATTTAATCCATGGATGATTCAACGCTTGTTTCACATCTAAACGTTCAGTGGCATTGAAATTCAATGTTTTCCTCAGGAAATCACGACCCTGTTCAGAAATGTGACCAAGTTTATCATCGGATAAATCAAGATTCTTGTTCTGGATATTATGCATTGTGGCACGATCATTTTCGCCCAAGAATGGTGATATACCGGTCAAAAGAATATGGGCAACGATACCGGCTGACCAAACATCGGTGGTCAACGTGACGGCATTCTTTTCGACAATTTCAGGTGAAATGAATTCGGGTTGTCCAAATTCCACATAGACTGATGCACCGGGTGTCAGGCGTTGAGCTAGTCCAAAATCACAGATGGTTATATCTGGACCATCGATTCGTTCCATTAGAATATCGTTGATAGTAAGGCCAAGATGACCAATATTTTTGAAATGCATATAATGCAATCCTTCAAGAATCTGCTTAATGTATTCGGCAACTTCTTGTTCACTGATTGTGCCTTTTCTCATTACGAAATCCATCAATGATCCACCACCATTCATGGAGGTTATCAATGACATTGAATATGGTGTACTAGCGAAACAATCGTGTAATTGTACCAGGCGTTCATGAGCACCTAATTGATTCATAATGTCCAATTCTGAATTCATAAATTGCCGCATTTCACCGGTTCCATGCATCATTTTTACAGCATAACTTTTTCCAGTAGAACGTTCAACAGTATGATAGGTAACACCTTGTGTACCACGGCCCAATTCATCACCAATATCATATAATTGTTCCATTGGTTTGTTTTTCGGTTTCATTGCATCTTTATAGCTAAATGGATATTTATCATAGCTGATCTGTTGTTCCTGTACGGTTACATAAGCCGAAGTTGTAGTCGAACCGGCAAAATTAGTAGCCGTACATGAATATAAACCACTATCACGAACAATAGCATCATTGATTACAATGGACAGATTATCTGTATCTCCAACAATTTTTAATCGACTAGTATCATGTAATGGTTGAAAATCTTTGAACCATTTGATTGTTGCTTGCGGTGATGACATTACCGAACATGACAGGCGAATATGATTTCGAGCAATAGCATTTGTTTCATCCAATAATTTTATGAATTTTGGAGCATCTTTTCACAAACAAAATGGAATACGAAAAAAAATCCAGCATCAAAACCAAGTAAAAGAGAATATTGCAAACAAAAAATTTACCTGCTTTTACAACTTTGATCGTTTTTTTCTCTTCACCATGTTCATTTTTAGCCACACAAGTGTAATATCCAGCATCAGAATCGGTCATTCGATTGATGAATAAACATGTTTTACCATTTCGATCTTTCATGAATTTGAAACGTTGATCATTGCTATCAATCTATATTAACATGTATGATTCGATTTAAGAGACAAATTCCACTGGTGAAAAAAAAACAATACCTTATGATCACCAAAAAACCATTCAATCTCAGGTTCTGGATATCCATAAACCCAGAATTCTATTGTAACCGGTTGTCCAATCACACCAAACATTGATTCATGTTCATCTCGGACAAAAGTGGGTGCAGCAGCTTTGTGGTACAAAAAAAAACAAACAAACACAAGATAATCATACATCAACAGTCAAATTAGCCAACACAAAATACTTACCAACTTTTTCAGGTGGACGATGTTCCAAATAATAATCATCTGGTTTTTTCTTCGTTTCTTTTGCAGCTTTTTCAGTGGCTTCTTCATCTTTCAATTGTGATCGGAATGCAGTGGCCGATGGTGATGGATCACTTATACCAAATTTATTTTCTACACGTACACGAAATCCATAATCTTCAAATGGTTCAAGACCAACAATGTCACATTTACAATCCTTAATGTCTATTCATTAATAATAATAATGATCATCAGCAACATTTTTCGAATAGAATTATCATAATATATACTTACTGCCATGACAAACATTCCAAATGCCATCGGAAATTTTTGAAAATTCAACCACATAGGAAACAGGAAAACGGGGTTGTTCAGGAATTGATGGAAACCATATCAAGGTAAGACTGTTATCAATCATTTTCGTAATAATAGGCTTATCACATAATGCTTTTGGCACGCCTGATTGTCCAAATGATAATTCATCAGCAGCATCTTTGATTCGTTGTGCACTTTTCATTGATTTATGTGATTGTTGCATTCGATCTAAACCATTAATGGTGGCTATTTGCATTTGTGTGTGTGTGTGTATTTATGACGAAAAAAAATCATACAAAGAATAATTAATTTTCACTATGTTAAAAGGTTTATTCCAGCAACAAACAGCAATAAAAACAAGAAACAAAAACACAGAAAACATTCTCATGTTTTTATACATTAAAAAATTGACTATGATAACAATAACAAGGACATTAGGGAATCTACTATCATTTGTTATTCGAACATCTGAATATATATTCTTGTAGATTCTTCAGTATGGAATCTACATCTGGATTACCACTAGTACTAATGCTGCCTGAACAATCATCGGTTGTTGATACTTGATTCAAAATAGCAGAATCATTTATCATCATTGTATCGATTGGAAATAGGTAATGGGATAATATGATCGATACAAAATAAACTATTATGGCATAGATTATAACCTGAACAATGGGTGGACTATTCAAAAAGATTTTTCCTATCAAACGTATTGATTGTCGAAGTAAACGTTGATTACGTGTAAGCATTAATCTATTAGTGTTGCATGTGAGTGTTCTATGGTCGATTCTATGATCGCTGCTATTTTGGCTACAGCGTCGGCCATTATTATTAGATAGATTAGCCTTACTCTCGTAATTTAGTTGTCCAATAGAATTATCGCTGCCAAATTTATTACTAGCCATGCATCGATATCGGCCAATGTCTCCATCATCAATATTATGAATTTCAAACGTTATCATTCCATTTGGATTGCATTGGAAAATGTATTTTGAGCCATCGATTGTAATTTCTTTATCATCTTTAAACCTTAAATAATAATAGTAAAACAAATAAAATTCTGTAAATTTAAACAACAAATAATTACCATTTGAAATCTGGTGTTGGATTACCAACAACACAGGCAGTGAAACGACATGTTGATCCTTTGGAACAATCACAATCTTGCAATTTGGTGATAAAATGAGCTGCTTCACCTGCTTTTTCACTGCAAGTAGATATGAATGAAAAAAATTATGAGCATCACATACACACACATAGACATTATGATTATGATACATTACCCAAACAAAACATTCGATGATGTTTTATCCGATCCAACTTGATTGGTGGCCACACATTCATAGATACCAGAATCGGCCAAAGTAGGTTCGAAGATGGTCAACATTTGATTGCCATTGTGATCATCACGAGTGATAGAATACTTTGAACCACTTTCAATAGGTCGACCATTGAATGTCCATTGGATATCGGCCAATGGATATCCTTCTACTTGACATGTTAATTTTGTTTCCGAACCTGGCCGAGCTTCCAAGTCGGATAATTTTCGAACAAATTGTGGTTTAGTCATTGCATGTTCAACAACACGAGCAGTCGAACTGGTTTGACCTAACGAATTTCCCACACAAACTTCATAGATACCAACATCTGATTTATCGAAATTCAATATGGTCAATTCAATATCTTCACCGTTGAAAGAGGTGAACACTTTATCTGGTGACATTTGTAATTCTTGTCCATCTTTTTTCCATACAATTTTCGGTACCGGATGAGATTTGATTTTAGCCTTAAGCTGAACGGCATCTCCTTTACCAGCGCTCAGATCATTTAGTTGTTCAGTGAATGTCGGTGGACATTCTTCAAATTCACTGCCATAAAGAATATCCAAATGAGCTTTAGATGTAGCCGTTCCAAGATCATTTGTTGCTTTTACAGTGTATTCAGCTTTATCACGATGAACACAATCATTAATTGTCAATGTGTATGTATTGTCATTTGTTTTGCCAGTTGAATAGTGTTTACCATCAATTTGAATCTTGGAACCATTACGCATCCATACAATATCTGCTTCAGGGTTGGCCTCAATTTTCACTTCAAATTTGGTTGAACATTTCTCCTTCACAATCATATCTTCCAATGGACTGAGGATTACTGGTTTTGAATGTACAGTAATCTGACAGCCAGTCTCGATTGCGCCACCATCATTTTTGAATATGGCCGTATATGTACCACCATCGGTTAATTTGACTTGATCAAATTTAAGTCGTATAGTACCATCTGGTAATCGTTGTACGTGTATACGATCATCTGGTGTGATCAATTGAGATCCAAGCAAGAATTTAATGTCACCACTATCGTTGTCAGCACCACAATCAACTTGAAATTCAATGACACCTGGTTCACCGGCTATCAAAGTTGTCGATTCTAAACCTTTACGCATCGTAGGTTTGACAGTCGTTTGTACTGGTTTCATGATGGAAACTTTTGCTTCGCTTGTAGAATCACCATGCTGATTTGATATTACCACTTTGTATTGGCCAGAATTTGCTGATTCAATCTTACTCATTTGAAGCAAGACTGTTCCATCGGGAAAGTTGAGAAATTTGATTGAATCTGTTTCCTGTAATTCTTTTCCATTGCAATACCATTTAGTTTGAATAGGTGTGGGCAACGGAGTTGCCAAATGACATTTGAGACACAATTGACTGCCTTCATCTACTTTCGTATCATTTAGTCCTTCCACAATTTCTGGTTTTGTTTTAGCTTCAGCCGCTTTAAGGGAAGCTCGAGCGGCACTGAAAATCGTTGTGCCTTGTTTGTCCATGATTTTCACTTGATATTCACCAACATCTTTGGTCGCAAATGAATCAATGAGAAGAGCAATGGTTCCATTTGGTTCTTTTACGAAACCATGATGTTCACCAGGTAATAATTCTTCTCCATCTTTGAACCAGGCAACGATCAAATCATTGACATTCAAACCGTTGGTCAAATCAACAGCACATTGTAAACGACAAGGTTGGCCTGATTCGACTTGTACAGCAGATAATTCCCGTTCAAATTTCAGTGGATATTTCGCTAAATCTTTCGCTCCATCTTTGGCTGCTTGGTCATTATCTACAACAAAAAAATGAATGAAAAAAAGAAAGAAATAAAAAATTAGATTATGGTCACAGAGCAAAAAGGTAATCAAAGGCAGCATTTTTGGGCGTAAAAGACGACACATTTCAAAATTCAATTAAAAATGAAAATGATCATCATCGTTGGCTACGGCGTTGGCATAATTGTCATTTGTTTTGGCAAAAACAAACAAAGCAAGCCCAGCAAGAATCATTGATTCATTGGCTTCAAATTTATTCGACCAAATACATACCAGAAACAACATTGACCAAACAAGAATTGCTTAAATTTTGAGTGGGCGTTTCGATTTCAATTCGATATAATCCACTATCCTGTGGAGAACATTTCACATGGGTAAATTGTACTTCACCAGCATCGTTAATTTTCAAATCATTAACATCGGCTTTTTGCAATGGAATATTGTCTTTGTAAATGCGAACATCATTTGCTTTGATAGCAGAAGCTGGGCCAGTTGTCGATAATTTCATCGATAATTGAAGATCTTGACCAACGGCTACATTCTGTTGATTTGGCATACCTTCTTTGATAGTGATTTCTGGTTCAGGTTTGGTTTTTTCGACATCTTTTTTATCTTTAGCAACCATTGGTTCTTCCGTGATCGGTTGCTGTGGTTGGGCAACCTCAACTTTGGTGCTGACAGAAGTTTCACCAATCAGATTAGCAGCCATTAACGTATAGGTTCCTTGATCTTCTGGCTTAGCAGATTGAATCGCTAGACAAGTCTGCCCTTGATCATCATCGGTAATTTTGATTCGTTCATCAATAGCTGATGATAATGGAATCTTATCTTTCATCCAGGTCACTTTGGCAGCTGGATATGACTGTACTTTAGAACGTATTTCAATTGGTTCGCCCACTTGCACCTGTAATTTGACTGGTAAATCTTCAACGAATAACGGAGCATATGGTTCAGGTGTTACTTCTACTTTCGATTCGGTTAACATTTCACCGTTAGCATTTGTAGCTTTCAATGTGTAAACACCAGCATCTTGAGGTTTGGCCTGATTAATTTGTAACTGACATTTGCCTTCGTCCGATTTGACCAGCTGTATTCTGGGGCTTTTTCCGATTGGTTTTCCATCTTTGAGCCATTCAATTTTGGGTGGAGGTAATCCAAAAACTTGTGCTTCCAATATTAATGGTTTATTCGTTTCAACTTGTACCAATTCTTTCAATGGTTCAGGGAATGATGGCGGACGTTGTGGTTCGACAACCAAAACTTTAGCTTCGGTAGAAGCAACGCCTTTAGCATTCTCGGCTTCCACATGATATTGACCTGAATCAGATCTTTGTACTTTTTCGATAACTAATTGTGTACTGCCATCCTTATTGGATGCTAGCGTCAATCGACTATCTGAACTTTGTTCCAATGGTTGTTTATCTTTCATCCAACGAACAGCTGGCATTGGTTCACCATCTACTTTACAAAACAATTTTAGATCTTCACCTTCTTCTAATTTCACATCTTCCAATGGTTTCTTGATGATTGGTTCGTGCGGTTCATTCAGAAATTTTAGCAAACAAACTGTTTGTGCTTCACCAAATTTGTTTGTTGCTTTACATGTATATTTGGCAACATCATCTTTGGTGATGGTCTTCACTTCCAGTTTATGTTCCATATCATTCGAATCGATCAGTACACGTGGAGATGGCAATAATGGTTGGTCATTTTTAAGCCATTGAACATCGGGCGTAGGAACACCATCAACAATTGTTTCGAATATAGCACTTTGACCCAATTTCAATTTATTGTTTTGTTTGTCCACCGACATGACAATCTGTGTTTCATCCAATTCTTTGATGAAAGTTGGCTTTTTACCACCAATTTCGACAGCAAAATTTTTCTCAATCGTACCAGCACTGTTTGTAGCACGACATACGTATGGACCAGCCATATTTGAAGGAAACGATTGGAAATCAATACCATATACATTTCGTTTAGGTTCACAAACAATAGCTAGATCATCTGTTTCAGTGATCGGTCGTAGATCTTCTCCATGAAACCATTCAACAATTGGTTTAGGAAAACCAGTAATTTTGGATTCGAAACGTATCGGTTCACCATCGACAACACGTTTATCATCAAGACCATTGATGGTAGGAATTGTTGGCTCTATTGGTTTTTCGATTGTGTATTTCGACAATAAGATTCAAATGTAATACGATTCAATCAATTAATCGATCAAATGAAAATCAATGTAATTCGTGAAGGGAAAAACAAAATCATGAATCAATCATTAAAAAAAACACTTACCTTCTACTTCAAGTTGAGCACTTTGTTTCAAGGTACCGGCCACATTTTTAGCTTCGCAACCAATAACACCGGAATCCTGTTGTGTACAATTCTTCATAATCAACGTATGTGTATCACCATCAGTTTTGATGAGAATATGATCATTTGGTTTAAGTGGAATTGAATCTTTTGTCCATATTATATCTGGTTTTGGTACACCAGTAATGACGGTTTCGAAACGTACATTATCATCAATTACAATGGCTGAATCTTGAATTGGTTTTGAAATCACCGGAGAAGTATTACTGGTCATCACTTTAATCTCAGCTTTATCAGACATTTGTTCACCAATTTTATTCGATGCTAAACAATGATAAGTGCCAGAATCAGATTCCTGTGCATTTGGCACCTTCATACTGTATGATTCTTCACGAGCATCGAAAAGGATTCGTTCACTACCTTTGGCTTCTTTACCATTGATAAACCATTTAATCTGTGGTGATGGTTCTCCAGTAACTGTCACTTCTAATCGAATATCATCACCAGTGCTCACAACTTGATCGGTTAGATTTTTCAAGAACTGTGGTTTCGAACTAACCGTAATAACACCTTTGGTTGATGCTTCACCAGCTTCGTTCTTGATTCGACATTCATATTCACCACTCATTATGATACGGATATTTTCAATTTCAAATTGATAAATATCATCCATTTCTTTACGGATAACCACATGAGCAGATGTACTGATCTCTTCACCATCTTTGTAGAATGTAACTTCAGGTCTTGGAAATCCAGCCAATTGTACGGTCATCGAAACATTATTACCTTCCATAATGTCTACATCCTGTAATCCTTTGATGAATCGAGGTGGAGCAAGCAAATCAAATCGTGCGGCCGTTTCAGTGGCACCAAAATCATTCGATGCTACACATTTATATTTACCAACCATTTCTTCAGTGGCTTTCATTACGATCAATTTGTATGAATTGTCCATTTTATCTTCAATTTTTTTGTAATTTTTATCCGAATCTTTGATTTCTTTATCATCTTTATACCATTTTACCAATGGCTTACTGGAACTTTTATCCAATTGTACTACCATTTCTACATTGCTTTGCATTTCTTTAGCAACGATATTCTTCAACACTTTGCTGAAAAGCGGTTTGGATGCCACCTGAACCTGTGCTTTTGATTCACATTGACCAAGGTGATTGGTGGCTTTAATCATGTATTCACCAGCATCATCATCCTGAAATTTATAAATGACCAATGAATATTCACAGTTAGCTTCATCATATCCTTCGGTTTTTTTATTGGTAGCCACAATTTTCTTATCGTTACATGTCCACACAACATCTGGTTTTGGAATGCCTTTGATGATGGCCGTTAATTTAACTTCTTGGCCCACATTTGATTCGACATTGCCTAGATGTTTGACAACATAGGGTGCACATTTTACGATTAATTCAGCGGCAGTTTCAGCTTGACCTTGAGCATTTTCTGAACGACAGACATATTGGCCAGCATGTTCAGCAGCCACTTTTGGTATGATCAAAATTGAGCTGTCATCTTTGTCGATAATTTTATAGGGTAAATCATTACTGGATTGACTAATGAGTTTTCCATCATGAAGCCATTGTACAGCAGGTCGTGGTTGTCCATCCACTTTCACTGCAAGTTGAATGTTTTCATCGTTCACTTGAGCTTGTAAATCTTGTAATTTCTCTTTGAATTCAGGGGCAGCATTCTGTTTGATTACGACCAAATTAGCATCAGCTTCGTCGGAACCTTGATCATTTTTTATTTTGCATTTATATTTGCCCTCGTCATCGGTAGATGCATCATCAATGATCAAAGAGAAATGACCATCTTTTTCTTGTTTAAGTTGAATACGTTCATCCAATTTAATAAGACGATCATCTTTATAGAATTCTACACGAGTACCAGTTGCTGCAGCATCATATTGAGCAGTGAATATAGCTTTCTCGTGTTCTTTAACCTGAATAGCTTCTAATTTCCGTAGGAACTTTGGAGCCGATGCTATGGTTTATAAACAAAAAAAACCAAAATTAAATTAAATGATGGCAAATGTATGGAAGGGACTTACATTTGACCAAAACTTGTGTGTTCTGTTTGGCTGTTCCAAGATTGTTAGCAATCATGCATACATAGTTGCCAGCATCTTCTGATGTTGCTTTATCTATTACTAGTCGTACAATTTGTTTGTCAGCATCGATTGAACTTTGAATTCGTTTGGATGCGGGCAAATCTTGGCCATCTTTTTGCCATTTAACAGTGGTAGGTGCCGGTACTGCATCATATGTTTGTTCAATGACCAGTTGTTGATTGTCGTTGACTTCTATACGATCCAAAGCTTTAGTAAATTCTGGTTGTTTGACAACAGCTAAAGCGGCCGATGATTCAATCATGCCCAATTGATTTTCAGCCTGAAGTCGATACTTTCCTGCATCTTCAGCACTGACATTTTTAATCATCAATGTAACGTTTTCTTCACCTTCGGCCATCATTTTGTAGTGATCATTAGATTCAATTTTACGATCTTCTTTGTACCAGGAAATTACTGGTTTCGGATAGCCAATTACTTGGGCTTCGAGCAACGCAACATTTTGACCTTTACACACATCAACATTAGACAATTCTTTGAGGAATTTTGGAGCTATAGGCGGTTTCGGTAGCTGTTCCACAACACCTTGAACATTAAGTTCAGCATGACAGGAGATTTTCCCACTACAAGTGGATGCAACACACGTATATAGGCCAGCATCGTCCGGTGTTACATGCTGAAATATTAATGCAACCGTATCTTCTTGGTCATCGAATTGAACCTGAAAACGTTCACTTGCTTCGAATTCTTTACCATCTTTGAACCATTTAAATGCAGGTGACATACAACGAGGACTGTATGGATCTCTTGGCGGTATTGGGGCATTCTCGTCCAGACCAAAGAAAACATCCTTATTCTTCGTAACGGTTATTCTGCCAGAAGTTTCAGCCTGTCCTTCAGGATTGGTTGCAACACATCGATATACACCAGCATCACTTTGACAAACATTCGTCAGGACGATTTCAAACACTTCTTTTGATTGAAAAAGCACTTGGACACGGTCATTAACTTCTAGCAATCGATCATCTTTGAAAATTTGAACTATCGGTATTGGTAGGCCTCGAACAATCAATTCAAAGCGTACACAACTGGCGCCTTCCAATAAATCAGTATCCTTGAGTTTAACTTTGAATTTCGGTGGATGAGGCAGAAATGAACCTCCTGGACTAGTTGGACGTGAATCACCGCAAAGAACGTTTAATGTTGAACTGGATGCAACCGATGTTTTCGAATCAGACGCAACAAACGTATAGATACCATTATCATCGATAGTCAGATTATTAAGTTCAAGAAAGTAGCTGTCACCTTTCTTATAGGTTCGATAATTTGTCCCGGATAAGACAGCATTATCTTTCAACCACTGAACATTAGTGGTACCGGGTGTAACTTGACAATGAAAAGTGGCCATATCGCCTACTTGTTTGGTTTCGGATTTCAAATCTCTAACGATGGCATATTTGGTTGGTGTATCCACCGCTGTTGAATCGACTTTTTCCGCTGTTATTGGTTTGACTATTTTTGTTTGAATCGGTTCTTCATTTACTTCTTCAGGTGCTTTACTTTTTTCTTGCTCGGGTTTCTGATCAGGTGGTCTTGAATCTTTAAATCTAGATCGTTCTTCCAATATTTTATTATTATTCTCATCAGTCAAATTCTGTTTGGGCTCCTGCTTTTTTCTTGAGACTGTGTGACAAAAGGTAACTTTATTTGATCCTCGACAAATTCTTCTTCGCTTTCTAAATCAAATGAATGGTTGATTGTTAAATATATAGATCAATAATGTTGATTCTACTTACTTGGCAATGAATTAATCATCTTTAACCAGGATTTGATTCGTTCCTGGTCTTGACATCGTAACCGTATGGGAAAATTTGAATCCGAGGTATCTTTTGATTTAATGATCAATGTATTGGCATCTTCATCACTGATTTCCACTTGCGGCAACTAGATATATTATTATTCAATTAAAGTACGAAGCCCTAAAAGTGATTCAAAATGCTTACCTTGATAATTTTTTCAACATTATACGTTCGTTGATCAGCGGTTAGATTTTTATTAATTTCAGTGATAAACATACGAGATTTGAAAAAGAAAATGAATCGTTCACGAGTGGTACCATCCGTATCAATTACATCAAAGAAATCCTACATCCAAATATTCATGATTATATTCATCATTCATACATTTAAATAATCTTACTTTGGCCTGTAAAACATTCTTAAGAAGATTACTAAGCTTTTCGGATGAACCAGTGGGCAAATTGAAATCAACATTTTTGTCCAATGTCGCTGTGTCGAAAGATTTGTTTTCATCTTCAATTTCAGCATCGGGTATGGATGCTACCACTTTGATTGCTTTTTCCAGATCACTAACATCTTCGTCCAGGCGTGATAAATTTTTCGATAGCTCCTATGATAAATAGTATGAACAAAATATGATAATCAATGACATTGATTTAATTAGCCATTAAAACCTTACCTTTAACAATAGTTGATAATCATTGAGCCGTTGTAATGGTAGCTGTTTGTTTGTATAAGTGAGTGTGGAAATTGAATAAATTGGGAATGGGTAAAAATCAAGGCAATATTTCATTAGGAAAATTAAGGCAAATTGAATCGACATTTTAAGATATTTTTTAAATGTCGACTTACTTTCAAGCGATCAGACAAAGGCTTTTCATCCCTAATTTTGACTGAATAATTCTGTTCATTTGTCAAATTTCATTTGACAAAAAATAATGATTAATAATTGGGTGGATTTGATAGACAAACAAAAACCACGATATAAGCCCACAAACACGCACACACAGATCAGAAAGAAATTAAATCATTTTTGGCAAACAACAACAAGAAAACTTACATTAAAATATTCGGCAACATCAGAATTATCATCCAGGATGGCCAATGCTTTCGGTAGATTTTGACAATATCGGCTATGATTTATGAAATCCGATTGAATACGTAGGAATAATGTACCAATCTTGCTTGGCTCTTTAGCCAATGTTTGGAAATTTTTGAGCAATATATCTTTATGAAATTCAAGTAATTCCTTATAACAATGGAATATATCATCTTTGACTGATCGAATTTCTTTTGGCGTAATAGATGAATCTGATTGTCGAATATATGTACGAACAACAAATTGCATATCTCGTATCATGTCTTCTTCTGTTTCTATTAATTCGCGAACAATCATGCTATAATCGATTGATTGAAAATTGGTATCATGAGCAAAAAAAACCAATAAAAAATAGCTAATAGAATTCATACTCTTTTTTCTTATTTAAATCTTTTGTTTGATCCGATTTCGGTCGTTCGGTTTCCATTGTCAATGATGCTGATGGTAATGATGCAGATTCATTGGCATCAAGTTTTTCATTAGTCGGTTTTAGATAGGCTGATGGAGCGAAACCTTCTTCGATTTTCGGAAAATTTACACTTTTTCTCGTTCGTACTTTCCATCTATATGTATATAAAAGTTTGCAAATGAATGTGAAGGTTGAAAAAAATTAATGAATAATACTCACTTGTGTGGCTTATCCTTGCTTAACACAATCACATCTTGACCTTCTTTTAGACAGATTTCATCGGTAGCACTACGTGGTGGCTTATAATCCAGAATCACTTGATATATCTGAGCCTAAGAGAGAAAAATTGGATGGAAAAAAAATTAAAATTAGAAACTATATATCCACATTCACTATGGATTCAGTTAATGTTTAGGCTACATTGTCTTCATTTTTATCAATGGGATTATTGTTCACATCAAGTTCTAATGATTGAGATCTTTGATTAGGTTGATTTTGTTCCTTCTTAGTGTCACACGTGTTTCGAATTCGATCATCACATTCGTTATTCGTAATTGTAGTTGTAGTTTTTTCTCCATAAACATCATCTGTTGATCGTTTCTTTTCCTTGAATCTAGCACGAAGCAATTGCGATGGATTCTCATCACGATCATTACGTAATTTTTGCCGTTTAGCTTGTTGCACATCTTGAGGTATTCTACCATAGGTAAGTATTGGATCTTCAGTACCTGTTGCCATACCGGCCTGATTAGCGACAGGAAAATGGAAATTATCACCAAGTACATCATGTTTCATTGTTATATGACAGCTACTACGACGATCAAATAAAGGGAAATCATTTTTCATTGGAAAATAATGTGGTTCATCCATACTAAAACTTGGTCCTGTAACACGACATAATGATGATGATCGTCGTTGATGTCGTTGATCATTTGGATCATGATGTGGATTTGATTCCAGATATTGTGTAAGTGAATTTTTTCTTGCCGTTTTTTTATCAATAACTTCATAATGTTTAATCTTTTCCAATAAAAGATCAGATGAACAACGTTTTAGATTACCACTACCACCTTGATTCGATATTTGTCTAATTAAACTTCTTTGATTAACTGATGGTTTTTTACGTTTTTTTCTACCGGAAATTGATTTCTTTTTCATTATGCAATTCGAACCAGGAGTAGGACTCGATGATGGTGATGATGTTAACTCATCATTCTTGACAGAATGAGAATGATGATGTTCATTCTGTTGATGATTGACCATCGAATCGAATCGAATGGATGATCAGCGAAGCTTGAAAATCTAATCCTTCGACACACACACACACAAAAACGGTGGTTTATCGTAAATCGTAAAATAGTCCCCGGTTGAGTACAACAACAACAACAACAAAAAAAATATGGCAACATTAAAATGACGTAGTAATGTAATAAAATACATTCACCACGTCAACCACAATCAACACAATGGGCAACAATTGTTTTTTTTCATCTTTTCTCTCTCTCTCTCATATATTCAGGGTTGAATTAGAATGTTTTCTTTTATGGATATTTTGTTTGGGTCTGTCAACAACAACAACGACGACGATGAATCCAGATCAAGATTCTCATCATCATCATAAGAGGCAGCATTAAATAAAAATTTTGAATGTCGGTGTTGTTGATGGTGGCAATGGCGGCAATGTTTGAAATTTTTTTCATACTTTTAAAAATAATGTTATGTGTATGTATAATATGGATAATTTGTAACTATGAAAAAAAATTTGAAATATACAAAAAAAATATTCGCCAAGAATGTTTGCTTGCTTGCTTTCAAAAACAAAAAAAAAACCAACAACAACATTAACAACGGTGATTCTATTATTAGCCCATTATTATAATGTGTGTGTGTGTGTGTGATGCCATGGTTATCGTTTATTATTATAGAAATGAAAAAAATGAGATTTCTTTTTTAAACTTGAATTCTTCTTCTTTTTCAATGTATAACAGGCAATGTTTAGTCATCTCATTGATGATGATGATGACATAGCTTGTCTAAACAAATACTCACACACACACACACACACATCATTGTTTTGGCAAAAGAAAAATTCTCATAATTTGTCCTCATTACAATTTTCATAATCTAGATTATCATCATCATCATCGTAATCGGATTTAATAGAGAATATTGTTGACCATTCGAAAATTAGGAAACTGGTGGAGTATATTGAATTCGGAATTTTCAAATCTCTTAGTAATGGCAATAATGTGATCAAACATTTTAGCTCATTCATCATCATCATCATCATCATTGCAGTCGTCGAAAACGACAACGACAACAAGATATAACTTATTATAGCTAAATTCGGTTCTGGCATTCTCTAAATGAATGATCTCGTTTCACCGATTTAAAAAAAATGTACTTAGAATTTAACTCTTTTGTTGTTAACATCAATAAAAACACAATGTTGATGTAAGCACATTATATTGGCCCAGACATGATGATGATGTTATGATCACACACACATTAAAAACACAGATATATTGACACAGAAACAGTATGCGTCGATGAGAAATAATAATTGATGATGATGAATGATTACCCGAGTTGGAAAAAAATTGATTGTCAGGAATAAACTCAAAAAACAAAAGGACAGAAAAAAGGAAAAATATAACGCAATGAACTCACCTCTTTTGAATCCATTCGAGATAATGAACGATTTATAGAGGACGTAACACCGGTACTACGCCGTCTATCGGAATATGATGAAAATCGATTATCATTATCATCGATTATTGATGGCGATTTTACATCATAACTTAATGATGGTCGAAATGATTTACGTGAACTTGTAAATCGTCCATCATCATCATTATCGACATCATCATCTTCATTGAGATAACTAAGTTTAGTACGACGTCTTGTTGATGAACTTGTCATTGAAGATAAGCCATAATCATCATCACCAGGTGATTCTAAGCTTGAATATCGTGATATACGACTGGTGGTAGTCGTGCCTGTGATACCTCCTTCATTATCATCTCGACTACTGTAACGAGAATATTTACGACTAGTGATTCTGCTGCTGCCCAAATCATCATCATCATCATCGATGCTGGTTATTTTATATTTACTTGATGAATAACGACTTGTTGAACTATCGCCGGTCATATCATAATCAGAATCTAAATGACTGGCAGTAGTAAATCGTGATGATTGATACGAACGTCTACCGATGGATGATGTTCCCAGATCATCATCTATATTTCTTAATGATGTTGGTTCATAATTGGATGTTCGACGTGTTGAATAGGTTCCAAAACTACTACTACCGCCACCACCAATATCATCATCACCGGATGTGAATGATGTTCGAAATCGTGAAGCGGATGTTGAACTACCAGTTCCTAGGCCATCATTTCCACTACTATATCGATATGATGATGATGATGATGATGCCTTGTATGATGATCGCATATAAGACATTTTTGTTGATGGATGCGATACTAAGATGGTTCACTAATAATAATTAGCCATTATTGATCGAAAAAAATTCAATCCAATTGTGTGTATAGGCAAAAATGCCCGACGATAAGGTTAAGGTAAAAAAAGCCCACACTAAAACACACAGATAATATAGAAACAGACACATACACACACACAAGAGAGAGAGAAACACCAGGCAGAAATATCATTGAAATCAGCCGTTGATGTTGATGTTTAATGTGGAATCACTATTTTTTTTAATTCTTTTTTTGTTGTTGTTGATTACGATTCTCACACACACACACAAAACATAAACTCGAATTCTGGTGGGCGATTATCTCAGCACATACACAACGAGAGAGAGAGAGAAAGAGAGGATTGCACATCAGAATCAAATAATTTCCTTAAGCGTAAACATTCTCATCATCATCAGTATTCACGGAAAAAACGAAAGATTGATCAGAAATTCTTCACTTGTCAACCAAACCACATAGAAGAGGAATTGTTGTTTGTGAAGTGAAGTGAATGAAGAATATATGGTGAATTGCTAGTGGTGGTGATTCTGATGATGATGATGATGATGATAGTTGCGGATAGAACTTTTTGTCGCCAAGAAAAAAAGTGGGTGAAAAGATTAGAGCTTCATCGTGATGGAATAAAAAATTGCATTCTTTTAAAAACAACTCCCCCGCAAACATTCATTCTTCATATGTTGATGATGAAGTGCGTCAATATTCGAATTGTATAGAATGAGGCACATACACCACTATTTTATTGTTTGGTTTGATTTTTTTTTGGTTGGCACCTTTTTAGCATTCGAATTCAATTCGAATAATGAGATCGGGTGTCCCAATTAAATCATTGTCGATTAGATTTTCTTCATTTTTTTTTTCTTCTTTCATTGATAGACAAATTGTCTGCTGTTTTTTTTCATTAACTTGAATCGATTGATAGATCGATTGATTGACAGTTGTGTCAAATTTCATTGTCGTTGTTTGTCGATAATTAATTCTCGTATATATACGTGATTTGATGAACAACATTCCAATTGAATAAAGTTGTTGTTGTTGGTGTTGTTCTCATTCATTGTCTTTCAGAAAAAAAATTAGCCGGGTTCACTATTTGTGATAGAATAGAATTGGCAATCATTCAATTCTGTAATTTTTTTCACCAAAATTATACTGGCATAGATATATTGTCGACCCGTTAAACACATAAATAACAGCAAAAAAACAAAATGAGAGAGAGAGAACAACAAAGAATCTAGGCTGATGATCAGGAACAAAGAATATTTGAATTTTACATACCGAAGTATATTGTTTGTTCGTTTGATTATCGAGTGGTATCCAACCACCATTCTCTCTTGTTCACGAGTTTACAGAAATAGAATTTTATTATTGTTATCCGTTGAATGAGTTTTTGAAGATGGCTGGTTAAATTGTTTGCCAATACATCATCATCATTGTTCCGGTTGTATAGGAAATAGATGTGGTTGCTGATTCATCTGACTGGCCAATAAATGAATGGATGATTAACATCGAACAATCGAACCATCGTACAACAATGGACTATATCGATCAAAAACGTCTTGTTTGTGTGGAAATAGAACCACATGTTGGTCACGTGATTGCAACGATTTTTTTTTCTTAATTTTTAGCCGTTTGATTGTCATTTTAGATTTTTATTCAAAAAAATTTATTCAAGTTTTTTTTTGTTAATCAAATTTACATCGATTTGATTGATTGGTAGAAAAAATGTACAACACTCAAACAAGACAACCGATGATGGATACGATGACAATCTCGGATCATGGTTACATGACATTGCCGGTAAGTTTTCCAGTTTGATTGATTGATCGATCGTTCGAATATCAATGAGGCCACCAATGGTTTGTTTTTTTCCATTTTACACACACACAGTTCCAGGTTCGTTTCGAGAACGCATTGAAAGAGCCAAACATTTTGATCAAATGTAAATTATTGACCGATTTAATTTATGAATCAACTTCAACGAATATCAAGGTTTGTTAAAATTTATTTTAAACTACTGATGAATCATATTTCAATATCAAAGGAAATGCAACATCGTTACGTACTATTGATTGAAGATATTTTCTCTTGTAATCCATTGCCATATGGATCAATAAATAATTGGCGTCTTAAATCATTGACAAAAGAAACAGCACCAAAAGAATTTGATTCCATTTTCTTTCTACTCAGTATTGATGGTCCAATATTTAAACTGATTCGTCATCTAATGAGTAATGATCAAACAATGAATAATCGTCATGAATTTTCAATCAATCATTTACCATTATCATTACGTAATTTGGACAACATTGTCAATCATCATTTCTTTATGGATAAAATGTCTACATCATCATCATCAACATTGAGTTTAAATGCATTCGAATTTTTTTTATTTCATTTTGCTTGTTACATAACAAAAGAAGAAACTACTACTACTACTACTATAGTATGGCAAACAATTCATTTGCATACAATTCAACATTATCGATGGGAAATATGATGAATAATGAAGATACAACACTTAATGTATTGTATTATATTCTTCTTGAAAATTATTTGGAATTTTTCATTCCAATTACTGATGCTAATTTATCATCTATGAAATCAACGGCTTTATCAACATCATCATCATCATCGACGGACAAAACAAAAGATTCGAATATTTTTCATATGAAATCTAGTAGTTTATGGAAATCACTTTCATCTACAACTACCAATCTATGGAATCTTTCATCTTCGTCTACCAACAATATACAACAACAACAACAACCTGGATATGGTTCTTATGGAAGACCAATGAAAACAATGTTCAACGATACTATCACCAATTCCGATAGATTTATGTCTGAACAGAATTCCAGTTTAGCAATGAAAAATCCAATATTCGGTAATCGTGGTGGTGGTTCATCCATTTTTAATCCCGAAATATTTAATCAATTTCAAAGACAACAAAATCTCATGTTAAACAATAATAACAACAATATTGCAATGATACATGATCCAAATGATCCAATTGGTAGTGTTTCATATAAATGTGATACAATACTGCGAATATTTTCAGAAATATGGTTGACTATCGGATCTTTTACTGTTCAACGTGATGATAATAATCGTTTAAGAATGATAACTGCTACTACTGGTCATCATCAGTTCAATGTTACTATTGAACATATGCGTGTTGTTCGTATTTTCATCAAACATCTACATTATTTCAGTAATAATAGCCATATGAAGAATAAATATAATGATTATTCAGTGATTAGTTCAGGTGATCAAATTAATAGTGGTGGTTTTGTTTCTGGCTCGCTCAATGCTTCATTGGATGAATTGAAACGTTCGTTGTGGTCGGGTACAAAATATTCGATACAGAAAAATTTATATGCTTTTCTACGTATTGTATTCGATCGATGGCCAAATGATTCAACGTTTCGTATACCATTGGAAACATGGCTAAGTTATATTCAACCATGGCGTTATATACCTGGACGTAATTCAAATGAAACTCTCACACATGATCGTTATGATTGGCGTCGATTTATTGATGAAAATATTGTTTTCTATACCACTCTGTTTAGACAGGTTATCACTAGAATGGCACGACAACTGGATCTTGGTTCAGCTAATAATTCATTACTTTTGTTTCGTGTACTGAAAGTTTTCAGTCAAGATAGCCTCAAAGAAATGATGAAAGAATCGGAAATAAAATTTCTTAACGCTGGTGATTTATCAACAACGGCCACTGGTCATCATGGATATGGTGGCCATCAATCAACGTCTTCGCTGTTTTCACATCGTCAATCATCACCTTATCGGATGCATAATTCAAGTAGCGATAAAAATGTTACATTATTGGAAGCTGAATTATTTCATCAATCAGAATATATATCAATTTTTTCACCAGGATTTCGTGATCAAATTATTGAATTATTGCTCAAGATTGCTAAATCATTACATACGGTCACTGAATTACAGAATAAATCATCATCGGCGAATAACAATAGCAAAGGAAAACAAAAAGGCAAATCAGAAACTTTGTTCGAATCGATTGTCAATTTTTTCACCATCGATTATTCTGTCAATAATCAATCAAATGTACAGACTAGCCGTGTTAATTATGATAAAATTCGTAATCATTTAAATGCATCAATTGAATTTATATCCTGTATATTCGATATACCGCAACAAAGTATTGAAACTATATTGGCAAATGCAAGAAAATCTGTTGTCAACAACAACAACGACGATGATGCTGATATAAAACGTCATCGTTCGAAAGAAGAGATTTATGAATTAGTGAATGGTGTACCAAAACTAACAGAATTTGGACTTTCACAAATAATGAATGGATCATTGAAACTGGATAAATTGCCCACAATTGTTGAAGGCAATCCTGACCGGCAACCAATTCGATCATATGAAATTGGCATATTGGTCAAATTGACATTATTTTTATCCACAGTGATCAATCAAAAATTTGGTCCCATTTTCCAGAGCTATTATGAACAGCCCAATTTTTATGGAACATTATGTCGAATACTATTGTCATCTCCTGTTTCTTATGCACATTATGAACGTTGTCCACAGGAATCATCTTCAGCAAATAATGGTGGCCACCACCAAAAGCCTAAAATTCGTATTGAAAAACTTCCACCACGTATAAATCTACGTTTTATGGCATCATTTGGATTTTTGTTACAAACTTTTCTTTTTTTTACATTTTTATGGTTAGCACAATGTATCGATTGTGTTACCGTTTATCTATTGATCAGTTTTGTAACAATTTTCATTACTTTATTGTGTAAATTATTCTAAACGTCGCAACAACAACAACGAAAACGAAAATAAAAATAAAAACTTTTTTAAAACAAACCAAAAATTTTTATTTGAAAAATTAGCTAATTTTAATTTCAATCAAAAGTCCATGTATCTTTAGCCCAAACAGGTGTCTGTGTTTCGAATGACCATTCTTTATGTTGATAACGTAATGCATGTAGATAGATAAATTGTTCATAGGCGACAGGATCAACCATTTCATTGCGGCATTCATTACAGTCTGGATCTTTTTCATATTTGCTAGAATCGAATACGTAACTGTGTGTGTGAGAGAGAAAAACTTTAGCCATCAATCAATCAGTTTTTTATTTTGTTTATTCTTACCTTGATTTCAATTCATTCCATATGGATTGCGAAGTATAATGTTCCAAAGCTTTCAAAGCATAACTATTTCTTTCATCATTGATTCTTGCTTGTTGTTCACATGGATCGATTGGTTGATTGCAAATATAAATAGATTTAGCATGTGCTTCTTCGAGATCTTTTAAAAGTTGTTCACGTGATTTGCCCAGATCACCATTGAAACCTTTTTTCTCACCAAATACTGTACTATTATAGAACGTATCATTGACAATTGGATAGCCAAGATATTGAAGATGAACACGTATCTGATGCATACGTCCAGTCATTGGTTGTGCCAAAACTGTTGAACTTTTACCATTATAATTTAAACGTGTAAATTTTGTAGTACTTGGTTTTCCATCTGGCGATGCAATACAAATACCGATCCGGTGATCTAATGTTTCAATTGGTTGATCACATTCAATTGTACCGCTAGTTGCAAGAGAAAAAAATTTTGAATTTTGAATCAAAATTTGAAAAATGGATTTACTTACTCTGGAAAGTGACCAACCACTCTGCAGACATATTCTTTATGAAGTTCTCGATTTCTCATTTGTTCATGAAGTTTTTGAGCTCGTGCTTTTGTTTTGGCCATTACCATGATCCCGGAAGTTAATCGATCCAACCGATGGAGAACTAAGAATGAATAAATGGATTATCTAATTCTTGTCATTAATGATGATTTGATGTAAATAACTTACGATGTAAATCTTTGATTTTTTGCTCTTTTTCAAGCACAGAAATGATCGAATTCAATCGAAATTTGCCACATGCATGAACCGGTAATGATGGTGGTTTATCGATGACTAATAAATCATCATCTGAATATATGATAGGTATTGGAGCAGCTAAAACCGGCAATTCATGGCGATGGATTCGATGAGTGATTAAATCATTGTATTTGAGTTGATAATCCAACGGTGCTGGTTGTCCATTCACTTTAAGGAAGCCTTTCTCAATTCGAAATGCTGTGATCTCCGGTGTTAAAGCTCGAAATTCTTCGGCAAACAAATCGCCTAAAGTTTTGCCTAACCATCTACCTTTACAATAGGAATGATATGTATAATGATAAGGATACACTTTTCGATTGCCATTTTCAATATAATAATCAGAACAATCCAGTGATTCTTTTGGCAAATCCATTTTACGTATTCGTGATTTTTTCGTCGGTGGCTGATCACCGATTATTGTATCCTGCAAATGAATTTTTTGTTAATTTAAATTTGAATTTAAATCTACCAACCTGATCGTTTGTTGGTTGTTGTACTTCCAACATCGATGATTTCGTAACCACGGTTTCGGTTTCATCTTCAATTTTACGTTTGACAACAGTTGCATTCATGGCCCAAGTATTGTTACGAAATACGAAATGTTTTATCCAATTCCAAGGAGAATAACGACAAGAATAATTGACAATCATCGATCATCATGGATGGATCAAAAAACAAAAATCCATTCGAAACACGTGAAAAAAAATAACCAAGTTTATAGTCTACATGCGATGTATGAACTTGTCAATTGTTAATAGTGTCCAAAAAGTAAATTCCAAATTTTCCTAATCAAACATAACGTTAAAAATGGACTAGAACTTTCCGAACTATCATTTAAGAACAAACGACGGTTGCCCATAGTGATTATTGGTGACAAGATTTGGAGTTTTTTTAAAAAATCCAAATTCAATGAAATGGTTTCATCCATCGAGTTTTCGAAAACATTAGTCATCAAAAAATGCCTCGTTCACATGGAAAGTTGACGACCACATCGAGTTCGGCTCAAACAATTCATCCATGGTACTATGTTCCAGGTGATAAATATTCAACAGAAAAACGATTAGCCTCTAAACATGAATCGAATTCCAATCGACAAATCCAAAACGAACGGATTAACAAATATTATCGGTGAGTATTTTTTTTTACAATTATTAAGCTCGACTCGACTAAACCCAATTTCAATAAGCAAATGGAATCAGGAAACAAAATTGTTGGACAATTGGGACCAGAACAAAAGTCTTGTCAAACATCATCGATCAATGCAAAATCTAACGGATCCACCATTCTACATTGAAGATGATATTCAAATTGAATTTGATCGAAAACAATATGATAATCATGTGCAAAAAGTGGCCACAATTTTTCGTCAATATCACCAGGCAGCCAAAGATTATCGAACGAATTTCATCGATACTAATATGGCTGTCGATTATCTCCTACGGCAGGCTGAACTGGATGAATTAATCGAAGAGAAACGAAATATTTTTTTCTCACAATGGAATCGATATGTTATCCAATGTAATGGTGGTTCAAATTATAATTATCAATCAGATCCATTACGACAGATTTGTTTTGCTATACGAGAATTACTTCATTTCTATAAATCATTGGTCGATGATAACCTGAAACGTTTGAATTCGATTATTGATGAAAAATTTTTCACTGCCACTGAACGTAATGAACTTGGCCAATTGAATGATCGATGTTTACAGATTATTGATATGTATCTAAATCTAAATGAATCACGTGATGGTCATTTTCAAACAATGTTTTGTGAAGAACGTGAAAAACAATGGCATGAACAATGTGACAGATGGTCTGAAGAAATACAAGTTTGGGATACTTTATTCATCAAATTATTTGATTCCAATTATCAATTGATTTATGATCGTCTTGATAAATTTCTACAACAGCAACGAAATCTGCTCCATGATCGTTTGATCAAATTAGAGCAATTACAACATTTGATTCGTGATATTGAACATGATGATCGGTTACAATCGATTCTTCATATCGATATTGATCAGCTTTTACAAAATTGACCACAGAATTGTTATTGTGATGATGGTGGTGGTTCCGATGAACTTTGTGAAGGATCAAAGATACCATATTGATTACGAACATCATCCCATTGACGTAGATTCATCGACAATTCTTTAACGATGGTGACGACATTTTTTATCTAGGGTAAAATAAATAAATAAAATGATGATTAAATAAACAAAAAAGCCTTACCGGCAATCGAATTTGTTCAGTAGAATCACGTTCTCTCAATGTAACCATTTCATCTTTACAGCTATCAAAATCGATCGTAATGGCAAATGGTACGGATATTTCATCGGTTCGTGCATAACGTTTACCAATCGAACCGGTATCATCAAATTTAAATGAAATATCTGCTGCTGATAATTGTGTGGATAGCCGTGTGACAAATGGTTTGAGTGCATTATGATTACTCAATGGTAATAGTGAACATTTGATTGGACATACAACAGCTGGTAATGCAAAATAGGTTCGTTGTTCATCATCTTGACGGATACGAAAACTATGTTCGAATAGTGTATGCATTATTCGACCAATTCCAAATGATGGTTCAATAACACCTGGTGTAAATTCTTCAACATGAACTTTTTTCTCATATCGTTTAATTGTTACCATTTCTTTTGTAATGGTCACTTTGTTTTCGTCGTCAAGATTCAATATGAATTCATTCTGGCCATCATTCAATGTTTGTTCAATACATTTGATTTCTGATTCATCAAGTACACTTAATCTGGTCATTACTTTTTGAGCATTAGCTTTGAAATGTTTACCCATTAGGCCCTTATTTGGTACAATTTCAACAACATTTACAATTTTAGGTGCTGGTAAATCTTTTTCCGCCACCAATTTAACATTGGTAGTTTTTGTATGTTGTAATAGATCAAAACAGGAACGATCAGCACAACCAACACATTCGACCCAACCATACGATGTCAAACATTCGGCATCCCAACAATCGGTAGCATAATGAGCCATTTCATTATCCATATGTTGACGGAATCGAAGCCGTTTTGGATCCACTCCAACTTTCACCATAAACAAATAGATACGTCCAATAAAATAGGCTAACGTTTCGTTGGCAATAATTTTACCATCGACAGCATCACGTATTCGTACCATTTCACTTGCTTTGCCGTCCATTTGATTACAAGCAGTGTAAAGATTCAATTCCAAATCGGCAATCGTTTCATATTTTGGATGACTTTTATTTGATGGATCGACAAAATGTTCGATTTCGGCCAATGTAAATTCACGAACTCGAATTAAACCGGATCGTGGACTGATTTCATTACGGAAAGCATTGCCTACCTGTGCAGCTGCAAATGGTAATCGTCGGTGATTGAATTCTAAAAGTCGTTTAAAATTGACGAATATTCCTTGTGCCGTTTCAGGACGAAGAAAACCTTTAACCTGGCCAGATGGTCCAATCATTGTTGAAAACATAAGATTAAATTCGATGGCTTCACTTAGATCGTTACCGGTGAGTGGTGATTTGATTTTGAATTTCTGAAGAATTTCATTCATTTGTTCTTTACTTAAACCATCCAATTTGGTTACAATAGATTGACATTCTTGTCGAATTTCATCAGAAGTTTTTGAATTGGATGCCAATTTCTCCAGATGAGCTTTAATTAAATGATCTAATCGAAAACATTCACCCGTTGCCAGATCTTTGACCATTAAATCAGCAAAACGTTCTACATGTCCCGATGCTTTCAATACTGGTTCAGGTGTCAAAACCGTACAATCCACTTCAAGCATTTGTTCTTGTAGAACAAAATGTTTTCGCCACAAATCAATCATATTGTTTTTGATGGCACAACCCATTGGACCAAAATCAAATTGACCAGTAATACCACCATAGATGGCGAATGAATTATCAAAAAAGAAACGACGTTTAATCAGATCTTCCATTTTGGCACGTTCAAATCCAGAATCTGGTGGTGCCAATTGCAGTGTTTTTTCTTCAAGAACGCGTTTTCGATTTTTTAATTCGGCCACCGCTTTTTTAATGTCCAATTCAGGTGCATTGTCCGCTTTAAGTTGACGTATTAGGTCACCTGAACAACAGCGAAAAAAAAAGAATGAATTATGAATCAACTGAACTCCAATGTGACTGGTTACCTTGTTCTTTCACTGATTGTCTAAATGGTTCAAGTTCAGCGGCAATTTTTGGATCTAATTCGGCCATAATTTTTTCAACATACAAAGGTTTGTATCGATTAATTTTTTTATATGCCCAATTCGACAAAGTTTTCTTATTTGGCAGCGATGACGGTGATGATAAATATAATAATCTACGTGCAGCAACGATTGGACTAAACAACAATCGACTTTCAAATAACAATGGATGAAATTTTCCTACCAATTGTCTGGTTGAACTACGGAAATATTGGCCAACAACAATTTCAATTGGTAACAACATTCGATTCAGCTCAAAAAACTGGTTATACGATCTACACACACACACACACACCGGTAACGACAAACTCGTTTTCTGAATCTTTACGGGTATCGGGTTAAAATATCACTGTTTACAGCTGATCAATCATCATTTGTCCACGCGTGAGATAACGTCACGTTGAAATTCGTGTGATGTGGCAATGCATGCATGTGGATGTATTTCATTTCATGTGATGGTTCAAGTTCAGCGGCAATTTTGGATCTAATTCGGCCATAATTTTTCAACATACAAAGGTTTGTATCGATTAATTTTTTTATATGCCCAATTCGACAAAGTTTTCTTATTTGGCAGCGATGACGGTGATGATAAATATAATAATCTACGTGCAGCAACGATTGGACTAAACAACAATCGACTTCTAAATAACAATGGATGAAATTTTCCTACCACTTGTATGGTTGAACTACGGAAATATTGGCCAACAACAATTTCAATGGGTAACAACATTCGATTCAGCTCAAAAAACTGGTTATACGATCTACACACACACACACACACCGGTAACGACAAACTCGTTTTCTGAATCTTTACGGGTATCGGGTTAAAATATCACTGTTTACAGCTGATCAATCATCATTTGTCCACGCGTGAGATAACGTCACGTTGAAATTCGTGTGATGTGGCAATGCATGCATGTGGATGTATTTCATTTCATGTGATTTTTCATCATTTTTTTTTACTATTTCTACCACCGAAAGACCATGAAAGTCGACATGGAATTGATTGGACCAAAAATTTTTTTTTCTTGTTTTCCAAAAGTCAAATCTTGAGTGTTATTTTAAATGAATGAGATCTTTTTTTTAGAATTTTAATTTTGTTTTGAATTTGAATAATTTGTATTTGATTGAGAGTAAATAAAAAGACCAGGCCATGCGAATAGCAAATCATAACAATTTCTTTTTCAATTCAATCCAAAATCTAGCTCGATCATGTGCTAAACAAAAAGAATGTCCAACCGATGCAATAAATTTCTTGCTTAGTTGCTGTCCATCACTTCCATCATCATCATCATCATCACATATTCCTCGTGTACAAATTGATCAAAAATCACAAGATTCAGTTGTTGCTTTAATCATTTTTCTGATTGAATCAAATTTCCATCAACGTTATCGTGATGATATTGTGGATTATTTGCTAGATTTACTCGACAAATTGATTGATGCCGATTGGATTGAAGAGATTAAAATCTATGAACAAGATCGTATACCGATTGCCGAAAGATTCAGTTTCTGTGTGAATACTGCACTTACTGATGTTGCTTATTTCTGTCCAGAACTTACCAGAAAAATTATTGACAGACAAATTGATCTATTAGAACGATTGACCAACTTGCTTATTGAATTTCAACTAAATATTGTAGCTGACGATTGTATCAGACTTTGTGGCCATTTATTACCAATATTTCTTGGTCTTTGTCGATCAATTGGTCGTTGTTCGGCTGCCAAACGTAACGATACAAAAGAATCATTATTTTTGAAATTATTTCCAGCGAAATGGCAACCACCACAATCGGATCTATCACAAGAACCATCATTAGATGCTGACAAGATTACCATAAATGTGCCGACAATAAATTCATCAATAGGACGGAAAAGTATTCCAAAAAGTGATACTAGTCAATCATTACGTTCGAAAAGTTTATTATTATTGGATAACCACCACCATAATCATCAAAACAGTGGCGAACAACATAAACGAATTTGGGAAGATGTAGATTATCCGAGTATTTTTTTCCATAAATATGGTTCCAATTTCGATTGGTTTGTCGATGATTATTCCACATATTTTCGTAATGTCGAACAATTTAAAAAAAATTTCACATATGATCATTTACAACGATTATTCGTTGTGTTTAACGCATTGCTCAACAAAGATTTATTGAAAACATTCGATGATGTTGCAGCCAAAGTATATGAGGTAGATATACAAATTGTTAATTTTCTTTTTTTATTCACGTGACTTGATCTTTTTTTTCTTCATTTAGCAAAATAAATTACGAATATTTCATTATAAACAATTCAACGAAATTGTCCATCTGGCTGTCATTGCATTATTGAAAAGTTTGCTATTTTTACGTACTGATCTAAGTCCAGAATTTATTGCTGAAATTGAAGAATTTGTTAAACTTCTTTATCTGAGTTGTCAATCAGAATTGAGTATTAAAAATCAATCAAATGTATCGTCATCGTCATCATCGATCAAAGTATTCAAATTTAATGTTCTTACCAATGCCCTTTGTTTGGATCTATTAGTTTGGACAGCTCAAGATGAAACTACAGCTGATACACTTAGTTTTCGAATATCTGAACGTTTAAATGCAACACATGGTCATCGATTAGTTGTCACACATTTGCCTATATTTTTATCCTGTCTAAATGGCCTCGGCTATCTGGTACAATCATTTCCAACGGCAGCAGTCAGTTGTATATCTGTGTTACGTGATTTTCTTATTGTTCCATCACCAATATTGTTGAAATTATCGGAACAAAAACATCATGGTCAAAATTTAGAATCAGGTTCAAGTTTTACCGATTCATTAAGCATCACTATAAGTGATTATAATGGAAAATCAATGGCCATTAATTATTCGATTCTAGGTGAAAAATCTACTTTATTCAACAAATTACGTGATTGTGCCATTGATAATCTTTGCATATGTTTACGACATGGTCTTAAATATGATTCACATTGCATACAAGCAGCAATAGCATCCATATCAAATCATTTATATCAGGCAGAAAAATCAGCAAGAGAATCTACGATAATTTCAATGAATACAATTGTAACATTGGGACGAATGGCAATAAAATTATCGGATATTCCACGTACCGTTGAGATTGTATTTCAATTTTTTCAACAACGTTTTTGTCAACCAGTTTCCGGTATTGATTCATTAATCGTAGAACAATTAAGTGAAATGGCCATTGCTGACCGATGTCGTGATGTTGTTTATGATCATGCAATGAAAATGTTTGCCACTATAACCATACAATCAAGTGCAGCCTATAGTAATGATATGAATGATTATAAAAATAGTTATCGTCATGTATCGTTGGCTGTGATCAATTCATATGGTTATTTTGCTCGTCGTTTATATAAAGAATCCGATTTGATTGATTTATTGGGCCGTCTATTGGAATTATTCGTACAGCTTGGCCTGGAAAGTAAACGTGCAAATGAAAAGAATCCAACGCTGGTGAAAACTTCAACCAGTGCTGGTAATCTTGGCATTCTCATACCGGTTATTGCTACAATAACGAAACGATTACCATTCCTGGAGAATCCAAAACCCCGGTTACATAAATTATTTCGTGATTTTTGGCTTTATTGTGTTGTCATGGGTTTCACTTCGAATACATCACTGTGGCCACAAGATTGGTATATTGGTGTGAAAGAAATTGCTGCCAAATCACCATTATTGAAATCATCATCACATTTACGATCAGATTTACATTTGAATTCCGCCATTCGAAATGATGCCGTATCTGGTCTGGAATTACAAGAAATTCGAAATCAAATTCTTGGTGATCTGGAATATAATTCTGAAGTATCAGCAATTATAAATAAATTAACATTTGCACAATGTATTTATCTATTGTCCATTTGTCGTCTAGAAGTATTTCGTGTTCAAACGAATTTTTCAATCAATCCATTCTATATAATCATGCAATATCTTGAAGATCATTCCATACAGAAAGATAAATACGGTATTTGGCAATGTATATTGAGCATTTCGGATAAAATATTCAATGTTTTTCTCGATATGATGGTGAAAAAACCAAAAAACAAAACCCGTGATAATGAATTGGAAGAATATTCAATCCTGTTGTTGGTCAAGTTTAATAATCGACAAAAACAAATACGTCGTGCTGCTGATCGTTATCTGTCCGGTTTGGTTGATCGTTTTCCACATCTACTGTGGAGCAAACGTGTACTGACAACAATGTTGAATATTCTTGAAGTATTGGGTCATTCGTTGGAATTTAATCACATGGAAGGTATTGTTGAACTACAAGTACCAGATACAAATTATTTAATACAATTAGCTGAAACAATGGAAGCAAGAGAAAGTATTGTCCGAGATTTTGGTGCACGTTGTGAAGGCATTATACAGGAGGCGGTAAAATGGGCGCCAAATATAACCCGTTCACATCTGCAAGAATATATGACAAATTCACGTACAGCATTGGATGATTTTGGTCAACATAGTGGTCTAACATTAGCCGTACATTCAATAGCAAATTGTTCGGCACCGAATGAAAAAATTACATTACCAACGACGACGATGATGGTTCAAGCGGGTAAAATACCATTTTTTGTTCGTAATAAATGTTCAGAATTCATATCGACCACTAGTATTCGAACATATTATTTGGGTGAAATATCCGGCATGTTGGCTCAAACAGTGCAACAAAAATCGAAAAAAGATATTATCAATAAATTGATTGCTGAATTTCAACAAAGTTGTAATCTTGGTGATGTTTACTTGCATGAAGAATGTATTTATCGAATCACGGCAATGATTATTTTATCACCGGAATGTGATCTACATCTATTTCATCTATTATGTTGGGCACCTGTTTATCTGTTTTCACACAAAACGATCTATTCAATTATTTCATCATGGAAATGGCTACTATCAGCTCGTTCGGATCTTGAATTAATGTTCACAAAAGAAATGTCCGCAGCATGGGTGGCAACATTTGATAAGAAAATTGGTTTGTTTGCACCAGATTCAATCAATGTGGATCCATTATCTTGTAGTGATGATTTGCAACTAAAACCAGATACACCATATCTTGGAGCTCATGCTGAATGGGTTAAATTTCTAAATGAACGTATTGAAATTGCAAAATATTCATCATTAGATCAGGTGGAAATATTCGTCAATCTTCTTCATCGATCATTACATATGAGCGTTGGTCGTGTTTATTATAGTACACGTAATATATCGACGATTGGCACAAGATTTCGTTTACTAAATTGTGGCCTATCATTGGTTCAAGGTGAAACAATGCTGAATTCAGTTAGTAAATTTGTACTACGTGAACGAATATATTCGGCCGCTATTGATTATTTTTGTGGACCACAAATTTGTCCATCACAAAAAAGTACTGAACTACGTGAAGATATTGTTTCGTTGATTAAATTCTGGCAATCATTGCATGCTGATCGTAAATATTTGAAAACGGTTAATGTACCGGATTTAAATTCTGCTGATAATATTTCACAATCATTACATTTGAATGCTGATCAACGTAGTCTGTCGATTGATACGAATCTGAATCAAAGTCGTATAACACCAACTGGTGGTTGGATCAACACTGTACCATTGTCCAGTAATGTATCGACAATATCGAAACGTTCATCGGCATTTAAAGGATCACATTATAAAAATAAAGAAAATAATGGTTATCTAGATTGTTTTCTCAAAGACTATATTCGTAAACGAAATTTGGTGCTCAGTTTATTGGCTATTGAAATTGAATTTCTTATCTCTTGGTATAATCCACTCAATTTATCGGATTTAGCCATACCCGGCGAAGAAACCGTATTGAAATGGTTTAATCAACCAATGAATCAACGAAATCTACGTGAAATTGTACGATTGGCATGGAATATTTCACCATCATTGGCAGTGTTTTTACCATGTAGATTTAAGAATACGGAAATTGTACAAGAAATTTCACGTTTAGTACAGATTTATCCTATGGCTGTTTGTCATATTCCAGAAGCACTTGATTATCTAGTCACCAGTGATATGATTCTAAATGAAAGATTAGAGGTAAGTTTGTGTGTGTGTGTGTGTTGATTTGATTTCACTAATTTTCCAAAAATTTTTTTTTCTTGTAGCTCAACTATATGCTGACATGGGCACCAATTACACCGATAAAAGCATTGTCATTTTTTTCACGTAAATATCCCAATCATCCAATAACGGTACAATTTGCCATACGGAATTTATTTCAAACAAAACCTGATGTCATCATGATGTTTATACCACAATTATTACAAGCTGTTCGTTATGATGCGGTAGGTTTTGATTTTTGTTTTTTGTTAAAACGTTGAAATTTCATTGTTTTTTTGTATTGATTCATAGATTGGCTACATAACTGAATTCATTAAATCAATTGCTAAAATATCACAATTATTGGCACATCAATTCATTTGGAATATGAACACAAATTTGTATAAAGATGAAGAAGGAGTGATAAAAGATCTTGATGTTTATGATCAATACGAAATGATTATCAATTCAATTGTCAATTCATTGTCTGGACCGGCGAAAGCATTCTATGAGAAAGAATTTGATTTTTTCGGTAAAGTTACAAATATTTCCGGTGAAATACGTCCATATCCAAAAGGCGAGGAAAGAAAAAATGCACTTTTACGTTGTCTTTCACGTATTGATGTTCAATTAGGCTGTTATTTGCCTTCGAAACCAGAAGCATTAGTTATTGATATTGATCGATTAACTGGTGTACCGTTACAAAGTGCTGCTAAAGCACCGTTTTTGGCACGATTTAAAATTATTTATTGTGGCCAAGATCAATTGGAATCATTGGCAATGAATGATGATAATCAGGATGATCAATATCTTCGATCAATGGGCCAAGAAATGTGGGAAGCAGCCATTTTTAAAGTTGGTGATGATGTACGCCAGGATATGCTTGCATTACAGATCATTAAATTATTCAAGAATGTATTCAAAAAAGTTGGACTTGATCTTTTCCTTTATCCATATCGTGTTGTGGCCACAGCTCCTGGTGTAAGTTTGTTATTCGAGATATTTCACTTCTTTTTTTCTGATATTTTTTTTTGTAACAGTGTGGTGTTATCGAATGTGTACCGAATGCTAAATCACGTGATCAATTGGGCCGTAAAACGGATATTTCGCTTTATGATTATTTTCTCACCATCTATGGTGATGAATCATCTGGTCGTTTTCAAGAAGCTCGTGCTAATTTCGTTAAAAGTATGGCTGCATATAGTGTGGTTGGTTTCTTGTTGCAAATCAAAGATCGTCATAATGGTAACATTATGATTGATGAAGATGGACACATTGTTCATATTGGTATGTGAGCCAATTTTTTGGACTAAAACTCATGTTTTGTTTTGTTTTTTTCCCTAGATTTTGGTTTCATGTTTGAAAGTTCACCAGGTGGAAATTTAGGATTTGAACCAGACATTAAACTTACTGATGAAATGGTACAAGTAATGGGTGGCAAGATTGATGCACCGGCATTTCAATGGTTCGAAATACTTTGTGTACAAGCATATCTTGCCGTACGGCCATATCGTGAATCAATAATCACATTAGTATCATTAATGCTTGATACTGGGCTACCATGTTTTCGTGGCCAAACAGTTAAACAGCTGACTACACGTTTTTGTCCCGAATATAATGATAAAGATGCTGCAACATATATGTTACAAATTATTCGTGATTCATTCCTTAATTTACGTACACGTACCTATGATATGATACAATATTATCAGAATCAAATTCCTTATTAATTTTTATGCGTGTGTGTGTTTGATGAAATCAAATTGTTTGTTATTTGTCATTTGTCTCATTAGCATAAATTATTTGTTGTTGTTCTGTTTTGTTTTGTTTTGTTTTCTGTTGTCTATTTTCAAATATCATGTGTGCATCATCATCACCAATCATCATGTTATATTTATATATTCAATAAAAGAAAATTAGTCCACTAATAACCGTGTGGTTATTTTTATTTCCACCTATAACAATCCAATCTATAATAACTGGTAGTATCCGTTATACTCGATTAACTTATAGAGATCTTTTTGTTTTCTTGTGAGAATGAAGTAATTTATTACCCCGTTTTTTTCTTAATGTTCCAAATGTTTATATGTTTCTTGTTTTCAATACATTTGAATGGCAAATGTATTCGTTAAACTAGACTAGATTCGTCAAAATTAGAACAGTAAAATACTTTTTAGAATCATGATGATAGAGCAAGTACATTCGATTTACAGTTATACTTCGGTTATAACGATTTGTTTTCATCATTGAGCAATAGAGATGATTATCATGAATGATTTTTTTTTTTTTTGGACACAAAACAATAAAAACAGACAGATTGATTTTATTTGCAAAGTTTATGTTTGTTTGATATAAACGTAACCCTGTGTTTATGATAACGTAACAATGTTTAGTTGGCCATCTTGGAACCACCCGAAAATATTGTCGTTAACCGATGCACTACCATATATATATCTATTTATTATGGATTGATTTCACCGACCAATGTGCCCACCTCCACCACCACCACCACCACCACTTCACACACACACGCATCAGTCTCAAACATAAAAACGACAAAATTGCCTCGTTGTTGTTGTGTGTGTGTGTTATTTTCATTGTAGAAATTTTAATGTGCGTTTCAGTGTATATGTGTGTCGTTGACAGTGTTTTTTTTTGTTGGTTTGAATCATCATCACAATCATCATCCAAATAAAATAAAATCATTTTATGGAAACCGATAATAATAAAAAAAAATGCACATCAAATCATTTGATTGATAACACACACACACACACACACATAAACAACATCAGCACAATGTTTTTGACTTGACAAAATAAATGACGAATCATACAAACAATAAAAACAAACGATGAATCTACACGATCGTCTTGTTTTTCCACGAACAAGTCTCGATATAACGAAAGATAATTTTGAGAAAAGTTTCGTAAGTTTCGAATCTTTGTTCATTTTGTTTTTTGTTTTCATTGATGATAAGCTTGTCTTTTTTTTTTTTTGGATTTTGTTCATCATTTTTTTTCCACAGTATACCAGTGTTCGTAAAGCAATCAATTCAACAGAATGTCCGGTGAAAGAAAAACATATTCGAAGTAAGAAAGTTTGTTTTGATTTGATGATTTTTTTAATGATTTATCATCATCACCGTAGGAATTGTCATTGGTACATATCTGGCCAAATCGGGTCAGATTTTCTGGTCATATGCACGACAATTACAATTGGATGGCCATCCAATTGTTTGTTGGAAATTTTGTCATGTTCTACATAAATTAATTCGTGATGGCCATCCAAAAACTATTCCAGATTCATATCGTTATCGGACAAGATTATTGGAACTTTGTAAAATGTGGGGATTACTTCAAACATGGCTATGGCAGACTTATTCAAAACTATTGTTCATTACTAGTCAATAAAATTGATTTCCATATTCGTGTAAGTTGTTTTCAAGTGGATTGTCAATTCATCATATTTGAAATTGTTATTTTTGTGTTAAAATAGAATCCCCGTTTTCCTGGTAATCTTAAAATCACTGATGATGATCTGGATCGTATCGGTGAAAATGATGTGAACATTTTGTAAGTTTGTTCATATATATATTGATTGAATGAATTTTGAATTTTTTTTTGTTTCATTCTTCTGATGATTCTAGTTTTCAATTATGTTGCGAAATCTATGATTATATGGATGAAATTCTATGCTTACAGAACAATGGTTTGTGGCAATTAGTTTTTTTGTTTTGTTTTGTTTTTTGCATTTCACACTTTTACCTTGCATTTTAATCAATGGAAATAGTTTACAATTTGCTTGATACAAGCTTTTCCTCTTCGATGACAAGCTCTGGTCAATGTCGTATTGCACCAATTATTATGTGCATACAGGATTCAAGTCAACTATATGATTTTACGGTGAAAATTTTATTTAAACTTCATCATGGTATGTATTGATTGATTATAAATGATACAATCAATAAATTGTTGTCGGTGTTATTTATTCTATTCAATTTATTGTTATTACATACATTATATATATAGCATTGCCACATCCAACGCTTGAGGGCCATAGAGAACGATTTCTAAATCAATTTAAATTGTAAGTTAGACAAAAATTATCTATTAATACAACTCAATGATGATAATAATGATTATCTTTCCACTTACTCATAAGATTGAAGACATTCTATTCCAATTACAGCAGATTGCAATATATTAGGAATCTTATTGAAATGCCACAATTGCCAGAGGTTATTTTATTATTTTTTTTTTTTTTTTTTTGATAATGATAATTGTCAAAACAATAACCAATTCAATTCAATGATTTTATTTATAGGAACCACCGAATTTTTTTGTCCAATCAAATCTTCATAGCCATGTTACACCGATTGTGGTTATACCGGAACAACAAGATGAAGAACCAATTGAAGATAATTTACTTGATCTTACTTTTGATGATGTAAGTTTTTGGATGGAAATCGTTGATGAATATTGATGATCATTGATTTTTCTTTTTTTTCCTGAAGAATGATGCTGATAAAGTAAATGAATCATTAGTATGGTCATTTCAAGATGATGAAGCAAATAAAACCATTTCACATGAACGTAATTTAATCGAAGAAAAGTAAGAATTTGTCATACATAGTTTGTGGAAAGAGCTAATGAATTCGAATTTTAATTTTTCATTCTTGTTGTTGTTGTTGTTAAAGGGATCGTATCATTGAAAGATTCGGTAATAGAATCGGTGAATTAGAAGTAGAAATGCAGCAAACAAAATTTGAATATGAAAAACGATTAGATGATTATAAACGACAGATTGCTGAATTAGAATGTGCCGCTGCCCAACGTATGGAACGTGAAGTGGAACAAATGAAAATTGAAATGGAAAAACAAAAATCCTGTGTAGCCGAAGAACAGGCATCAAAATTTACAAAAATGAAAGAATTTTATAACAAGTTTCGTGCCGAACATATTGAACTATTGAAAACGGTATGGTTGTCGATTGATATATTTTTTTTGTAATTGAAGTGTTTTGTTTGTAGAAAGCAGAAAACGATAAACAATTGGCCACAACGTTGAAATCATTGGAACAATTGAAAAATGAAAAAGAGGTAATTATAATGACCGAAAATTAAATTATGGATCATCACTTAATTTATATCATTTTTTTCATCCAAAGACATTGTTGCAACAATTAAATGATCATCATCAAAAAGATGTACAGATGGATTCCATTGCGAATATCAATGGTGAACTAAGAGTACAGCTAGAATTTGTTCAACAACAATATGAAAAGGTTGCAAATGAATTGGAAACATTGAAATGTTCGAAAAGAGATATTGATGACAGATATGAATCAATGATTTCGCAATTGGAACATGCACGACAAGAATTGTCCAAACAAAAACTTGAACATTCGAATCAAATTGACAAAACTAACAAAACATTTATCGGTAAGATATTGATTGATCGTATATTTTCAATCTAATTTGAATTTTTTTATTTTTTCATAGCTACACTTTTGAATGAATCAACAAAAATATCTAAACGATTAGTTGATGAAGAAATGGATTTGGGCCTTTTATCAGTCAATTGTAGTCCACAATATTTTTGTACACAAATTCAGATATTGATTACAAGATTCAGTGATTATGAACGTTTGATTCAATCACGTGGCTATTCTATCGAACTATTCCTTGAAGCATTCCATTATTATTATCAACTTTTCTATATGATAAATTGTTCCAAAACAACTGTCCGTAGTATTGCTAATATTGATCTTTCACAGGAATTGTCCAACAAATGTGTTCATTTGGTGCAGTTAAATACCGATTTAGTTCCATTGATTTTGAATGATTTCCATAAAGATAATGGTGATTACATTGAAAAGATTAAACAATGTTTACAAGATATTTACGTGATCACCCAGAAAGTATTACCAGAATTAACTTTGAATCAAAAAAATCTTGACCTCGAATCATTGCTCAATAAAGAAATGGCACAGATGGATCAAGCGATTCAAGATGCTGTATCGAAAATTGAACAAATGTTAACGGCATCAAATGTTCAACAAACTGGAATCAAATTGGAAGTGAATGGTAAAATTCTTACCGCCTGTACAGCATTGATGCAAGCAATTCGACAATTGATTGTTGATTCGAAACATTTGCAGCTGGAAATTGCCTCAAAACAGAAAGGAAATTTTTCTATAAAAGAATTCTATCAACGTAATCATCGTTGGACTGAAGGTTTAATTTCGGCCGCAAAAACTGTTGCTGCCGATGCTAATCTTCTTGTGTAAGTAGTATTTCATGTGGCCAAAAAAAATGATTAAATTAATTGTTTGTTTTTTTCAAACCAGTGAAACAGCCGATAAAATCATCTCCGGTTCTGGTAAATTCGAAGCATTAATGGCAGCTTCACAAGAAATTGCTGCATCTTGTGCTCAACTAGTCGTCGCATCACGTGTGAAAGCTGATTCTTCCAGTCAGAATTTATCGAATCTATCGAAATCATCAAAATCTGTGCTACAAGAAACTGGTAACATTATTGCTATCACTAAACATTGTAGTAAATTGATTGAAGACAATGGTAAGTCTACTATATATGAACAAACTATTTGTATTTCTATTCATCATGGTTTATGTGTTTGTGTCTATAGTTGAAACAGATTTTTCCAAATTATCTTTACATCAAGCAAAACGTTCAGAAATGGAATGTCAAGTTAAAGTATTGGAATTGGAAAATGCATTGGAAAAAGAACGTGTACGTTTAGCATCAATACGACGTGCACATTATCATCTTGCAGAATCATTGTCAAATTCTGATTCAAATTGATCACAACAACAACACAATCTCGTCTTGAATTATTTTTTATTTGGATATTCTTTCATTTATTCTTTGTGTGCATCTGTCAATTATTATTATTATTATTATTTTTCAAAACTCGAGCATGTTTTTATTTTATCGGATAGTTGAGCCATCTTTTTTTTATTTTATTATACGATATACGATATTTAATATTCAACAATGAATTTGAAATAAAAAAAAACTGATCGATGAATCTGAATTTAAACACCGGTATTTAATTTATTCAAGTACTGCCATCTATAGAAAAGAATCATGAACAATTTAATCTTTTTGACAATTTCATCGTTTTGAAGTTTTTTGTTGTTGTTGTTGTTGTTGAAGTCAATTTGTTCAAAATCGATCATTGAGTGTGAATGTGAATGTGATGCCACATTTTTTCATATAAAGGATAATAGCACTTATAGAACATTATCCGCGCTTTTGTTACGGCAAAAAAAAACAAAACAAAACAGAAAAAAAACGAATTTTTTTTTTTTTTTTTTTTTTTTTTGATTAAATCCAGAATGCTGTTGAGTGTGTGTGTGTGTGTGTGTGATCGGGTAAAATAAACAGGAATGTTTTGTGTGTGTGTGTGTTTGTCTGTTTCGTTTTGTTTTCCTGATGTTTTTTCTTTGATTTCTAACAAAAAAGAGAAAGATCATGACAATAGATAGATTATAGTCAATCAATCTATCGTGGTGTCTCATTTCGGATTAAACTGTTTTTTTGTTTTGTTTTGTTTATAAAAGTGATTGACGTTTACTGCAAATCGATCCATCCATCCATCCATCTATCCATTTGATACAACGAATTTTTTCTTTTTGATTTAGATTTACATTAAAATTGTTGTTGTTGTTGTTGTTGTTGTTATTTTTCGTATTGATCGCTATTTGTTATTTTATTCACAATGAATAATAAGAAAAACGACGACGATTCATTTCGAAATTCCGTATTCTGCATTCTGTTTTGGTTGTCTAAGAAAATATATCACACAAATCCATTTTTTTTTCATACATACTTTACGTATGGAACAAAATTCGAATGTTCATCATTTTGATACATGGATGAATATGATGAATATGAATGATGACCATTATGACCATTATGATGATTATTGGAAATTTTCATCAATAAAAATGTCATTAGAATCTAGATGTTTATGGCATGAATTTAATAAAATTGGTAATGAAATGATTGTAACAAAAGCTGGCCGTCGTCCATTTCCAACATTTCAGATTCGTTTGAAAGGAATGAATCCTGATGCTGATTACATTTTAATGATGGATTTCCTTTTGGCCGATGATAAACGTTATCGTTATGCATTTCACAAGTAAGTTTCACTACATAACAACATTTCAAATTTTAAATCACGTTTTTTTTAAAAAAAGCTCAAGTTGGATAATTGCCGGACAAGCTGATTCTAGTGGACCACCAAGAATACATGTTCATCAAGATTCATCAGCCAAAGGCGGTCAATGGATGAGACAGACAATTGCATTTGATCGTCTTAAATTTACAAATAATCCTTTGGATGATAATGGTCATGTAAGTTATGTCAATTAATTAATTCGCATTTATTTGAATTTTGTCATACAGATAATTCTCAATTCAATGCATCGATATCAACCACGATTTCATGTAATTGGTTGTGAGCAGCCAACAACAACAACAACAACAAATGATCAACAAACATCAAAATATCATCATCATCATCATCATCATCATAAAAGAAATTTTCGAACATTTATTTTCAATGAAACTCAATTTATTGCTGTAACTGCATATCAAAATCATAGGGTATATAAAAAAAACATCTCAAGTTTATAAAAACAAATTATAAATTTTTCTTTCAATTTTCACATAGATAACACAATTAAAAATAGCTAGTAATCCATTTGCAAAAGGATTTCGTCAACACCAACAACAAAAACAGCAGCAACAACAAACTGATGATATGACCATAACTAGATTAGCTTAAACATCTGAGATTAATCGAGCTTTTTGTCTTGACTGGCAATGGTGGTGGTGGTGCTGGCGGTAGTCAATTGTAAATATTTTCGCCGATTTAATCGATGATGAACATCACGTGGAATATCTGGTACTACGTACCAGAAAATCAATACTATTGTAAGAAAAATGTGCTACGAAAACAAAAAAAAAATCATTTTCATCATCAAATGTCAATTCGTACAACAATCAATCAAATTCTCTTACTTCAGCATAGACGACAAGTTTAAAAGTTGAAAGATTGAAATAAAAACCCAACAATTGAACCTGATCGGATACTAATTCCAATGTTAGAAAATTTGAAATCACAATAATGATGGAAAGAACTTCGAATGATTTCTGTAAATATTACAAAAAAAAACATTATTCTGGAATAAATAATCTACATTTAAAAAAAAATTTACAATCCATGCATTATTTATCGATTTCATTGATTTCTGAAATGGACGCCGTTTACAATACACCAATTTAGCAGCATCCATACGAACTTCCATAACACTGTTGATTGCGGCAACAAGTGGTGCCCATGGCCAAATCGATATGAATAGAAAAGCATAACCATATTGGATGAATAATTCAAGACAATCATAATACGTATGCTAAATGATTATGAAAAGAGATAATCAAGAGATAATTTTACTAAAGGCTAAATTTCAAATATTACCTCATAGATATAAAGATTTTTTTCATCATAAATCTGTTGCTGCCACGATGATTTGTTTGAAGATTGACCAAATAATTTTTTCGGATCATTTCGATAAATCAAAAACATTGGTATGAATACTTCGAGAAAATTTTCCACCGTTTTATTCACAGTCAACATTGTTATCAGTGTCTAATACATGATCAATGGATGAGAAAAAATGAATTTCTGGAAACAAAACAAAAAAGATAACTTACATATCTCAACATGTCCATATCTTTCATATAGAAAGCAATATAGAAAAGACAGATGAAATTGTTGAAAAATTCAAACTAATCAACGAAAAAAAAGAATGTTAAATTAAATATATCAAATTGTTGTTTGATTTGTACAACTTACCAGAACCAATTTGACGATTAAATGATTTTCATGTGATTCTTGTGTTTTATGATTTTCTATTTGATTTGATCATTTGACAATGAAAACTTTTTTTTTCTATTTATTCACGATTACTTACCATAATTATTCAATCTGGTTGCAGCTACAATATACAAATGATTCATAAACATAACAATCACTGCATAAACAATACTTGGTACGAAACAAAATATAAAATTCAATATGGATGGATCTTCATTATAATGGCTAGCCATCCAATCTTCACAATCGAAATAAAGGCACATTAATTCAAATGAAAGATATAGACATACAATAACGAATGGTACGGAAATGAAATATTCTTTACACCAGGTTTTTGTTATTGGATAATATGGAACCATTTCTTCGGTGGTTGTATCCATACGCATTCCTTTACTACGAAAAGCTGGCCTTGCTTTTTCCAATTCAATCAAATCGATTGTACCCCAATCAAATGCTAAACGTTTAGCAAAACGTTTCCACATTTTTATGAATACAAATGAACCAAAACATATGATTATCGTGTATAATTCATTTGGAATATGTAACAGACAACTGATTAGATAGACAATAGTGGCCAAACAAAACATATCACGATAATAGTTGAGAAAAGCAAAATAGAATCCAATCATTTCACCGAAATAATTACGAACATAATCTGAATATGAGAATAAAAGCAGAATTATATATGTGAACATCTGATTTATGATCGTTTTAAAAATTACCTATATTGTGGCTAAAGCTGACACAATAATTGGATCGTAAATTTTCCAAATGTTCATAATCATGTAAAGGAAAATAATGTGTAATCACTTTTTGGTAGCAACAAATTTCAATTATTGATTGTCCAGGATAAAGTGTAACATCGGGCAAGCCAACAATCGACGTTCGATTGGTCGAACAAATTCGTCGGATCCAATCATATAAAATACGTTGTTTTTCCGCCGTATTCAATTTATTCAAATCATCCGGTTGTTTCAAATGTTGACGTTTCAATTGTTTATAAACATGATTAGCATTTTCTTCCAACAGCTTTTCCGAACAACTAATTAATAATATAAGATCTTCAGGCAATGATGATGATGATGATGATTGCCTGTGTTGATTATCTAGATCGATTATCGATAAATTCAAATGATTTTCTTGTAATAATGATATTAACCATTGTTTTGTTTTGATCGGTGCTTGTCGATTCAATATCATAACAAATGATGCAGATGTTTGATAATGATTGATGGGTAAATCGATAAACAATAGATCATTGTCATGCACTGAATATTTTTGCTGTTGTTGTTTGTTCATTTTCATCATCATCATCATTATGATGACTAGATTTATTTTTTCGAATCATCACTATTTTTTTTATCTTTTACATTCGATATGTCACATAAATTAATTAAATCGCACAGTTTTTACTTTAATGAATGAATGAATGAAATTCTTTCACAAATAAAATATCTGAATTGGCACTCATTGATAAATATTCAGAATCCACCCACACAAGTGGAAAGAAATTCTTATAAGATGGAACAAAAATAGCCGATCATCATCATCATCATCAAAACATCTGTATTCATGATGATTCTACAAGTCATCAACAGAAAAAAAAACCAAATGCAACCAACCAACCATTCAATGATTTGATAGATAATGTTACGTTTAAATTTCTTAAATGGTCACAATAGTTAAATGTTTTTGTATACGTTAAATGCTAACGGTAGTGATGAATGATTGTATCAAAAATAATAGTAGTATACTTTTATGGCCATAAATAGAATAATAACAGGGTAATGGTCATAATGTGATCAGACTAATTAGAATTATCATCATCCGATTGATTACGTAAAAGTTCAACAGACAGCATTTTTTACTATATATATCTCATGTTGCATGTTTGCTTTGTGTGTGTTTCGGTTTCGAAGTAAAATTCATATATGAAAAAAAATAAACTCCATGTGCGCCCAATTCATTGAAATGAAAAAAAAAATGAAATGAAATTCATTTAATAACTTGCTTTGTGTGTGTGTGTGTGTGTGTGTGTGTGTTTCTTTTGTGTTTTTGTTTGTTTGTTTGTTTGTTTGTGTTGTTGTCCATAGTTACCCCGCCGTTTCTTCTAAGAATTTATATGATTCATTATTGTTGTCCAGTAATAAATCAACATCAATAACAAACAAACCATCATAGGTCAGTCTCTCTTTTTTTTTTGTTGGGAACAAAAACTTTGGTCGCCAATTATGTATGTGTGTATGCCATTTTGAATGTAATGGTCATCATTACAATCAATGATTCTTTAAACATTCGATTCGAATGTTTCGCTACACAAGTGCAATAATAATGATTCTATATATTTGAATATTTGTTTTATTAATTGAAAATTATCATCATTCATTTGGTCGACAACTAATATAATAATGTAAGTATATATGATATGATCTTAATAAAAATCATGACCAATTTAATTTTTTTTTATTATCAATAACAAACTTGTTTTCATATCCTGCCTAAATAATGATAATGATTGTATTTAAATTAATATTATATGAGTATATAGCTCTTCTTTCCATTTATATTTATTCTATATTGAATGGAATGAAATGTTTTCTAATCAGAATGTTGCTATGCAGCAGCAGCAGCAACAACAACAACAAATAAGCTTTCTATCATCAATGATGATGATGATGATTAATAGAAAAATTATTACAACTCATCATCGTCATCATCATCATTGTATATCTCACCTAATTACCACTTGTTGTTGCTGTTGTTATTGTACATAATGATTACTTTTTTTTACCAGTATAAAATGAATGGATGATAATGGTAATTTTGAGTGTTAGAAGAATGCGCCATCCACACATGCACACACAAACGCAATTAGCTTATGAATACAGGATATGACAACAATTTTCAGATAATTTTTGCTCCTATTTCTCTCTCTCTATTTTTGCATGTCTATTTTTTTTGTCTATTGGCGACACAAAATCTAATAACCCGTTGTTTTATTGTCACAACTTTTTTTTTTGGTCTTACAAGGTTAGATTGATGATTTTTTTTCTGTTTAAACTTGAGACAACATTTCGCAGTGATGATGGTGATTGTCATGATTGTAGTTGTCTAAACGGATTTTTATTTTGCCAATTTTTTTAAGGTGTGGGTGTTGGTTTTTTTTATAACATTTTTGATTATTATAAAAAAACAAATAAATGTTCTTCTTTTATTTTGGCCACGAAAACAAACAAATATAAAGATTTTGGAACGGAATTCTGGAATTTGATCTCATTCATAGACGACGTTTGTTTTTGAATTCGAATTTTTTTTTTTTTTTTTTGAAAAAAAACCATGGAAAATCTTCATCAACGTGATCGTGTCGGTGTTGATGATTGTGTTTTAATTGATGATTATCGTGATTGTGAATTGTTTTTAAATAATCTACGAAAACGATTTAATGAAGATATTATCTATGTAAGTTTTTTTTGGCCAAAATGTAATTATAAATTGATCTAATCGTTCGTATTTTTTTGTTCACACAGACATGCATTGGCCAGGTTCTTATTTCAATCAATCCATATAGAGAATTACCAATCTATAATGATAGTTACAAACAAAGTTATGCCAATTTCAATTTCTATCAACTTTCACCGCACATGTACGTCTATTTTTATTTCAAAGTAACGATATGTCATCATTATCATTCTCTATAGATTTGCCATTGCTGATGCCTCATTTCGTGTAATGGTAGATGAAGCTCGTGATCAATGTATATTGATTTCAGGTGAAAGTGGTGCTGGTAAAACCGAAGCATCGAAAAAGATTCTCGAATATTTGTCTAGTGTGACTAGCCGATCGGAACATAATATCAAAGAGATCAATAATAAATTATTGTTTTCAAATCCAGTACTTGAAGCATTTGGTAATGCTAAAACTAGTCACAATAATAATTCAAGCCGATTCGGTAAATACATGGATGTTGAATTCGATTATCTCGGACATCCATTAGCTGGTCATATAAACATTTATTTGTTGGAAAAATCTCGTGTCGTATATCAGAGTAAGAATGAACAGAATTTTCATATTTTCTACCTGTTACTTCGAGGATCGTCCGATCAAATGCTAACAGAATTCAGTCTTCGTCGTGATCCACAAAATTATTTTTATTTGAATCAAAATGCTGATGACGATTACCAAGTGGATTGTGATCAATTCGATATAATTCGAAATGCTTTGAAAATGTTTGATTTTAGTGACGAAGATGAACAGGGAATGTTTGCCATCATTGCTGCTATTCTACATCTAGGTAATGTTGGATTTTTCGATGAAGATGATGGCAAAACTATCATATCGAATATGAAACCAGTGATGACAATAAGTAAATTATTACAATGTGATGTTGAATTGCTCAAACAAGCATTGGTTAATCGTACGATCGAAGCCAGAGATGAAATGATGATGACCGGATTGACACGTGATCAGGCTATCTATGCTCGAGATGCATTGGCTAAAGCCATTTATCAACGGCTATTCGTATGGCTTGTATCAAGACTCAACAATTCTTTGCATTCGAAACGACGACAAGATAAACGTAAAACAGTAATGGGATTACTTGACATTTATGGATTTGAAATATTTGAAAGAAATAATTTCGAACAATTTTGCATCAATTATTGTAATGAAAAACTTCAACAATTGTTTATTGAATTGACGCTCAAACAAGAACAGGAAGAATATCGACGAGAACAGATTGAGGTAAGTGTTTTGCCGATCATTTATCATTGAGTTATTCATTTTTTCAAATATTTAGTGGGAACCGGTCGAATATTTCAATAATCAAATCATTTGTGATCTAATTGAAGAAAAACATCGTGGAATCATTGCCTTTTTGGATGAAGAATGTTTACGTCCAGGTGATCCTACTGATTTGACTTTTTTGGCGAAATTGGATGAAAATATTTCCGGTCATCCACATTATTGTACAGTGCGACAATATCATTCGAAAAACAATCGTCAAAATGGAATGATTGGTCATGAGATGCATCAATTTCGAATTACTCATTATGCCGGCAATGTTGATTATGAGATTGATGGATTCATAGATAAAAATAATGATCTACTGTATCGTGATCTGAAAAAGACCATGTGTTCATCCAATCATCCCATTATCAAACAATTGTTTGGTCATGATGAATTATCAATTCATCGGCGGCCAACTACTACAGCCACACAATTTCGACAAAGTCTATCCGATTTAATGTCATTACTATCCTCTAAACAACCATGGTATATTCGTTGTATAAAGCCAAATAATTTTCAACGAAGCAAATTTTTCGACGATCAAATCGTCCGTCATCAAATTCAATATTTAGGCCTTATGGAAAATCTTCGTGTTAGACGGGCAGGGTTTGCTTATCGTCGTAATTTTAATGATTTCCTTGAACGTTATAAATGTCTTTGTCCGAAGACTTGGCCTTATTATCGAGGATCATTTCGAGATGGTGTCCAAGAGCTAGTCGATCATTTTGGATTCAAAGCAGATGAATACCGAATGGGTTTGACTAAAATTTTCATTCGATCTCCTCAAAGTTTGTTTCGAATCGAAGATGCATTTCAACAGCACAAACATGTTCTTGCTACACGAATTCAAGCCCTATATCGTGGATGGCATACAAAGGAACAATACAAAAAAATTCGAAAATCGGTTATTGCATTGCAGACAAATATTCGTCGTTATCTCGCTATACAAAATTATCATCGAAGACGTCATGCAGCACATCAGATTCGAGCATTCATTAAAGGTTTTATCACCCGAAACGGACCACCGAATCAATTCAATCAAAAGGTTTATATTACAAATCATTTTTTGTTGTTGTATGAATTTGATTTTCAACTTTTACGTTTTGAATAGTTTGTACGGCAAGTGAAAATTCATTGGCTCACAACACTTAGTGAATCACTGCCATCTTCGATTATAAAACACCGATGGCAAATGGCACCGATTTGTTGCCGGGAAACATCACGATTGTTATGTAATATGCATAAACAATGGTTGGCTCGTCGTTATTGTCTGGCTATTACGCCCAAACGTAAAGAAGTGTTACAGGAAAAAGTATTGGCTGAAAGTTTGTTTAAGAATAAAAAACAATCTTATGTGGTAAGCATTCCCGAACCATTCGAATCGAATCGTCTTGGTAAGTGTGTATCCTATTCTTTATTGGATGGCTAAATTGATTCGAATCTTTTATCTACACTAATAGATGGTCGAATGGACGAAATGCGACGCAATATTTTCGAAATGAAATTTAAAGTTGATGATGAAAAAACTCAGTATTGTACGATGGTCAATAAATACGATCGCCGTGGTTATAATTGTCGACCACGAATGTTGGTCATAACCAATAAACGGTTCTATTTGCTAGAGGTGAAAAAAACCACCCTAGCAATGAAAGAATCGTTATCACTTAGTATGATCAAAGTGGTCACCAGTAGCCATAGCGATGGATTATTCATCGTACGGATACCCATAATGAAAAAGGAAAAGGTTTGTTGACCTAGCTCTATGTATAGTTGAAAATTTTTACATTTTTCTTTCTGCATAGGGCGATCTCATTTTGGAATGTCATCCTAGACTGATTGAATTATTGACCAAATTTTCCGCATTCGCTGGTCAGGATAAATTGTCCATCGATGATGGTCATATGATTGAACATCAAATGTCAAATGGTAAAAAAGGTCAAATACAATTTGTCGATGGTCATCGTTATGAAATTATGAAACGAAAAGATGGTCAATTACAAGTGGTAAGCATTATGAATATTTATCAAATTTATAAATGGATCATTTTTTTTCAATCACACATAATTAGATTGCAACATCTTTATCGGTTTGAACTAAATGGCTATGTCTTATCGTTATTATTATTATGCTAGTCCAACAATGTCGTTATTTTATTCATCATCAATTTTTTTCTATATATATTCAAAGAGCTTCTTGAATTTGCATGTATCTTAAATTTTTTTTTTATTTTATTGATTGATATGTACAACACATATTAACAAAAAGTTTTTATTAATCAGAAAAAATTACTACAAAAATTGAATGAAAATTTTATTTTTATTTACAACAATTGATTGATTGATAAAACATAAAACGTTAATCTAGATAATATTCGATAAGAGTGGAAAATGCAGCAAAACCAGCAGCACCAAATATACCACCTTTGATACCGGCTCGTAATCCGATCATACCACCAACAACTCCACCAGCCATTGTACCATTTTTCCAATCTTTTTTTGCTCGATACTTTGATGAATCGATGACAATATTGATCAGAATATTGATTAATGATGAAAAAAAAATAAAATTAAACTTACCGATTCGATAGCACATTCGGTAGCGGAAAACATTGCGCCCAACATGGCAAAATTCTTTGCATATGACAATGATTTGGATTTCATTTCACGCAATACTTCACGTACAGTTTGTGTACGTTCATTCACTGGTGCCAATTCAGGACCAACACTGGCCGTGAAAAGACCGATTGCTGCACCTAGGCCAAAACCAGCAACACAGCTGAGTGTTGTTTTGAAAGCACAACTTTCAAAAACTTTCTACCATTCGTTGATTGTCCGGTTTTAATGGTTCGGCACCCAGATAACCATTTGGAACCACCATATTTTCACGACGTCTATACGGGCCAATCAGTGCATCACGTAATTCACTAAATCGAATTATTGGCTCTTGTTGTTCATGGTGGCCACCACCATTCTTATTGTCCATTTTCAGAATTAAAAAAAAATTCAAATTCAAACCATCTGGAGAGAGTTGGCAGCAAACACAAAAACACATGCTATAATCGCGATACTATCGATTAATCATCATCATCATCATCATCATCATTGGCACACACAAAAACATTTCATGTACCTGAATTTTTCATGAATTTACAAAATCAACAAATTAATACAAAAAAAAAACAGGAACTGCTACGACTATCAATCATTTGGAACTAAATCATCAAAACCAACCAACCAACCAACCAAGCAACAACAACAACAACATCGAAAAAACAAAAAGTCATTGTATTCTTAGCCTCAAAAAAAAAAAAAAAATTGGAACAAAAAAACACGTGTGTTAATTTACCACAAAAACATATCAATCAATCAATCATCTGTAAATTTTTTTCCCCACCTACTTGCCCGCTGTGTGTATCAAAATACTGCGCGTTTACATTTTGTAACCACATCATCATCATCATCATCATAGAAAATAAATAAAAAACAATGGATGGATGGAAAACACCGCCATTTGTTTGAAGAAATTTGAGATTCAAAACAACAACAACAACGACGACGACGACAAAATAGTGTAGGAACCATCTGCAAAAAAAAATCGAACGGATACATTTTTTTTGGTTAATTAACCAATAACTTTTGTTGATTAGCGAGAAAAAAAAATTTCATCGTTTTCATCATCATTCGATCTTTCATGTTTTCTTTTTTTTTTGTTTTTGTTTTTTTGTTTTGTTTGTTTGTCATTTTTTTTCCTGGTTTGATTTTTTTTCTCTATTTAATAATGTTTGATGTTCTCATTTAATTGTGTTTGTGCATCGCCTTTTTGTTGTTGTTGTTGTTATTTAGCCATTGAAAAATGAATTTCAAATGATCAACATGTAATCGAACGCATTTTTTGTTGTTGTTGTTGTTATATAAATATAATATATTCTTACCATAATACACAACATCAACTTTGATAGTGAAAAAAATAAAAAATAAGGTAAGCTTGTTGAATGCTAGGCCAACATTATTGATCATCATTGTTGACCATCATCATCATCATCATTATTTTGCATCGATCATCTTGTTTTGTTGATGACGTATTTTCTCGTTTTGAAAATAAACGATAAAGAGAGAGAGAGAGAGATAGAGATGGAGACATGGCCAAACAATGACACATTCTCAAGGTTCTTGTTCATTTATTTATTCATTCAAACAAATCCATATGGTGCATCATTTTTTCTCTAGCTCAAACTCAAACTCGAACTATGTTATAAACATCATCATTTCATTGTTTATTCATATACAAGTTTTTTTTTCATTTTACCTGAATTTTTGTCCAAAATGATGATGATGATGTAGGTCGACATATTATCTCTTTCTTTGTGTGTGTGTGTGTGTCCTGTTTTGTCTTTTTTTTCAATTTTATTTGCTAATATATTTGAAAGGTGTGAATATTATATTTTATTTAACCTGAATAACTTGATAATATTTTTTTCGTTTTGTTTTGTTCTTTTTTTTGCACTTTTTCGGTTCAATTTGTTACATCCATTGATGATGATGATGATGATGATGACGATGACGTTGTTTTGTTGTTGTTGTTATTGATAATCGTGGTTACGATTGTACATATTGAAACAATGTGATGTATTTGTGTGTTTGATTGATTTTGAATGGTTGGTTGGTTGTTTGGTTAATTTTTTTTCTGTTTTTTTTTTGAATTAAAAAAAATCTTGTGATTTTCGAATGTTTTTTTTTCATGAACTACCCCCCATATATAGTACCAACAAAAACACCCCCATCCATAAATGACATGCGATCATTTTGTATGTGATTATCCCATCCATACACATCAATCTGATTCAAGACCAATCGAAAAAAAAGGTACCTAATCAATCGAAAAAAAAATGATGATGAAAATTATCGAGTACCCAGTTTTATTTAATGTGATTACATGTAGAAAACATAAATGTTGCATTTGAAAAATTTCGTTTTGATCATTATCATCATCATCATCAACAACAACAACAGCAACAACAACAACCACAACCACAATCGGGTATGACAGTTGGATGAATCCGATGATCTTAAGTCTGAATTCAAATTTTTCTACAAATGTTATCATTTTCCATTCAATGTCATCTAATCATCAAATGATCATCAGCATTTGTTGTTGATTAGGATTTTTTTTTTTTTTTTTTGGCCCAACATTTATATTTGCACTAGCAAACTAATAATTTTTCTGATTAGGTTTGCATGTTGATGATGGTAATAATAATTTAATCATCATTTGATCCTTAATGATATTTTTCACTCTTTTTTTTCAGTGCAACCATAGGGACAATCAAAAATCATATCGTTGATTGAATTTGTAATCTTTCCCTCTCAAAGATTCTTTTTCTTTTTTTTTTTTTGGTTCATTTGAAATCGAGTGTCAATCCTAAACGTACATCAATATTCGACCTTGTCTTTTTTTTTCATTCAATCTGTTGATATATATAATTTGTATATATGCGTGTGACAACAATCCAGCAAACCAACCGTACATTTTTTTTGTTGCTGTTTTTTTTTCTTGAAATTGCGGCCTGATTGGCCATTTCCGTTTTTGTTGTTGAATTTGCTTTTTTTTCGGCTCAAATGAAAAACAGCAAACCAAGCGTTCATTTTCTTTGTTTGAGTGAGAGAGAGAGAGAGAGAGAGTTGTTGATTTCATTTTTACAACATTAAATATCAAATAACAGTCATAATAATTTATTTGGTTTACCTCAATTTTTACCTCTTTTTTTCCCCACTCATTTATCATAGACTATTTGTGATTGTCGTCAACAATTTGAATTCAACATTTACTCAACATTTGTTTTGCTTTTTATGAACATATCATTTTTTTTTTTGGTGGTGGAAAATTGAAAAATACTCTGCTCGATAATCGATTCTGGAACGAATATCAAAAAGAAAACAAAATCAAAAATGGAACAAGCAGCTAATGTACAAACACAAGCCAGTCTCATCGCTCAATTTAGTGTACTTGATTATGCCATAGTTGTCAGTTTAATTGGCATAACGACATATTGGCTATTGTCGAAAAAGAAAACACAAAATGATTTTGATGCCAGTTCAATCAAAACATTTGCTTTGGAGTATGTTTTTTTTATTGTTGTTTTCATTTGTATATGTATTGTATGATTAATCTTTTTTTTCGTTTTTTTTGTTCCATACTAGACCATCACTTCAAAGATCACAAAGTGAATCGGGATTTATTGCCAAAATGAAATCAGGTGTAAGTGTAACAAATGATGATTTGAATTCTTTAATGATGTTTGTTTTACATAAAGGGACGAAATATGATTGTATTCTATGGTTCTCAAACTGGAACAGCTGAAGAATTTGCTGCACGTTTAGCGAAAGAAGCTACACGTTATGGTATGAAAGCAATGGTTGCCGATCCTGAAGAATGTGAAATGGAAGATCTGGCTAAATTACAAGAGATTGAAAATTCATTGGCCGTTTTTTGTGTGGCCACTTATGGTGAAGGTGATCCTACAGATAATGCACAAGAATTTTTGAATGGCTCAATGGTGGTGGTGCCGAATTAAACGGGCTTCGTTATGCTGTATTCGGTTTGGGTAATAAAACCTATGAACATTATAATAAAGTTGGTATCGATTTGGATTCAAAACTTGACAATCTTGGTGCTGAACGTGTATTTCAATTAGGCCTAGGTGATGATGATGGAAAGTAAGTTGTCTTGTTGTGTCCATGTTTTCATCTTGATTTATATTTTTGTTTATTTTTTAAAGCATCGAAGAAGATTTCATCACATGGAAAGAAAAATTCTGGATGTGTATCTGTGAAAAATTCGGTGTTGAAAGATCTGGTGAAGATTTCAACACTAGGCAATATGATCTTATCTTGCATGAAGATTTGCCACCTGAAAAAGTTTTCACTGGTGAAGTGGTTCGTCTGGGATCCTATCGAAATCAAAAACCGTAAGTCATGTGAATAATGTTGTCAATTTTATTATCTGATTATATTATATCATCCAATTATACAACTATTCAACTTAGGCCATTTGATCAGAAGAATCCATTTTTGGCTCCAATCACCGTTAATCGTGAATTATATAAAGGACCAAGATCATGTATGCATATTGAGATCGATATCCGTAATTCAAAACTTCGTTATGAAGCTGGAGATCATGTTGCCATTTATCCGCAAAATGATACCAAATTAGTTGAACGAATTGGCCAACTTTTGAATGCTGATTTGAACACTGTTTTTACATTGAAAAACCTTGATGAAGATAGTTCAAAGAAACATCCGTTTCCATGCCCTACCACTTATCGTACAGCTCTTACCTATTATCTGGATATAACATCGACGCCACGAACACATGTATTAAAAGAAATTGCTGAATATTGTAGTGATGAAAAAGAGAAAGAGTTGCTCAAAACAATGACCATGCCTACGGAACAAGGAAAAGCTTTATATTCAGAATGGATCATCAATAATTGTCGTAGCATTGTACATGTACTTGAAGATATGCCATCATGTAAACCGCCAATCGATCATCTGATTGAATTTCTTCAAAAACTACAACCACGATACTATTCGATTTCTTCGTCGCCGAAACATTATCTCGATTCGATTCATATAACGGCCGTTGTCGTCAAATACGAGACGAAAACATCTCGTATTAATAAAGGCGTTGCCACTTGTTGGATGCAAGAAAATAAACAAGTCTTGCCTGATCAACCGGCACCAATTGTGCCGATCTTTATTCGAAAATCACAATTCCGTTTGCCTAGCAAACCACAAACACCTGTCATCATGATTGGTCCTGGAACTGGTTTGGCTCCATTCCGTGGTTTTCTCCAAGAACGTCATCATATGCTTGAACAACAGAACAAACCATTAGGTGATACAATCCTTTATTTTGGCTGTCGAAAACGTTCACAGGATTTCCTATACGAAGAAGAACTGAATGATTATTTGGAAAAGAAAGTGATAACTAAACTTTATCTAGCCTTTTCACGTGATCAAGATAAAAAAGTGTACGTGACACATTTATTGAAACAAAATATGCAAGAAACATGGCAAGTAATTGGCGAACAAAATGGTCACATTTATATTTGTGGGTAAGTGTTGTATCGCTTTACATTCATTTATATAATTAATATAACCGAATGGATGACAATTGTTTTTTTTCTTTTCATTAAGTGATGCTCGTACAATGGCTCGTGAAGTGAAGGAAATCATTTTGGAAACAATCCAAACATATGGTAACAAAACTCAAAAAGAAGCCGAAGATTTTCTTAAACGAATGGAATCACAAAAACGATATTCGGCCGATGTTTGGAGTTAAATTAATCAAAACAAAACATGAAACCATCATTATCGTCATCATTGGCTATCTCTATAAATGCATTTCGGACGATGTTGTGTTGTGTGTTATCGTGTTTGTGTGATCGACATTTTTAGTGAATATTTTTTTTTATATAATAATAATAATAATAATAATTTGCTTTATTATTCTAATTAATTATTAATTAATTTTTTTATGCTTTATCACTCTCTTTCTCTATAATTATATTTTTTGTATGTTTTGTATTTTTTTTTTAATATTTATATTATATAGTTGAACAAAATCTAATATTTTTTGATATTCAAATTCTTGATTACGTTCTATATGAATGATATCATTCTTGTGATTCTCTCTCTATGACAACAAACAAAATAATCAGACGTCTTTTTTTTTTATTCTCAATAATAATAAATAAACTCAACGGCGTCAATGTATTGAACTTTTGTTCTGAACCATCTGTGATTATTATGTTTGTGTGTTTGTAACCAAAAAAAAAAAAACCAGAATTCTATAGAATCATTAATTTCTATTTGCTGTTGTGTATTTTTTTTTCGTTCGTGTGCATATATGTGTGTTTGTTTCATTATATGAAAAAAAAATAACGAATTTTGTCGTCGTCCTGGTAAACACCCAGGTGAACAAGAAAATTGAAAACTGTCGCAGAGATTTTTTTTTTTTTGTTGTTGTTGTTCATGCATTCGATTCAGAATTTTTGCCAATTCATTTCGCACTATTGATCTATTGCGACTTTTCTATCGGTTTTTTTGTGTCCAAAAGTTTTTTGTTTTTTTTCTAACCAAACAAAAAATGAGCTCATCATCCGTAAAAGTTACCACCGGTAGTGGTGGTGGTGGTGGTGGTACTAATCAACTTCAATCTTCATCATCATCGACATCAACATCGAAAAAAACCAATAAAATAGGCCGTCGTTCAGGCAAAGATGGTTCATCCAAATTGATCAATGAAGATGATTTATTGGTCAAAGAATTCATATCACCTGACGATGTGTGTAGCTTACCATCGATAACGAAACAATATCTTTGTAGTTCAGCAGCCAATATTTATGATATTGAATTTACACGATTTAAAATTCGTGATATGGAAACCGGTGTCGTTTTGTTTGAAATTGTCAAATCAGCTAAACAACAACAATCCACCAATCAAAATGGACGACAAGATTATTCAGATCCAAAAATGACCAATATTGGCCGTTTTGTACGTTATAATTTTACACCAAATTTCCTTGAATTAAAAACCGTTGGAGCCAGGTACGAATTATTATTATTGAAATTAAATTATGAGATAAACTGTGTAATCTTGTTCCATTCTATTTTTGTTTATTTCATTAGTATCGAATTCAAAGTTGGACCAAAACCGATTCAAAATTTTCGAATGATTGAACGTCATTTTTTCCAGGATACATTGCTCAAAACATTTGATTTTGATTTCGGTTTTTGTATACCGAACAGTATCAATACATGTGAACATATTTATGAATTTCCATCGATTACGTCCGAGCTATGTAAGTGTCATTTAATATAATTGATCCGAAAACAGAATAATGATCGAATTTTTTTTTCAAGGCCAAGAAATGATCAACAATCCATATGAAACAAAATCCGATAGTTTCTATTTTGTCGACAATCGTCTCATCATGCACAATAAAGCCGATTATTCGTACAATTGTGGACTATAGTTGCCAACCATTGTTGGTTATGGATAAAACAAAACATGTTTTTCCGTTTTTTATCGACCTTAATGATAATTTGTATACATTCTGATCATTCATTCATTCATTGAAAATCAAGTCAAATTGTCCAAAAAAACCCATTTCATAATTTCCTTCGAACAAACAAACAAACAAACAAAAAAATCCGAAATCTAATGATAATCTATATATAAATACATGGAACATTTTACCTGCCACTCCTCTAATTTGTCATAATATTGTAAATGAATGAATGAATGAATTGTGTACCATACCACAGTATACTGAAAATATAATCGCGCACACAACTTAAAATATTCTTGATGATGATTGCTATTCTTTTTTTGTTTTTTCTTTGTTTTTGTTGCAATTTTGTATAAAGTAATAATAAATCAATATATGATGGAACAAAAAAAAAAAAATGATGATGATGATGATTATGGACTTTGGTACACACATACACACACACACCAATGACCTGTGTTCTGATAAGGTTTTTTTTCCATTTTGTTGAGGCTAATATTATTCTCATTTATATTTACATTACACAACAATGTGTGGTCTTTGAAAGTTTTTTTTTCTTTTTGTCGTTCGATTATGTTTCAATTTGTTTCTCGTTCTCGGTCTTTTCTGTTTCTACACCACTCTACTATATAGAATGAATGATGTTTTATTTGATCAACTTGACCGCAAAAACGAAAAATCGTTGTTGTTGTTGTTGTTGTTGACATATCGAATGAATTGAAAACTTGGTAAGATAAATAAATACATCATCCTTTTTTTCTGGATCAATTTGGGCCACACACACACATATGCAAGCAAAAGTCAAAGATGACCGCCGTCATTGGTTTTGTTTACATAAGACACACACACACACACACAGGAAAATTTGAATGAAATGAACAAATTATAGCCATTTGATGTAAAATAGTGGATTGGGTGGGTGGATTTAGACTATACTGGTTGAATTCGAAATATTTTTCCCCAAAAAAAAAAAAAAATCGGAAATCCAAATGTGTCATTTCCATAGTCCGTAAGCTAATTTATTTAATGGCCAAAAAAATTTTTTTTCTTGTAAATTGCCCAAATTCTTTGTTTCCCTGTTTGTGTGTGTGTGTGTTAATAAATATTAATGACAGCCCACTTTTTGTTTCATTAAATAAAAAGGGGACCTTTTGAATTCTATGGATTTATTACAGCAAAAACAAACCAACAAAAATGGTCATTATAATTATTGTATATTTCCTTCATATTTCAAATGAATGTTCGTCAATTTATTGTTTGAAACAAACACAGTATTTGATGAATTTTTTTCTTTTCAGTTTCATTTACAGCAAAAAACATCGAGAAAAAAAATCGTGATAAATGGCCTGTAACATTGTGTGTATGACAAACCTGGAAACACTTTCATCATATATTATATAGTGAATAACTAAATTCAGCAAATGACAGGAACAACGGCAATTTATTTTTTTGTCACCAATGGTGACAATTGTCATTGAGATTTTCCAAAGAAAAAAAAACATCCAACGTATCACTATTTCAACAAGGTCCATCATTCTGGTTGAAGATTCTTGCACCATTCAGAAAAAAAGAATTCAAATCTTAATCTACCAATGGCAGCCAGTGTTATCGTTGGTCGTTGACCATTGGTCATCATCACCATCATCATCATAACAATGGACCCAAATATTCCAAAACAAAAATGCAAATGTGTATTGTATATGTCGAATGGTAACGAACCGTTTCAAAGCCAATTTGTTTTTACATACACACACAAATCCAACAAACAAAATCAAATTTTTTTTTTGTTGACCATTCGGCTATATTTGAGACGACATTTATGATGATGATGATGGAAGTTGTTGTTGTCGTTATCATTCATTCACATTGCTTGTTTGTTTGTTTGATTGGTCGGCTTTGAAACATAGTGTACCATTCATTCATTCATTCGGGTTCATTGTTGCTGTTGTTGTTGTTGACTGGCTTCAGTTCCATACAATGAAACAAAATGAATGAATGAATAGTGGTGATATTTTTGGTGGTCAGCACGCGAATAGCCATCATCATCATGGATTTCAGATCCTATAGGAAGGGAATGACCATGTGTGTGTGTGTGTGAATGTCATCAATATTGGTTCAAATCAAATCAAAGCTTATGTTCTATATGCGAGACTTACTCTTTTTGTTGTTGTTGTTGGTGAACTTGTCTTTGTCAACTCTTTTTCTTTTTCTTCTCCCTCTTTGTGTTTTTGTTCATTCGATTCTATGGTTTCATTTTCAGTAATAATCAATCCTGCACCAAAATTGAATTGAAATGAATTGATGATCGAATGAAATCGAAACCCATTTGATTAGTTGAATTTTTCACTGCTGTTGTTGTCCACTCTGTTTGTTGGTTGGTTGGTTGGTTGGTTTCCGTTCTCGTGTTTCAAATTTGTTTTCATTCACATTCAATACATTAATTCGAATAGTTGAACCCGGTAGCCACTAAAAAAATTCAATTCAATTTTAAATTTTGAATAGAAAACAAAAACATTGAAATCTGAAACGTACAAATTGGTTTCTTACCTTCTAATTCTGTTTCTCTTTTTTAATTTCTTCACAATAATCATTTCGTTCGAACTGTTCGACCAGATATTGATAGGATTTTGTTGTTGTTGTTGTTGACCATATAGGACCGAAATAGCCAGGCTATATCCACATAAATTGGAGTAACTCTTTTGATGATCAAATTGTATATCTGCTGCTGTTGCTGCTGCTGCTACAGGTAAGATATATTTACATACACAAGGACGACCAGAGAGAGAGAGAGAGAGAGAGAGAGAGAGAAAATGTTCAAGTGAAAAAAAATTGTCCTTGGAATACCAGTCAGATATACATAAAAAAAACTTGCTTTTGATGTCATACAAAAAAAAAGTCTTAAGTCGATCGTGTTTGTTATTCTAACCTTCATCACCATCATCTTGTTGGACTTTTATTTTTTTTTGGCCAACAAAAACGAACAAGGATTAATCCAAAGAGATAGAGAGAAAGCAGAAACGTCGGTTCAATAAAGATTTTTTTTTCTGCCCCCCTGTTCCATGAATATCAGACCATGCAGGCAAACACTTATGGCTTAACTGGACCATTGTGCAGTTAAGCATAGAGCCCTTTTTGTTGCCATAATAATAGCTTATATCCAAAATCATTCTGGTTCGTTTCGATGGTTGATTGATAATTTTCATAAGTAAAAATTTGCATAGTAATAACGGTTCGACGACGACGACGACGATGATGATTATTGAAGAAGATGACGACCCGATATTAATATAGTAGAGTGACCCATTGTTCTTCAAAAGTTTTTTTACAACAATAACAAACATGCATATATATTGAAAAAGAAAAAAAAATTTCTTTTTTTTTTTTTTTTGATCAAATACAAAACAATGAATCTTTCTTTGGCCATTCATACATTCATTCATTCATACAGTACGTGTGTGTAGGACGGTAAGGTAAACGAGAGAAAAAAAAATTTGGGACCGTCAATCGTCGTCGTAATATATGTTCGAAAGAATGAAATGATTATAATGGCATTCAGGTACACAATGGATGGATGGACGAATGAGGATTTATGCTGCTGCTGCTGCTGCTGAAACACCATTCACACAATCTTATTCAGATTGAATGTTGAATATTGAATGGAAGAAGAAAAAAATCATCGTCGTCGTCAAATCTTAAATCGAATAAATGTGAATATGGATGGATGAATGGATAGAAATCTTTGCAAAAAAAAAATCAAGCAAGCATAATGCACACTAGATGGAAAGAAAAAAAAACTGTCAACCTGCCACCAATATAGTAAAGTTCGATCCATTCGAAATACACACACACACACACACACCTTATATATCGTGAATGGAACCTTTTCAAAATGACCTTTTTTTTCTTCATCATCATTTATTGCTCGGTGAATTATCGCATGGGGTTAATAAATACTGAAAAAGAAAGCTAAAGAGAGGGAATGAAATGATTTTTTTTTATTTTAATTTTAATTTTTTTTTTGCTGTTCACTGTACATTTTATTCATGGAATTCATACATGTATAAATCGAGGGGATGTAGGAGAAATTTTGGAACGCTGGCATATCAACACATGATGATGATGATGAAGAAAAGTTTCAAAAGCCATTCAGGCAGCTATAAGTTGGTGGTTGGTGGGGGGGAGCTATATAAATTGGAAGCTGTTATTAAGATTGAGAGAGCGGGTATTTGGATAATATATTCGACGATGGACGGCATGACAACGATAATTATAGCAAAATGTGTGTGTATGTGTGTAGCATGAAATCACAGCCAAGGTTTTTTTTACGTTTTTGTTGTTATCGATTGGAATGAATTACGAATGTCATTACGACATGTATCGTGTACATAATGGTTCCATTCTTAAAATGGATAATAAAAGAGGACATCAGGTCAACCGTGTGTGTGTATGTAATGTATGAATATGTGTGTGTGTTATGGATCGATCATGTCATCGGGTCAATTTCAAAAAAAAATAAAAAAAAAATCGATCAGCTATGTACGAGATAGATTTCTAGTTAAACATGGGTCAATGAATTTTCGATGCCATCGTTATAACCGATATCTTTGTCGATGGACTATCGTCGTGATTGCCGATACCGATATTATTATTATCTTCAAAAAAAGATGTTGATGATGATGTATTGGTTGGAGAATAATGATTGTCATATGTTGAAGCCAATGTTTGATATAGGATATCCGACGATGATGATGATGATGATGATGATGGTGGACTATCGCTCGGAATAGGTGATGATGATGAACTAATTTCATCATGATTTTGTTGCTGTTGTTGTTGATTGTCCAATGATCGTAATGTTTCGGATAAGGCCCAAATATAATTATGTGCAAAACGTAATGTTTCAATTTTTGTCATTTTATTATTACTTGATGATTGTTGTTGATGATGGTGGCTATGTTCACTACGACAATCATCATCATTTTCATTAAATGATGGTAATACCTGTCTCAAACGTTCCAATGCTTTATTCAACATATGCATTCGATTACGTTCACGATCATTTGCTTTCAAACGACGATTTCGTTTCAATTTCACAACAAGTGATGGACTTTTCGGTCGTGATCGTGGTTTCGATGGATTTCTAGATTGTTGTTTTTGTTGATGTTGTCTAGGTTTTTTCTCCTGTCCGTTTGTGGATGATTTTTTCCGATTATTCGCCATTTTTCGTTTTGATGTTTCCGGTAATATTGTGGATACCAATGTCGTAGTCGATGATGATGATGATGTAGCCATTATGGCTTGAATTTCTTCATTTTCCTGATCATTGGCCACAGCAGCAGAATCAACGGTAATGAAATCATAGTTATCATTTGGTATCATAGTGATCACGTTGTTCGATAATTGGCCATTATTTTGTGGTGAGAATACAAAATGATGATGATCCGAATTAACAGGGATGGTTGTCAAATTATTAAGATCATCAAAACAATCATCAATACCATCGAAATCATCGAGAAAATAAGTATCGATTGTTGTTGTCGATGATGACTGTTGTTGTTGATGATTGATGTTCAACATGTTGTTATTGGTGGTTGTTGTTGTTGTTGTTGCAGTTGTGGTCGGATATAGGTTCGAAACGAAAGGCTTATTATTTGTCTGATGATGATGATTTGCAATAAGAAAATTGGTGGCCGTTTGTGAATCCATTTAAGTGTTTGCCAAATTATTAATGATCGACGTGTCCGGTGATGGGTAAATATTTGTGGTGATCTTTCTATTTAAAAAATAAAAATAAAAATGAAATACCGTCATTGAGAAAAAAACGAAAACGATCAGAGAATAGAAAAAAAAATCAATTTAAAAATTTTCAAACAAAAAAAAAAAAATTGAAATAGAATAGCCATCGAGCTGCACTGTGTTTGTTTAAATATTGATTCAAGATTTTTTCTTTTTTTTTCTTTTTTACAGAACCCAACATCGTCAATTTTCCATCAGATGATGAAATGAAATCCAAGCTAATTTTATTTGCAAAAAAAAAATCCAAGGTGGTCCAAATGGAATTAGCCAAACAAACGAAAAAAAAAACGGTTTGAGACCATAAAAAATGTACGATCCATTTTGTTGATTTTCTTAATGATCCATTATTATTATTGACCACACAATTTTAATCGATTTTTTTTTCTTCTTTCACTCACAAAGAAAATCAAATCAATTTTCTTCGCAAATCTATGCATACACAGGTCATATTATGCTTCTGTTTTTCTTTATGATGAACCATTATTATTATGGGTCCATAAAAAAAAATCTTTTGTATCCAGCCAGATCTATAATGAATATCTCTGTCTGTCTGTCTGTGTGTTTTTCTGTCAACTTTTCTATCTCTACTCAAATTTAAAATAAGGATGACAATAGCCGATCGAATCAACAAACCAAATCAACCAACTAACCAACCAACCGGTATGCATCATTTCATTGTATATCGTAATCGATTTGAATGTCAATCTCATTTTTTTTCCATCAATCACTAGAGATTTGTTTCATCATCATCATCATCATCGAGATCGAGATCGAGATCAAAATCAATCATATATGAGTAGCATTTGTTGCATTCGTTTCTCATTCATTGGTAGAAAAAATGTCACCATAATATGAATATGGTGAAAAATATTCATAATAATCAAAATCACACAGTATACAATAATCAATGAATCTTATCTGATTGCCTAACCTCTCTCTCTCTCTCTCTCACATTGTTTATCTCTACTGTCGAAATCAGAAAACAAAATCAGTGTGTAAGTTTTTTTTAACTGTCAAAACGATTAATATCTCGATCGATTCATTCATTCATTGTTTTTCATTTTTTTTCAGATTTTCCAAGAATTGAAATTTTAACATTACAAACAAACAATCAAGTAAATCACAATGGTGACACATATGCAGCACAGAGACAGAGAGACAAAGAATTAAACGTTTTTTTTTATTATTAATCTTTGAAGCCAAGGTGGTATACTACTGCTGTAATATTACATTACCACCTTCTCTCTGTTTCCCTTACGGTGTGTTTTGTTTGTATGTTTCACTGTTCCTGTCTAGTAATGAAAAAAAATGAGATCAGATCAGCTTATCACGATGACCGGATCGCTTAAATCAATGGACAGAGAAGAAGAAGAAGAAGAAGAAAAAGCCAATCCTCGATCCCAAATAAAATTCACGTCAAAGCCATATCGAATGACGCGTATACAACAACAACACACACACACACCGAGATATGATGGTACAAGCATAACCAATGTCCATAACGAATGTCCAATTATTGATGATCAAAAGAAAAAAAAATCTGATGATGATGGTGTTTGGTGTTGTGTGGTATAAGGACTTCAAACTGGTCATTTTTTTCTCTTTCTTTTTTGTTTCATTTTGGGTGACATATGATATTCAATCCAAAAGAGAATGATTGGCCAAAAAATTGTCAATTCGACCAGAAAAAAACAACATTCGATCCTATTACCTATTTTTTTGATCATTTTTTTTTTTGTTGTTGTTTGAAGATTTGATTTCACGTTTTTTTTTCATTAAAGGTCAAAAACTTTTAGTCAAAAATGGAAAATTTTTGTTTTGTTTTGTGTGTATATGTGTAACATTATATTTGAAAAGATCAAAAAATTCGAATTTAAAATTTAAATGAAAAAAAAAATTCACACATACCTTTTTTCGAATGTTTTTGAAAATTTATGGTTCAAAAATTCACTTGATGGTCACTGGTATTTGATGGTCGTGATGGTAATAAAACAAACGGGATAATGGAAATTGTTCTTCGGATGAATAAAAAAAAAAAAATAACCACAAACAAACGTTTTGAACACAATTTCACATTGAACATCGGTATATTACCGAAACAACAATTTGTAAAGTTTAAAAATTCGGCGACAATGTCGCGTGAGCTGGTTCAAAAAAAAAATGTGTTTGAATATTTTTTTTGTCACCATCTAAGCTTTTTATATATGATCAGATTTTTTTTTATTCTTTTGAATTAAAAACGGTTCCATGAATTGTAATAGCTAGCGCGGTTGGTCGTCTGCTATTGTACCAATGCTACATGTATATTTCAGTGGTGCAATACTGTATACTGTATGTTTAGTTTATTACTGCAACTCCTCCTCATCGTTATTACCCAAACAAAATGTCCTGGTCCCTGGTTGGCAATCATCATCATGGACAACATTTGAAGGTTGAACAACGAAAAAAAATATTGATCACGATCCATAATGGAAAATTTCGCAAAAAAAAAAATTATCATTTCCATTGAGCTAAATTGATTTATTTAATTGTGGTAAATGTGAACAATTCACATAATGATGAACACATCTTGATATTTGGTTTGTTGTCCATTGATGGATTGATGTTGTATATGCGGGCAACAAGTTGCTTCGATGTTTTTTTTTATTATGATGATGATGATCATTAAATAGGGTCCATGGGAACCAAATTTTACATCATCATCATCATCATCATCCACCAATCATTATAATTGGTAAATATTGATGATGATTATTATATTTGATTTATACTAGATGATGATAAACAACAAGCTCATCCACATACAAATTGACATTTCCGATTTTCATAACAAGTATCGATCGTCAAAAAAAAACCACATGATGATGATGATGATGATCATTATAATTATCTTCCATCTCAGAAATTGGCCAACAATTCAATATATAGCCCATCATTGATTAACTATAATCAAGATCAATGATGATGGGCGATACTTTCTTTCTTGATACGCGTGATGATCGTGATCATTTTGTTGTTGTCGTTGTCGTCGTCGTTGTTGTTGTTGTTGTTCGAAACAATTATTTGGGTGTTGTTGACGATGTTGGACCTGAAAGGTTCCCAGGACCCCCAACACAAAAAAAATAACAAATTGTTGCCATAAACCTTGTTTCATAGTAATAATGATGATGATGATTATTCATAGTAATCGACCTTTACCAACGATACGTGGAAATTCATTCATTGAATGAAAAAAAAGAGAGAGAGAGAAAATCATTTCCTGTTTAAAGGTTATATATATTATTAGTACAAATTCAATTCATTCATTCAAAAAAAAACACATCTTCTTTAAAACTTACTTTTTTTTCGTCCTCTTATATTAATGGATGAATGAACATTTTCACCAAAATGCCATTGATGATCGTTGGTATATATCCAATATATATAGAGATTTTTTCTCAGGCCACTTTTTTTTCAAATGATGATAATCAATCGACCTTTATTTCTTATTCAGTCAGTCAGTTTTGTCTCTAAATGAAATGAATTGAATTGAATTGATGTTTGTTAGATGATGAAAAAACTGTTTAAAAAGTACGTACCGTATTAAAGTATATATATATTATGATTATTTGTTGTTGCAACGAAAACGAAAAAAAAATTGGTTTCAAAAAACCAATTTTTACTTTACTAAACTTAACATTTATTTAGATTAAGCGGTCACGTGTTTATCATCATCATAAAATATAACTAACTCAGTCAGTCAGTCAGTCAATCAACAATAATATTCATAATACAGAATCTTTACATAGAATCACGTGTTGACGTTGATGATTATAACGAATCAAAATAAAAACATTGTGTGTGTGTGTGTGCGTGACAACACGTGTCGCACTCTTACTATATCAACAACAAATAAACAAAAAATAATTTGGATTGACTTTGAAGGATTTTTTTAATATTCATTGAATGATGATAAAGATGATGAAGTGTCTGAATAAACAAAATGATGAGAGCAGTGTTATTTACCGATCTTAAATATCCGAAACACACGTGTGTCGTTTTTTATTATTAAATCATCACAAAAAAAAATTTTTGGTACTCGCGATTTTCGCATCATCATCCAGAATCTCACAATTTATACTGCGACACAATCTCTATGACCGACCCCATCGAGCATGGTTACAAAAAAAATAGAATAGAATAGAAACGTGATCAAACATGAACATTCATTATGAGCATTCTCAAAAAAGCGGAAACCGCATACATGAATTTAAATCTAATGTATTGGATCTATTTCATTCAAATTTGTGGAGAGAGTCAATAAAAAAATTTCCAGTTATATACAAAATCTGTGATAACCTGGCACAATATGAAATTTTTGGTTTCCAAAATGTTATTTGGTCGAAGAAGCACATGCCGGAAATGCCTCAGTATACAATGTATAACGATATTTTAATTTTCATTTTAATACAGGAAAATGATAATCCATTCATCATAGCAAAAAAAAAAAAAAAAAAACTTTTGAAATATTCCTGAACCTGATTCTCTTATCTCCACTCTCTGATAAGAAAACGGCAATCATATCATCGAGACAAATTCAAAAAAGCGATTCGAAAATTTTAACTTCTAAAATGGAAAATTATTTGTAGAATATTAAAAAAAAGAAATTCTCACTATTGACCACTGGTATACAAGTAAGTCCTGAAGAACTCAATATTATACCTAAACTTATATCTGAAATTATTCTAAATATCAACAGAAAAAATGCGTTAGTGTGCGTGTGTTTCAATTTCCAAAAGCACTATTCATTCAAAGGGGATGATATTGGAACAAAAAAACCTTATCCAATCATCTTATTCGATGGATCAAGGGAACGTTCAAGGGAAAACTGTCGTGACCATCGCAAATAATGATGATGCTGATGTTACTCGACGCGAAATAATTTCAAAAGTGGTTCCCGCCCAACACGGCATCAAGATAAAAGATACGGCCAAGATGCGTGATTGGCGATTTTTGGTCAATTTTAAAAGCCCGAATAGTAAGAAAAAATTTGAAAACATTATTGCTACTGACGACAAATTTCGGTTCAATGATTCGGGTCGATTAATGCCAACCATGCACCTGAAAGGGCTAAATATGGCTTACGAGGAGCAAACAATCCCGGGGCTTATTGCTGTTTACAACCCGGAGATTTCTGCTTATCTTGACGAAAACCAACTGGATGTTGACCGGGCCATCGAAATCAGGAAAAAGCGCCAAAATCCGACCAAGCCGCAACCAAAAATCAGTTAATGGCTCAGAACCGGATATTATGGCGGATATTAGCCTGAATGTGAAGAAAAAACTGTTAATTTTTCAACCCTAAGTTTAAATTGGCCCAAAAATGCCCTTCTCCTTGGAGATATATAACGATTTAGCCCCTTAAGCATATTGCCGAATTCTGCCCACGTAAAAACCGTCAATTTTGTCTACATTGTGGTGGTGACCATTTGCTGGATCAATGCATGAGTCGCGAAGATGCCCCAACCTGTATTAATTGTCGCCTCGAAGGATTACCGAGTCAACGTAGCCATACTGCTACAAGCCGGTTGCCAATTTTTGCCATTCCAACAGTATCGACATCATGTGTATCACCGAACCGCCCATCCGTCGTGGCCTCCCTATTATAAACCATCGTCTCAAGCCGATTTATTCGATGGATCGATCCAAATGAAGCATACAAATTGGTTATTTGTCCAACTATTACAACCAACAACTGTCTTTGTGTAACTTTTTTTTCCGTCTGTGATTTTGATTCGATTCACATAAAATTGTGTAGTATATTCGTCGATGCAACAATAATAAAAAAAAAGTTACACCTGCAAGCAAAAAAAAAAAAAAAAAATTTATTGCTGAATGAATGAATTTGCCAGAATCAAACGAGAATTAATCACTTATGAATGTCATATTAACTATATTTTTACCAGTCCATCCATTGTGTGTGTGTGTGTCAATGACAAACAGAAACGAAAACGAAAAAAAAAATTCAATTGAAAGACATAGCCACAATGTGAACAATTGTGCTTGTATCAATCAATTGTAATTCTCTTTTGTTATATATATGAATGAATGCATGAGTGAGGGTTTGTTATATATTTATTCGTTAATTGCAAACAAATATTCGATAACAAAAACGTAAAAAAACACGATGAATCGATCGAGAATATTAGCATGCTCTATTCTTTTGTCTCTATGATGTGTACATGCATGTATTCGGGACCCGGGATGCAGGAAATTTTTCCCGTTTCTCTATCCATTGTGTATGTATTTGATGATAAGAGCGATGATCCAGAAAAAAAGTGGCCTTATAATAAATGTATGTACATGCACAGACAATTGTTACAGATGGCTAGAAATGACATTGTGGTCGTTCTCGTTATATTATACACAAAATGGATGGATAGATGATCAAAAAATTTTGTTTGTTAGTTGGTTGGTTGGTTGGTTAGTTGTATTTCATTCATCATCAGAAAATAAAAAAGAGTCGAATTTAAGATGAGATTGAATTCAAAATTCGATGATGATGATGATGACGATGATGACGCTTGGGGACCACCCGAAATAGTCATCATCGTCATCATCATCATCGAAACCAAAATAGTTAAAATAGTTTTAACGTTTATTCTTTTTTTTTTGTTTTCACCAATATGAAATTACAATTTGTATATATTACTTATACACTATTGTCGAGAGCTAAACATCATCCATGATGATGATGATGATAATGACAATGGGTACTGAACTGTTTTTTTTTCATTCATTCATTCATTCATCAGATCGAGTCCGTTCGTTTTTTCTGTCTCTTTCTCGCTCTCTCGTCCGATACGTGCTTATTGGCCTATCATTTTGAATTAAACAAATTTGTTTCACTCTATATTCGATTCAGGCCATTCAACAAAAAAGAAAAATAGAGAATAGAAAAATAGCTAATCTCCATAGTTGAAAAAATCGATCAATCGAAAAAAAAACGAAACACAGAAAAATAAATATAGCTAATAAAATGGTTCGATGCACGTACTACTTACTTTACACTTTACACATCATGCTCATAAAACTGTTTGATGATGATGGTCATGGTCGTCGACTTGTATGGTTCGATTTTGATGTATATACCAACTTTTATTGCTAAATTTTATCGATGTTTGTGTGTGTGTGTGAGTGAATATCTACCATTTGGACATAAAGTGATTGAAGCAAAAAAAAATTTACATAAAACGATTTTGGCTATTAAACAAAATACAAAACAAAAAAAAAGAATGATGACCATCATTCGATTTTAAAAATTAAATACATATTACGCCATCTATCGGCCGAATTGGAAATGACAAATAATACATTCGATTCAAATAAATTGATAACCAATCATTATGTTTGGATACAATTTTGGATGTCCCAGCAAACATTTCAACAATGATATTGATGTTTGAAATCCAGAAACTTTGACAATAAAATAATCAACATTTGAACGTGTTAAATTATTTGCAATCGGTGTTGTTTGCTGTTGTCGCCATTCATTTGTATTGGTTGTATTTGTTGCTATTTTTTTTCCTTTTGATTGAATCAACGATTGAATACAAATTCCATTGTTTTTGTGGATAAAAATTTCCGTAATATTACCAGCCATATATCGAAGTTTAAGTAGACAATGTTTCTATGTACAGAATATTTAAAAAAACAAGTTGTCTAAAAAAAAATTTTTTTGAAAATAAACCTTACCTGATTAAAATCAATTCTATGGCAACCATTTGTTAGACATCGATCAACATTTAATATGGCAAATTCCACCGTTTCACAGGTTTGTGTTTCCAATCGAAAATTACGAATCAATAATTTTAGAAACAATTTATATTCAAACATTTTATCACGCAGTATGGCAGCGTTCATTGGTGGATTTTCCATTCGATTCAATTTTTCTATAAAATTCACAGCAAACAATGAATATTTTAGCAAAAAAACATGATCCAAATCTGAATTGTCGATTAATAATTCCAATTGATTAAATAAACGACTTAGATATAAAAGATATTGATCAAAAAGAAATGCAACCACTTGATGATGAGTCTGTTCATTTGGTTCAACAATGGCAATTTCTTGATATTGATCAACAATAATGATCAATTGTTCCTGGTAACAGAATAATAAAACAAATAAGTAATCATAGCGAACAAAAAGTTTCAATATCCACATACCTGTATTATACCTTTCAATAATTGATGTTCAGTAGTACTATACCATTTATTCTTTTGACGATCAAAAATTTTCAACAATTGTCCAAGATATGCACCACGTTTAAATATACGATTCATTTGTGCCATCCAAAACAATATAATCATACATGTCAATTCAATATGTTCAAATTCAATCTTAATGCATATAACTGGATTGGCAACAGTTGATTTTTCAACATGTCTAATCAGATTAATCATTTCATCTGGCACTAAAAATGGCATTCCAAATAATGGTTCATCATGATATCGATAACGAATATGATCGGAACGTTGAAAACAAATTGCATACCATGCAGATATCAATAATAATCGTTCTTCATCGGATCTTCCTTGTGCTTGTAGTTCGAATATTTTTTGAAAATGTTTGAATAAATCATTAAGAACTGTGGTGGCTGCTTCGGATTTATTTTCAAAAACATTACTAATCAAAGTTGCTTCGGATTCAATATCCAACATTTCCATATGATCAATTACTAGATGACAATAATCATCATATGCTTTCATTGCTTCCTGTTCGAATAATTGCCAACAATTTAGTATTAAATTTGGATTCGGTTTTTCCAATCGATTTTCCTGATTAGCCATTAGGTATGTGTTTGAAGCACGTATCATATCTTCCATCAATGAACAATGACGATAAATTATACCAAGAATTTTGGTAGATAAATAAACATCAGATTCACCATTACGTTTCGACATAAAATCTGGACGAATCCAATTCGAATCCGGTATGTATTTGTTTTCAACTTTGGCATTAACACCATTTTTCTGGAAATCTAACGATACACTGTATTTAGCAGCCAAATCTAGACATTCGCACGAAGAAAGACCTTCAGGATGGAAATCTGAAAACATTAGATGTGAGTTGGCGACCAAACCAATATTGTTATCGACAAGAAAATCACAGTAAAATTTGACAATATCATCAATAACAATATCTCGATCGGATTCTGGTGATGTTTGTGATGGAAAATCCATTGGATGATAATTTGATCCAGGAAATATTAGGTCTGTCTTCCAAAAGATGGCATACTCATCACCATCAAGATCTGAACCACCCATCTCATCGGTATGAGGTCTGTGTCCTTTTGCTGGAAAAACGAGACAATCTTTGACATGTTCCAAACCTTTAACGTTGATAGCCTTAAATTTTCGCACATCACCCAATGAAAGACAAGGAAATTTGGTGACCATCACTTCTTGATTATCGAGAATAATTGTTTCACCAGTAGGTAGACCATCAACATCATTCAATTGACTATATTGGAAAAACACTTCGCCAGGATTCAATTGATTCATTTCATCTATTACACCGAATGCAGTTCGACCATGTGATGATGGTACTTTGATTCGAGCTTTACTTTTCAGTTCATTTAGTCGATAGAATAATAAATGATTCAGGATTCGACGAAGAAAAGGTTCGTTTAAGAAGGAATAACCGGCTTTATGAAGTTTGTTGTAATTAAGATTTCGTTGTGAATACATATTCATTAATTCATATGCATTAGCTTCAAACATCAATGAATGCGCCAATGATTCTGTCGATTGGGTGATGATGTTGTAGAAAACATGAGCCGGTACTTGTTGTTCATAAAGAATCTGTAATAATGGCCGATTCAGGTAGACAGATCTTGGTGCTGAAAATTTCAATATACCCAATGAAAAATCATTCGATTGAAATTTGATCATTGATTCACGAAACATTATCATATCATTGTCATCACTCGATTCATAACGGACAAGCATTCCTTTGCAGCCACCATAACGGATTTGAAATGCAGATGGAAAATAATCTGGTGGTGTATTCAATAATGGTGTAATTTTCCGTGCCAAACTATTCGATATGATACCACCACCGTCCGAGAATATAAACGGTCCATTCGTAAGATCAGCTGATCGATATATATCAACTGATTGATCGCATTGATAATAAGCAATTGATTGTGAAAATATCAATCCAAATCGTGCAATGTATTTGGCTACTTTTCGTTTGAAAATCGATAGATCACCCACTATTTGACGAATCGATTCGGCCGTTCGATTGTCAGTATCACGAGCATAGAATACGATACCAGATTCACGCATTTGACTTGATGATGAACCAAGAAATTCAAAATGACGATCTGCTATTCTTATGCCTGCCAATAATCGTGGCATAATGCATTCTTTAATGAATTCACTGCTGCTGGATGGTCCGTTCAAAAAACGATTATTATCTTCAGACAATGTTAATCGTAAAGCATAGTCTAGATTGGCAATATTTGAGAATCGTGAACGTAAACAGGCGATAGGACGAAAAAATTGTAATCGAGTTGGTGTCATGATAGCTCGACGCATAATAATATAATGATCTTGATCTGGTCCAAGCAATTTTTTTTTGCCATTACTACCAAAAATACTAATTCCTTGTGGTCGATTTGTGTCGACAGTCTGAATGATACGATTGAATTCAGCAATGAAATCGATAACTGGATTGTTTGATTTTACATCCAATTGATATAGACAATTTTCGAAATACAAATCCGACTCTAATTGTTTGATATTTTCGAGAAAATTCTTCACATTATCTTCATTCAATATTCCGTGCCGACATATAACTCGATCGACAATACGATATGATCTCAAAATTACACGGCAAGCATAATTTCTGGCAAAACTTTTGGCAAAAGTTTGATCAATATTGTTCCATAATCGATCCATTGTCCATCGACTATTATTTAGCATGATTTGATTTATTCTGCCTATGTAAAAAGCAAAAGTTCGAGTTCGTTCTTTACACAGGTAGCTTAATTTGATTGTAGTTTTTATGATATTCAAATCATCTATCGTGATACGATATCCATGTGCATAACCAATTAAATTAGAATCAACATTATTGCTTAAATCTTTGGTACGAATCCATTTTATTCGATTTCGACACATTTTTTCTGTGAACAATAAAGGAGCCGAATTTAATTCGAAACAAACACCAATACCGCATGGTGTATTGATTGACTGATTGATCTCGAGCAATATGAATTGAATCGATGAAAATGATATTTCTATTTTATATCTGGTGTTTGAAATGAAAATGAAAAAAACGGATTAATTTTTTCTGCAAATTTCTTTTTTATAATCCCACTTACCTTTGGGATGTTCGATTATTTTGGATATGGAAATAGAAAATTATTAAATTTTTTTGAAAATTCCATATCATTTTCAGTGGATGATATTGCGATGGAATGGCATTAAATCGACTAGTAAAATAGCAAAGATTAATAACCGATCCAATGGAGAATGAATTCATTGATGCGGAATAATCATCCATTTCATCAATTGGCGATTCTTTTATTAGATGACGAAGAGAATTATGAGGAAATTCCATTACGATTCGAAAATTTGTTTGAAAAATTTGTACCGAACGAAATCTTGAGATCAAATCCAACATGAATGATTGATTTATTGGATCGGGATTAATGTAGAAATCAATGTTCATTCTGCCAATTCAATGTTGTATTGAACACGTGAACGAGTGAATGAATATATAGAATGGAATGGAAATGCAACTTACTTGACAATGAATTCATCATAATAACGATGACTTATTTTGGCTTCATAATCATTTGAATTGATGAGCAATTTTTCCTCTATAAATTTAACTGTATTCATAAATTCTTGATCAGATGTAAGAATATTACTATCATTATTAACAATAATATCACGTAATTTGATAACGGTGATTGTAATGGGCACCAGAGCAAATGTTGCCATTAAATTGCTTTCTTTTATAATCCATTCGATTGTTTTTCATCATCATCATCATCATCAGCAGCAGCAGCAGCAGCAACAAGAACGTCATTATCCACTTCATTATAATGATAGCTATAACTGTTGACATCACCATCATTATCATTCATTGTCAAACGATCCATTCCGAAATCGATATCGAGTAAATTTTTATCCATTTAGCCTAAATGATGATGATGATGAAATTCGAAAACACATTTAAGCAAACACACACACACACATACACACTAACCAAATGATAATTAGATTCAGGAATGTCAATGTCAATGTCGGATATTCGAATCCAGAAAGAATGGACAAAACAAAATCATTAACGAAAATGATAAGAAAAAAAACTGAAATGGAATTTCTAAACAAAAGGACAGCTCATCTCATACAAAAGATTTCCGTACGTTGTATATGAATGTGTGGGTTTTTTTTGGATTCGATTGATTTTCAATTTTTTATTGAAAAAGAATTTAATCTAATCCATCTATTTCGATGATCAAGCCTACAATTAATGTTTTCATCAAACTAAAATTTTGATTTCCAACCAGCCATTTGGATATGCAAAAAAAATCGAGCCAAAAAAAGAAATGTGAAAACAAATTTTTTGTTTTTGTTTTTGTTTTGAGTTTTCTACATCATCGATAATAATAAACATGTTATAAATAAACACGTTATCTGGATATGAAAAATGGAAAACATTAAACATGTATACACGATTTCGAATGTTTTTAATGCCAAAAAGTGACATGATCATCATCATCATTTATCGATCATTGAATACATTGATCGATTGAATCATCTGATGAATTTGACACGAGAAAACCAGAAAAAAACGTGTGGAAATGAAATGAAAACAAAAAAAAAGAAAGAAAACGTGATTGTCTCGATATAATTGAAACCCGCCACCACCACCAAGTGCTAATGAGGTGTCGATTGTTATTTTTAGACACTGGCTGGCTTGGTTAAATGATCGCATGGTTGTCATTATCATTATTACAGCATATATATTTTTTTCGGAAGTTGATCGTGAATGGTAACTCCCCGAACAACGACGATCATCATCACCAGACATGAAACGAAGAGAAACGAAAACAATCTTGTTATTTTTTTTTATTGATTTCAAAAAAAAAAATCCAAAACGACGACGAAGATATTTATCAATTGAATGATCTTTTTGAAGAAAAAAAATTTTCACCAACTCAATTATTATGATCACCATCATCATATGGTCTTGACCTTGATGGCCTTATCGTGTTTCTATTTACACACACGTACAGATCCGATAAGACAGAAAATATAAAAAAAGAAGAAGAAAAAACACTGACTGAATGTCCAAATCGAATAAAAAAAGAGATGGCCATATCGATATCTTATCAATGTTTCGATGATGGTCGATATTCAAATTGAAAGAGCACATACGGGCTGTTGATGAATGATTCAATCATCATTCAAAACTTTATTGTTCATTTCATTTCGTTTTTGTTGTTGTTGTTGTTGTTGTTGTTGGTGAAAGTATAACATTATGTTTTCTTCTTTTTCTTTTTTTTATTTATATTATAGGAGATATTTAAATGGATTCGTCAATATAATGTGGTCAGCTTTATTCATCATCATTTTTGAATGACAAATCAATTAAGAGAGCAACAATACTATGGCGATGATGATGATTAATTAAGTGCTAAATGAATCGTGTTTGGTTGTCATGTTTGGTGAGGAGAAAAGAAAAACAAACACCGAAAGAAAACATATAGACATGTGTTTTCGATTCATTCACATCTCTCATCGTCATCATTTATTTCGCAATTTTTTACCATTTATTTTCATTAATTGATTTCAATTTCGTTCATTGACATTGGAAAGAAAATGAATTGATGTCACCTGTATGGGTCATTGGATTACCTTTGGTTTAGCAAAAAAAAACACAAGAAGCCGATGCATAAAATAAAAATGTTGGCCTCATGTCGTCATCATCATCATCAAAATCAATATCAATAACAGAATATTGTGGCTACATTGTTGTAATGGAACAGGAGCCTCATCATCATCAAATTGTAATGAATAACAATAATAAAAAAAAAACTTTAAAATGTATTTTACATATATTTCGACCTAAAGAAGAAGAAGAAGAAGAAAAAGCTTTCGGATTATACAATCATCAAAATTTAAATGTTTCACACACACACACACACACACACACACACACACACCAACCATCGCTATAGACAGATTTGTCATTTGATAAACAAGAAGAAAGAATGGCTAAATTCTGATGTCTTTATTTATTATTGTGATGGTCATTTTTCAATTTTATTCGAATGAATGATGATTTTAATCGTCTCTTGTCTCCTATTGCGATCGAAAAAAAAAAATATTTAAGAGGCAATTGATTGATTGTGATAAGACAGAGGATCATTATTATCATCACAAACCAACTATGGAATGGAAGATAAAAAAAAAATTTGAATTTTTTTTTTAAAGAAAGTGAAAGTGTTGATTGACGATGATCATGACAAGATACAAATCTTCTAATGCTATCGCTACTGCTACTGCTGTTTGCATTGAAATCAACGAAAAAAAAAATCTGTCATCGAATCATTGAATGAAATCATTATGTTTGTGTAGACCCAAAATGAATCAAATTGTCAACCTTATTACTGAATGAATAATCATTTTTTGCAAACTTTGTTCACAACAACAACAACAACGATAACAACAGCAACAAATGTCTCCATTCATTCATTTTCAAAAATGATCACCAATCAATTGTATCGATTTATTGTGTGTATACATACCATGTCTTTTTTTTCCTGTTGTTTGGTCGATATATAATAAGCATAAAATCATCATTTAGATAAGAAGACCATCATCATCATTATCTGATTCGATATTTAACCAGTGAGTGACTGAGTGAGTGAATGAATGAGTGAGTTATTTGAAAAAGATCATGGCCATAAGATCAAAATCAATGGTGGACGAAAAGTACCGCGGCATATAAGATTTGTTATTATGATCATCATAGTATTCAAGACTGGCTGATTGATACCTTTATACAACACAAAGGTCATAAAAATATATAACATTGAGGTCAACATTATGATCCAGAACGTTCTTTGTAAAAAAAAACAACATACCATCATCATCATCTTTTTTTTTGATTGATCTATGATCGATTTTAATCGAAAACAAAAACAGAAAAAAAACAAAACAAAACCGAAAAAAAATTACAAAAAACTGACTGTTACATTTGCTCATCATCATTTATAGATGAACGTGTGTCAAAATTTTTTTTTTTTTTTTTTTTTTGCAACTGACATATCTAGGACTTTTCAGGCTTTTTTTAATTGTTCATAAACCGTTTTTTCTTCAATTCAACGAAAAAAAAAGACAAAAGCAGCAGCAGAAACAAGGTCAAATATTTAAGATCAATTAGGAATTTTTTTTTTTATTTTTTCATTTAATAGCAAAACATCCGAAAAAATCATCAATTTTAAATGAAAAAAAATACAATGTGGTTACAATACGATGTACAATGAATGAGCACATGTTTTTTGTTTGTACAAATATATCTACATTAAAAATGAAAAAGAAAGCCAGAAAAAAACGATACAAATTCTTTCCAGTTAGCCACCTGAATTTGAAATGTTGGTTGTTGTTGTTGTGGCGGTGGTGGTGATGGTGTTGGTGGTTGTGGCACGTGCACAATCCAATAAATCGCTTAATGCCATTATATAACTTTGAGCCATTTGTAATGTTTCAAATTTTGATAATTTTCTATCATCACCTATTGATGGTACTACTTGCCGTAGACGATCGAATGCCGTGTTCAATGAATGCATACGACGTCTTTCACGTGCATTTGCAGCTATACGTCTTTTCTTGAGAATTATATTCGATACGATTGAACGTGATGATTGTTGTTGTTGTTGTTGTTGTTCTCGATTTCGTTTACTTTTAGAATGGCTTCGGCTAGTGGATCGTTTCGATGTTGATAATTTAGATCGATTTTCATTATTTATCTTGGCTATTGAGGTATTCAAGCATTTGGCAGCGTTGGAAAATGGGCAAGATATTGATTTATCATTTTCAGAATCATCATCTTCATCATCATCAACATCATCATCATCAGTGATTGTGGTAGATTGTTGATGATAATAATTTGGCTGGCTACTACTACAGGAAACAATATGATGATGATCCGGAAATGTCATTGTCATTGGAAACATTGCCATGGGTGATGTAGGTGTTTCCGGACAACCATTACTATTACTTAATTCATAATGTAAGAATTCATTATTATTGATCATCGCTGATGTTGTTGGCGGTGGTGGTGATGAATGCTGGCTATAAATAGATAATGGTGGTGAATATATTTGTTGTTCATATTGTTGTTCAGATGATACACTTGTTGCAGATCGATGCTGTTGATGATGGTGACCTCGAGAATCCATTGATGTTATGGTCAACATGATTGGCACATTCACACAAACATACACAATGATAATGATAACACGATAAACAAGCGCGTGTACGTTGTGTCCACGTTGATGATGTGAAATGGACCTTACAAACGACCTCGACGAACCTTTTTATATACGCGACCATGAATAAATGAATGCTTGGTGAAAAGCTAAAAAAACGAAAAGAAAGAAAGCAAATCATGGATAATACTGTCAGACTGTTGTGTGTTGTTGTTATTGTCTACCTGTCTGCACACACATATGTAGGGTTTCACGTTCATCATTTGGTTGGTACGTTCATAATGAATCTTCATCATCACTGAATATTAAAGGTATATGGGGCTGGTTTTTTTTATTTGGTTCCGCTGCTGATTTGGTGCCTTTTTTTGCCCATCATCATTCTCAAATACCGATATATAAGTGATCACTACACACAATGTTAGATTGTGATCATTCATTCGAGACAGGTAGAGTAGCAATAGAGGCGGTAGGCGGTCGATTCATATTATCATTGTATATGTGTGTGTGTGTGTGTATGCGGACAATGTTCGTTGTTTGATCGTCGTCGTCCATCGATTGTTGATGAGCCATCATCATCATCATCATCATCATCATCATTGGACAATTCACGGAGTAAAGATACAAAGTTTTTTTTACATTCTGGTCTGGTCATCCATACAAGAGAAAAAAACACTTGTCGATAGATAACAACAACAGCTAAAACTGCAACAAAAAAAAAACATTGTTGGATCTATTATCTGAAATTGGCTTTTCTTATTATTATTATACTCACTGTATTTATTTATTTGATGATGGCGATTTTTCAATATCCAATTGTCATCATCATCATCATTATCATCAATTGTAAAAAACATCTTTTCAATGTTAAAAAAAATTAGATTTTTTTCCAACCATAATGATGATAATGACCAAAAAAAAACTGATTAATCGAACCAAAAGTCTAGACAGGAGACAACCTTGTCGATAGCAACAGAAAAAAAATATCTGGATCGAATAAATAAAAACGGATTTTCCATTTACATTTTCCAAATGACAAAAAAACAATAGGTTGACTATTAGATTGAGATTAATCTCAACAGGTTAAAATGATAATGATGGTAAATTGTCACCTTCGGTAGCTAATGATATTTTACAATTTGATATCTGAAACAAAAAAAAAACAGCAAAATTAGATATTTTTTTCTAGATGCTACACACAGATGACAATTACCTTGAATGATGATGATGGTGATCATTTCATTTCATTTTATTTTTGATACAATTTTTCGAATGTTTCAATATTCGAACAGTTTGTTTATGGTATGGTATTCACAGCAGGTTATGTTATATTCGAACGAACTAATAAATTTAACCCCTTCGAATCGATGGTACTGGTACTGGTGATCAATCAAAAAAAAAGTGAAAACTTTTCTTCTTAGTTGTTATTATTATTATTATTATTACTGGCGATGATTGGATTATACTTTTTTTTCGATGAACAAAATGCTTCGTCACTTTCCATTTTTTTTCTGCTAATCATCATCATCATCATCATCATCATCATTGATTGAAAATGGATCGATCGATTTTTTTTTTTTGGTTATTGTTACCTGTCATGATGATCGGTTGGTTGAAACCGTTGCAAATTATCATCATCATCAATTTGTAAAGAGATGAAACAAAATTGGCCCCTGTACTGTGAAAAAAAACGAAAGTATTATTATAACACCATATAATATTGTGGTTACAAAAAAAACTGGACAAGCAAAAAAAATTTTGTTTTTGATTACACAGTATACACACATGGCCTTACCATATGAATTTGTAATTTATGAACAAGAAAGTGATTATAAACATATGGAAAGTGATTATAAATTATCGTGGGTCTCTCAAAAACGAACGAAAAGAAAGAAGAAAAATTTGTCGATTCATAATTGGCTGTAGAGAACATTCATTCATATAATAACAAATTGACTTGTCGCTGGTCATATATTCATGTATATTGACAATATATGTGGCCACCACCAATTAGTCTTTGTCCAATTGGTACATGAACAAGTCTATGAAAAAAAAGAAAGAAAAAAAGGATTGAGATTATCACTTGACATGTTGTAGGTTGTTATCATCAAATAATGACAACGTTTGTAATAACAACAACAACAACAAGTTAAGATATCAAATATCTTTTTAAATGATTATATCAATGATCCAGAAACTTTCGGTGTGTGTGTGTGTGTGTGGTCCTTAAATTATACTCTCTGTGTGTACGCAGACACACACGCGATCACATTGTCAATCACAATTTTTTTTTGTTGGGCCACCAAAATGACAAAAAAAAACATTCGAATTGAGATTGACCAATAGATTGATTGTTGTCGCTGTCGTATGAAAACAACAACAACAACAACAAGATCAATGTTTTTTTTGCAATGGACATCGTATAATGCTCACACCTCCACCCACTTTCGATTTCAAAATAATCATCATTTGCTATATAGCCTCTAATTTGTAGCAAATTACAATTGATAAATTTCAAAAAAAAAAAAATTCTTTAATGCCGACAATCTGGGTGGTGTCCATCGTCATCATCATCTTTGATCAATTGCCACCGATGTTTTATTTTTTTTCCACAATTCATGATTGCTTTGATTTACTTTACTTGATGATGTTCTCTCTTTATTTAAATGACAGATTTCCATCCTGTTGTTGTTGTTGTTGATGATGATGATGTTCATTGTCTTCATATATAGATGGTGTGATAATTTAATTTCATCATCAAAACACACACACACACAGATAATCATTGCAAAGAATGTGATCGATGTGGATGAATGGCTACCACATACACTTCTATAGAAAAGAATAGTATTCGTTACCAGTGTTTAAATAAATATAAGGATGATAACAATCTAACTACCTTTTTTCAAGGGGGCCAAAAAGTCAAAATATATCGAATAGGATGATGAAGATGATGGTATTTCTATATGAATCCCGGTAATCATCATCATCATCATCATCAAATGCTGGGCAATGTTTATCAGACCATATTCAAGAAGCAAACGAAACAAGTGTAAACGATAGTTCACTTGTTGTTCATTGTCGTATTTTTATATGATAATATACCAGTAGTTGTTAGATATTGATATAGACAGAACCAGTAGCCAAATATATTCTTCATTATATATACACACACAAACACAATAAGTTCACTGGTTGGTTGTGAATTTAGAGCTTTTAAAAAAAAAAAATTGTCTTTCTTTGTTTGTTGTTAATGTGATTGATAAAGTTGTAAATTTTTCTTCTATTTTTCACTTTTAGTAATAAATCAAAAAGTGTTCATTTTCGTTTCGTTGTTGTTGTTTTCTGGATCTAAATGAAATGAAAAAACAAAACAAAACAAAAACAGGAATAATGAAAAATGAATTATGGTCCCAAGAACTTTGTACATACGAAAAAAAAACTTTGAGCCACAGCAAAAAAAAATAAAGATCGCGTGATAAGTCTGGACATTATTTTTTTGTGGATAGATTGGTTAGTCCATGTCGTTCAATATAACGGGTTGTTTCAGTTGATCATCATCAAAAGTTGATTAATGAGAATGAGGTTTTTTTTTGTTACTGACTAACCTGAGATGAAGAATGATTGAAAGTCCGTTGTTGTTATTCGGAAGTCAAAATGTAGAACACAACCACACACGCTGACACACCATCAATATCGATACATCGAGATTGTAGAAATTCATTCGAAAACTATCGATGTTCTCACGATGATGATGATGATATGACCCTTTTTCATTCGTTCTTTTCTGACCATGGACACACAAAAATGAATTTTTTAAACTTTTCAACAATCTGTCTACATAAAGAAGAAAATGAAATAAAAACAAAAAAAAAACACAATATGGATCATCAATAAGATCGATTTTTTTTTTTCGGGGAGAGGAAAGGTATGTAACAAGAAAAGAAATTACTTTTTTTAGCAATTAAAAATTACTTGCCTACTTTTTTTTCTAGTTCGATTCGAACAGAAAATCAAAAAATGAAAAACACAGTAGTGGGTCATCATCATCATCATAATCATAATTGAGTATGTTCCATTGTTCCATCTATGATCTTGTTGTTTCTCATCATTCTTCATATCTCAGTGGTGTATTTGTCATTGAAATTAAAAGAAGAAAAAAAAAAAATATTTTTTTGATAGATCTCTTCTCTGATCGATGATGAATTATTATTGCTGTTGTTTTTTTTATGTGGGTAAATTTTTTCTTTCTCGAAATTAAAAGAGGAAACGGTTGTTGAGGGTGGTCAGAAAAGAAAATGAAAAAACAAAAATTTCATTTGCTGACCCGAAAAAAAACAATAACAAATCAATTAGGATGGTGATTTTTTTTTAAAGACAATCGATACTATCGAACATAGAGATATTTGAAAACATTCGAATATTTTTTTTTTTTTTTTTGCTTCACGGTGGGAGGTTCACAACAACAACGACGATGATGATGATTATGATGATTATGGACAAAGGTAATTGCTGTAATGATTGTTTTTTTTTCATTGAATGACCATTTTTTTTATATTACTTTTTCCTTTTAGTTTCAAATCAATCAATCAGATGATCAACACTGGAAAATTGAAATTGATCATCATATACCTATTCGTAATTGTGTATATAAAGTTTCAAAAGTGCCGAATAATACAGATGACGATGACGATGATCATCATAATCAATTTCGGACAAGAAAATGAAAATCCGTAATCAATTCAAGCAGACCAACCGATAATACACATTGGATGTCCATTAAATTTTTGAAAAATTTTCAAAAAATTGAATTGGTCATTCTATGGTTTGTATGGTGTGAAATATATTGGGCGTATATATCTGGAATGTAACCATATTAAACCATGCAATTGACCGTTATTATTATTATTATTATGAAATGTCAAAGTGTTAACCAAGGTTTGGGATATGAACAAGAAAAAAAGGTGCCGAAAATAGCACCTTTGGGTGCGAGCAATGAGAGAGAGAGAGAGAGAGTTGCAATTATTTATCCATTAGGTCCATAAGGTCGAGCGGCTGATTGTTTGAACAACCAACCAACCAACCAACAAACCAACAAGTTCAAATGAAGAACAAAAGAATTTCTTTTGATCTTTTCTTTTGGAGAATAAAAAAAAATTGAAAAGCAAATCATAATTGGAAAATAATAAGGCACTGTGTGTTTCTATTTCACTGGGGTAAGCGAAATTAATTTCAAGTTTCAAATTTTTTTTTTTTTTTGTTCAATTTCCGTAACGATTATTCTGGTAACAACTATGTATCAAAAAAAAAGTGATGATTCAACGAAAAAATATCTACCAGACATACCTGTCAGTTTTGTATATTGATGAGATGAGATGATTGTCTGTGGTGCAAAGAAAGGTGCGTCGCGTCGTGGTAGTTTAGTTTGAGAAATTTTTGAATGAAAATAAAGATTCTTTATTTATGGAATCAAAAAAAAATAGGACTATGTTTGAAAATGGCTATTTCAACATCGATGTGTTGGTGGTTGTGACAATATTGTTGATCATCATCATCATCATATTTTATTTTTCTGTTCGAATGTCAATAATATTTCTGTTGAAATGATGAAAAAAAGAAAAAATTTTCAAAATAATAATCAAACAAGCATTCAAGTGTTATAATATGATTTTATTTGTTTGTTGATTGATTGATTGATTGAATCATTATCATCATCGATTCGTTGAATAATATGGTTCTCTGAATGAATGGCCAGTAGCTTTGTGAATAGCAGTTATGAGGCATATACCATAATGATCTAGTTTTATTCGATTCCAGGTATTGTACCAAGAAAGTCATCAGTATAAATATAGCCATTATATTCGAATCGAAATGATCAGTTTTTTTTCTTCTGGTTGTGTAATGGCCATCATCTTACCATCATCATTTATTCACAATTCACACAGGTCATTCATTTTCCCTCTTCTTACTATACAGCCACTGTTGTTGTTGTTGTTGCTGTTGGAACCAACGATGCGATACAAACAAACAAATGGTAAACCGAATTAGCCAGGATTATTATTATTTTATTTGAGCAACAACAACAACAACAACAGAACAAAAAACGAATTATAACCCAATTGATGATTGTATTCAGAATTAAAAATCATCATCATCCATCATCAATGTTCAGTGTCTGTGTGTCTGTTTCGATTATCTTTTGGTAACAGAAAAAAAAAATTAGTCAAAAGAGAGAGAAAAACCGTTTGGTTTTTGTTGCTGTTTGATAATAATAAGCTAATTAAAAAAAAAATTTACATTCATCCACACCATTATCAACCACCAAAAATTTTTTTTTTTTTTGTTTGAAAAAAAGCTAAAATTCAGATAACGCAATGTTTGACATATAAAAGTCTGTCTGTGTTTTTTTTTGGATTCCATTCTCATGGATTCTTTGCTAAATTTACATTCATCCACACACCAATAAGGTGCATATATAGTCAACACAATTGAACAAAACTAGCAACAAGTAGCAAAAAAAAAAAATGATGATGATGATGATGATGGTTGTCATGGGAATATCCGAGATTTTTTTCTAGTCAGTAATAGATCCTTGTGTGTGTTGTAATTATCATTATGGTCCATCAAACACACAGTAGCTTTTTTGTTTTTTTTTTTTTTTGGTGCTTTCACCTATATATATGTATGAATATGTATGTCACGTATATCAATTTTAGACAACGAAATTAGGAAAAAAAATTTTCAAACGAATAATTATCTCTGTTTTTTTTGGACATTTGGAACATCATCATCATCATTGATGATGATGATGATGATATGGATGTCAGTGTCTATGATCCAATGACTTGATGAAGATCGCCATAGGGTCCCTTTGGTTTTGTTTTGTTTTTTTTTGTAATTATTAGGCAAGGTTAGTCAAGCATCATCATCAACATTGAATTTGAACACTACTAGACTAGGGCCTTGGTCTTGTCTAGTTTTTTTTTTGGTTCAACTGTTGTTCTTGTTGCTATTTATCGATCACAACAATGAATTGATGTACACGTAATAACGGTAGTTTTGTTGTTGTTGTTACAAAATTCGATGGATGGGGTGTGTGTGTTGTTGTTGGTGATTTGCATATCTCGTATTTGTTACATTTTAAAAAATGACTCGCCCAAGTTTTTCGTATATATCTGTAAAGACAAAACAAACAAAGATAAATAAATTACCATCATCATCACATCACATCACATCAACAACAATCTAACCGTTATTCAATGGATCGATCATCATCAGCATTGATCTTGAATGACACCCAACCAATTGAAAATCAATTGAATTTCAAAATAATAATATATAGGGTAGGAATTATATTCAAATTATTTGAGGTTTTTACTCTTGGTTTAGATGCCAAACAAACAAACAAACAAACCAACCTGTCTTGGCATTCATGTTCTTTTTTTTCACAATAAAAATATTCGATCGAATGTTTTTGTGTGTGTTTGTATGTTCGAATCCAAAATGGCCAAAATCATGAATTTTGAATTGAATAAAATTTTGACAAACAAAACGTTCGTGGCGTTCGTGTATCGTAAACGCGCGCGTACACCATATGCTTTGTGTGAGCAATCAACCGTCAAACGATGGTGTATATTTTGATGGTAAAAAAAATAGACAGGCAGGTAGAAATGAGATAAAAAAAGAAAAGAAAAGAAAAACCGATCGACTCGCTTTTTTTTTTACTTACGATGCTATTCGATATAACCCAATCGACAATAATCATGATGATGATGATGATTTTTTTCTGTTGTTGTTCTTTTATTTGTTCGTCGATAACTTTCATTTGAAATTTTGAACGTGAATGACGCGTGCCAAACACACACACACACACACACAATCTGTTGTTTTGTGATTACAATGACAATAGTCAATGAATGAATAAATGAATGGTGGTAAAAGGTGGAGTATTCAATTAGTCAGATACAATTGTCATCATCATCATCATCATCGATGATCATCGCGTGTTTTTATTGTTGCACGTGTAATAATAAATAACTATGACCAATTTTTTTTTTTTTTGCTATATCGTTATGGATGATCATCATCATCATTCGAATGTCAATGTCAATTGTTTGGCTATAATCACACAAAAAGTCTTTAACCTTTATTTTTTTGCAAAATGACTTTTCAACATAACTAACGCCATCTAGTTTCTTTGACTACAAACTGGAAATTTTCAAAATTTTTTTTTGTTACCGGAAAGAAAATTCATTTTCACTCCCATTAACATACATTGAACAATCTTCGAATAAAAATGTTTCGAAACATTGAAAAAAAAGTTGATCCCCTATGTTTGTGTATGTGTGTGTGTGTGTGATAAGTATATAATTGTAATATGATATTTGGCATGCAATCGATCGATTGAATGGCCATCGATGATGGTTGATCGACAAATTGCAAATCGATATCAATCAATTATTATCACTCTAGCAAGATTTATAATAATCTACTTATTACTTACTAATATGTGTACGGAAGCATTTAAAGCTTGAGGCAACAAAAAACTGCTGTTAACTGAAAGAAAAAATTTCCTAATTTCTTGTTTACCACTCCCCATTTGTTCGTCATCGGACCTTGATTTGTCGCCTGAATTTGATTTATTTGTTTTTTGTTTGTTTGTTCGTTTGTTTGTTTGCTAATTTGATTGGATTCGATTTTCAAAGCGAAAAAAAATCGTGTAATTATCAATGTGGTTGTTTCTTCATAACAAATTGATCATTGATCGATTGAATTAGAATGATTTTTTACCGAACATCATCACACATATTGATATCCGGTGACAACAGAAAATAGTTTCCCATGTCATTCATGTTGACTGTTGATGATGATGGTGGTGGTTAACTTGGTAAACATCATCATTGTCGTGGTGATTCATGATTGATTTTTTGCGTTGACCTAGTTAATATTCGGATGTGAAAAATTATAAATAAAAAAACAAAACAAAACAAAAGCCTATGCAAAATAAAAATTAAAAAAAAAATAAATAAAATGAACTGATTTGATTATTCAACTTAACTTGACAGTTGTTGTTGAAGTTGTCGCCCAAATAACAACAACAACAACAACAACATGTTGACCATTCATTTTTCGGGTTATTGGCTTTTGCCATCGATTTTCATTGTAAATTGATTTGAATTGTCATTGCCATTGTTTAGTGTGTGGACAATATGTTCAATAAAAAAAACGACAACAATTTTCTGGCCATTGGCCATCGAATGTTGATCCATTTTAATAATGATGATGATGATAACGATGGCTTTTCTCATTAACACAATCAATGCCTTCCTTGATGCTTGTTGATGATGTTCTCTCTCTCTCTCTCTATACATCTATCCACATTTTCTCACTCAAATGTCCAAGTGCGTGTAATAAGTATTTTCCGTTGTTTCATTTTCTCTTCAAATACATTAATTGATGGATTCAAATCAAATTTATTGAAAAAAATGTTATTTTCATCGATCCAGACTTCTTCCTTTTCCATTAGAGTCTCTTTTCTTCTTTTTTGTTGCGATATAATTTCATCCAGAAATAACGTGGAAAAAAAATAAAATCTTGGTGAAATGAAAAAAAAAAAAATTCACGTTATTATTATTATTATTGGGCTGTGTATATGTATATGATACTTGCCTGGCTTGGCTTCTTGTTTTATTTTATTTATTCATTATTTTCCATTGATTGTGATGCGGCAATGATTAGATATGATAAAAAAAACTTTCTTCTGTGTGTGGCCATGGTGGTCTTTAACAGTGTTAAATTACAACAATCTTATTATTCCGTTTCATTTATTTAAATTGATAATTTGAATGTTGAGTTGTCTTCAATGATGAATGATGATAAGTGCGCGCCAAAAAAAAATTTTTTTTTTTCACAAAATTTGATTTGAAAAAAAATCCACACACACACACACGGAAAATATTCGTGATCATCGGCTTAATAACTGGTTCAGCTTTTTTTTATGGGTTTTTTCTTCTTCTGGTTTCTTCAGACAGTTTCGTCATCACATACCATGGTGCGTATTTAAATAAACAACAGACAGAATTGTTCATTAACTCAACAGGTTGTGTTCTCAATCTTCATATCATCATCATCATCATCAACGTTGTCGTCGTCAGCATTGATAATCAACAAAGCAATAGTCAGCCATTCTATGATCTTGACATATCGTATGACGATTATTTTTTTCGTTTTTGTTTGCGATTTGGATTTTCTCCATCACCAAAATCAAAATCCAATACGATACGGTTTTCTTCATTTTTCACCATCATCATCATCATTTTGATTATATTTGATGATTCATTGATAATCGATCGATCAATAGATTGAACGGTGGCACTTGGTTTGTTTGTTTTATTTGTTCAAAATCTATATTGGTGGTGTATATCTGTCTCTATTTCTCTTTGTGTGTGTGTGTGTGTTTTGGTGAATGGAAACTTTTTTTTTGATGATACACACACACACACACACATACAGATTTCATACAATGAAAAATAATTCCTAGGAAAGAGAAATAAAAAAAAAAATGTAAATTGAACCGAAACATCATTGAAAAAAAATTGATTTCGAAAACATTACATTACCAGAAATACAACAGCAATGTGCTTGCGTGCGTGTGACATCGATCGATATTTATTGAGCTAAATTGATTTTGATCAAATTCAAATGATGATGATGATCTGACTATTTTTTTCGTTTCATTGCTTCATTGATAATCGTTCAAGGCTTTACAACCACCACCACCACCACAACAACAACAAGTGGAAAAAAATTTCGAATCGAATTGATTCAGGATCAATCAATATCTCTCTTTTGTGTGATGATTGATTGTCCATATGGCCATTGTATCATATGTCACCATAATCTATAATTTTTTTTCTTGCTGTGAATGAATGCTTAGGATGACATAAATTTTTTTTTCTGCATACCTTTTTGGATTTTCGTTTCGTTTCGGTTTTTTTTGATGATCTGTGATTTTTAATTTTTTTTTGCTTGCTTGCTTGCCAGAAGAAATCGAATTTGGAAAAAATCACTGTAAAAAAAAAGAAACGTCAAAGATTTGGAAAAAAAATCGCCAAGCGTCATCAGAAAAAAAATTTATATATTTATTAAGCATCAAGTGACTGACTTTGTTGTTATTAAACCGGGTGTCTCTGTATTTGTGATGTGATCATCATCATCATCATCATCATCATCATCATCATTGGTCCAGAAGCATTTTTTCATCTCAATGATATCACAATTGTATATTGATGCCACAATATTCAATTGTCTTTGTGCGTGTTTTCTGTGCACATTCACATTTCACATAATAAATGATCATCATCATGATGATGAAAATGTGAAATGATCTTGATCATTAACCATACAAACAAACAAACAAACACACACACACACACATATAAACAATCAATTTGGTGCAGTTATAGTTTTTTTTTGTTTTGTTTTGTTTGATCTGATTTTTTATTTTTCACACACGCATATATCGAAGTTTTTCGAATCAAATTCTCTTCTAATCAATTTGTTTTTGGTGTCACAAACACACACACAAAAAAAAATTTTCGAAATTCGAATGTTTTCGAATATTCGAAATCATCAACAACATGATGAATCGTCCATATAGTACGAGTCATCATCATCTTCTTAGGAATAAATTCATGTTCAATTTATTCATCATTTATTCATCGATTATCATCTTGATCATTAGAACAGTAAATGCACATTATTGTCAGGTATGTCGGGTATTTTGTTATCTGTTTGTTGTGACCTTTATCCATTTTTTTTTTAATAGTCATGTGCACCAACATTACAGGGTGTATTGAATGTTCATGTTGTTTGTCATACACATATGGATACCGGATGGGTTCATACATTTGATCAATATTATCATCGATGTAAGTTTGTCATCCATGATGATGTTTAAGGATAGTAAAATCTTTTGTTTCCCTAATAGATATTCCGATCATATATAATTCAGTTATAGAAAGTCTTGCACAACATCCTCGGCGTAAATTTATTGTCGTGGAAACATCATTTTTTTCAAGATGGTATCATAATCAACCACGTACTGTACAGCTAGTCGTACATGAATTAGTGAATTCAGGTTAGTAATGATGGTGTGAATGAATTATTCATTTTTTTGGGTTTGGGTTTTAGGACAATTGGAATTCATCAGCGGTGGTTGGAGTATGAATGATGAGGCAACTGCACATTATAGTTCCATTATTGATAATCTATCGTTGGGTGTTAAATGGCTGAATAAAACATTCGGTCAATGTGGCCTTACGAAAACTGGTTGGCAAATTGATCCTTTTGGTCATTCAGGGAACAAGCATCACTGTTTTCACAGATGGGATTTGATTCACTATTTCTTGGCCGTGTTGATCATCAGGATAAAAATCTTCGTGAACGTATGCGAACTTTGGAATTTATATGGAAATCATCACCAAGTATTGGTGAGAAATGTGACATTTTCACCGGTATACTGCCGAACGTATATTGGCCACCAAAAGGTTTCTGTTATGATATCAATTGTTTTGATGAAACATTGAATCAACAGAATATAATGCGTAAAGCGAGAGAATTTATTCAAACAGTACGAAATCAAGCCAAACAATATGCAACGAATCATACGATTATTACGATGGGAATGGATTTCTATTATCAAGCATCCGAGAAATGGTATAGCAATCTTGATTATCTATTTGATGCTGTTAATTCATTGACAGCGACTGAAAAAGTTCATATTATTTATTCAACACCATCTTGTTATGCACGTGCATTGAATCAATTGAAACGTCGATGGCCAATTAAATTGGATGATTTTTACCCATATGCTGATGCACCAGATGCCTATTGGACTGGTAAGGTTTCATTTCATTCGAATTAATTTCATTCGATTAATAAGTCTCATGATTCAGGTTATTTTACTAGCCGACCATCATTGAAATATGCAATCAAAAAAGGTGCCAATCTATTACAAGCATCAAATCAATTGAATGTGTTAGCAATGCGTGGCTTGGATCATGCTAATCAATTACAAGAATTAAAAGAAGTAATGGGTATTCTTCAACATCATGATGCCATAACAGGCACATGTAAACAATATGTAAATGATGATTATCAACGAATGCTTTCCCAGGCCAGTGATAAAGCTGAACAATCATTTATATCTGCATATATGACATTAGTTCAGGCAAAAACAGCTCCCGGACAATCAATCATAGGTTTCTGTCGTGATATGAACATTTCCCAATGTCATTACACGGAATTTATCGAAGATCATTTAAGCAGTATAATGAGCATCTATAATCCAATTGCTCATTCATTACGACATTTTGTACGGATTCCAGTGAAAAATATGCAATATAAGGTTGTTGATCATAATGAACACGTCATACCATCACAATTGGTGCCGATTCATCCGAAAATTTTATCATTGAAAGAACGAAATTCATTAGCAACACATGAATTGGTTTTCATGTCCACCTTAGATCCATTAGGTATCTCTAGTTATCTAATTACGAAAATGAGTGGTAAGTTGTTATTTTTGGTTTATTGAATCAATTTAATCCATCTATTGTAATTGATTGATTAGATTATGGATCATCCGAAATATCGGAAAATATGCTCACCAATGGCCAGGATGTATTCCTACATAATGGAAAAATTGGCATCCTAATCGATGGCCATACTGGATTTATCAAACAAATTCAATTGCCAAATGGTGAAAATATACCGTTCGTACAATCATTCTGGTACTATAAGGCAACAAGTCGATATTCTGGTGATAAACCATCCGGGGCATATGTATTTAAACCAGCACATAAAAATCCATATATTGTTAATACAAAATCTACGTACAAAATTTATCGTGGATCATTGGTTGATGAAATACATCAGGTATTTACCGATTGGTGTACGCAGGTTATTCGACTGTATAAGAATTATAATTATATTGAATTCGATTGGGTTGTCGGACCTATACCGATTGGAAAATTTCCCGATGAAACTGGTCTGGAGATTGTCACCAAATATGAAACAAATTTCCAGAATAAACAAACATTTTTCACCGATTCTAATGGCCGTGAAACAATTCGTCGTATTCGCCATCATCGACCAACATGGGATTTACAAACCGGTGAAGAAGTCTCTAGTAATTATTATCCAGTAACAAGTTGGACATTTATTCGTGATCTGAGCAAAAATATTCAAATGACAATTCTGACTGATCGACCACAAGGTACAACCAGTATGGTTGATGGTGTCATTGAAATGATGCTTCATCGTCGGCTACTGTTTGATGATGGTTACGGTATGGAAGAAGCACTAAATGAACCGGGACATAATTCTGAAGGTTTAATCGTACGCGGTAAACATCGACTTATTGTGGATAAAATACAGGAAAGTGTACGATTTATGCGTAAATTAAGTAAAACAACATCATGGATACCGTTATATCTTTTCCGTAATGTACCAGCAATGTATGGACCAAATCTAATCGTTGGTCTTAATACAAATGGAATACGTGAAAAATTACCAGTCAATATTCATCTATTATCACTGGAACAATGGGATGAACAAAACATCGTGATACGATTGGAACATTTTTATGAAATCAATGAAGATATTAAATATTCACAAGAAACAATGGTACGACTATCGGAATTATTCACAAATTTCATTATTGTCGATGTATTGGAAATGAATCTACTCGGTACGGAAACATTGGAACAATCGGAACGTAATAAAATGAAATGGATGGCCGAATTGGATCCATATGAAAATTATACAATGGTTTTAAGTTCTAGTTTTACACGTGGTAAGTGATAATTTCAAGTAATTGATTGTAATTTTCTAATTTTCGCATTTTTTTTATAGATTCACAAACCATACGACGAGATAGTTCGGGCAGTTTTTCCATACTATTTAAACCAATGCAAATACGAACATTTCTAATTCGAATTAGGCCACGTATTTATTAACAAACGAAAAAAAATTAATTAATTTAATTTAATTAAAAAAAAATTTTTTCCAATAATTAAAATTTGACCAAAATTTTTTCTTTCTTCTTTATTGATTTATGATGAAAAAAAAATTGTAAAATGGTTGACCATTGACCACTTGTTTTGTTTTGTTTTTTGTTTTCAAAAAAAATTGGACTGTTTTCTTCATTCTTCAGTGGTTAATAAATTTCGCCAAAACAAAAAAAAAAGAATTGGGTTTTTGGAGTAACAACAAAAAAATGATGACAATTGATGGTTTGAGAAAAAAATTTTTTTTGTTTTGTTTTGATCTGATGATGATGATGATCATATATCATCATCTCTAATTATTGTGGCTATATTTACCAACAACAACAACAACAACAACAAACGACAACAACAACTTTTAATGAAACTGGTTATCGTTTTGTGTTTTGTTTTATTTCATTTTTGGCCAACTGTTTCTTCATGTATGTGATTCAAATTGTTGGATTTTCCAAACAATTTTTTTTTTTTTCTTTCGCTGTTTTTTGGGGAAAAACCTGACCAAGTCAAAGGTGATCTGGCTCACCTGTCATTGTGCACTATTTTATCATCTTATATAAAAGATAGTGACCTACTTTTTTGTTGTTGTTGTTTTGGACGTAATTCCCCAGCGAAACTTGTCTTTTTTTTTTTCTTCTTATTGATGATGATGATCATCATCATTGCCATTCAGCCATGAGTCAGTGATGGGAAGATCTCAAATAGAAAGAAAGTTTGAAGAGTGAGAGAGAGAGAGAAAAGTTGAAATTTTTCTTTACTTTTATGTGTTACTCCTTCAAAATGTCTTCGTTGGGGTTTTTCGTTTGTTCGTTCAAAGAATGATATATAAAGGGATCACAAGAATGGTGATCATTCGAAAACAAGTTCGTCATTTTGAAAACAATGATCATGATGATTTTCAAATTGAATTTTTCGATTCTAGTGATCACCACCATCATCATAAATGGCAATGCTTTCGAAGAATTCACTACAAATTCTACGACGTTTGATGATGATGATGATGATAATTCAACGACGACAACCATAAATTATGATGATGCAAATGGTCGATCATTATCATTATCATCGATTGAAGATCTACCAAGACAAGGACGTATTATTAATGATGAAAAAATGTCAATCAAAGGATTCATACCGATTGTTGGTCTTTCAACATCCGAAACATCATCAGATGATAATCGTAATAAGAAAAATACCGTCGAACGAAATAGTTATGATAATCGGCCAGAAATTGATGGCGCAAATATTTATGATGATCAATCGTTGACGAATGTTCAACAACATCAGGCTGGTCCTGAAGATCAACGTTTTATTGGTGCTGCATTACAAGGTTTGATTGGAAATTTTGCCAATGGTGGTGGTGGTATCGGTGGCAGTAAAATTGGTTCGATTCGACCAAATTACGGTATCATTGGTGGAAATAGTCCTGTACAGCGAAAAAGTGATTGTATCTGTGTTCCATTCTATATGTGTCGAAATGGTGTTTTAGTTGGTTCGATTACTGATCCATATAATAATCTTTATCAACAACGTAAAAATGATCAACAACAACAACAACAACAACAAATTGATGATGATGTCTATGGTGCAATCAATGAACGAAGTTTTGATGGTAATTCTAATGCTAATAATAATACAAACAAATTTGCTGAAGAAATTCTTGGCCGTATGATCGGTGTTGGTGGTAATCGTCAAATGGCCGATAAATGTGGCCTATTACGAACCTGTTGTCAACGACCATATAATTTAAATTCAAATTCAATTCCAATGATTATGAATGATCCACAACAATTAAATATCGATTATATTGACTCTGTTGTTACACCACCATCAATGTCTTATAATAATGGTGGACAATCTATTTATCGACCACCACAGCAACTGCCACCATTGGAACATGTTTATCATCAGCAACCAATTAAAGCTGTTGTTAATCGGCCAGCATACATTACAAGACCACCACCACCACTATCTTATCATCAACGACCACCAAAAGTAATCAATTCGTTACATAGTCATTCGATACCTTCATTTGATCTCGATCATCATCATCATCATCAACCATCAATCGCACCATCATTACCAATACCAATACGAAATGATCATTTGCCAAGACCAAATGCAGCATATCATAATTGTGGTCAACGACAATCAATAGGAATCAATGGTCGTGTACAGAATCTTAATTATCATCAATCATCAACGGAATTTGCTGAATATCCATGGCAGGTTGCCATTTTAAAACGAATTGGTCCATCGGATAATCTATATGTTTGTGGTGGTGCTTTGATTAGTTCCAGTTTCATTATTACTGCTGCTCATTGTATCAAAAAGTAAGTGTTTCTGTCATTGCGCTAGACTGATTAAATAATTCTGATGATCTGTGTGTGTTTGCCTTATTCAATAGATTCCAGGCACATGATCTAAAAATTCGATTAGGCGAATGGGATGTACATCGTGAAGATGAATTCTATCCATATGTTGAAAAGAATGTGGAAGAGATTTTTATTCATCCAAATTTCGTACCACGTAATTTGGCTAATGATGTTGCTCTATTGAAATTGGATACCGAACTGGATCTTAGCCAACATCCACATATATCACCAATTTGTATGCCACAAACATTCGAATCATTTGCTGGTCATCGATGTTATGTTGCTGGATGGGGAAAGAATGCTTTTGGTCATCAAGGTGAATATCAAAGTGTTTTGATGAAAGTTGATCTTCCCGTATTGGATTCACGAATGTGTGAAAATCAATTGAAACACACGAAATTGGGTTACGGGTTCCGATTAGATCGATCGATGATTTGTGCTGGTGGTGAACCTGGTAAAGATGCCTGTGAAGGTGATGGTGGTAGTGGATTAGTTTGCGAATCAAATGGTATATGGCAAGTGGTTGGTCTTGTAAGCTGGGGTCTTGGTTGTGGTCAAGGTGGCATACCTGGTGTGTATACGAACGTCGCTCATATTCGTAATTGGATCGATAAAATTGTTTTGCCATATTATGTCAATCATCACAATCACAATCATCATCATCATCATAATCAGATCATGATCTCAAAACCCATTCCTAATTTCAATGAATTAATTAATGAACGAAGTTTAAATGGAAATTCAACCACAGAAATACTCAATAATGACAAAACATCACCAGTGATGGTCACCAATGTCAACAACAACAACAGTACCCAATAATGGAAAATAAATTGAATTTTCTTTTCTTTTTTTGATGTATTAAAATAATGAAATTTTAATTTTGATTTTTAAAATTCAAATTAATTAATTAATTTTTATCACAAAATGGATAATCAGCACTAGTCAATAGATAATGATTACCATGTGCACGGGTGAATTTGAATGATTGAAAACCCATTTGACTATCGCTACCTTTACATTTACCATCCAAATAATGTTGATAATTATCACATAAATGGCCAGAAAAATGACATGTTTTTTCGGCACTTATTGATGCTTCAAAATACAAGACCGATGTTTTATGACTACAAGCAATTCCAGTGCCTACTGGACAGTGTGGTTGACGAACCAAACCACCATTTGGATAGAAATCAATATGGGCATATGGTGATGTAAAACCTAATTGTCCGGCCAATATATCACCACCGGTAGTTGTGTGAATACCATCTACAAAATCGGCATCTTCTTTCGTTAGGAAAGCACCTTCCCATCCTTCAAACGATGGTGCAGCTGCATCTAAGCCAGTGATACGGCCAAATTTCCAATGATATTCAGTACGTGACCATTTACCGGCAAAACCAGAAACTTGGCCACCCAATGAAAAACCGACAAGATAAAAATTGTGAACATTTACATTGCGTGATTTATGGATTTGATTACAAAGAAAAGCGATCTGTCGTCCAACCACCTGAGTATTGGTTGCAGCTTGAGTATATGCAGGTGCAGTGGCTCCATGTTTCCAATCCACCATAATAACAGTACCGATTTCATCTGAACGATATTTCAATAGTGAGTCTTTAGCATTCATCAATATTGGATCAGTATGTGATTCAGCAAAACCATGAATAATGAAAGCAATTTTTTTATCCGTATCGATCACATTGAATGTATCATGATCATAAGCATCGATTGAATGTGATTCTTTCAAATCATTGGCTTTGAATGCTAAAAATTGTGTACGAATATGTTTCGGTGATTGTGGCAATAGCAATACATGTCCCATTGGACCATCCATACTGAAACAGCCAATATCATCATAACAAACATGACGACTTTCACAATCTGGACAATGATTAGATTCGGTGATTAAATTTCGTGTTGAATTATAGATGGATTGGACGATGTAACCATCATGATCATGTAATGGTATGGCCAATAAACCGGTTGATGATAAACAAACGATCGAAATAACGATGGATAAAAGTTGCATTTTTTTTTGGATTTGTATCAGGAAGAAAAAATGAAATGAAAAACAAAAAGAATTATTACAATGAACACTAACCTGGCAAATTGATCCATTTAAATAGAAAAAAAACTAAACTTGAGATGTGTATCAGGAGTCGTTGGAATTTTTTTTTTTTTTTTGGGATTTACATCATTAGATGGGTCCAAAAATCGAATGATAAATTTTGAGTCCAAATGAACCGGTCATTGTCCTTGAAATCTTGTATCTCTTTCATTTTTAAAATTACACTCCTACAGTATCGAATAATAATAATGATCCTTAATTACCTAATCATTGAAAAATGGTTAATTAATTTCAAGTGGTTAAATAATAATACAAAATTGACCTTTGAATTCAATGGATGTTGGTTACCATATGTGTGTAATTCCAAGTTTCAAGTAGATCACTCTTTGAAACTTGGTAATACCGATGATAGATGGCGTTAAAGTGGCAAGTGAGTGATGAGTTATCGAATTTTTCGATATTCGTTTTTTTCCGTATATATCTGTTCAATTATCAGCAATCAGCAATATAAAAGTGGATCTCTCTGGATAAAAGATGATGATGATCAATTTTTGGCCATTCAAAACATTTAGATATTTTATGATAAACAACGACGATGATTTTTTAAATTATTCAAATTTTTTTTTTCGATGCAACACCGGTATAAAACATCAACATGTACTCGTCGTAGATCGTTAATCATCGACAAACATCATTCGATCGATCGATCGAATGATGATGATGATCCCCTGACCATTGTTTGTTCTGTTTATGTTCGTTCAGCATCATAAATCGCAAAAATGAGATTCATTCGAAATTCGGATTCAGCCACAGCAAAAAAAAATTGTTGTCTATTTCAACTCCATTGAACCATCGAATATTTGGTGAGTGGAAAAAAAAGTGGCTGTCAAAATAAAAATAAAAATAAAAAATCATCAAAACTTTTAATTAGATCAACCATCATCCATTCATCGTTATCGTTGCCATTAACATACCAACGTCCGTTTATTGGGATTCGATTTTGGTATTTATCATTATGGCATTGTTGTATATGCTACCATCATCATCATCATCAACAAAACGTAAGTGAACCGAAAAAATGAATCAAGTAAATCGCTGCAACACATTAATGAATTGAACAACTTGATTTCAGTGTGTGTGTGTGTGTGTGTGTTTGTGTACTGAAAAATCAATCAACCTTTTCGTCGAATAATAATAATCGAACATTGATGATGATGATGATGAACAAATTGTTCATGAAGTTCCTTTTGTCTTTAATCATTCACATTCATCAAAGTCTTCATATTATTTCTGTTTTTCTTGATCTTTGTTCGATCAGTAACAAAAAAAAACTTGAAATACATCATCATCATTGTCGTCGTCAAACATAAAAAAGGTAAGAAAATTTTTATTTCGATGTCAAGTGTCATTTTATTCCTTTTTTTGTTGTTGTTGTCCGATTCAGCAATCTACCGGGTTATTTTATTTTTTATTTATTGTTCGGAGGATACACACACTGATCATTACCACCGTTGATGATGATGATGATACCCTTTATGTCATCACCATCATCAACCTCTTTTTTTGTTGTTGTTGTTCTCCATTCATTCATTGATTCCGTTAGAAACATGATCATTGGTGATCTTAATGGATGATGATGATGATGATGATAATGGCATCTTATTCATCTCATTTCACATAGCCACAAATGATCATTATTTTTTTTTTTTGCATTTGAAAATCTATTACGGCCGAAAATTTTTTCATTTTTTTTTCGTTGTTGTTGTTGACCTGTTATTCTGATCTAAAAAATTTTTTTTTTCTTCTGACAATTGAATTCGTTATCCACAGGATGCTGTAACTTTTTTTTGGTGGTGGTGAATGGCGTTATTTCAAAATGAAAACATTCGAATTTTTTTTTATTGTTCAAAAATGTCGTGATATTTTTTTTGTTGAATTCGAATTCGAATGAATGACACAAGATATCCGTTGTTGTTGTTGTTGTTGAACTTTAAAAACACAACTGGACATTCCGCAAGAAGAAAGCAACAACAACAACAACAAAAATGTGAAGAATATAATAATGGTGGCTGGTGGTATTCTTTCACTTTTGAAACAGTATTTTTTTTGCGAATTTTAAGAAAAAAAAAACATCAACGAAATTGAGGCCAATTTTGTTTCAGTTTTTTTTTATTATTATTATTCATTCGGCCTCCATCATTCTCCAGTAGTGAACAACAGAGATCAACAGAGAAGAGAAACAAATATCTACTGATGAAATATTTGCTGCTAGATTAAAAATCATTCGAAATCATTGATGATGATGATGATGATGATGTGAGAGACGACGACCACGACGATGATGATGAAGAAAATCGCTCTACTTGAAGAAAGAGAATTTGTTTTTTCTCTCACTCTTTCTCCATCTTGATTTTTATCACCATGAGATATACATGTCTTGTTGTTGTCTTCTCTTATTTTTTGTTTCAAATAACCATCACCTTTACTCTCTCTATCTATCTCTTTTCTTGTTCATATTTGGATGATGAAGAGGAAAAAAAAGTCTTGCCTTGTTGATCTGTTCAGTCAGTCAGTCAGTCATTGTCTTTCCGTTATGTTTGTATGATCGAACGCCATATTCATCGTCAAATGCATGGTCTTTTGAATCAATTTTTTTTTTCATCATCATCATCATCACCATCAATGACACATATGTGATCAACGGAATAAACATCGAAACAACGATCAACGATCATCATGGATGATCCAATGATGTGATTCGTGATTGTTGATGTTTTCCAATTTCATTTTCATTTATATGTGAAAAATTTAGTGAAAATGTTTTTGTTTGTATATGGCACGAGTAATTAAACAAAAAAGAAGAAGAAGAAGAAAGATTGAAAATTATCCACTTGAATGGATGATTAAAAAAAAGAAAGGAAGTGAAAAAAAAGCGCCAACCATCATCATCATCTTATAATTATCATCGTTTTATTTTATAACGTGCCTGTTTCATCATCATCATTTTTTTCGAATAATTATCAAATTCATCATTTCCACTTCTAGTTTCGGTTGTGTTTTTTTTTGTATGTGTGATTTGTGTTAAGGTGTAAATAGTTGTTGTGTTTTTTTTATTTCCGGTGCATATAATAATGTGTGTGTGATCTATGAATCTTAATCATCGAATTTTATTTTAACCGGTAATAACGGTTTTTCTATTCATTCATCATCATGTCATCGTCATCATCAAGCAATTTGGTTGGTGAGAAAGTATCATCGACAATAATTGATTGTCACCATCAACAACAAAAACAACCCGAATTGGTGCTGGAACAGCAACTAAATTTTAATTGCAATTCTTATTTTGAATGTCGTCTGTCATCCGATGGTGATGATGTCCATCACAGTGTTGATAGTGAAAACAATGATAATGATGATGGCAATTATCAAATACAGAAGCTACCTGTAAAAATAGAGAAAAATAACAACAACAACAACGATAATGTGATAATGATGACCAAAAATAAAAACAAAAACAACGATGACATCAACATTATTGATAATGATGATAAAGGCCACCAGTTAGTAGACCAATTTTATGTATCAAATGATGTTTGTAAATTTTTTGATAAATCAAGTACAAAACATTTGATGAAAAGGATTATTATTATGCCAAAAATTATACCATTTCATGATGATAACAATAACAATGATGTTGATGATGATGATGATGGATGGTTTTGGTGGTATTGGTCATGGCCAACAATAACAACAACAACAACAAAAAAAGTTGACATTATCAACCATAAATTGTGGCAAAAAAGAATATCATCAGTGGATCCACATAATAATAATAATTGTGCTCATCATCATCATCATCCACATTCTTCACATTTTCATCATCATCATCATAATAATCATCATCATCATCACTATCATTATGGCCATCACAGAAATATTATTAAAGCCATCATTCTGGTCATCATAGCATCATCATTATCATTATCGATTCAAGCACAAAGATCTGGTGGTAAGTTTTATACTTGATTTTGGCAACTATTTTCACTATAATGGTGAATTTTGTTGTTTTAAAAAATCTGGTTGGAATTAAAAATGTTAAGCTAAGCTTATCAGCTTAAAACTAGGTTGTTTTTTTTTCATTGTTTGAACCAATACCACTAGTAGTATCAGTAGTAGTAGTGACAGTAGGTCATTTGGTCATCAAGCCATGCCATGATATTTTTGGGTTATAGATGAATAGATAGAGTGTTTTTTTTTGTCACAAAATAATTAGTACCTGTTGCTGTTGTTGTTTTAGTTGGACATCTCGTATGTGTGACATTGATGATGATGATGATGATGACAAATTTATACTGGTAACACTTGAAATAAATTCAAACAAAACAATCTTGGTAATTTTTTTTTTCATTGTCTTTCGTGTTTGTTTGTCGACAGGTAGCAGATAATAATGATTGTCAATTTGTTACTTGTCTTTATTTATTCATTCATTCATTCATCTAGTGCATTGATAATACCTTCACGAACAAGTAGTTTTTGTGAAGAAAAAAAAACAAAATCTGGCAGCAGTAACAGTTCTTATCTGAAAACTTTTTGTTTGACCTAAAATTATCTTTTTTTTGTTTTGTTTTTTTTTATTTTGGTGGAAAACGAAACGTTTCGTTTTCCATTCATTCTTAGTGTACCGAAAATGTTAATCAACAAAAAAAGTAAAAAAAAAAATTTCATTTCTAATTATGAATTTTCATTTTCTGAATTTTATTTGATGATGATGATGTTTGGTTCTATCTCTCTGTGTGTGTGTGTGTGTGTTTGATTCATGTGAACAGCATTATCATCATCATCATCAGCATCTTCAAAAGCATCATGGATGATGACAAATGACCATCAAATGATGATGATGATGATTATGATTGAAATAATGATGACCGACATAGCATGTGTGTGTGTATATTCCAAATGAATAGATGTTACACAACACGACTTTTGACTTTTATCTACATTGAAAAGTAGTTAGTACATAAACGGACGACGGAAATATTAAGAGTTGAAAAAAAAACTTCATTTATTTATGAAATCCATGTCATTCATTCATTCATTCATTTATTCATCCATCCATTACTTTCCTGTGAGAGAATTTTCATTTTAATTTTTTTTTTACTTAATAACTTTTTTTTCGTTATTCAACATCCGATTCAGATCGAGATTGTTGGTTGGTTTCCTATCATAAAACTAGAATTTTCATTATGCTAATTGTTGTTGTTGTTGTTGTTGATCTTAATAATTACCGTTTTTTTCCCTTCTTTATCCATGCGGATAATGTTGTATAATTACCGGAATTTTTTTCGTATATTCATATAGAAATGAAGGGAAAATATAGTTTATTCATGTAATGATTATGATTATGATGATGATGATCATAGGTCAAAGTAACTGAATAACAATTGTCCCTGTTTCTTTTTTTTTTTTGAATTATCATTTTTTATTCATGTGATAAAAAATCAACAAATGTCATTACACATGTTTGTTCGGATAATTTCAAAACGCTCCCATCATCATCATCATCATTTATATCGTGTGTGTGTGTGTGTGTGTTTGTATGTCTGTTTCCACCTTTATCATTTATTCGTATCCAAACACCAAATGTTCATTTCCGATTTGAGTAAAAAGAAAAAAAATTTGTTTCATGTTTGCGTGTGTTACATTTGTTGTTTTTTTTATTTGTAATCATAATCAGAATGATTATGATGATGATGATGATGAACAGGAGAAAGTTAATAATCGATTTATGATTCTCTCTATGTATCTCTGTGTGTGTGTGATGTGCACCTTTCGTTTTCGTTTTTTCTCGTTCATTCATTGGTAAAAACCGGAACAATAAATGAAATTCTGAAACTCAATTATTAAATGATGATGATGATGATGAGGATCGTCAAAAACAGGATCCATTTAATGACGTGTGATGATGATGATGATGATGATGATAATGATTCAATTAACCATTAATGGACTTTTATGGACACATTTATTGTCTTTTCATAATAAGATTTTCTAGAACAAATCATCATCATCATCATCATTGATCAATCGATTTTTATTTTGATTATTAATAAAAACAAAAAAATTATAGCCTAGATTTATATTCAATCAACAAGTGATAAACTCTTTTTTTTATGTTTATAATTACCATTTGAATGATAAATATTTTGAATGTGTGAACTTTTCTTTTTATTTTTTTTTTATTCACAATCACACAATGTTTTCAAGCATCTATCAATCTATGGTGATAATGATGGCCTTTTTATTTTGTTGATATGAATCGAATAGAATCAAGATTTTTTTTCTGATTTATATGTGTAATGTGAATCAACAACAAACAGGCACAATCTAACTAATTGAACATTGGCATCATTTCGTTTATTTTGTCGTTGTTGTTCAAAAACCAACTGACCGATTGTGTGTGTGTGTGTGTCAGTGGATGAATTGAAACATTGAAAATGAAATAGATGAATAGAGAGAGAGAGAGAGAGAGAAGAAAAAAACAAAAAAAAATTATGAATGAATGAATGAATGCCACACACACACACACACTAACGTTACTTGATTTGATTTTCAATTCAAATCAGTATTTTTTCCCAGAACAAAAACTTGTTGTGATTGGCAACAACAACAACAACAACAAGGTAAACTGTTTCAGGATCAACTCTTGAATGGATTATTGATGATGATATAGAATGATTTCCTTTTTTTTAAATCCGTTTTTTTAAAATTTTTTTTTGTTATAAAAGTGATGATGATTATGATCATCATCATCGTCATCATAAGTAATTGGTATGGCGTATCATCATCATCATCATCATCGTCATCATCATTGATTTTTTCAATACAAGCAAATTACTGCTTAGTAATAATGATGATAATTTCAACAGAAATTTGATTGGAGGCTTCTGCGTTCCATTTGGAACAGCAGAACAGCTCACATACATACATACATACATACATACTTGGACTTTGTTATGTTATTCAATGCTTTTCAAGTTCAGATAATGAATGTTTGTTTGTTTCGAATGACAGAAAAAAAATCTTTTTCAAAGAAAAAAAAATAAAGTTCAAATATCGAATAATTTGTTGCTGCTGCTGTCGATAATAATCATGATATTTTTTTATCATTCCAAATTCTTTTGAGCTTAACACTTTCTGTCTCTCTCTCTGTGTGTGTGTGTGTAATAACTTAATGATGATGATGATGATTAGGATTTTGCTTGCTAATTAGCGTGTTTGTTTGTTTGTAATGAATTTTTTTTTCTGGGCCTTGGTTAATTGATTTTTAAAAAGAGAAAATTTTCATTTTTTTTTTGGATTTTTTTTGCCTTGAAAAGTCACACAAACCTATTGGCCCTATTTATCCTAATAGAGGAATATGTTGTTGAATGATCCATCAATGATTTAAAAATGATGGTTTTTTTTCTTCTATTGTGGGCTATGAGTTTTTTTTTGTCTACAACAGCAACAAAAATATTCCTCCCATATTCATAAATAATTTTTTTTCCTTGCACATTTTTTTTTTTGTTCATTTCAGGGAAAAAAATTTGTGTGTGTGTGATTATTAATGTCATTTTTATCCCTGTATGTGTGTGTGTCTGTATTTTTAGTTTATTGACCACATTGATTACTTTTACTTTGCTGTTGATGTAAATCAATAAACTTGTGCAGACATCAATTTTTTTTCATATTTGGTCGAATTTTAATAAATATAATATATACAGAGATATGAATAAAAGATTTTTTTTTTTTTTTGGTTGAATTGATGGTGATGAAATATAATAATGTGATGATGATGATCACTATTGTTGTTGTTCAATGAAATAAAATGATGATGATGATGACCATTGTGATACATTGAAATAGATAATGTTTTTGTAATGATGATGATGATGATCTTGATAATGATCATCATCATCGTAGTCGTCCTCGTGTATGGTCAAATGAATTGAATTCATTTGAATTTCAATTGAGAAATCATCATTCACACAGACAAACACAAACACACGCATAAGATTCTACTTTTGTTTTTTTTTTTTTTTGTTTTGGATTTTCTCATCATTATTCATTTTTCACTATAAATAGAGAGATTCAAACGGGTTATTAATATATCGATTATGAATATAGATGATATATATTAAATGTGGTGACAAGTTTATATATTCATATATATTGATGATGACTGATTATTCAGGCTATTCAATTGACTACAATTCATTTGGATATATTTGAATAATGATGATGATGACCAAAATGAATTGAATGAATTTGTCATTTTAGTCAAACGATAAACTTTCATTTATTATTATCATTTCAAAAAGTTATTTTTAACCATTTCCATTCTTATTCTATTCAATTCAATTCAATGCAAAAAAAAATTCCATTCAATCAGCCACACACACAATCACCATCCATTACTCATTATTTCCTTTCAAATTTCACATTTGGTTCGGTTATTATTTATTACCTGATGATGATGATATATATCATACATCTATGGAGGTAGATTTATGAAAAACGATGTAACAATCATCATCATCATCTTGCAGGCAGTGCCAATTTTCTATCTATAAATCTTTAGATTGGTTTTTTTTGTTGGCCAATGGCGTTCGATCTATTCGGGTTTGAAAGATGATATCGTTCGTTTGATAAAAAAAAGGAAGAAGAATGAATGAATGAATGAGAAGAAGTAATCAATTTTTTTTCGCGATTTTTGTTTCCGATTTGTGTGTGTGTGTGTGTGTGTGTGTGTGTGTATGGAAGCTATGGAGCAATATTCAACCATCCATCCATCCATCATTATCAACTTTACATTGATGATGATGATGAATTATCTCGATAAATATGTGTGTGTTAAAATAAGTGAAAAATGAATGAATGAATGAAAAACACTTTAATTCCTCAATTTTTACTACAATTGATTGATTTTCAATCATGATGATGATGATGATGATGATGATACTTTGTGTCCAAATCATGATCGTCATCATCATCATCATCATCAATTGCTCCGGATGTTTTTTTAAAACTCTTTTTTTTTCTCAAAACATTCATTGTGTGTGTGTGTATGCATTTTTTGGGGCCAAAATAATTAATAATAATAATTTCTTCATAACAACAACAACAACAACAGCAATGAATTGAATGGATTGCCATTTTCTTCTCTCTCTCTCTCTCTCATGTCTCATGTGTGTGTGTGTGTGTGCATATATGAATGTATAGTAATTCATTGTCTTTGGTTGGCTACTGTTGTCCATGTTGTTAATGTTTGTCCATTCATTAAATGAAAAAAAAACATCCATTTGCTGGAAATCCCATTTTAAAGCACATATATAAATCCATCCAAAGAATATCTATTGTTTTTTTTCTTTCTTTTTGTTGTTGTTGTTGTTGTTGTTGTATACACGAAAGAGCCGACTTTCATTTGATGATGATGATGATGATGATAGATGCTTGTGTTGTTTGATTCCTATTAGATTATTTGGTTCATTTTCTCTTTTTGTTGTTGTTGTTGTTGTTTATCAGTTATGATAATCATCAATTGTTTTTTTTTCATTTTGTTTGCATTATGAATTTTTTTTTTTGAATTTGGATTAATTTTTACTGTTGTTGTTGTTGTTGTTGTTTAGATAATAAATAACAACAATAAACAGTGGCTATTGTATTTTCATCTTTTTTTTCTTGGAGATTATATGATGATAATGATAATGAATCAGATATGTGTGTGTGTATGTGCGTGTGAAATGATGAATGATAATCGTTTACACTGTGAAAAACCATTTTCATGTATTATAATTTGACCCTCAAATGATATTGATAATGATAATAATGAATGGGTTAAACACAGGGTGTGTGTGTGTGTGTTTGTATTTTTTTTTTTATTGATAAAAATTTCGAAACATCAAAATTGTGATTTATTTTTGTTTGAAATTTTTAATTAAATTCTTTTTTTTTTTTTCTCTATAGCTTGCCGATTTTATCCACTTGGTGAAAATCGTCGTTTTGAACGTGTTGCTGAAAATCTACCTGTTGGTAAGTGTATATATATAATGAATGTCTGTTTGTAATAGTATATAATCTTTGCCAAAGAAAAAAAATGATCCCATTTTCAAAGTTTTTTTTTCTGTTTTACCATTTGGACCATTTATTATTAATAGCTATATTTTGTTTGTTTGTTTGTTTGTGTATTTTGTTGTTGCATGATATTTTTTGCATAGAAATAGAGACCAATGTCCAAAGTCTGTGTGCATGTGTGTCCATTTTTTTGTCGCCGAATCTTTATTTTTTCTTCCATTTCTTTTTTTTTTTTTTGATGGTAGTTATTATTATTGTCAATCAAAAGCATCAGCATCATTAGAATATAACACACACACACATATATACACTATGCATGAATTCAACAAAACAATTCAGTCAAGACAGAACAAAAAAAAATGATGATGATGATGAATATATTTTGTTTGTAATAGCCAAAAGTTTTTTGTTTTGTTTTGTTTTGTTTTGCTGATCGAATTTCTTCAAACAACAACAACAACAACAAAAAAGTAGAAAAGTGACCAAGTTGTTTTGACATCAACCGATCGATGATGATGATGATGGTCAATGTTTTTTTTTCTTCTTATTTTGGTCTTAATTTTCCACACTAGAAAATAACATTCAAATAATGGTAGTTGTCGGTTAGTGTGTGGACAGTGGGAAGAATAAAAAATTTGATTGGTAAATCACACACACACATGCACATTTTTGCTAGTTAGTGTTGGTTGTTTTGTTTTGATTTTGGACAAATTGGTCAAATGTAGCAGTTTTTTTTCTTTTTGGCTTGTGAAATAATGAGAATTCTATATTTTTAAATTTCGTAATTTTTCGATCAATCATTGATCGATGTTGTCGATTTGAGAATTTAGACCTAATTTTTCCCGATTCCAGTGTAGTAATTTTCGATTAGATTTAGATAGTTGAACCACCGTATCGAATATTGTGTGATAAAATGTTTATATATATAGAGGTCAATGATGATTGTATTCCCGGCGGCGGCATCGGGAATAAAACGCTTTTTTTGTAGGTTAATTTTTTTTTTTTCTAATGAATGGCAATGATCCCATTATTATTATTTTGAAATGATTGTATTGTGTGTGTGTGTGTGTTTTGTATTTAGCAATCAAAGAAAAAAAAGGAGAAAAAAAGACAAAGCGACTACTGTACCATTGATGGGTAAATTAAATGTCGCCCGATATTTTTTTTTTGGTTTGAATCCAATTTAATCGAACATTTGATTGATTGATTGATTGATTGTTTCACAAATACACACAATGTGTGTGTGTGTGTGTGTGTGTGTGTGTGATTGGTAATCGCATGAAATCTATCTAAATATATGATATGAGATAGACAGGTGCATTGATGACAAACAACCACACATACAAAAAATGGTCGGTTATTTTTTTTTATCCAACGATGATCATGATGATGATAAGGCTGGTCAATTCACCCATTGTCCATTGATGTTTTGATATTTGATCCAGATAATAATCTAAAGCTTTAAAATACATGGATTTTCAATTTTTTTTTTTTTTGACAACAGACAAAAAAAATCATGTGTAAATCAAATTGAATTTTTATTTCACATCTAATGATGATGATTGTCGTATTTAGTTTAGTTTAGTTTGTAGCAAACTTTTTATTATTCATTTCAACCGAATGTGAATTGTTGTCGTTGCAGTGTGTGTGTGTGTGTGTTTGTGTGTTTGTTCATGTTCAAATTGTCACAATTTTTTTTTATTGGATAAACAAACAAGACAAAAAAAAAGTTGACGACAATCATGTTTTTTTTTCATTTTATTGTATATATTGAATTCAGCCAATTTCATTTCATTTCATTTTCACTTTCAGTTCACTAATGTTGTTGTGTTGTTGTGTTGTGTTGTCAACATTGTTTTCACCATTGTTCCTGGATCAATTACGACACCGACAACCAACGATCAACAATGTTAAAATAGACATTGTCACCAGTTTGAAAAAAAATTTTTTTTTCATCATCATCATCATCAATTTAAATATTGATCATTGACCATTATTTTTTTTTCTTTGTTTTCATGTTTTTAGTGTGCATTTGCATGATAGTGAATGATGAGGTAATTTGGTTTTTTTCCATCACTAAATTCAATTGAAATTTTTTGCTTTTTGTTTTTTTTTTTGTTTGAATGAAAAAAAAAAATCAAATTATCCCATCATCGTGTGTGTGTGTGTGTGTGTGTGCGTGTGTCATTTAGCCAATTTTCTCAATAGTTTGATTGATTGAATTCACTTGGAGATTTGACAATTTTTCTTTTTGTTGTTGGACATGCCAAAAAAAAAAAAAAAAATTCAAATCCATTGCAATGGATGATGATCCATAATTAGAAACACTGTCATCATGTCATGTCAACTGATCCATTATTGATTGATTTAGATTTATATAAACAATGACAACTGACAACTGATAATTATCAGTAGTTGTTGACAACAACAACAACAACAACAGCAGTAGCAGATAATGATGATGATTAATGAATAATTTAATCCTTTTTTTCGGTTATATTATATTCATCATCATTTTTCATTTTATATTTTCAAAAAAAAGTTTTGAAATTGTCACTAATTGTGAATCAAATATATGTGTGTGTGTGTGTGTGTGACACGATGAATACCGGCATGGATTTGACCTATTTTATCGTGTGTGTGTGTGTGTATGTCATACACTTTCTTCACTCCCCTCCCCCACTTTTTTAGATTAAATTTGTGACAAAATTTTTTTTTTTTTTTCTTTCTCCAATGAAAGAATGAAACGAATTGTGATAAAGAGATTTTTTTTTTTTGTTGAACAATGAAAATGAGAATGAAATCATTTTCCATCAACAACAGCAAGAGCAATACTCTGCCGCCCGGCTCTGGTTTTTTTTGTCAAAATTGTTCACTATTTATTGTGGATGATGATGATGATGATTTTTTATCATCAAAATCCATTCATTTGGGAATTGTCACACTTGAATGCTCATCATCATCATCATCTGGTATATCTCATCGAATTTTTTCATTCATTCATTCATTCATCCAATCTTTCCTGGTGATAGCTGGTACCTTTATTTTATTTTTTATTTTATCGTCGTTGTTGTTGTTGTTGTTCAAGTTGTCGATGTTTATGGAATTAGCGAAAAATTGACAGATTTTTTTTATTTATTTTCAAACGAAAATGAAATAAAAAAAAACAATTTTATGGTTTTCTTTTCTGTGTGTGTGTGTTTCATTTTATGTTTATATATACCATGCATGTGTGTGTGTGTGTCTGATTTGGCTATTTTTGGGTGATTGTCGTTTTCGTTGCTGCTGTTGTTGTTGTTGTTGTTCCTTATGGATTTTTGTATTTTTATTTGAAAAAAAAAATTATTTTTAGTCTTCTTCTGTTTCTTTTTTTTTCGTCGTCATCATCGTCATCATCATCATCAAAAAAAAAAAAAAAAAAATTGATGACAATTGAATTTTCTACTTTCACCCACACCACCACCAATGAAATCGGATTTTTTTTCTCGTTGTTGTTTAAAAATGAAATTTTTATTTTTCAATTTCGAACAACTATTGCCAGATTCAATCATTCATAATTGGCCATATACAACAACAACAATTTTTTTTAAAATCTAATTTAATTTCTTCTGGTTTTTTTTTAATATTTCTATAAGGCGGCCACCATTATTGTCCGATCGGATTTTTTTTTATTTATTTATTCATTCATCAATGGTTACGCTCGGTTTCATTTTTTCATTCCTTTATTCAGTGGAAAGATGAAAATGATAGTAAAACGGGAAAATTTGTATGAAATGGAATGAATTTTTTTGTTGTTGTTACAATTACCGAGTATAGTACCACAAATAGGTGGTCATAATATAGTAACAAGTGAACATTTAACAATCGGTCACTCAGTCATTGGTGTATTTTGTATTCGGTTTTTTTTTTGTCATTTCCGAATTTCATTTCATTTCATTTTTTGGTATTTTAATTTAAAATTGAACCTTAAATACCCCGTTAATAATACAAATTTTTTTTCTGTTCATTCATTCTAAAATAGGAAACGAAGTATTCAAAGTAGAAGTATATCCACGTAATGAATTTCGTTTGGAAGCAGTGGATAATAGCCTGAGCGATATAAATTATTTTAAATATGAAATAATTGATGATAAAAATGTTGCCATAAAATTAGCACATTCATTAGAAGAACTTGTTGATCGGGTAAGTTGATGATTGTGGGTGGTGGTCGGTGGTTTTTTTTTGTTTATTTCATTCCATTTTATTTTATTTTATTTTTTTTACAGAAAGATCCACAAAGTGTATTGAAATTTAAACTTACCTGTAAAGGTGCCAGTGGAACGGTATGTATAAATATTCATCATCATCATCAAATCTAATAATTTTGCATGCCATTCATTTTTTGGGTTATGAAATTTTTTTTTTTTTTTGTTTATTTATCATGCTGTTTTTTTCAATTTGTTCATTTCAAGAGTTTGTGTTTGATATGTTTGTCTTGTTGATTTTTTTTTTATTTTCTACAAACATTGTTTGTCAATCAAAACGAATCAATATTACCAATCGATATAGTAGATGATCATCATCAGTAGTTCATGATACAATTCTTTTTTCACCCATAACAACACAGACACACACACACACTTGAATCGCTAAACCTCTGTCTTTTTGTTCTCGTTTTATTTATAAACGAATTATAAGCATCGGTTTTTGTTTCCCTCCATAAAATCTCAGCCTCCAATGATCATGATGATGATAAACTTATTATTGGTGGCCATAAAGTTCATTCAAGTGTGTGTGTATGTTTTGTTTGCATCACCATTAAATGATGATGAAAAATCAATATTTCATCATCATATATGAATGATGCATTTACCTACAAAATTTTATTTTTGAATCAATGAATAAACAAACCCGAACATTATCTGAATTTTAATTATACACACACACACACACACACATCGCTATCGAAGCCAGTTCAAAGTAGTAGTAATAGGTCAAACTTAATGGTCAATAATAAAAAAAAATTGATTTACGATCACACAGCATTTAACCATTTTTTAAAATTGATTACAATAACCGATTATAAGACAAACACACACACACACACACTGATTCAATCACCAATAATAATTGATTGATTGATTTTAGTGTGTGGACAACAAACAAACAAAAAAAAAAACGACAAAATGAATTTCAATAGTTAAAAAAAAAAAAATTTTTTTTTTTTGTTCAAATCATTTCCGAAACCAATTAAATACAGATAATTTATTCAGATATTTTTTCTCTGTTTAAGCACTGATTTCATTGATCTTTTCCATTTCCGTCTCTCTCTCTCTCCTTTTGTTTTCAATTCAGTAGTTATTTTTTTTTTATTTTATTTTACTTTCATATTGATTGATTTTTCATTTTCATTTTCCATATCAATTCTAGGAAGAAGCATTTCTACCTGTAACCGGTAAGTTTCTTATTTATTTTTTTTTATTTTCATTATTATCAGTAACTTTGATGATGACAGGCCTAGAGAATGTTGATGTTGATGATGATGATGATGATGATGATGTGTGTTGGCATGGTTTGACCTCACAAAATATTATACAACACACAGCGGGAATATTTTCTTCTTTTTTTTCATTATTAAAAAAAAACGACCGGAAAAATATGAAATGAACAGATGAATGAATGAATGATTGTTGGATGCCAAAAATTTTCTTGACATTTTTTTTTTATTATTATTTGTTGTCGATTGATAATTGGTTTTTTTTCTCTTTCTTTTTCTCTTTTAATTTCTATCTTCTATCTATTTATCTATCTACACACAGTGTACGTACAAGATGTCAATGATCATACGCCTGAATTTCAAAATGTTCCCTATTCATTGGATGTTGATGAGGTATGTAAAAAAAAAAAAAAAAAAATTTTTTTGTTTTTGTTTTATTCATGTTGATAATTGTAATTGTGTGATTGTGATTGTGATTGAAATCAATCCATCAATCAATCAATCAATCAATAGATAGATAGATAAAATTGGCCTCCAATCCTTTATGTTTATTGATAATGATGAATGGTTTAGTTAACACCATTGCTACTACTACCACCAGGTAGAATAAAATGAAAATGAAAATCAATAAAAAAAAAATACACACACATGTGTAGTGGTGGGCATATCGAATTTGCCATTTTTTTTTTAGTTTTTGTTGATGAAATTCCACATGAAACAAAACAAAACAAAAAAATTTTATCATATTTTTTCGTGTGTTACGTCAATTTAGTTCATATATTTGAATTTTGGATGTAGAGAAACTTTCCACACACAGAGTGTGGCCATTTTTTTTTTGTTTTTTTGTGTTTTGTTTCAAATATATACAAAAATGTTATACGAAACCACAATGTTTTTTGATTTTAGTAAGATCGTGATTTTATCATCATCATCATTTTTGATGTAATGGTGTTAAATGATGATTACATTAATGATGATGATGAAGACGGTTATGCCTATATTCGGATATTGTACACACACACAGACACACAAAAAAAAATATCTCGTGTTGGTGGTAAAATGAGGATATAGGTATTTTTACCACATTTACCATCATCATCATCATCATCAAACATGTACAATTCAATCAGCTCAATGAATTGATTGATTACTAAATGAATGAATGACTGACTGACTGACTGACCCAATGACACTGATATCATAGATTTTTTTTTTCTTCAACCAATCATTGATTCAATGGAAATAAAAAAATCTATTATATTTCGTGAAAAAAAAGCCAAAATTTTTTTGTTTTGTTGTTCAATCACATCACCCTATAATAATGATATAATTGAAATTCTGCTCAATAGTTTGGGCTTTTTTTTCTTTTCATAATGACCGGTTAATTTAATTATCGGTTTTTTTTGTTCATCATCATCATTATTATGTTGCATCGATCAGATGCACACTTGACAAGTAATGTTTCTCTCTCTCTTTTTTTTTTTTTGAAAAAATTTCCAACTAACAACCACTTGTTGATAATCGTGAGAAATTTAGAGAAAAAAAAAAAAAAAAAAACCACCATCACCATCACCACAAACACGATACAAGTGTGTCGATTGATGATATTTTTAGGAAACTGTTATGTTCTCCCTTTTTTTTTGATTTGATTTGATTTGTATTGAATTGAATTGAATTAATGTCCGGCCTAGTCTTTACTAATTTCTATCTGTCTAGCTTTATTTTATCTACTGAAGGTGATGGTCATCATCATCATCGGTCGTGACATGAAAATCAAAAAAAAATTATTATTGGATTTTAATATATAAAAATAAAGTAAATATAAATCCCGGTTATTATTATTATTATCAAACGTGGCCAGTGCGCAAGCCTCCATCGGTTCGGACACATATCTATTTTTGTGTGTGTGTCTGTGTCTGTTTTCAGCCTTTTTTTTACCAATATGAAATTATTCAATAATCAAAACGATAATGATACAGATGGTCATCATCATCATCATCATCATCATCGTGGTTTCAAATTTAGATTTTTTTTTTCGTTTATTTTCAATGTCAAATTTTTTTTTCATCATCACCATCATCATCATTGGTACAAGAAATCCAGAAAAAACATACTTTTTTAAGGCCAGAGAAGAACCATTAACTATTGGCCATATGACATCGATCAATCGATCGATTGGTGTTGAAACATCACATGTTGACAACGTTGACATTTAACAATTTGATTACACACACACACACACACATTGGATGTATATGGTAGACAAAAAAAAAATTGATTCATTTCGATCAAATCGATCGAGCAATAGATCAAAAATCGATTCATAATAGAACGCAAACACCGAGTGATGATGATGATGATGATTTGTTGATCAAACAAACATCACATCGCACACACACACACACACACACACACAGGTCAATCTCATTTTATCGAATGAAAATCGATTCTCAATGGTTCGAGTAATTTTTTTTTTATTTTTAGCTCATTTTTTATGATGATGATTTAAAGCTTGTCAGAGTCATATTCATTCATTGTTGACTTTTTATTTGATTTCTTCATGGTTGTTGTGTGTGTGTGGATGATGATGGTGATGATGATGATGATGACGAGTTTCATCAAATTCAATTCGATGCCGAAAAGGTCATGAATCACTATGATGATGATGATGTGACATGATTCATTGTTTATAATTAATCATTTTTTTATTTGTTTGTTTGGCCTTTTTATATATATAGTTGACACCTGTTGGTCTTACCGTTTTTCGTGGTATACATGCTATCGATCGTGATAAACCAAATACAGCCAATTCGGATATCACATATTCGATTGTCGTAAGTATTGAGTGATTAAATTGACAAAAAAAATCTAATTCCCATGTACAGGGTGGCAATGAAAACAATTCATTCATATTATCCGACCCGATTGAAGGAACATTGGTTATTAATAAACAACTTGATTATGATAATGGTATTAGAGAATTCAAGATACAAATTCAAGCATCGGTATGGTGGTCATCTACAATTACAAATTAAACATTCATTAATAATGATGATGATGATTTTTTTTTACTTCCAGGATCATGGAACACCAGATAGTCTTAGTTCAGTAACAACAATGACAATACGTGTCAAAGATGCTGATGATCAAAATCCAGTGTTTACAAAAGATCGTTATCGTGCAAGTGTATCGGAAACAACAAAATTAACTGTAAGTTTAATCTATATATACATGTGTGTTTTTGTTTCATAATCCACTCGCGCGCGCACACAAACAGAGAGATTTGAATAAACAAACAAAAATCGTGAATATATTTCTCAATAAAATACACACAACAATTATCCAGATGAAATGTTGAAATCTAAAAATTTCAAACTTTTCATTGGTTAATATATATATATAGGATGGTTAATGTTGTTATTTTTTTTTTTGTTTGAATCTTGGTCATCATTATTATTATTATCATGAATTTTTAATTACACAGTAGGCAAAAGTTTTTTGTTTTGAATTTATCTTAATAATTCTTGTTTGTAAATTACTTGATGGCAATATCTTGTTGTATGTTTCTCTTTTCTCTCTCACAAGTATCGAATTGAATAATCGGGAAATCATTACCGTGTTCATTTCCGTGTGTGTGTGTGTGTGTGTGTGTGTGTTGGTGGTGTAATTTGATTTCCTTTCGATTGTAATCGAATCGAATAAATTAGATTTATGATCATTGTTTAGTGTAGCAGCAGCCTATTAGTACATAGATAGGCTGTAATATCAAATCGATCAGATTGTAAATTTGATCAATCAAACAATTGACAGTTTAATTTTGATGATGATGATATGACATGAGTGTATATGAGTGTGCCATTTGTTTGTTTTTATTCGACAAAATTGCAATTGGTCAATTCAATGATTTTTTTTGTTTTCAATTTTATTACCTATATACGATTCATAATTTAATCGTACGCGCCCAAATATCACGATCAATTCATCGTCATCGTCATCATCATTGCAATTGAATTGACCAAATGCAATTTCAATTGAAATGAAATGAAATTATTTGGCTTTTAATTCAATATCAAACCATGATGATGATGATGATGATGATGATGATATGCCATTTCAATTTCAATATCTATGATATGTTTTGTGTTTATGAATGTCTAGTTTTATTTTCATTTGCATTTCAAATTAGAATGATGATGATAATATGAAAATGTTTGTTTTGTCTATATAAAACACATGGTCAATATGGTAATGTGAATGGAATGAATGAAATGAATAGATGGACAGAGCGAAAAATATGTATCACAATGTTTTTTTTTTTATTCTTTGTTTAATTAATAAATTAAATTTTTTTTTTACCAAAAAAAAAATTCACATCATTCATCATTGACCATTGACCATACAAACAAACACATACGTATTTCACAATGGACATAATTGATTCAGCCAGAATTATGGTGATCATTTTTTTTTTTAGTTATTGAGAGCATCAAAAAAATAAAAACAAAATTATGAAATTCGATTGTCCATATCCACTTTCATCATTTTCATTGGCCACTAAACAATGATAATGATAATCTAAATTATTATTTGGCCAAATTTGTAGCATCCTTATAATGATCTTGATGATGATCATCATCATCATCATACAGCTTTGAGAGATGATCCTCATTCATTCATTCATCATGATCATCATGAAAATGTGAAATATAAAACTTGATTAACATTGAAACATAAAAATCATATATATAACAACGTGTTGCTTCATTCTAATATTGTTCTGGATTTATATACAAAAAAAAACAAAATTCTTGATATGGATATATATTGACCACACAGTTGAGCTATTAAAAACAAAAACAAAAAAAAATGTTTGCCTTTTTTTTTGCCTTGCTTGCGCGATACTAATCGGACATTTTCAAACTTGATAATAATAATAATGATGCGCAAAAAACAAACTAAATTCATAACGCACACGCACAATGTGATGATGTTGGCCCTCGTGGATTTTTTTTTTTTTTGAAATCAACATACAACACGGCCATTACCAATGGCCATCGTCATCATCATCATCATCACATAGAATAGCATCCATATATAAAGGTCATCTAGAAGTGTGTGTCTGTTTTTGGACAAACAAAAAAAAAAAAAACTTATGGATCCATGTCTCTCTCTCTCTCTCTCTCTCCACTTGAAACATTTTTTTTTTTCAATTTATAAATGTAATTAATTAGATTTTGCAATCCAGAAAATCAAACAGGTTGATCCATGATCTTTTGTATCTTATGTGTGTATGTGTAAAGATGATAATTTTATTTTTTTTTTTTTCTTCATTCCATCCACAAATATTTTTATTTTCGTTGGCGTTTTGTTTTGTTTTGCTGCTGCTGTTGCTGCTTCAAACACCTGACGACTGACTCTCGTGTTTTTGATTTTTTGTATTTGACTCCAAAATCCAAAATGCTAAATCGAATGGATTAATAAATTTCTTCTGTTTTTTTTTCCTACAAAAAAAAGGGACTACGTATACGTGAAAAAGTAGCCGTTGAACCACCGATACATGCATTTGATCTTGACAGTGGGATCAATGCTCGACTTCGTTATTCAATCGTACTTGGTAAGTTGTTTTTTTTTGATTATTGAAAAAAAACTCGATCATTGATAGCCACCACACATGTACAGACGACAAAAACTAGTTTTATTTTTATTCAACAACAACAACAACAAAACATCAATTGATTGATTGATTGATTGATTGATGAATGAATGAATGAAAGAGAAATGAAAAATCAATCAAAAAGAATCGATTATTGTTGAAATTAATTGCTGCATAATATAACATGACGTGAAAAATCGAATTTTTTTTTCGTTTTTTTTTAAATAGAAATATATAAAACAGTGGTGACAAACATCAAGAATTTTTTTTTTTTTTTTTTTTTGAGAACGAGATAATTGTTGAAATATTTATGCGTGCATGTGTTTGTCGTCATTTTAACTTCAAATTTGTTGCTGCCCAATTGGATAAAATCCATGGTCTTTGTTAGTGGTGGTGATGATCAAAAAAAAAAACTTCATCCACAGCATTTTGTACTGGATGCCATTTATTTATTCAAAATATTGAATTGAATTGAATGGAAAACAAAATGTCAGATAATATAATGACTGAACGAAGAATTGTTTGACTTTATTTGGATCGTTTTTTTTTCTTTATCCAAAATATTTCATTTCACAATATGGCCACCATATAGAACACAATTGACACACGTGTGAAATATATTTCAAGATGATGATGATGATAAAATAGTTTTCAATTAATAACTATGAAGTGGTCATTGTCAAATGAATTTTTTCTTGATGATGATGATGATTTTTTTGTTCATTTTGAATTTATTGATAAGTTTGTGTGTGTGTGTGTGAGTGTGTTGGAACACTTTTGTAACATGAATAATATCGTTGTTTTTTTTGACACTCTTGACATTGTTATGGTTATAAAATGGCCATCATCATTATCATAATATATTAATATTAATTTCCGGAATCGATATATACCGAATATATGAATGGTCAGATTTTGTTGTTGTTGAACAATGACGATGATGACATTTATCCAGTTGGACACACTTTTTGTTGTTGTTGTTGTTGTTGGACTTGGAGTGAGAAACATTTTTTTTGTTTTGTTTTGTATATATGCAAATTTCTCTATTCTTAGCCAAAGTTGGTTATGGGAAATTTTTTTTTTAATTTCGTTCAATGAATATATGTGTGTGCGAGTGTGTGAGTGTGTGAGATACCTGAGAAAAAAAATCAGGTAAACCATCCATTCATTCGGTCGTTCGTTTTTTGTCCATTATTGTCATTTGGCTGAAAAAAGCTACATAACAGCAGCAGCAGCAACAAAAAGATTTTCACTGATCTAAATAATCTGAAAAGATCTCTGTGTGTGTGTGTGTGTGTGATAAACGTTGATTTTGAATGTTAAATAAAATCCAGATCACAAAAATTTTTTTTTTTATGCAAAATGAATTTTTGTTACCACACAACAGATCAATATATGATTTGATTGATTGATTGATTGATTGAGAACACAACAACAACAACAACAACACCTATATCAATATCTGATAAATGGTGGCCAATAAAAAAAAATATTTCATTCCATTCCATTTGGTATGATCAGCACACGTGTACGTTTGTATTTGTATAAATTCACCATTCATTTAGCTGTCGAATTGTCCAAAAAAATTTTTTTTTTTTTCTGATTGAAACTTTGGGCGTCTATCAAAAAAAGGGGACACATTTCAGAATTGTCCAAAATCTATGGCCACATCTAGACACACACACAGACAGTCATTATCTAAAGTCAATAAAATTGATCCAAAATAAAAAAAAAAGAAAAAAATTCTAATTAATTCGATCGAATGTGTGTATTGATCGATTGATTGAGTTTTCGTTTTTTGTTGTTCTCTGTTTTGCACACATATCACACGAATTTGGCCATCATTTTTTCCATCATCCTTCTGCACGTTGTTCATCTTTTCTTCAATTTTATATTTATTTTATATTATTCGGTATCGACAACGAATGATGATGAATCGTGCCGTCAGAAAAAAAAGTGTTGTTGGTCAAATATATGAAGAATGATGATGTGAATCAAAAAAAAAAATCTACAGACCTGTGTTGATAATAATAATCATATAATCATCAAACGACGAAAATGACGACGACGACGACAATTCAACAACAACAACAAAAACAGCACACTATGATTTATATTCATTCTTCTTCTTTTTTTTGTTGTTGTAAAAGATTTGCTTTTCATTTTCATTTTTTTCTTTTTTCTTTTTTTAATGCTTTTGCTTTTTTAAAAAAATAACGAAAAACAAAACAAAAATCGTTTGAATGAATGAATGAATGAACAAAACGAACGTGAAAATACGAAAGGAAACGAAGGTGGCTTTTTTGAGATGCACGATCAAACAGGTGAATTGTTTCTTGTTCGTGAGATCGATTTGGAATCATTGTCCAGTTCTATGTTGACTCTACAGATACAGGTCAGTAGAAATAGAGAAAAATAGTTATCTGTTTTTATTTTATTTTTTATTTTATATATGGGGTTTAATGATAACAATCAAAACCATCATCATCATCATCATTGATGACCATCATAATAATCGCTACTCGGTTCGATGGTCAATCCATTGGTTGTTTGTGATGGTGGTGGTGATGGTTATTATTATCGATTGACTTGATGATTTTGATGATGATGATGATGGGGATAATAGCCAGAAAACAAAAAATTATGATTGTGGATAACCAATGGTTGGTTGGTGGTTGTTATTCACAATGTGTGTGATCATCATCATCATAATAATCACATCAACAAGCGATTGTTTCGATCCACAAACACACGCACAATAATCATTATTTAAATTTTCTTTTTTTTTCTTTTCTCGAATCTTATTAAAGGCATCACAAGTGGATAATCCACTTCGACAAGCAACCTCAAGAGTTGATGTTTTCATAATCGATGTGGTAAGTTTGTTTAGTTTGCCCTTATTTTCCGGTTTTTTTAAATTGGAGCAATCATCAAACATTGACTTTCTTTTTAATGAACTTTTTTTTTGCCCGTTTTCCGTTACAACAGAATGACAATTCACCAATATTCGAAAATATCAATTATAATGTTACAGTTATGGAAAATTTACCCACTGGTTTTACGATATTACAAGTTTCAGCATTTGATGCTGATAAAGGAGAGAATGCTGAATTTAAATACATATTAAAAGATCCTATACAAGCATTTCAAATTGATCCTTACAGTGGTTGGATTAGTGTTAAAGATCCTGGTAAATTAGATCGAGAATTGAATGACAAAATCATTTTGAAAGTATTGGCCATCGAAAAGAAACCAAATGTTGATCCTGATCATAAAGAACCAAATAGCTGTATAGTGGAGATAACATTACTTGATTCGAATGATAATAATCCACAATTTTTCCCATCAAATGTTTATACATTTTCCGTATTGGAAACGGCTGCAGCTGGAACATTGATCGGATCAGTATATGCAAGTGATCGTGATATCAATGAAAATGGTCGCATCATCTATTATAAACAGAATGATTCACTAAGTCAAAATGGCCCATTCGATGTTTATCCACATAATGGATCAATATACGTGACGGATAAATTTTCACAAATGCTAAATAAACCGGGTCAATTTACATTTTTTGTTGTTGCATCCGATCTAGCAAAAATGCATCATGAACGTCGTACAGCTGTTGCTATTATTCGTGTGAATATTACCGATATTAATAATAGTGTGCCAGAATTTATTGGTGCACCATTTGAAGCTTATGTTGGTGAATCATTACCGGAAGGTGCATATGTTACACAGATTATTGCACAAGATGCTGATCAAGTCGATACGATGCTTGAATATTCAATTGTAGCTGGAAATGATGAAAAACAATTCATTATTGATTCAAAAACCGGAAAAGTCTATACATCAGCTGTATTGGATTATGAAGTGAAACAATCATATGATCTACTTGTACAGGTATCTGATGGCATTAATACTGCTGTAGCACCGTTGTTGGTGAATTTGGTCGATATCAATGATAATGCACCACAATTTACACATGATGTTTATAATTTTACCGTCGTAGAAGAATTAGGTGCCAATATAACCGTTGGTACCGTATTGGCTATTGATCGTGATTCGGGTAAAAATTCCGAAATTCATTATTCCATTATTGGTGATCATGCAAATGAATTATTCTTCATCGAACAACGTAATGGTAATATTCGTACACGTACGAAATTGGATCGTGAAATTGAATCACGTGTAGAATTCTTGGTCATTGCTTATGATGGTGGCACACCACAGCTAAGTGGTAGTTCAAAAGTTCTAGTCAGTATTGAAGATATTAACGATAATGCACCATTCTTTGATCAAACTCAATACGAAGTAGAAGTGATGGAAGAAATTGATCCACCAATCGAAATATTTCGTATTCAAGCACAAGATTTAGATACCGGTGATAATGCCGTCGTTAAATATCTTATATTGGCTGGTAATGAAGATAATATTTTCAATATAAACACCGATAATGGAATGATTACTACATCGGATCGATTGAATTTTGAACGTAAATCACAATATAAATTATTTGTTGCCGCACGTAATTTACGGCCATTTCAGGGACCAAATTCAGCCGATATTGTGAATCCATCCGTAGAAGTAGTGATAAAAGTAAAAGATATTAATGATGAAGTGGTTGTATTTGATCAGCAATTGTATCATTATAAAATACCGGAAAATCTACCACGTGGTACATTGATCGGTGCCGTCACCGCAATGAATCCAAAACGTTCAGATCATGAGCAAGATATTGTTTATTGGATTGAATTTACCAACGATAATGATGATGATTTAAGCTATAATCCAAATGTTGGAATCATGGAAAAAACATTGGACAAAAGCCTATCGAAATTTAATATAAATTCAAAAACCGGTGAAATTATCGTTATCGATTCAATTGATTTTGATCCACCAGCTAATGAGAAAATGTTTGAATTTAAAATAAAAGCACGTGATATGTTATCGATCAATACGTTCAATACATCAGTACCGGTTGTTATTGAAATTACCGATGTGGTAAGTGTTATATTTGTTTGTTATGTTTTCATGTTTTTTTTTATCATTATCAAATTTATCTACATACAGAATGATAATTCACCAAAATTTAATGAAGATCGTTATGGTCTGGAATTACCGGAAAGTTTACCACCAGGTACATCGTTACCACCATTTTTTCGTGTTTCCGATAATGATTATGGAGCGAATGGTAAAATATCCTTTTTCAAAATTGAAGGCAATGAATTGGATACATCATATTTTGCCATTAATCATACAACCGGTTCGATAATGTTGAATAAACCATTGGATTATGAATCACGAAATCAATTGGAATTTGATTTGATTGCAGCTGATGGTGGCCAAGATCCCCGTTGGAGTTCGGCAAAGGTCAATATTTATGTGGCGAATATAAATGAATTTTCACCAAAATTTATTGGATTACCATATGAATTTTATGTACAAGAGAAAGCAGTGGAAGGAACGAATGTAGGTCAAGTGAAAGCCATTGATGATGATGGAAACAATGTTTATTATTCGATACATGATGAAGATCATAGTTATTTTACTATTGAATCCGATTCGGGTCGTATCTATGTACGGAAACCATTGGATGGTAAAACACAATATACATTTGTTGTTCGTGCCACCGATGATGGTATGCCACAAAATTTTAGTCTTGGTGTACAGATTATTGTTCGTGTACAAGAAAGTAATGATTATCCACCAGCATTTACATCAAATAATTATTTTGGTATTGTATTGGAAGCCGATCAACAACAGCAACAACAACAAGAAGAATCTTTACAATCATCACATCATCTACAGCAGCAGCAGCAACAACAACAACAACAACAGCCAATCATACAGGTTAAAGCCATAGATAAAGATTTACAAAATAATTCAATTACATATTCAATTGTGGGTGGTAATGATAATGAATTATTCACTATTGATAAAGAAAATGGCCAAATACGTATTAATAATGGAAAATGGTCATTGATTGATTATGATAAACAAAAACAATTTTCATTATTAGTACAGGCAAAAGATTCACATCAAACACCATTGGTTGGATTAACTATCGTTACAATTGATGTTAAAGATATTAGTAAGTTGTTGTTGTTGTTGTCAATCAATGTCTCCATTTTTGCCTTTTATGACTATATATATAACATTCAATGTCTTTTTTTTTCTCAAATTTTTTTTCAGACAATCATCCACCCATTTTTAATAAACCATCATATACGGTAACAATCAATGAAAATAAGCCGGCCGGTCATTGTTTTCTCAAGATTGAAGCTGATTCACGTGATTCTGTTGATACTGTAAGCTATTTTCTTGGCAGTAGTAGTGGCCGTGATAGTCAATCATTTGAATTGAATAAATCTACTGGTGATCTTTGTACGAGAAAAATATTGGATCGTGAACAACAGGATCGTTATGAATTTTTTGTTGTTGCTAATGATGGAAAATTTGAAACAACTGTACCGGTTTCTATTGAAGTATTGGATGAAAATGATAATCAACCAATGTTTGAACAACAGAAATATGTTGTATCCATACCATATGATTCACATCCAGGACAAACTGTCATACAGGTTCATGCTAGTGATCCAGATATGGCAAATAATGGTGAAGTTACGTATTGGATTAAAAATACACATGGAATGTTTGAAATAGATTCCAAAACTGGTCTGGTTCGTTTGGTATCAAATTTTCCGAATAATAAACAAAATTTTACTTTTGAAATGGATGTATTCGCTCAGGATCATGGTATTACACCGAATATTGGCAAAGCAATATTGGTCGTTCGTTCATCAAACACTCATAATCATCCACCGAAATTTGATCGATTTTATTATTCTGTAGAAGTTGAAGAAAATCTTTCCGGTATTGCTATAGCCACCGTAAAAGCTTATGATCCAGATCAAGGAAAAGCCGGTAAGATCAATTATCGAATCATTAAATCTACATATCCGGTAGCATTTCGTATTGATAAAGATTCTGGACAAATAATGTTGATAGCACCATTGGATTATGAGACGGCACGATTTCATGAAATCAATATTGAAGCACGTGATGAAGCTAAAGACTCACAATTCATAACAACAGTGGTACAGATTAAAGTGATCGATACAAATGATCATAAACCGGAGATTCTTTCCATACCGAAAGTAATTCGTATACCACAATCAGTTTCACCAAATGAAGAAGTAATCTACACTGTTCAAGCAATCGATCTAGATAGTAATGAACATGGTAATAATGTATTACATTTTTCAATTGAACCACCAAATCCATTGTTTACAATCAATCCAAAAACTGGACAAATATTTGCATTACAAAAATTAATGCCACATCATGATTTATTCAAAATTGTTGTCCGTGATCAAGCCGAAAAACGACCATTATCTAGTTCAATTGATATACAAATTGAAGTTTATAATGATCTTGTTGAAGAAACAATGCCATTATTTACATCAACACAATATTATATCCAATTGGAAAATGTTGTCGATCCAGGACGAACGATTCTAATGCCTAGGGCAAAAATACCAAGTGGTGGTCATATTTGGTATAATATATCGAATTTGAATACAAAAAAATTCACAATCGATCATGATAGTGGTCGTATTTATTCTACTTCACGTATTGAATATATGAATGCCCGAGATAGTACATATCATTTTGTTGTTGTTGCACACAATAAAAATGATATGAAACGTTATTCAGAAGCTGGTGTTGTCATAAAATTATCGGAAACGAATACAAAATGTCCAAAATTTCCATTTAGTGAATATTATGCATCGATCGAAGAGAATTCACCAATCGATATGGTTGTCATTGATGATTTAATGCTTGTTGATATGAATAAATGGAATGGCAATAATATTGTTTATCAAATTACTGAAGATAATTCTAATGATAATTTCTATATCGATTCAGTGGTTGATAATGAAATACCCAAAAATGTAACACTTAAAATTAAACGTCCAATTGATCGTGATCGTATGGCAAAATTTTTACAAGGCATCTATACATTATCAGTGTCAGCATCTAATGCAAAATGTACTGCTAATATTCGTGTAAAAATTTTAATTGAAGATGTTAATGATAATAGTCCAATGTTTTCACAATCAGAATATATTGTTGAATTGAAAGAAAATACACCTGTTGGTCATGTAGTGACCACTTTGTCCGCAAAAGATAATGATGAAACTGATGATGGTAAATTACGATATTTCATTGTTGCCGGTAATAATGATCAATTGTTTCATATGGAAACAAAAACTGGTGTTGTTTCGGTAAAAGAATCACCTGATCGGGAAAAATCTCCGGCTCATGTTTTGAAAGTGGTGGCTATCGATTCGGCAAACAATACCGGTTGGGCTAGTGTTCATGTGATTATTTTGGATGAAAATGATTGGACACCGACATTTTTGAATGAAACATTCATGTTGAACGTAACGGAAGGACCAACAAGTGTTGGAACTCGATTACGGCTACCAGTTGTTGATTATGATGATGGTATTAATCGACAAATGGAAGTCTATATTGTTGATGGCAATTCAAATGGTGAATTTCGATTAGATGTGGATGAAGGTGGCCCATTGTTGACTGTTGTTTCTGAATTGGATCGTGAAAAATACAATGTACCTGAAGCTGCTCTTCATTTAGTATTCATTGCTGCCAAAGACAAAGGAACACCACCACGAATTGGCAAAACAATGGTGGCCGTTATCATACAGGATATCAATGATTCACCACCTAAATTTGAAAAAGAAGTTTATTATCATTTTATATCGGAAGATTCAGCCGTAGGAATGATACTTACAGAATTGAAAGCTAGTGATGCTGATTCAACGGCATTAACGAATTTGGTTTATTCATTCTCGAAAAATACCGGTAATGTACCGTTTGCAATAAATCCTGACAACGGTATTGTTAATGTTTCAAGACAATTGGATGTATCTGAAAGTCAACAATATTCAATTACCGTTGAAGTTTTTGATGGCATATGGAAATCTAGTACATTGTTGAATATTATTGTCAATGAAGCTGAAGAACGTGATCCAAGATTTGAACAAGCATATTATCGATTTGAAATTGGTGAAAATTTGAAAAATTCATTCGTTGGTAAAGTTGATTTGAAACCAAGAAAACATCGTGTAAAATCTTCGAAACGTTATACAATTGTTAATTCAGAAATGCGTTCCATATTCAACATAACAGCTGATGGTGAAATCTATACAAAAGTTGGTCTTGATCGTGAAAAACGTAGTAAATATGTTTTCACAGTGAAAATAGAGGAAAAACATCCTACCACTAAAGTGAGTGTCAGTGAAGTTATAATTGATGTGTTGGATGAAAATGACCAGGTGCCAACATTTCCATATTCATATACCGGTACGGTAAAAGAAAATTCAAAAGCCGGTACAGCCGTTCATATTGTGCCAATGATTAAAGCAATCGATAATGATATTGGTAATAATTCAATGATTGAATATTCACTTTCTGGTGATGGTGCCGATATGTTTACGATATTGAATTCTGGCTCGGTTATATTTACACCGTTAGATCCTATGCAACAATTGGATCGTGAAACACGATCAGCTTATAAATTCAAGGTGATCGCTAAAGATATGGGTGGATTAAGTTCAGCTACAGATTTGATTATAAATGTTGAAGATGAAAATGATAATGCACCGATTTTTCAACATGGACCACTTTTTGTACTATTGCCTGAAATTGCTAAACCTGGATCGAAAGTAGTGGAAGTACGTGCTACCGATATTGATGAAGGTTCGAATTCAAAAATACAATACTATATAACCGGTGGTGGTAATGGTGATATCCGTATTGATCGTATAACTGGTGAAATTTTTGTTGTTGGTTCACTGAAACCTGGTACCATTTATTTTATGAATGTATCAGCCGTGGATGGTGGTGGATTATCGGCACGAACCACCGTAAATGTGACCATCATTGATGTTAATAATCATAAACCAACATTCGATTCATCATCATATAGTTTTAGTATTGCTGAAAGTAATTATACAAATGATAAGGTTAAATTAGGTGTCCTAAGAGCTAGAGATGAAGATATTGGCAAAAATGGTCTTGTCGAATACTTGATATCATCAAATGTTGCATCAGGTAAGTTTATGCGTCTGTCTAAATAAAGGATGATGATTTACATTCGAAAAATGATCTCCCTCACACACACCCTCACTTTTTGTTTATTTAGATTTTCCATTTTCAATCGATGTACATACGGGCGAATTATTTGCACATGGTTTCATTGATCGTGAGCAAAGAGAAATCTATACATTCGAAGTAACGGTTCGTATTTTTGATTTTTTTTTCTTATCTATTCTAACATTCATTTTGTTGTTATTTAATTTGGATTATAATCATAATGACGACGATCATCATACATAATCATTGCTTCTTGTGAATATTTTTGTTTGTGTGTGTGTATGTTTATTATTGTCAAATAATGGCTATTTTAGGCATTGGATTATGGCGAGCCTCCAAGCAATTCAACGGTCGAAGTTAAAATTACAATTGTAAGTAGTATCAATCGATCGATTGTTTATTGTTATTGGATTGTTTGATTATTATTGTTATTGTTGTTTATCATGCAGCCATCATTCTCATGATGATGATGATGATGATGAATCCATTGAACAATTGTTTGTTTCAATTCAATTGATTTTTCTTTTTTTTTATCCTATTTTACATTTATTTATTTTTATTATTGTTGTTATATAGCTTGATAAAAATGATGAAAGGCCACGTTTCTATACGGATCCATATCTAGCACATGTACCGGAAAATCTTGATCCTGGTCATAAAGTTACACAGATTGCTGCATTTGATCCGGATTTAGGCGAGAATGGTCAAGTTTTCTATAAATTAGGTGCCGGTCATGATAATAAATTTTATATTGATGGTAAAGGTATGATGAATTATTGATGATTTTTATGAATGAAAAAAATTTTGATTTTGAATCGTCTTTTTTTTTATTCAGATGGAACTGTTTGGACATTGTCTACATTGGATTTTGAGGAGAAAAATTTCTACAACATAACTGTCATTGCATATGATAAAGGCAATCCTAGCCTATCATCAGCGGCGAAACTTTGGGTCACTGTAGCCGATACACCGGATTCTGTACCAGATTTTTCTAAAGCTGTTTATACTGTTGAAGTGGCTGAAAATGCTAAACCCGGTGATATTGTCTATAAATTGGATGCCGGTGATGGCCCATTTAAATATTATTTACTTAGTATGAAAAAAAAAATTTGATTACCAATTAATGATATGTTTTCAATGGTGTGTTTTCATTTCACATTCCTTTTTTTTTTTCACACACACACACAAATAGATTCCGATGAGATCGATGCCTTTTCAGTGGATAAAAATAGTGGTAAAATTAAACTAGTCAAACCATTGGATAGTAATTATCGTAATCATTATCGTTTGATTGTCAAATCTGAAGATGATAGTGAACCACCAAAATCCGATACGGCTGAGGTATGTAAATTTTTCTTTCTCTTTTGTTTGGTTTCATTTTTATTTTCATTCTGAAACGAAACAAATTGAGAAAAAAAATGCAAATTCTAATTTCAATCTGTTTTTTCTCTAAAAAAATTTTCCAAACATATAGGTTAATATAATTGTAGGTACTGGACAAGGTGTGCGACTTTTCCCACAACGTCTTTATGAAGTATCAGTGAAAGAAAATCAATTGACACCGATTCTATTGATTGATCTGAATTCAACCGATGAAATTGCGAGAAAATCACCACACTATCGGATTGTTGGATCCGATTATAGAGGTATGGATTTTTCATAATATTTGAATGTATTTTTTCTGATTCTTTTTTTGGTGCTAATTTTATTGATTTCGATTTTTTTTTGTTTGTTTTGTTTTGTTTACTCATTGCAACACTTGTGTGTTTATAAATCGTTATTATTATTATTATTAAAATACCAAACACAGGCACATTTAAAATAGAGCATGAAAATGGTCGACTTTTATTGATGAAAAGTTTGGATCGTGAAAAGAAAGATGTATATCATTTAAAAATTAAAGCTGAAAATGTCATACATCGTCGTGTTGGCCGTGATATAAATGCATTGTATCAACATTTGACCACAACTGAAAGTCATAATAATCATCTGGCATATGATGAATCATTGGTTGTTGTACATGTTCTAGATGAAAATGATAATTCGCCCATTTTTGCCAATAACAATGATCGTCCAATTGTTGCTGCCGTTCCGCTTGAAGCTTCATTTGGTTTCAAAGTCGTTAAAGTTAATGTAAGTATATATTCACTTTCTGATACAAAATTGTTAATAAATAAAAAAAATCTTATTCATCATTATTCACACACACACAAACAGGCAAAAGATGCTGACATTGGTCTTAATTCAGCAATTCGTTATGAATTATTATCTCGTGGTGATGATTCACATACAAAATTCTATATCGATCCGATTAGTGGTGATATTCGATCAATGGTTACATTCAATTTGGATGGTGGTAAAATGTATGGTTTCGATGTGAAAGCCACCGATTGTGAAGGTAGTGAAAATGGTAATTCAGCTACAACCACTGTATTTGTAAGTGATAATATATTGTATTGATGTTTTCGTTTTTTTTTGGATTGATTTTTTTTCATCAATTTTTGTTGATTTATTTTGCCAGATTCATGTTTTACCTGAAACGAAAATGATTCTATTCGTAGCGGATAGAGAACCAATTATGATTGAGAAAAAATATCCAGAAATTATCAACTACTTGAGTAATACGACGGATTTTGATGTAAAATTAGCAAAACTTGGTCCACATTTAGAAGGTGATATACAGGAAACACATTCTACCGATGTTTTTCTTTATGCTGTCAATAAAGATAATAATGAAATTGTCGATACTGAAACACTTCTTGAGTAAGTATTTTTTTTTTATTGATTATCGTTGAAAATTTTTTATTCCAATTCTTATCATTATTGTTTTAGTGTCTTTCGTAAAAATTCTCAACAAATTGTCGAAAATTTACGTTCATTTCGAATTCGCCGGATACAGGGTGTTACTGTGCAGGAAAAAATAAGTCAAATGGGTGCCACTGAAATCGCTATCATTGCATTGTCTTCCGTCATTTTTCTGGGCACAGTATTGGCTATAGCTTTACTTTGTTCATCTTGTAAAGAAAGGTTACTATCACGACTTTATATATAGTGAAAGATTTTATAATTATGAAAAATTTATTTTCAATAGAAAAATTCGTCAACGACAAACAACATGGGAACAACAAAATTTGTATAATATTAAAAATCCTTTGATGGCTGGTCCAAAATCCATTTATGGTAGTCGTGGTATACCGGTTGGAAATATTTCCAATTATTCTTGTGAAGGTTTTGGGTATGTTTTTTTTCTGTTTATGTTTGGCTTCGTTTTCCTTAATTGTTGTTGTTTTTTCCTTCCTTAGAAATGGTGATTATATGGAAAGTATGAATTCTTTCAAACGAAATGGAAGCATTTTGGATGGCCGTTCAGCTCATACAGAAATATCAGCCAAAAGTCGTCAAGTATCACCACCGGATGGTGCATCGGCTTTAAATCCACCACGTAGTCCTCCATATTCGGAAAGATATGCTAAAACTAATTTAACAATGGCTGTCCATGATTCAAACAATGATTGGTATGATGTGTTACAATTCACGTTTTAAATTCTATTCAAATTTTTTTTCCATTTTTAGGTCCGGATATTCACGTGGATCTGGCCGATCTAGAAATTCATTTAGTGGAACAAGTTGGTCATCTCGAAAATCAAAAAATTCTGATCGTCATTAATCAATCGGACTTGAACACAAATCGTTATGCTCAAATTAGTCCATAAACTTGATTTTTTTTTCATTTATTTATTTAATACAATTTATGTGAACATATGAACAGATTATTTGTTTGTTTGTTTTTTCGGTCGAAAACATATACCTTGCAGGCGGCTGCTGGAAATATGTGTTGCCCTTTATTATTATTATTTTTTTGTATTTAGATTTAAAAAGAAAAATAGAGATTTTTTTTTTACTTTCATTTGTTTTTTGTTAAATACAAATTTGTGCATTATTCACGTATATATTTGTCGCGTCAGTACCGATTTTTGTGTGTGTGTATGTGTGTGTTTATGGGCATTTGCATTGTCACACCACAACCATAGTAAATAGATCGTCACCGAAAATGTTGAAAAAGGAAAACTTTAACTATTACACATAGCTTGGTGGTAAAGTTCAAGATATTTCTATATTCATTTTTAAGCATATATAAAAGGAAAATTGTAATTTTGTTTATTAATGCTGATTTGTCATCTATAACAAATGCTTCGTTATTTAAATAAAACATATTTTTGAACAGAAAACAAGATGGATTATTATTATGAATCATCAACAGTGAAGGACAAAACGTTTAAATGGTTATTCAACAATCCTGATTATCACGATATTCAATTTATAATCGGTGAGAAACGTATTTATGGAAATAAAAATTATCTCAGATATGCATCTGAATACTTTGCCAAATATTTATCTGAATCACCAGGTAAAGACTGCAGTATGAACATCGACGATTATTGTTATGAAACATACTATGCATACCTCCGAATGCTACATGATGATTACATCAAAATTGACTCAACTAACATTGCCGAACTGACTAAACTGGCTTATTCTCATGATGAAAAACAATTGATGATTTATTGCAAGAATTTCATTCGCCAAATCTTATGCTATCAAAATCGAAACAAATATCTGCCATTGATTCGTAACTATGATTTGGATGGTTTTGATGATCAAATTCAAAGCATTTTGGAGCCATTTGAAAATTCTTGATTTTTTTACTTAAATTTGCTCATTTCTATTTGTTTTTTCATTTCATGTGATTTTCAGTTAATCATATTTACAGGATCATTTTTTATTTTTTCTTGACGCTGTGATAATTTCAAAATTGACAATAAAATAAAAACTCAAAATTTACACCATATCTTTAATTTGAAATTTTTCAACTTTCCACTTTTGAAAAATTAATTTAAAAAAAATATATAAAATAGAGGTGTGATTCAACGAATTAACGATAAAATTTGACATAAATAATCAGATAAATAATTTTTATAGCGGAAATAAGTTAGGCATATCAACTACGTAAAATTTACGTAGGTTACCTTTCCCGCAATATCGATAAGGTTACCTTTCTAAGGTTAATCATGTATTCGAAATTAACGATAAAAATAAATAAATTCTGCAATCAATGATTATTGATCAATTTCAATTTATTTTAAAATTTTTTCATTTTTTTAATAAAAATAAATCGATTTTAAAAGACTGGACAAAAATGAAACAAAGAAAGAAAAAAAAATCGATGATATTGATCCAAAACCTATAACAGAAAACAATGATGACAATAGAAGATGAAAAGCACATGGAAAATATAAAAGTTATATGGTACAATATCAAAATCCGCCATATCATAAAAATACCGACGTAAATGAATAAATGACATTGCAATACTTTTGCCCACCTGTTGTTATCATCGAAGCACTCAACATGATTGATCTCAGAAGAAACATGAGTGTGTGTGTTTGTGTTTATGAGCATTCCATTTTCACACCACAACCATGGTAAATAGATACTAAGAATAAGGAGAAAAGATTGGCAGAATGTCCCAAATGAATTATATTCGACAGGTTTTTATCTCTTTTTATTATTCACTACAACAACATTCTTCCAGTGTTTTCAATTTTTAAGTATAAATAATCGTGAAAATGTGGCCAATTTGTCGAATTTTCAATTTTCAAATCGTCATATTTTGCACGTTTCAAATATCCAGAATTCATCGTCACAGAAGACAAAATGACAAGATCACCGGATTCCAATGTGGACATAAGGTTATTTAAAAATATTTTTGATTCAATCGAACCAGAATTCCTTCATTCCATTGTTTCACTTGTCAGTGTGTTATATAAGAATGAAAATTTTCTAATGATGACCGAAAATGCAACATATGCTTATGGTCATCTAATATGTCTGAGTTTATCGTTGAAAAATGATCCGAAGCAACCACAACTGATTCCCATTCTGAATGACAAAAAAATTCAACAAGTGGATTATGGCCGAGATTTCGTTGCCATTCTAACTAATGATGGGCAAGTTTATATTGCGACCTTTCAATCACAATGGAAAACGAATAAAACTTTGAAATTAATCAACACAAATAATGATCAATTTAAAATGATTGCTTGTGGATTTAATCGTTTACTATTGCTACGACAAGATGGTATTGTCTTCTCTATTGGTGGTAATTCATCATATGAAACTATGGTCAACATTGGTCTACAAAATGTCGAACTCATAGCTAGTGGATGGAACCATTTTTTTGCAATGAAGAATACAAAACAAATTTATTCCTGGGGGTCAAATTTCCATGGTCAATTAGGTATTGCTGATGTGAATGAGCAAGAAAAACCATACTCTATTTATAGTAATTATAATTATGAACTTCGTTATCATCATCATAATTATAACGTCAATGTGCCCGAATACTGCATAGATGTTGTGGCTGGATTTTCACATTCATTATTTTTATTCTCAAACGGTAATCTTTTGGCATGTGGTCAAAATTATCAAGGACAACTTGGTCTTGGTGATAATAATAATCGATCAACGCTAGTAAAAATACCGATTGAAAATGTAAAAAAAGTAACTAGTGAGAAATTCAATAATTTTTCATTTGCCTTTGATGGATCATCATATTATGCATGGGGTTCGACCAAATATGGAGAATGGCAATCACCCAGAAAATTGGATGGTCATCTGAAATCATTTGCTGCTGCATCATCATTAATGCTAGATAGATCCATTACGTTTGGATTAACATCAATCAAATATGATTCTGAATCCATTGAATTACCATCAAAAGTTAAGAAAGCAACCAAATGGCTGTTCAATAATCCTGATAATTATGACTTTGAATTCATAATCGGTGATAAACGAATAGTTGTACGTAAAGATTATCTTAAATCTGAATCAAAATTTTTTCGAAAAATGTTATCTGGTGAATGGAGTGAAAAAAATCAGATAATCATCAATGATTACAGCTATGATTCTTACTATGCTTTTCTGCGTATGTTACACGATGATTACATCGAAATCAATTCTGAAAATATTGCCGAATTAATCCATATGGCTGATTATTATTGTGAAGATCAATTAATGAAACATTGTAAAATATTCCTTCGAGATGCTATTAAAAAACACTCAAAATATCAATCATTGATTATCGAATATAATTTGGTTGGTTTGTAGGATCAAATTCGTCGATTAATTAACCACAAGTGTCTAAAAATTGTCCTTTTATTAATTAACTTTTCTATAATTTCTTTTGATGAATAAAATGTTTGGTATAATATGAATAAATTACAAATAAATGATAATTTACCATTTTTAATAATAAATAAAATGAAAATATTTTCAAATTTCAAATTCATATTCGATTTTTACCAACAACAACAACAGTATACGTATTCGATGAACGTATCGAAAATCATGCATGTTTCGTCAGTTATACGGAAAGAACGGAAAAATCGTTTTCCTTTTTGTCATTGATGAACGCATTTTTTAATTTCACATTCAAATTTTCTCGTTTAAGTATTGTATTTATTTATCGATTTCAATTCATTGATCCGATAGATTATATTGAAAAAAAAATATTTGACTCAACTATAGTCATAGATTGCGTTTAAGTTCGAACGCTTTCATCAATTGAACAAACGTTCAATTTCAACTTGGAAAAATATGAAAAATCCATCATATTTGATCCAAAGAAAATTGGCTTTAACATTATTTAAAGAAAAATTTTTCGAGAAGAAATATATTCGGAAAAAATGTATTTATTCATATTAAATTTTACAACCCTATTGTTCTAATAAATCATTTTTCTACATTTATTCCGTGCTAAAATAATGGCAACACCGCCGGATACATTTATCATTCATCATTCATCATCGTCACAGAAAATAAAATGGCAAGATCACCGGTTTCCAATGTGGACATAAAGTTATTTAAAAATATTTTCGATTCAATCGACCCATAATTCCTTCATTCCATCGTTTCACTTGTCAGTGTGTTATATAAGAAACATAATTTTCTAATGATGACCGAAAATGCAACATATGCTTATGGTCATCTAATCAGTCTTTTCAATTGTAAATTCCATCGAATCGATCAAGAATTCGTCGCTCGACTCGATTCGATTGTTGCCATCGTCAGTGTAGCGAATTGCAGAACAATTTTTATCCCTTAGCACTCGGACAGAAAAATCCGAGTTCTATTTTAGAACTTACAATGTCCCCTCTACGGGGACATCCGAGTGCAAAGGGTTATATTACTGACAAATGAATGCTACTTATGGTGAATGGATTTCATTACAACATGATGAAAGATGGCCGCAACAGATTTTTTGATTTTTGTTGTAGTTTGCAAACGAAACAAACAATTTAATTTAATTATTATTAAATTAATGATCTTGTTTTATATAAATACGAAATTAGTTTAATAATTTTGATTTTATTCTAATTAAAAGTTGCTTTTGTATTATGGCTATTATTTGTGTTATAATTTATTCATCGAAATTTTTATAATTCGAACTTATTAAGAAATGCATAATATATAGTCATCAGGTTAAACTTTTGAACGAAACTAAAAAAAAAATGCAAAACGCGCATGCCCTTAACGGAAATCTTGAGCAAATTCAGAGCGAAAAAATTTTTTGAGCTACTTTTTTTCTTAAAAAAAAATCTACTTTTGGGCTATTTTAGTTTCTGCAGCAGCAAAATATCATATTTGTAGCCTACCAATTTTTCTATGGGATGGCAAAATAAAATTATTCACACACGCAGGAATTTTGTTCTAATAGTGATAGTGTATTGTAGTGTGGTGATCAAAACTAGAAATAATGTTAGAGACAATAAAACCATATATATTCTATATCTATCGATTGTCATGAATTCAACCGATTCCGGTTTTTGGAATTGATGATGCGATTTCATACACACACACACACACACACACGGGAACATAGTTACTGTCCTTGGAATATAAATTGATGGTGATGGGTATATACTATATAGGAATACGAACGAAACAAAAATGTAGGCCACAAGGCTTTTTTTTTCACTTTAGTTTCACTTGTGTTTTGTTTTTCAATGACATTCATATTCCATCCAGAAAGATAGATAGATTCCGTGTGTATAATGCAGTAGACGAGAAGAAAGAATAGGCGTCTGCCTGGTTCATAATCATCATCATCATCATCATACAGAATTTAGCCGAGTGACCGAATTGCCATTTCCCTAAAGTTCTAAAATAAAATATGGTCAGACATGCGTATTCAAATGTTTGAATGATGTGTTTATGATATTATTACGTTATCACGCCACCACAATGTTTTTATTTATTATTATTCACCATTTTTGACCATTTTATTAAACAGTGTGGCTGTTGATGTTTGGATGTCAATTTTTTTTTTTTTTTTGATCATATTCGTTTTTATTAGATCAAGATTCAATCTGAAGATTTTTGAATGATCAAAAATTTTATATTTGTTTGTGTGAATTTTTGTGTACAATGTGGGTGTGTATGTGACATTGAGAGAGAGAAAAAAATCATCACTGGCTTGGAACCAACCAATTTAACCATCTGGATTAAGATTTTTTTTTTCGTTTGTTTGGCAAAGTATTGTTTTTTTTTTGTTGATGATTTGTGGTGGTGGTGGCGGTGTTTTTGTTGTTGTTGTTGTTGTTGTTGTTGTTGTTGTTGTTGCCAGGATCCGATGATGATCATAGTCGTGAATGGCATAGCGTTTTAGTGTTCAAAACAAAGTGTTTTTCAGTTTTACTCAGACTCTTTTTTTATTTTTAGATCATCATCATCATCATCAAATGAACGAATGATATATTTGTGTTGTTGTTGCCATAGAATAAACTCAAAACAATCGCTCAATTGTCATTGTTGCCGTTGTTGTTGTTGTTGTTGTTGGTGGTGGTGGTGGTGATGATGATGATGGTGTGTTGGTGACATTCAAATGTCAAGTAGTCAAAAAAAAAAAAAAATAAATAAATCGAACCATAGTGTGTGTGTGTGTGTGTGTTTTTGAATAGATTCGAATTCGATTCTTTTTCTAATAGATGTCCATTGGCTATTTTGATCTAGTGAATTTGTTCTATATTGGTCACCATGAATGACGAGATTCAAGTGGCACTCAATTTTCTCATATCGTTCCTTTATAACAAATTACCTCGTCGACGTGTTAATCAATTTGGTGAAGAATTGGAATTGATCATAAGGAATCGATTCGATGGCCATTGGTATCCGGATGAGCCATCAAAAGGTTCAGCATATCGTTGTATACATTGTAATCCTCAACTTGATTCATCATTGTTCCGTGAAGCTGCTCACAATAGTGGCCTCAATCTTCAGGATGTCCAACAAAATCTTCCCGTTGAATTAAGTATCTGGATTGATCCGGGTGAAGTTTCCTATCGAATTAGTGAAAAAGGCCCAGTCAATATACTGTATAGCGTGAAAAGAGGTGGCGGATCTTCCGTTCAACAGACTAACGGTTTGAATCCGGAAGCTCAATGTTTTCAGCCAGAATCGCTATACTTGGAAAGCAGATCGATGGTCAATCAACACCACCATCAACAGCAACAACAACAACAACAACAACAACAGCAGCAGCAGCAGCAGCAGCCCAATAACAAGAATGAAGCGATCACATTTACAACGGCAGCATTCGCTGCCACAAAATTTGGCTCAACTAAACCTAAAGTTTCAATTATGAACAAAAAACAATTCCAACAGAATCGTATTCTGCCCACCGATGGTCAAACGACTAAATTCATGGCCACTTCCCGCAAGCTACAACATTTCAAACCAATTTCACGCACCAATTCTTTTAACAGCAATAATGGTCAGCCATTTCCTCATCACTGCCAACCACTATTATCCAACTGCCAAAATGGCCAGCCACAACAAATCATGGACAACCAAAAACAACAACAACAACAACAATATCAGCAACAGCAACAGCAGCAGCAAAAGATGCGTCAATTGATACGATGGAATAACGGAATAAAGTCTGGTTTCGATCGTGATCATCATCAGCCTTCGATGGCTATGGCTTTGTTCGAGCAACAATCTGCTTCTGCAGAATTTCCTGCATCACAAACACACCACCAAATGAACAATGTAAACTCATTTGATGTCTTGCACAATGGCGAATCAAATATGACCTGGAACACGAATCAACAACCTGGTTTTCAGCGATCAATCTCGCTATTAGATAATGGAAACGTAGACAATGGTAATGGTGGTGGTGGTGGCTTCTTGCTAGACACTTTTATGTCCGATAAATTACTACGTGAAATTTTCGAAATGGGTGATGGTGACGATCAAATCAACGATTCAAACGATGATAACCTTATGATGATGTTTAGTAACACCAGCAACAACAACCATAACAACAATCAATCACCACCAGAATTAATTTCTCCATCATCACTGGAAACAATATTACCACCATTACCAAAACAATTATCATCATGTTGGTCATCATCATCATCATCATCATCGACAACATCAACATCATCAGGTGTAACAGCTATCATGAACACATCATCATCATCATCACCACCGCCACCACCAACATCATTGCTCAACATATTGAGCGAATTTGATAATCTAAGTCTTAATTCAACAAGCGAATCATCATCATCATCGATTGGTTCGATTGCATCATATGTGCAATAATAATAATAATATCGTAGAATATTGAAGCAAAACAAAAGTGGTTTTTATTTTCATTTTATTTTTATTTTTTTATACATTTTCAATTCATAATTATTGATTATTGACAAATATAACCAATTGATTATCGTCGATTATTTACTATTTGATTATCAATCTAATTATATTATATTACTATTCTATATATTTATTTGTGTATTTTCAAATTGTTTTCTAAATTAATCAATCAATTATCAATTATTATATATTCGAATGTTATTTCAATTCATCATCATCATTATATCGATGATCGATGATCGATTGATTTTATTTTTCACAACAACAACAACAATTCAGTGCTAATAGGATTTTTTTTTCTCATTTTTATCAAAACCAATTTTATCATTCATCATCATCATCATCGTCATTATTTTTCTACACAAACACACACACACACACACCTACACCAATTGATTGAGCTATATGATTGTTGTTTGCAATTTATTTATCGATATCTATTAATCTATAATTTGTTTTAATTGTTATCATTTTTTGAATTAAATTAATAAACCATTTCTTTTTTGATGATGCTTATGATTTTCTTTTTTTGCATCACCATCGATTATATCGAAACAATCGATTCTCTTGACACACACATATATATAAAGCTTGTTGTTTGATTCTATTATTATTATATACCATACCATCTTTCATATTTCATTCATTCACTCATTTACTCACTCAAAAAAAAATTGCCATGGCCATTGCACATTCGTCTTGTGATGATTTGTGGTAAAATTTTTGTTTGTTTGTTTGTTTTGTTGTTAGCTTTTAATTGGCATTGAACCATCATCTTCTTTATCATCAACATTGTTTATTTGTTGTTGTTGTTGTTGTTGTCAATGAATGCCGGAATAGAATGTGGCCATTCCCTATCATCATGGTTTAAATAGTTTTTTTGTTGCCGAATCCAATGTAACGCGATAAAATATATCCTTATAATAATAATCAATTTGAAATTCGATTATCCATTCGTCTGGGTAAGTCAACTATATTCCTACGTATACAATTAATCGTGTCGATTTGGTTCATTCGGTGTTTTAACTCATTGATGCCAAGAATCATGTCGATGGTGGTGGTGGTGGTGGTAGCGTTGCATTCGTAATGTGAAAATCATATGCATCAAAAAAAAGTTATGATCTTATTTTATATGAAACAAACACCGTGTGTGTGTGTCTATTTATATAACGATTATGGCCGATGCCAACACTTAAGCGTTTGGGCGTAGAATGTATGATGGCAGCAAATCGGTATTTGATTCTCGATTCTAGCAAGGAATGTGTTTTTTTTGTGGAACCGATTTGTGATCGATTCCACATGTTGTTCGACATGAATTCTTGATTCTGATCAAAGTACAGCACACATACACACACACACATTGCCCTGTGTGTGTGTGTGTATGTATGCAGGCAATGTTCATGATATTCGAGCCAAATGGCTTACCAGGTTGTCGAGTTTTATGGGCTTGATGCCAAGTGAGTGATGGAATCAAGTTAAGCTAGTCGGTTATCATGATCGTCATCGACCGAAAACATGAAAAACATTGCTTACCTAGTGTGTACATCCATCCGGCTGCCAACATCACAAACAAGAATTGCTTGCCTGACTGCCTATGATGGCTGACTAAAAGAATTCTTGATTCTCAAAAAAAAAAAAAAAACAAACAGCCACTATTCACAAACATTTCTTTTGGCTGTTTGTGTTTGAGTTAGTCTTGATGAGCTTATACCGAATTCAACTGACCAATTTCTTTCCATTATCATTATAGAATTTTTCGATTGCTCACAACCATGATGAATCAGCAACCAGAAATGGTGGTCGATCAGCCGATTTCGTCTGCCAACGAACAGCCCAATATGTCACCACAATCGGTCGTCGATTCTGCTTCCATCACCCATAGTGCTATGACCAAGAATAAAAAATCATTGAAGCTCAAATTGTTGATGCGACGTCCGATCGATGTACTAGTTGATCAAGGAATTCTGCCTCGTAAGTCATCGTTAAATGTTTCTATTGCCCTATTGATTTTTTTTTCCGTATTGCAGCACCTAAATCATCACCTGCATTCTATGAGCAGAAACAACGTCTGGAACGGGCCAAAACTGGTGACTACCTAAAACACAAGATTCAGAGACGACCACAAAGAGATGAACTTGTGCAACAGCATATTCTTGAACAGGAAGTATTCGACCCTTCTTATTACGAACAAGAACGTAAACTTAAACGGGCTAGACTAGCTGACGATCTCAATGAACGGCTTTCGCATCGTCCAGGCCCACTTGAGCTAATCAAAGGCAACATTCTTCATGCTGATTTATCGTTAGAACAAGCAATCAAAGAAGGACAGATTACTTTTAAGAAAACCTGTGAAGGTGAAATCATTAAGAATCCACCCAAACGATTCGTATTCGAAGAGGAAAGTAGTTCAGATTCTTCGACACCTTCTCCCTCACTCAACATTAATCAGCAGTGCAATCGTTTGACCAGCGATCCATTCATCTTGTCAAGCACGGCTCCATCTTCTAGTCTTGTGTCAATACCGGCGATCCAAACAGAACCACCACCCACAACCGTATCATATATTGTGACCACAAACATATTGCCTCCATCACAACCATCAAATTCTACAGTTTTCATAACCACGAATCCGACCACAGCAGCTCATAGTCTGGTTCCATCGAAGAACGTCGCTAGTCTTCAGCCGCCACAGGTATTATCTACAGCCACTATTAATAGTGGACAAAACTTTGTCAAACCAGCCCAGCAATTAATCAAAAGTATTCATCAACCTGAAACAAACGCTCAACTCTCTCAACCAAAATCCAAATCCAAAAAAGTTAAATCGAAAACGACGCCCAAAACTCGTGTCATTAAATTTCATGAGTATACTGGACCACCGAGTGCAAATAGCGGTCGTGCCAAAATTCAGACAGGTTGGACATTAAATCCAACTTCAACTGAAACATCTTACGAATTGCTACTTAAGCAGCAGCAATTGATTCTTCAGTGGCAGCTCGAGTCTCAACAACAACAACAACAACAGAATTCAACGAATCAACAACCGATTCCAGCCCCCAAGGTATGTGTTGAATTGTTCTGTAAAAGATTCGATGTTAACAAGTTCTATCTGCTGTAATACAGAATGACCACGATAAACCCAATAGTCCACACAAAACTGCACAAGTTGCCTTGTTTGATTTTACCGATCCAAACATTGTGATGTCCGATGTTGCCCACGGCCAGCCCAATGACTTGAAGACCAATGTCCAGAAGTCACAAAATGGAGATCGAGCTACCAAGATGAAAAATAACGATTCAAATGGACAATCGCAACATCGACAGCAGCAGCCGCAACAACAACAACAACAGCGAACCAGCCCGATCAAAAGTGCCAACATGTCAAATGTGAAAAAAATCATTTCGAAATTGGAGGACATGAAAGTAAGCGACCTAAAGGCAGAGTTGAAGAAACGTAACCTGCCCGTTTCAGGGGCCAAACAACAATTGATCGAAAGACTTAAACCGTTTTCTGATTCTGTTGTTGTCAACATTTTAGCCAATGCTAATCAAGAAACGTTGAACATAATGTCGACAAAAAACTCAACACAGCCTTTCATCTACCAGCAGAATGTTGGTATAAGCCAACCTCTACAACAACCAACAGCCAGAGACTTTGTTTTGCTTGCAACGACCAATCCTGGTAACAATGGTCTCAGCGAGCCGGTCACCATATTGAACGCTCCATCGTCCAACATCACAATGGACGGTACAACTACTTTGACTATTCCGATCGGTCAAACTGCATTTATTCCGACAGCCCAATATCAGTTACTTCCGTCTAATGCGGCCAATTCTAATCCCATTGATGACGGAAAGTATCGTGTGAATCCTGCGTCAACGACCATTCAATTGCCCAATAATTTCCTGATTAGTGGACCAGGCAGTCAGACGGTGAATGATTCAAATACGATGACCTTTTTAACATCACCTCCAAGAACGATTCAGCTGACACAACTTGCCGATACGTCGTCATTGAATTTCGGTCAGACTATCGTGCCAACGAACACGGCCAAGTTGGTGAATATCGGCCAAAACAATACCAATCCTCTGTTTCACCAACTTTTACTCTATCCTCCTGCAACCACCACCATTATCAACTCTAACACTGAGCTTCGACAACAACAAACTCAACCTCATCGTTCAAATTCATTGCCTGCCTCTTCTTTGCATTCGCTCCAAAGGTAGAATATTCTTTGTATTTGCATAAACTAATTGTTTCTATTTTTTTTCCAAGGAACACATCTTTACCTTTGATCATCAATCAAATGCCATTCGATTCAAACGCCAACATCAAGCAGGTGGTTAAACATAATAACAAATCGATACCTGTTGCAAAGAGTTCCAGTAATGACAATTTTCTCTTCAAGTTACCAATGCCAGCTATCGATCCACAGCCCATAAAACACAGCGATCTGAATGGTAAAGAACGATCGTCTGCATACAAATCTCTGGAAAGAATCACGCCTGCCACACCTGCACCATCTAATCAAATGATGGACACAGTTCCAGTTCTGTCAAATACCAAAAGTTCTGATCAACATAAACAAATTGATCCTGTCCACACTACCAGTACAAATCCACCACCAGCTCAACAGCCACAGCCAGATTCGACTTCTAATATTGATTTCGATGATTTTATCCTCAACTTTGATGACCTCAATGGCTTGGACGATGTTCCACCACCGCCCAAGTCTATCAACACGAATGATAAATCAGTGACAACTAACACCAGAGACGATGGCATCATTGATTTCAACGACAATTGGCTACTTTCTGATTACAGTTTTTCGACGTCCGACGATTCCTATATGCAACCATCAGGAAAGACCATGAACCAGATGACTGATGTGACGATGGATTCTACATCTACCGATCAGATGTTATTTGAACAGATCCTTGATATAGAGCCAACACAACAACAGCAGCACAATTCGAACAATGTCAATGTTAATTCACATTCTAATATGGCCTTCAATATGGACCAAAGTCTGGACGATTATACCAACAACAACCAGCAGCAGCCAATGATTTCAAATTCAGAATATCAATTATACAATTATCCTCCTAATCCATTGCAACATTCATCGACCTCGTCATCAGCAACATCAACCTCTTCCTGTTCGACAACAGCAGGTTTGGTAGGCGGCAGCCATCCGTTATCTTCTGCCGATCACTTTGGTGATCTTTTTTTCAGCAACAATGGTGATGATCTGAACAAATCATTGGATTTTTCCTGTTCGCTTTTTGAAAACAATAATGGCAGAATAGATTTTGCCACCTGAATTGTGCAATATTTATTATGGTCCATCTCTGGAATCGTTTTTTTTTTCATTCCCGCATGTTGTTGTCAGGTTCTGTAGTTTTGTATTTTTCATTTTGAATTAATCTATCTACTGGATCGACATATGTGGACCACACCCTTAATGTTCATGTTGCATACACCATACATACATGAATGAATGGCATTTATCATGGCCAATGATTAGATATGCGATTGATATTGGATCAAGCTCATTGAAGAGCGTTTGTTTTTTTTTTTTTTTTTTTGCTTGTCGATTTGTTGTGAATCATTTGAAATAAAAATTTTATTTGCCTAGTCTCTCATTTGTCATGGCTGCATTTGAATCGCAATGCAAATATCTTTTAAATTCGCTCGATACAAATATTCGAGATCATCTGACCGGTCTGGCCAGAACTGATCCTAGCTTACAGATTGTACCCAACGTTGATGCAATTGTCCGTAAAGATGTGGCCCAATTAAAAGGCCGTGTTTTACTGGTTAGTGGTGGTAAGTGGATTTAGAGGTTACGATTAATGTCAAATAATGATGTGTGTTTGTCATCGGTTGCAGGTGGTGCAGGTCATGAACCAATGTTTGCCGGTTTTGTTGGTACTAAACAGCTGACAGCTGCTGTATCTGGTTCGTATTTTGCATCTCCATCGGCAGGTGCCATCATGAGACTGGTTGAACAGATTGCCGGTCCAGACTCGTCCATTTTATTCATTCAAGCCAATTACACGGGTGATAGACTGAATTTTGGCCTTGCTATTGAATATCTTCGGCTTCATGGTTATAAAAATTTGGGTTCATTTGTTTTCGGTGATGATCTAGCTCCGTTCGTAACTGGTGGTTTATGTGGTGAAGACTATCAAATCAAAAGAAGAGGATTGGCTGGTATAATTTTCGTACATCGTATCGCTGGAGTTTTGTCTGAACGTGGCCAAAGTTTGTCACAGATCTTAGACTATCTACAACGGATTTCTCGTTTGATCTATACATTCTCGGTCAGTTTGAGTGCCGCCGACATTGTAGGACATGGTGCATCGTTTCGTTTGCCCGATGATCAAATGGAACTTGGCCTAGGCGTTCATGGTGAATCAGGTGTTCGACGTAGTCGGCTATTGTCCACTCGTGAAACAGTTTCCTTGATGTTGGATGAATTGATTGGTCATTTGGACGGTGATGGTATCTTAGAACGATATCAGCGACGAATTGTTGTTCTAGTAAACAATTTGGGTGGTTTGATTCCAATGGAAATGAATATCATTGTGAACGAAGTTATTGAACAACTACAAGGACAACGAAATGTCAACATTGAAAGATTCTATTCAGGCAGTCTGTTCACATCGTTCAATATGAAAGGTTTTTCTCTTACCATTTTTCTAGTGGATGGTGACGATATTCTCGATATTCTGGATGAATTTGATCAAATGCCAAACAAATGCATGTTACAAATACTGATTTCATTTATAAATCCGAACCTGTATTCTCGATGGCTAAAGCATCCAATGAATTACAAAATCATGGTCGATTATTTCGGGATATTTGTTCATCAGAAACATATGGAAAATGTTTAAAAAATGCTTGTCAAGCAATTGTAAGAGCTAAAGATTGATTGATTTATTGTTTGTGTGTGTGTGACCCCCAAGATTTTAATCATTCGATTTTCCACTGTAAACAGATTGACAATGAAAATTTTCTTAATCGTTTAGATGAAACGGTAGGCGATTCAGATTGTGGTTCAACATTGGCATCAATTGCTCGATTAATACTCGATCAATTCAATTTAAATTGTAAGTTTCAATGTTCTAGAAAAGCAAAAAACTATCTAGATACTAATTCATTTCATACACCACCACCACCACCAAGTGTTACCACCTACATTCGGTACAATATCTCAATTATTAATAAATGGCCAAATTGGTGGTACAAGTGGAGCAATTTATAGCATACTATTCACCGCTGCACATCATTTTGTCCATCAAATTGATGATGATTTCGATGAAAATCAAACTATTTCACCACTACAACGAACAGCTGAGACATTTTGGCTTCGATTACTTGAATATTGTTTACAACGAATTAGTACTTATGGTGGTGCTAGAATTAACGATAGATCAATGATCGGTAAGTTCTTATAGTATACTAATCACATTCACTCAAAGCTAATTGTTTTACCATCACATTTGGGCTCATTTTTTGCATTTTTCATTTGGTGAATTGATGATGATGATGATGATTGGAATCTTCTTTTGTCTAATTTTGATAACTTGATAATGATGGAAATGGCTCAAAGTTTTTTTAAAAACTAAATAAGGAAAATGACTTGAAAAAGAATGAACGATCCTAGTTGTGATAGATTCATAGGCCTGATTCGTAATTTTTTTTTTGCCCGTGTGATGATCTCAATTTAAAAAAAAGTTTGAAATTTTCGTTAGTTTTTTTTTCGTTAACAAATTTCATTTCGTTCGACTCAATTTAACGAGCTCGCGCTAATTCTGATGATGATATGAGCGACGAAACACACGAAAAAAAAAATTCATTGGAATAAAAGGAGTGAATGAATGAATGAATTAAATGAGGATAAGTATAGTAAGGGCAAATCATTCATGCAAATCGAACCAAAAAAAAAAAAAAAAACTTGGCCATCTTTTTTCTTCTAATTTTCCTATACGCGCGACATTCCAAACATTATGCACGCGTGCGACCCTTTTTTGCATCGAGAATTTTATGAAATTCGATGCAAATTATTTTAAATATATAAATGATGATCACATCACGTCATTGAAAGCTAATACTAATGCTGATGAGTCTTGGAATTTTTTTTTTCGTTTTAATCTCAATTCGATTTTGATTGACGGGCCAAAGAATGAAAAAAAAAGAATCGATGATATGATCCAGGCCAAATGTGTGTGTGTGTGTGTGTGTGTGTGGAAGCCATCACCATGAATATCATGATCGTTTAATTTAACTAATGTCACTCTGTTTTCCGTTTTTTTTTACTTTATAGATGGTCTCTATGGAATCATTGTTGGTCTTAAACAATGTATCGATGATGATGATGATGATGATCATGATCGAGATCAATATGATAATGAACAACAATTGGCCACATCTATTATTATTGTGGCTGAATCAACTTGGCATCAAGCAAGTAAGTATTTTTATTCGAAATCATATTTTTCAATATTTCGATTTTTTTTTTGTTGTTTTCGTTTTGTGCAATTTACACATACACACACACACACACACATACACGAACACGAATTCAATTAGCCTATTTTTATATTGTTTTTGAAAAAAAACAATTGGTGATTGTCTTGAATGATGAGTATCAGTGATCTGTATGATCGAATGGTGATGATGATGGGTGCCTTGGTGAATCTTTTTATTTCTCTCTCTCTCACTCTATCCCTTGGGATATAGACATAGACAGTCATTGATAAGACTTTTTGTTGAATAGTGCAAATGGGAATTGATTCATCCATATATGGATGAAAACTTACATCCCTGCAGTCACAATTGTAACAATTCTGTTGAAAATTTTGTCTTTATTTTCATTCAATGGCTGCTTGATCAATCAATTTTAGTTGCTGAATGAATGAATATGAATATGATGATGATGGTGGTGGCCTTTGCCTTGATCAGAATCATCTATCAATCATGTGATTTATTTTGATTCTCCAATCATCATTAATCATTCCAGATGTTTAATTTTGTTTCGTCCACTATTAACATTATGATTATTTTATTATCCATTTGATTAGAAAAAACCGCATCAATGCAAGCAAAAGTTGGCCGTGCTTCATATGTAAATCAATCATTGGTGATTCAACCGGATGCTGGTGCAATAGCCGTCGCTATTTGGTTACAGGCAATAATCGATACATTAACATATGAATCATCAGGTCACCATCGTATAGATGAACAATTGAAAAAAATTAATCAATCAATCAATCAATCAGTGAATAATTGAACAATAGTATCGTTGTATGAAATTAATTATCTGTAAAAATGATGATTACCAATCAATTCAATTCATTGATTGATTTATTCAATAAAAAATTTTTTGATTTGAAAATTGACAATTTGCAGCAAGCAACATCATAAAAGATGTGCATGTTCCCTTTTTTTTTTTTTTTTTTTTTTTTTTTGAGGAATTTTGTGTATGTACAAAGACCGCCTCGATTCTTGTGTGGATAATTAATTAACGGTAAGTGTCGAATTTTTTTTTTCGTTTCGAAAAAATAATGTTCTTCTCACTATAGTGCACATCCATCTACTTCTAGAGTACACAATGGATTTGAAGGATTCGAGGGAGAGAAGTGAAAAAAAATTAGCAAGTCAAATCAACTAGAAATAATTGAGAATTGTGAAGAAGAAAAAGAATCGAACCGAACCGAACCGAACCGATCACAGAAACACCAATCAATGATTGCATCTTATTAATTGAATTGCCCTACCCTGTTTTATATCCAACAGCAACCAACAACAACCAAAAAACCGATTGATAGATAACCGAGTTTCCTTTTCCGTCACGAAGAAAAAAAAAAAATCCAAATTGTTTTGACAAGTCAATTTATCGCCACTGTACTATACAAAATTGAACCAAGGTTTTTTTTATGATTGATCAACCATGATTTTCAACCGATTTGTTAAACTCCCAGCAACCACCACCACCACCAACACATTTTCATATGAACAATGGCCATGTGAATAGCATTGGAATTTTTTTTTTTTTTTTTTTGAATAACCAACCAGAATTTTCATCGTTGACGAACAATAACAGCAAAAATTTGCTTTGGTTAGCAAAAAAAAAAAAAAAAATTTTTTTTTGTATGAATGAAGCAAATCCAGAGACTGAACATTGGTTGATTGGTGTGTGTAAGCAGCTGGTCAATATTTATCACAATGATAATAATATAATAATATAACATCAGTGATAATCATCATTCGATTATGAATGAATCCAGAAAGAAAAAAAAATTTTTTTTTCTCAAGTGTTCAGCCAATAACAACAACAACAAGGTAATCGAAAATTTGAATTTCAATTCAATTCAATTCAATTTTTCTCAGATGAATGACCAGGCATAAAATCATTGTTGTTGTTGTTGTTGCCGCTGTTGTTGTTGTTGTTGTTTGGTGCATCAATGAACATTGAATGAATTTCCAAAACATTCGTTTCTCAACAATTTTTTGAATTCTGTATGCTTGTTTGTTTGCCAAAAAATTTGGTTTAAGAAGAAGAACACGCGACACAACCAACCAACCAAACAAACTAACCAAAACAGCATCTGTATCAATTTGGTGAGAAAATGAGAAAAGTATACTCGAAAAAAAAATTTGTTTTTACTCGAATAAAACTCTTAGGAAACCCCCTCCAAACACACACACACACTTACTTTGAATTCATTCACATTTTTTGAATGTGCCTATGGTTGTTGTTGTATATGTGTTATATGATTATATGGCCGAATCAGTTTATCATTTTTTTTTTCGTTCGTTCGTTTAGTTTGTTTCGTTTGGTTGGTTGGTTGGTTGAAGAAGGACCAAGCCAAGTCAAGCTAACTAACTAGCTGAATGTTTTGATGACGATCATGATGATGATGATGATGATGATGATGGAACGGGCGCGCAGTTTCATTCGATTTGTTTTGTGTGTATTTATATTGTTGTTGATGCTCGTGGTGAATTTTTATTCATTCTGAGTTGTATGGTGGAGAAATTTTTTTCTTTTTTTTTTGAAATGAACCAAACATAAAAGTTGGCGCGTCTGGTCTTTGGTTCTTTTTTTCTTCTTTTTTGGATGATGATGAAGCCAGCCCACATTTTATACATACACAAATGAGAAGACAAGCCGATAGAAGAATAAGAATAATACATGGATGGCTCGCTTTTTCGGGTTGTCACAATACCAATAACGAGTGAGAAAAAAAAACAGAATCGATCATAATCATCAACAACATCGGTAGTTTGGCCAAGAATTCAATTTCAATTTGTTTCGATCATCATCATCATCATTGAATTGGTTCGATTGCCTGATTCGAATTTCAAATTTTTTGAAAAAAAATTTTTTTTTGTTTTGATCCCAATACTGTCGAAATAGTTTTTCGAACATTTGTGTGTGTGTGTGTTTTATGATTTATGATCATTGACACTGTGTGTGTGCGTATTTGTTGAAACAAATTTTCTTTCTTTTTCTTTTTTTTAAGTAAAAAAAATTAACTTCAATTCGATTTTTTTTTCTTTGAGAGAAAGAAAAACCGGCAACATCATTATCGAATCATTCATCATATTTTAGATTGTCAATTTACAGCAACAACAACCAACAACCATCAATTCAATATAATATAAGTTAGTCAAGTCATTCATTCCAATGTCAACAACATTTGTCATACATGTTGACCACCATCATCATCATCATCATCGATGACCAAAATGACAGCCAACCACTTTTGAGAATTGATTATCATCATCATCATCATCATCGGTTAATGTAAGTATGTCATCATCATCCTGATCATATACATTTTCATTGGAGCTTTCAGTTGTTGCTCAAATATATTCTAATATTCTGTAATCATTTTTTTTCATTCTTTGTCGAAAAAAAGTAGCAGATGTATTTGTATGTGTGTGTGTGTGTGTGTGTGTGTGTGTGTGTGTGTGTGTGTGTGTGTGTGTGTGTGTGTGTGTGTGTGTGTGTGTGTGTGTTTGACAAATTCGAATATTTTCATTTTTTTCTGGGCCCAATACTTTTTCACCCATAGACAATAACTGTTCGAGCGTATCATCGATCGATGAAGGTGAACTTGCTTTGCATCACACCAGATATGTAGACAACTATAATCCATGATGATGATGATGATTCAATGATAATGATGATAATGTTTATAAATAGAATGTGAATGTGAATGAATGAATGAATGAATGGATTGCCAATTCAAAAAAAAAAAGAATTACCCGTCGATTCGTGATGATTGTCTTTGATTCGATTACCCATAACGAATAACGACTCGATTGTCGATGTCAAAATAACAAACAAACAAACAAAAAACAATCCATTTTATCATCATCCCGAAAAAATAATGTCCCTGTCATTTTGAATATATCTCTCTCTCTCTCTCTCTCTCGCTCTGTGTGTAAATGTGTATGAATCTCTTCCATACACACACACACACACGCCGACATTTCCATTTGAATGTTGATCCATCAAACATCTTTCTATCTTTCACTTTTTTTTGCTTATATTGACTGTCGTTTTTTTTCATTTGAAGACAAACAGAATACCGGATTGTTTTGTTATTTCTGTCTACTACTTGCTTCATACACACACACAATGAATGATTCAAAAATGTCTGATATATCTTTTCTTTGATGTTTCTGTGTCTGTGTTCCATTATTCATATCAATGATAGTTATCTACATTTTTATATGATGATGATGATGTTGATCCAAAGAAGAAAAAGAAAAAAAACGAATCTAAAATGCATATCTAAGCATATGGCCCATGTCCAAAATGTATCTATTATTCAATCATTGATATGGCACCTCATTCAATCTTGAAACGCGGTATTATAATCATCATCATCATCATCATCTATGCAAGTAAATATACAATTTTTTTCCGATGGCAATTCTCTCTATCTCTTTCTTTATATTTGAAGTGTATCAAATCGAGTGGCCCACCACCATCACCACCACCACCACCACCACCACTATCGATTCATTCCCCAATTTTTTCTTTTAATGTAACAAAAAAAAGAGAGAAAGAAAAGACTAATAGTTTCATTTAGAATCTTTGACACTCTCTCTCTCTCTCTCTCTCTTCTTAATCTTTGGCATTAATACATTATTATTATATCACACACACACCATTATATTCCATATTATTCTTGCTTATTTTTGCTTTGATTTGCCCATTGTGTTTCTGTATTATATTTATTTACAATTCATACAATATGTAGCCAGAGCTAGTAGTCAATATATAACATTTTTTTTCAGTAGCCGTGACCATCACACACATGCTGTTCACACTTTAGTAAATGATGATGATGATGATGATGATGTGTAATCGATGCTTGAATCGATATTCGATATGATCTTTGTTTTGCTTAAATGTATGCTATACAACAACAACAACTGGTGTTGGAGCCTTTCTTTGAGCCCCTTTTTCATTGTCGAAATGAATTTTTTTTGTTCTATTGTTCAAATAAACAAAACAAAACTCATTAATGATTGAGAATTCGATTTATGAATGAATAAATGAAAATTTTGATACAAATACAATGATGATGATGATAATGATGATAAAATGGCAATAGACTATTGATTTATTCATTAACAAAAAAAAAAAAATCCATTGATGATGATAATCACAAAAAGAGATAAGCCCTCTAATAATAACGACGATTGACGTATGTCCATCTTTTGGTATAATCATTGATTATTTTGTTTTCATTTCATAGTTGCATAGTTGAAACAAAAAACCAGGCTGTGTCGTTTTGTGTTTGTGTTTTGTACCGGTAAAAGGAAGCCATACAGAATATGGTGGTAATGGTGGTGTTCCATATATACGCTACACACGTTTATATGCAATGTGTCATTGAATGTCATTAATCAAAATACATAGATGCTTGAATAAGATTCTCGTGCATGTATTCATTTCATTCCATAGTAGTGGATAACGCTGAGTCAGATTTTTTTTTGTCAACTTTTTTTGGCATCTTGCAATTTTTATTTTATTTTTAATACTAATGACATTGGATGATGGTGTAAAGTTTTCAATTATAAATTCTATGCTTTTTTTTGTTTTTGGGTAATTCTGGATCATCATTTATGATGATGATGCATGTGTATCGATCATACAACGGCTGGCTTTTCAATCTATAACCAAAAAAAAAAAAAAGCTTTGGCTAAAGTTAACCCTTTGGTTATTTTGTTTGTTTTAGCTTTTCGATTTTTTTTTGTTGTTCGATCACTGTACTGGACTGAACTGGCCATCTCTCTTTTTTTTGGTTGCCATTCTTGTCAATTTTGTTTTGTTTTGTTTTGTTTTATGATCGGAAATCTTTTTCGACATTTCAAAGACGATCGATATACACAAGGTGCTGGTGCTATTCTTCCGATCACCAGCCAATATCAGACAAAATATTTTTGGGATCGTCATCAATAATGATGATGTCAACCATATTATCAGGGGGGTATATATCGTGGGTATATATGATTCGCATATGAATGAATGCTAGAGATATTGATGAGGATGGCGCGACTTTTTTTTGGTGAAGCATCAATATGAAAACCTAATATAGAGAGAGAGAGTGAGTAAATACCGTTTTTTCCTGTCCACATACAAACGGATTATCGATGGCTTTATTAAATGTTGTTCGACGTTCCGTTCATCATTTTATGAAGGAAATAGCAATGGCCATTATACACTAGAAAGACGACTGCTGGCTGTGACTGTTTGACTGTCGATGATCACTTTGTTCGCACACACACGCACGAGAAAACTGCCTTTCATTTTTTCTTTCTTTTTTTTCACTGCCCAATAAGAATAACCCGAACATTCTGAGTATAGAATAGAATAAATAAATTTGAAACATACACACACACACACACATACTAAATGCCTGTAACAGAATTGAATGTGAATGTGAAACTCGATTCACAACATTTCAATTTCATTCATTTCATTTCATTGAATGGTGAAACAATAAATAGTTGATGTCAAGTGTGTGTGTGCTATTTCGTTTGGGTTTCGTTTTTCTTTTGGTGGTAAAGTTTCCAATTGCAATCCGAACACACACATACACACACAATAGATACTACTAAACACAGCCATTTTTGTACTACCCGCGTTTATGATTATTATATGCCTTCCTGTCACTGAACACACACACACACACCAGGATGTACGTGACCATCACATCTCACCAACCAGCCAACAACGAATGAATGAATGAACAAATTAGTATTCATAGATTGCATCTTTTTTGATAACTTGTGTGTGTGTGTGTGTGTGTGTGTTTTGTGAAATTTCGGGAAACACGTTGTACCCGATGCACATACATAGGGAACGAATTTATTTTCAAAGCTAAATGCAAAAACAATGAACATGATTGCCTTTCCTGCTTGCTGCTTGGACCGATTTTTTTTCATAATGAAATTGAAATCACAAAACAAGACAAGACAAAAAAGATAGATGGATAGATAAACTGGACAGGATGACAATTATTATGAGCAATCATCATCATCATTGAACAATTATTGATGACTATTTGATGTGGTTGGTCAGTGTGGGCGGCGGGATGTGTTTATGTTGTCGACACACACACATTATATTATTATGTTTATGTCGACACATTTCACACCGATTTCAATTTCCATTTCAATCATCATCATCATCATTATCATTATCATTGTCTATCCGTTAGATATTTTTTCGTGACCGAAACCTTATCGTTTTCGATTTCCTATTTTTTTTCTTGTTTCCAAATTCAAGCTATTCTATTATTATAACCAAAAATAGTTCAATCAATTGAAGAAAAGGGGTCATCAACCAATGGTGGGGAAAAAACAACAAATTCGTGTTTAGAGTATTTAATTTCAATGATGATGATGATGACCATCAGTAACAACAACAGCATTGGCTTCTCTTCCCCCTCCACACCCAAGTCGCCGCTTTTACGACAATTAACAGTGACACATCATTTGGTCAAAAAAAAAATAAAATAAAAACGAAAATTGCAAAGAAAAATGCTTTAAATGCCCTTTTAAATGGATCACGTTAGCATAGTGTAAGTGTAATCAAAATCATAAACAGCTGAGACATATATTTGTCTTTGGATTTTGGATTTTGGATTTCATTTCATTTCGTTTGTTGTTCATCATCATAACATGGGCCATATTTATCCATTTTAATACTTATTTCTGTCGTCTAAGAATCAATCCTAGAATTCGATATATCGAGAAAAACAAATTTCAACATGACGAAAATGTTGCCGGCTGTTGTGTTATCGTTGTTGTTTGTCTCAAAGTCGGCAAATATAGTAATCGGCCAAATAATAGCTAATCGTAGTCATTTATATAAGTGAAACTTGTACGACCAAATGTCACCATTACTATGAAACTTGTGAACGAACAAATAATCCATAAACACAGAAACAAAGCAAAAAAAAATTATAAAAGTCTTGATCCATTTAACCGTTTTTTTTGGCCATTTAACATTTAAGGAGAGAAAGAGAGAGAGAATTTACTCTGTTGTTTGCACGTTCATAGATCGTTATAGATAGATTTTCATGAACCCAAAATAACAAATTCAGGTTAAATGAGAAATTGAAAATCCTACACACATAAACACACGCTGATTGACTACGAAAAAAAATGTTTGTGTTTCCAAAATGTTTCAATTTCATTCCGATTGATTTACTCATATTTTTTTTTATATTTGTTTTTCTATTCCAAATAATAGCAGAACCCCGATCAGCAGTAAATACAAAAACAAAATGATCCGATCGTAAATTGTCGCTGTGGCTGATTCGTTTGTTTGTTTGTTTGTTGCAATTGTTTTATTCAAAACGATGATGGCTACTTTATGGAGAATGTCAATCATTTCTGGGTGTATAATAATAATAATAATGATTATTGTGACAATTATTGAATCACTAGAATTGTCGCCAACCTCAGTCAATCAACGAAATGAAAACAATGATGATGATGGTGGTGGTGGCAATAATAATCGTCGACGACGACTAGGACAAATTTACTGTGATTTAAATCGAATGTGTCTATGCCAGAATTATACGGCCCAATATATGGACGTGACCTGTGTTAATGTTCCATTCGATTCTCTACCCGATCTAAGTCGTATGATGAACAATGAATCGAATACATTTGGTCCACATCTTTATCGGGTTCGAATTCATGGTGCCCGTCAATTAACACGCCTCAATGATCGGAATTCGTTCGCCCGTCTAATCACATTAGCATCGTTATCGATTACTAATACTCGGCTTTCTTACGTCGATGGCAATGTATTTCGTGATTTGGCCATATCACGAACGTTGACCACGTTAGATTTGTCGTATGGGCATCTGGTTGACATACCGATCGAAGCGCTTGATCACCTAGAACAGCTACAATGGTTATCGCTCAAAGGCAATCAAATCGAAGTTATAAAACATAGGCCATTACATCGTTTACAAAAGTTACGAACGTTATTGCTCAACGAAAATCGCCTGTTTATCATCGATGATGGTTCATTTTCTCAATTAACCTCACTTGAACAAATTGACTTTGCTTCTAATATGATCGAACGAGTTGAAGGCAATCCTTTCCCACCATCGCTTCGTTCACTATCCATATCAAACTGTTTGTTACGGAAAATTCCATTCGATGCAATCGAACCTTTAGCCAAATTGGAAATGTTACAACTGCAGGGCAATCTAATCGCCCATCTTTCACCATTCAAACTATCGGTTCGGCGAATTCAATTAATCGATCTTAGTCACAATCTGATTGGTCAACTACCCGACAATCTTTTTGCCAATTTTCAATCACCAAATCGGATTGCCGATCAAAATCTAAAACGAAATGAGAATAATAGTACTCGATTCACAACCGGCCATTTAGGGAAATATTCCAGCTGGAACAATGATGTTGATGACAGCCGAACGAACTTGAATGAATCCATAGATGTAGATGAAGAGCTTCGAATCGAACAGCTCTATCTGGATTTCAATTTCATTCAATCACTTGGACCTGATTTATTTCGTTCGATTCGATTGGACAAGCTTTCCATCTCGAATAATCGGTTATCGAGCGCCGGTCTTTCACATACGGCTACATTTGATGGGCCCACCGCTCGATCATTGAAAGTGTTAGATGTTAATTACAATCTAATCGACAAATATCCGATCGCCTTCCGTGAATTGATCGGATTGAGACAGCTTCTCATGAAAAATAACCGAATTCAAACGATCGATCCGCCCGATGCATTTGGCGCTTCGTCTAAAACACTAGAAGTGCTTGATCTTTCCCAAAATCTTATTGAACAAATGCCTACAGCTGCTTTCAATACGCTTCGAAATCTAGTCAAACTAAATCTACATGACAATGCTATAAGCCGTTTGGATAGTGATGATTTGGTTGGTTGGTGTGGCCCCCGTTTGAAATCATTGACATTATCGAAAAATAACCTAGTTTATTTATCAGCCGATGCTTTCCGTGCTTGTCGCCAATTGAATGAACTACGGCTTGGTGGAAATCGTTTGCTTCAAATTCAACCAGTTCAATTAGCTCAATATATGAATCGATTACAATTTCTTGACCTTAGTTCATTGGCCAACGTCGATTGGACCGACACAAACACTAGCGAAACAAAATTTTCTCATGTCAAATGGCTACAATTTGATTTCAATGAATTACGTTGGATTCCTAGCCACTTGATTCATCTATTTCCGGGTATCAAACATCTAGATTTACAGAATAATCATATCGATTCAATAGCGGCAAATCGACTTAGTGAAGCCAAACATTTACAATCGGTGATTGTGAGTTATAATCACCTGACAAGAATACATCGAGATTCATTTGCTCGTCTAGCTAAACTGGAAAGTCTAACCCTTTATTTCAATCGAATCGAACGTCTTGATTCAGGAGCATTCAATGAGTTGCCTCGACTACAGTCACTGGTTTTATCTCGCAATCAAATTAATTACATAGAACCGGGAACTTTTGTCAATATGGCTAATGAAAGTAATTCTTTGACATTATTGCTCGATGGTAATCGACTTGAATGTTTGTCGATCGATCCATTCCTTCAGATACGGCAGCCCGCAGCATTCTCCACTAACGATGCTAACGACGACGACAACAATGTCGGTGATGGTGATGATGGAGACCAATTTGCTCTCTATTTGAATGTATCGAATAATCAAATAAAAACTTTGGCAAATTGTCAAAATTCAGCCATCACAACGACAAACAACATCAACAGCAACAACAACAAAAATTGGGCAAACACGGCTCATCATCATCATCATCATCATCGTAATCAACGCGAACAAACATTGGCTGTACGTGTTCTCGATTTATCGGCCAATCAAATTGAACAATTGAGGCCTCGTTTTCTCAAACAATTTTGTGGCAAAACTTTGTCAATGTTAGCTAATCATAACTTAATTCGCCGCTTACCCCTACATCTGTTCGGGGTCGGTTATTGTGCTCAATTACAGTCACTATCGCTCAATCATAATTACATCGTCGACCTACAGCTCGATCCCGATGATGATGATGGTGATGATGTTGATGACGACAATAAAACATTGACAACAACAGTGGACAACAACAACAACAGTCGAAAAGCTTCATTTGTCATACAAACATTGAGCTTACAGCATAATCTTATCAAAGATTTGGCTCGATTTTATCGGCTGTTTGTTCGTTGTTCGCGACTTAAATCGCTACATTTGAATGACAATCAGATCCAATGGATACCGGCCAATCTATGGGATCGCACGTCCATCGTTACATTAAATCTGGCCAATAATCGACTCACGCTTGATGATGACAAAGGTCAATCACCGATCGATCGATGCTTTGGTATCGGAACAACGCTCAAATATCTAGATTTATCTAATAACCTGCTTCGTACACTACCGGAACGTATTGTTTATTGTGACAATCTTAATGAATTAATTTTGTCAAACAATCAAATTCAATCGTTTGATTATGCTACTGCAATTGGCACTTCGAAAGCTGCCCGTTTAATCAGTCACCTGCAACGATTAGATCTGGATCATAACCCATTGAATATCCATGTGAACGGAAGAAAAACATTCGATTGGTTGAGCACGGATTCTCCATCGTTATCTGTACTACGATTAAGTCATGTGAACAACATGGCCACATCATTAGACGAACTAAATCTTGGTGAATTGAACCTTCCTTATTTACATACACTCGATTTGAGTGGCAATAATATTTCACATATAGCAAGCCGTCTACTGTCTCGTAGTCGTAATGTTCGTCAATTGAATCTGGCCATTAATCAACTACGTGAAGTGCCGAAACATATCTGGAAATATGTGACCAGATTACAATGGCTTTCACTTCGTAACAATCCAATCGATATACTTGATTCGCTTAGTTTTGCCGGTTTAAAATATCTTCGCCATTTAGATATTCGTGGACTGAATCTCCAATACATTGATTCCAGAATTTTCATCTATCAAAGGTATCTTTATTCATTTCTTGTTAACTAGTTGTCTAATGTTCCGGAAATTGAAATTTCTTTTTTTTTACCGTTTCATTTCATGCTCGATTCATATTCTTTTTTTGTGCAGTCAAATATTGTCGTTGAAAATAAGTACATATCCACAGATTCGTTCGTTTCGTTTACAAGATATTCTATCTAAATGTGATTCACTTCAAACAATTGTTGTTGATGTTCGCGAACCAACACTTTCACATCAAATACAATGGGCTTTTGGTGGTAAATTACGAGAACTTGTTATAACGGGCCATAATTTAGCCGTCATAGTGCCGGATGCATTTCAAGGTAAGTGTCTGTCTATTATGTGTGTGTGTGTCGGAAACATGTCAAACAATTTTTTTCTGATTATTTGCTGATACAGGATTGAACAATGCTAATGATCTGATTGTGAGAATAACAAATACAAGTGTTAGACATTTACCTGATTCATTACTTCGATATTTGGCCGATATTCGTTACATAACTATCGATCTGAGGGGCAATCTTCTTCGTACGGTTAGTCCTTCAGTCTTTTTCACCAACATTGATAATTATCGACATTCATGGAAAACATGGCAATCACGGCAATTATTAGGTAAGTATTTAACCATCATCCAAATGGTATTACTAATTTTGTTCTTTTCATTTCATTCAGGTGGTATCATTCTTGAAAATAATCCACTTGTTTGTGATTGCAACCTGCTTTGGATCAGTCAATGGATGCGTGAAGTATTCACCGAAATGAAAAGCATCAATGTCGAAGCAGCTATTCATGCTAAAGCCAAATTATCGTTAAGTCGATGTGCTAGGCCTTCATGTTATCACCATCCTGAACGCCAACAACAACAAAGTAGCTCCAAAAATGTTGTTTTATCCAACATTACATCGATATCGTCTTCCGTATCGATTATCGATCTTCGTAATGAAGACCTATGTAATCAAAATTGTCAACAGGAAGCCATGACAGTATGGCAAAGGTCATCTTCTTCTTCTTCGTCATTTCATCACTATATTAATTCGATTTTTGTCCTATCAATTACTTTTCGTGTGATGTTCATTGTTGCAATCCACTAGAGATTGAATATTATATGTGTATCCCAATATCATTATTTAGAGTTTTTGAATTCCGAATTCGTTATTTGTTTGTATACATTGATTATTTGTAAATAAAATAGTTTTTTTTTTTTTGATCAATTCTTTTCTTGTGGTCATTTATTATTCCTTCCTTGTTGAAAAAAAGGTGAAATTATATAATCACAGTTGTTTTATTTGTTAACAGATGGCAGCACTTACATGAGTCGAAATTAAATTTTGTTAATTTTAACTCATAAAATTTTGGAGAATCTAATGTTATCTAAAATTCGACTTGTAGAATTAAAATTTTTATTGTTTTTTTTCAATAAAAATGAAATTACAATATGTGATAATGATCAATTAAAATATAGATGAAATGAAACTTATCAAGCTGATGATGGTTGTGCAATATCATGAACAACATCATCCCAATCATATATTTCGCCATCAGGTGCAGCTGGTAAACCAAATTCAACACGTACAGCAGCAAAACGATCAGCAGTTTTTTGAATACCAATTTTCAATTGAGCCCATTCTTCCGGAGTACTGTTTCGTTTTAACTTTTCCAAAAATACAATCGGTTGTCTTCAGTGATCCTACGATCGTTTTGTAATGAACGTGTGTTTACAATTGCCATTTCAGCTGCATTTTTTCCAGGTATATTTGGTGATGTTACCCTAGTTAAGTTATATGCAGCAAAATTAGCTGCTTCAATATATGTAATCCAATTTTGAGGTATCAATGCTATTACGGATTTTATTCGAAATGGATATGGCAAATCAGAATTCAAACCAGGTATGTGCCTGATATGGCGCATTGACAAAACAGCAGTTACAGGCATTAACATAATCATTCTTCCAGGTGTCAAGGTTGATGGTCGTAAATTACGACCTTTTGTAGTCCAATCAATATTGAATGTTCGATTGATTTCATCCAACGATTCCAATCCTTCGTTTCTGGTTGTTCTACGAATTTTTTCAATATTTGTACCTCGTATGGTTATCAAGCAACAGAATAAAGAGTAGAGTTCTAAATTCTGATGAAGCACGTTACAATGTTTTTTATACAGTTCAACTACATCGAAATTATTGTCTCTTGAGTTTTGACCTCTAGAGTTTTGACCAGAAAAAAAATCATCAAATGCAAAATCTGGAAACTTGATGTCATTGTCAAAACCTTCCATTATTGATAGAATTAAGTAGAATTGCTATTTCAATTGTGACAATCAAATATTTGAATAAATAAAATTAATATATGATCAGATTAAACTAGAAAAACTTACTTTTCAAAAAAGGCTGTCGAATATCAAACGTGTAATGATTGAATAGAAAAAATCTTCACTCACCATGCTCGATTTATATCGAAAAGTCACGTTACTCAATTAATTCAGTTCTCAGCTCCAAGCATGGCCTTTCATCAATGACGTTACGCACATCATCATCATCATCATCATCACTACAATTTAATTATTTAAAATCGATCGATTGAGATTCTAATTCTTTTTTTTTGAATTTTATTGTTCAACATTTACAAAAAAAAAAAAAATTGTATTATTTACATTCTATTGAAACAAGAATATCAAATATAGAATAAACAGGGTAAATATTTCAAATTCATTCGAAAAATAAAAAAAAAATTAAAAACAAATCGAATCTTTTTTTTCATTTCATTTAGAATACATGATGCCACCATTTTTTCAATTTAATTTTAAAATAGCGTGACATCCAATTAATAAATGTATGGCCACCATCATTCATAATATTTGGATTATTATTTGTACTACGTATAAATAATAATAGGATCCATGATGATGATGATGATGATGTTCGATTTCGTTTCCATTTTGATTTTCGTTTCTCTTGTTTTTGTTGTTGTTGTTGTCGTTCAGCTTGTATTGATACGCTTAACAATTGTAGATTGAAATATTCATTTAGATTAACTTTAATCAAACAACGTATGAATGATTCAAGTAGATGATGATAATTGTTTTTACAACAATCATCGTTACTGCTACACGATGATGAACGTTTAGATGTTCGTGAAAAAATCGATGATGATGATGATGATGATGAATTTGATGAAATTATCGATGTCGTGGACGATGATCGACTACCACGATTATGATTATAATGATGATGATGACCACAATCAATGAGACGCACATGATAATCTTGTATGAAATTTTTTTCATTCAAATCAATATCGTTTTCGACAATACAATGACCAAATCTAGCCAAATAGATTTGTATATTATCAATAATAATCGATGATGATCGTCGTTGTTGTTTCTGTTGTTGACGATGAAATTTATAAAATCCTTTTAGCCACGATGAAATATATTGAAATGAATCTAGATTACCATATTGATAGAAACCAATTGCAATATTTGTCAGATGAAAATATTTTCTAGCAAATTCTTCATAAAAAAATTGCGATTTCAATTCAAAACAATCTGGCCATCGTATCAAATAGAATTTCAATCGTATATCGATTGTATCGTCATTGCCATAATTGTTTACAATAAATCGATATCGATAATGATATGTGGAAAGACAATTGGATTTGGAATGTTTAATTTTTTCCAACCAAACCTGGCCACCAATACCATCATGTTGTTTTTGGCTATCAGCAATACCACAATTACTGTAGATGAAAATTTTCAATTGTTTTTCTAAAATTTTATTCAAATCTTGTTCTGCCGTTGTCGATGATGAACGTTGCATCCAAAAGATCAATACACGTATTTTGGGATATTTGTTTCCATCCCCACCATTGTTACCGTTTGACCAATGGCCACCATTATCACCAATCTTGTAATCATCATTATTATCGATTGATTGTTGTTCGGTGGTCACCGTTGTCGCTGTTGTTGTTGTTAGATAATTACGATATTTAGCTGCTTTATAATCATCAACTAATCGTATTTTATTATCCACAATTTTATTATTATAAAATATCATTCGTTCTTGATTTAGTCAGCTTGTATTTAATGTTGATTGTTCTAGAAACGTTGTTGTTGTTGTTGCCAATTTGAATGATGTAGGCATAATATAATGGTAAATTGATATATGTTTCGTAAAATTTTTAAACGATGTTTTGTTTTGTTCTGCAAAATAAAAATTTGATCAATAAATTGATTTTTTTTATTGCCAATATTTATATATAAATACCCAGATAGATACCAAAATCAAAATTGATCGATGTGATCAATGATCAATGATCAATAATCAATAATCAATATATTGATATTGATTGATTACAAAAAAAAGAAATTCGTATCAGCACACAAATATACACACCGGATATAGCGAATGATGATTATTTGTTGATTTAGACTTTGATTTCTAGATTTATCTACATATAAAGAAAAATAAAATGATAGAGAAAGAAATTATTAATTTTCGTCTATTTTTTGATTATAATGTACGTTGTTGTTGTTTTTGTTGTTTATTATCACCATTGCTCAATAATTTTTGGCAATGAGCATAAAGTCCATAATAAAACGAATAAAAATCACACCAAAAATCAATCAAAGTGATTGATTGATTGATTGATTGATTGATCTGTCATCTGTCGATTCGTGGAATTGTTCACATTTCAGATTAAAATTCGACTATTTCGACCATCAAATGAAAAACAAAAAATTCGAATTCGAATTTAAAATTTTCAAAGAAAATATGAAAACAGCTGCTGCTGCTGCTGCCGCCGCCGCTATAAACACACATTGTAAACATCAATCAATCAATCAATCAATCAATCAATTTAGAACTAGAAAAAAAATTGATGATAAAAAAATGTATCTTTTATGGTTTCAAATTACGAAATTGAATAAAAATCACGTGTCTTAAAACGATACACACACCCACACACACAAGATTTTAATGTGCCACCGGAATCACAAATGTACAAAAATTTTCTCTCACCGGAAATTTTTTTTTTTTTATTTATTTACAAACATAAACATTTTTTTTGTGAATAAATAACTATAAAAAAAATTCCATTTCGTACCTTTATTTTTAATTTTTGGAAACTAATGAAAAAACAACATCAACAACAACAACAGCAACAACAACAACGATTTCATTACAATCAGGCAATCATCATCATCGTTTATGTAAGAAAAAAAAACAACGACAAAAAATTATTTTTACACATGTTGCTGTTGATGATTTCTCTGCAAAAAAAAATTTATATTTCAAATAAATAAAAAAAAAAAATTCTGGAACATATGCAAATCTACATCATTTCAATGGAAAAAAAATAAATAGAAGTGAAAAATAAATTTCAAATATCGTGTCAAGATTTTTTTTTTCTTTTTTCTCTCGGAAATTTTTTTTTTTCATGAAACAAACACATCAATTTCAATGAATGATGAACATCATTATCATGTGTGTGTGCATGATGTGAAAGAGATTATTATTATTATTAGCCATGCAAATCTTTACATACTATTGGGACAAACGAAATTATGATAACGAAGATGATGATGATGATGATGATGAGCCAGACATCATCATCTTTGGATGATGATGATAAATAAATATAAAATTAATTTATGTCGATGAATGTGAAATCTTTATATAAGGCTAAAACAGGCTAATACCAAACTGTTGCATGTGTGTGTATGTGTGTGTAACATACGAACCTTTTTTTTCCACAGCAATAAAAAAAAAAACAATGGCCAATTGTGTTCATTTATCTTGACAATTTTTTTTTCTCAAAAAATCAAAAAAAAAAATAACAATCGTTTTCGTTGTTGTATAATGAAATGTTTACAATGAAATAATAATCATTGATGTCGTGGTCATTTTTCGTTCAATGATAATGATGATGATGGTTGTGTGTGTGTGTGCGATTTTTTCGGTGTCTTTGTCTTTTTGGCCATCGACACACACACAATGTTTTTGTTTTTGTTTTTAAGAAAATCCTTTAACCCCGTTTATCATCAATGATGATGTATTTTAACAAAAAAATTTTTTTTTCTTGTCTGAAATAAACAAAAAAAAAAAAACAAGTAGTTATATAGCTAATTAAATTGAAATATAAATAAACAACAACTTAATGGTGATATAATAATAATAAATACCCGAAAGAAAAATCAATCAATTAGCGATGAATGAATGATGAAAGATTGTAGGCGAAAAAAAAGGAAGAAAAAGAAAAAATTTAAATTAAAATGACCTCAAAATTTTCTGTTTCTGTTGACCGAAAATTTGTATGAAAATTATTATCATTTTGATATTCTGTCCAAGAAAAAAAAATCAATGAATAACCACAAGTTGATTTTTTTTCTGCTGCACGCTTCTCACACAATGACCAATGGCCACATTGGTCATGTGTGTGTGTGAATCGATTGAAGATGAATTATTTTTGATTATTGATTATAGAATGTGTGTGTGTGATGATTGCATAATGATTATTATTATGATGATGATGATGCAATTTCAATGGTTCAGGTCAGTGATAGGTGAATAGGACGTCCATTATTATTTTTGAGATTCATATTTTTTTTTTTTTTTTTTGTTCAAAACTCACGATGATATGATGATGATGATTGTTCATTTTCGATGAATTTTTTTTTCGATTGTCTGTTGATATTAATTTTTATCATCATGTGTGATGGTGAAATGAAAAAAAAAATGGAAAAAAACTGTCACGATCCCCAAAATGGTCAATATCAAAAAAAATTTTTGTTTCTTATGAATTTATTAATTTGTAATTAATAAGGAAAACAAAATCGAAAGTTTTTTTTTCTTGATAAAATCTTTGCACAATTTAACAACTGATTATTGATGTGTCAGTCATGTCACACACATAAACACATACACAAATATTATTAGTATCAAAAGGAGTCTGAAATCCAAAATTAGATTATCATTTAGAAATTTCATGATCATCATTGATTAATGTGATTAATTTATGGATCATATACAAAAACAAGTGCAAGTGCATCTTGATCATCATCATCATCATCATTGTTCCGTGAATTTATTTTGAACATATGTGTAATTACATATATGAATGGCCAGTCAGTCAAAAGTGTAAACATTTTTCGAATGTTTGCATTTTTTTTTGCAACAAAATTTTTTTCTACGGAACAAATAATTATGCATTTTTGTAATTAAAACAGAACAAAAAAATCTTTTACCAAGTGGGAAAAAAAGATAATTTTTCATTTTCGTCTCATCATGACATCATCATCATCATCATCGACATGGAAAAGGTCAGTTGAATTTTGACGTCTAAAAAATTGAAATAGAAAAACGAGTTTCATTTTCTAAAATTGAGAATCTTCCACATCAGGTTTTTTTTTGTTATCAATTTTTTTTTGTTTCCAGTTTTCTCCTTCATCCATAGTACGTGCATTTAAAAAAAATCAGGATATGTTCAGCAACAACTGTTTATCGGCTCACTTTTTCATCATTATTTTTTTTCAATTTCCTTGGAACACACACACACACACACAAACAAACAAATAAACAAATGCAGCATCAACAGTTACAACTTCCAATAACCTTAGGGGCCAAATCTCTTTTTTTTGCAGTTTTTTTTCACTTTTTTCTAACTCTATAATGGCTGTACCGATTGATTCGATGATGTATGAACAACAACAACAAGAGCATAACAGAAATCTTGTCATATGATTACGGATTAGAATTATAATTTTTCCTTTTTCGTTTGGTTAATTTTTCATCTTTTTTTTTGTTTTCTATATAAATCCTTATGGAAAACTAGTATTTTTTTGTTGCCGTTCATAACATTCACACTAATTCACTCTAAAAATTTTTCTGTTCTGTTTTTTTTCCATTTTAGGTTCAAAACGAACAAAAAAATCCTTTGATTGAAACATACGATAACGAAAGAGAAATTTGGTCCATCAAGAAAGAAAATTTTCATTTCAATTCCGTTTGTGTATCAATCGCCATCGTTTATTTACCGATTCTGAATCTTTTTGAATTTATTTGTTTGTGTGAGTGTGTGTGTGTGTGTGTGTGTGTGTGTGTCTGTGAAAATTATTTGCTTCAACAATTTTTTTTTGTTTTGTTTTGTTTCGTCTCAATCTGAATATTTTTAAATTTCAAAATGTCTCAACAAGAAAATCAATTGCGGAAATTATTAAAAGAAGCTGAACGTCTGATTAATGATACAGAAATGGAAACATGTACACAATGGATTGATCGTGAAGTGCAGCGAACAAAAAAATTGAAAGAACAAATCGAACGACAACAGAATCATTCAAGTATTCCGGCAAAATTATTTAATGAAGCACGTGATACTGTCGATGGGTTACATCGTTTTATTGAAAATCTAAAAGATTTCCGTTCAAATATGGCTAAAAATGGACATCAAGTTGTCATTACTAATGATCACGATGCAAGAGCTTCAGGCATATTGAAAAATGCATCATATTCAACGGAATATAAATGTCCATTCTAAGAAATCGCTAAAAACGACTAAAAAAAAGACTCTCAATTAGATGTCCTTGTTTTTTTTCACTTGAAAAAAAACTGTCATCATCTTATTAATCCAGCAATTTGATCCAAGATCATTCCGAATTTACATGGAAAAAAACAAACAAACATTCACACACACACACATACACTTACATACATTTATATATTTTTGGCTTTACATATATAAATCATTGATTGATTTATAGATGATCAATATAATCATAATAATCTTGATATAAAAAATAAAAATCTTGCTAAATAACAGAGTTGTGTTTTAATTAATGTGAACAAAAGTTTTTAAATTGTTTTGATTTTTAATATCGATAAAATTAAACGTGACAAACAAAACAAAACAAAAAAATCGAAACAATGGATGGATGGATGGATGAATGTATGGGAATCGTTCGATCGATCAATCATTGATCCATTGAATGAATTAATGAATGATTGGTGAGAATGATCCACGATGATTAATGATTTTTTTTTATAAATTATGTGGATGATTGAAAATGAACAAACAAACAGTTTTTGTTTGTTTGTTTGTGATTATTATTAAATGATAAGGAAATGGTATATCGTGCCAAAAATCATCATCATCATTATTTTGATGATAATCAATGATGATGATGATGATCGAAAGTATTATCTATTTATTTGTTTGTTTGTTTGAATGGATGAAAATTTTTCAATTCTCATACACACACACACACACAATGATAACCTAAAATGAGATTAAGATGAGCTTGTCTCTTTTTCTTTCTTTTTATCTCTATTTCAAATTTTTACATTTTTTTGTGTGTGTGTGCATAACGTAAGTCGTTACTGTTGTTTATTTTTAAATTGACTATTTTTTTCATGAATTTGACTTTCTCTCAATATATGCAGAAGAAACCACTATTCTACACACACACACACACACACACACTCTCTCACACACAGATTTTTTTTTTTTGTTCATTTCAGGTTTCTAATTCAAAGACACAAAATCAATGATGATGATGATGATGATGATATTCACAATTGTCCATTCAACCTAGTTTTTGATTATAAACGAAACAAAAAAAAAGAAGAAAAAATACATTTGAAAATGTATTGGTAATCACATATTGATAGCCTTCGAATTTTTATTTTCAATCTCTCTTTGATTCACGATATTCTTCAATATTCGATATATTTGTTGCCATTGTAGTCGTCGTCGTCGTCGTCGTCGTTGTCGTCTTTCTATTGATTCGTTGATTTTTGTTTTCATTTAAATTTCAATCTAAAATCAACAATTATTGCATCCAGTGAACAAACAAACAAACAAACAAACATACGAAAAGAGGTATTTAAAAAGACTGATAAACAATTTCATTCGAAAAAAAAAATCTAAATCTTATTTTTTTTTGTAAGAATTTTGACCATCTTCGAAATTGATTTTTTCGTGTGATTAATTTTTTGGTTTTTGTTTTGTGTGGTTTGGGTCATATTTTGTGTCCGTGTTTGTTTGTGCGTGTTTTTTTTTCCAACGAATTATTTTTTGTTTTTTTTTTTTTTTTTCTATTAATTTTCCGTTATCAAAAAAATCGTTTTTTCAAAAAAAAAAACCAATCAACATCAACATGTCATCACAGCAAGAAACACAGCTAATTAAATTGCTAAATGATGCAAAAAAAATGATGAATGAAACAAAATTTGAAACCTGTACCCAATGGATTGATCGTGAAATTGTACGAACAAAAAAACAAAAAGAACAAATTGAACGATTACAGAATCATCCATCGATTACTGCACGGCTATTCAATGAATCAAGAGATGTTTGTGATCAAATCCATTTGTATATTGAACGTTTACGAGATTTTCGTTCCAATATGAGCCGTTATGGTCGTCAGATTACCGTTGAAACTACTGATGATCTTAAACGTACTGGAATGTTAAACAATGCATCCATTGAAATGGAATGGAAAAGTCCATTTTAAACAGAACGAAAAAAAAACAATCGAATATATATCGCTTACAGTAACCAAGAAAAAAAAAAAAAACATCCGATAATGAAACAATCCATTTGTCTGTCATTTTCTTTACATCGTGTTTTTTTTTTGAAAAAAAACCAGTAAAAAATTCAAAGAAAAAAAAATATTTAAAAAAAAATTTACAAATTTAGAAAATAAATTTATCTTTTAATTTTCATTTTCAATCTCACTAACGTTATTTGTTAATTGAAAATATTTTTTTTTCAAAAAAAAAAAAGTTTTTCAAATTAAAGATTGTTGAATGCAAAGAAAAAACTCAAACGATGATGATGATGATGATAAACTTGAAAAATCATTCATTCATCGTCATTATCAATTCATTTTTTCCACTTGTTCAAGGAAATGATATTTGTGTGTGTGTGTGTGTGATAAACAACATGTATACAGCAGATTTTTCTTCAAAAAAAAAATCCTTGATTCATATTTATATTCGATTGGCGCGGTTGTTAATTATTTTTCAACATTACGAAGGTGATCGAGTTATTTTGGCTTTTGCTTTTGTTTGTGTGTGTGATGGATTCATTCAAATTCTGCTTTTGAGTGTATTTTTATTTTTTTTTTTTTTCAATGTTGATTCCAGCAAAAAAAAAATTATTGCATTTTTCATTTGAAATCCTCATGATGATGTTGTTGATGATAAATTGAGATTAAAAACTGGTGATGAAAACAAAATTCAAGAAAACAAAAAAACAAACAAAAATTTTGAAATTTCGTATTTAAAAAATATCAAAAAAAAAAATTTTTTGCATCTCATTACTGATAGGTAAACAGGTAAATAAATTCTTTTGAATAGAATCATGATTGTGAAATCTATGGAAAAACGAAAAAATGAAAACAAACTTATTGCATCCATGGATCTAAAAATATTGGACACATCATCTGTAATTTAATTTGATTTGATTGCTCCCAAAAAATAAAAACATAACGAACGGATCTCCATAATACTTGATGATGGTTAATTGATGGAAATTTTTTTTTCTTTTTTTTTAGGTCACAAGGTAAATTTTTAAATTAAATTAGATTAGATTAGATTACCTGTGTGTGTGCGTGTTGATGACAACAACGTAATAGCAATCAATTATGGTGGTACTATAATGCAATAAATCAATTGATCGATGGATCAATATAAATAATAAATATCGATCACATTTATGGAAATAATAATGGACACATTCTGATTGTGGTTTTTGATTGGTTTTGTTTCTTATTTCAATATAATAACAAAATGTTTAACAATAAAAAAAATTCATTTGTTTTATTCATCAACAAATTCTTGGTATTTTTATTTATTCTGATTCTGGTTATCGATAATTTTGGTCAATTGATGGTGAATTCAATAAAATTTCATGATTGTAGTGGTGGTGAGTAGAATTTTTTTTGTCTGTTTTGTTTGTACCGGTGTGCAATCATTTCACAATAAAATTTAATAATTAGCCCTAGTACAAACCGTATCGGTGGATGGCTGCGGTGATGATGATAAAATTTGTAGATTTAATAATGAACATTCGGTAAATCAAAAATTATTATTACGTTATCATGTTGATCTGATTGCCAATCAAGAAACTGACCATATCCGGTTGGAAATATCGATGAAAAGCCGTCATGATCATATACCACCAAATGATGATGATGATTATGATCGTTTAGCTATATTCGATAATCTTTGTACAACAAACAAAGATATTTGTCCAACAAATTTTGCTGTTTTATATCATTTTTGTTATGGTCTTCGTATGGATAATATTACCATTATGGTATGTTTGTTTGTCTGTTTTTTGTTTGTTTTAATTTTTTTGATTCTCATTTTGTTATGTATCGATTTAGCATAATAAACATAATCAAGAAATTATCATCAAAAATCAATACTATTCCGGTAACAATAATAGTCTTTTAGCATGTTTTCAACATTCAATAATGTTATTAGATGGTAAGTGATTGATTGATTAATCGATTAATTCAATTCATTCATTCATTCAAATTCAAATAATTAATATAATTAGAACCAGAAACATTACCATTTGCTGTGGTGAAAAAAAAATTATAAACTATATAAGTTTATTTCGCAATCAAAAGATGGCAGCACTTTTATAAATTTCAAATTTTTTAAAAAATAAATAGCGCCAATTTTTTTTTGTTCACAAATTGAATTACATTATCATCATCATCATCATCGTCAGAATCAATTTGCCCGAAGCTCTATGTGAATATTCATAATTTGTCCAAAATTTTCTTGCCGATTTTTTTTTTGGTCCAATTCATAAAATTAAAATTTCATTTTTCCAATTGTTTTAGCTTTTATTTGATTCCCGTAGGCTGTACAAAAAAAGAAAAATTCAAATTCGACAATATTCAACTATCATGAATAATTGAATATGAATGATGATGATCATCATCCATATTCAGAAAAAAAAATTATCAATCGATAAATTTTCCAATTTTTTTTTCTCTTTGATTTTTCATTGAATAAAACAATAATAACAATCAATCGATTCTATCGTTCACTCACTCACTTGGTGTGTGAATAATAATTTTTCAAACTTTTTTTCAACAACAAAAAAAAAGAAAAAAAAAGTTTTCAATTTGTAATCAATAAAAGTCATTCACGACGACAACAATAATAATTTGATTCACAATCAATTCGTGATTTCCATATTTATGATGATCATTCATAGCAGATCATTCAGCAGGTCGCCTACAATATGATCCAGGTAAAATGAAAAAAAAATTTTCTTCCGTCCCAGTTTTGCCGTCGTGAGACTTTTTTTTCCACCATAATTATAATTTGCATGTTGTGTGTGTGTGTATGTTTAATTAATATTATTACCCGATTTTTTTCAGTGAAAAATTTTTTTTTTTTTTACATTCTGGGTGGTGGTATCTTTGGGACCACTAGATGAAAAAAAAATATATCTGGATCACCATCATCACTGATCTAAAAAAAAGAGACGCCCTTTTTCGCTCTTTGTCCATAGATTAAGTTAGACACACCTACACCCATTCCATTTTATTATTGATTACATTTTAATGACTATCATCATCATCATCAACCACTACAGCTACCACCGACACCACAACCACCACCACCACCCCCTAGCAGTTTAAATGGCCAGAAAAAATTTCCTTACCCATTTGTATTTATGAAAATAAATTTGTCCATCATCCAATCAAATTCACAATTGACATCATCATCGTCGTCGTCGTTGTAGACATGTAATAAAATATGAAATTCAAATTTTTTCTCTCTCTCTCTCTCTCCAATTTCAACGATGAAATGTCAACGCGAATGCAATATAGAAAAAGAATTGTTGTCAGTGGGGGGAAAAAAATTGAATTTTTCGTTTTCTTTTTTTTCCAAAAATAAAAATCTCTTCCCAAGAGACAGACCATCATCATCTTGGAATGACAACATGAAATCTTAGTTTGGATGACAAAATAATAAAAAAAAAATTTTTGAAATTGAAAAAAAAATCCACTGAATCACAACAACACGATTCACGGTTGGATCCAATACACATGATCCATTCAGACAGCCAAAACAAAACAATCAGACCATATATGATATACACAGATAGATCCATGTGTGGAACACACACACACACACACACACACACACAATGAATTCTTTTTTTCAAAGAATAATAAAATATTCATGAAAATCTGATATGCAAAGAATATTTAGGGAATAAAAAAAGGGTGTAACACACTATAGTGATTGTGTGACAAATTCATATACTATGTGTATGTGTATTATAACAGTCAATGATTATTTCAATGATGATGATGATGATGATGGAATTGTATAACCTAAATTCAGTGATTTGACAATCACACAACAATGACGATATCATGATGATGATGATGATGAGAGAAACAAAAATGGAAAAAAAATCAAAATGTGAAAAAAAATTTCCGAAAAGTTTTTTTTCGACTAATTTCGAACTGAACGAAAAAAAAATCCAAAATCATTGGTAATGATGATGAATGTGTGTGTGTGTGTGTGTGGATAAAAGAAAAAAAATTCTACTCACCGAACTATCCACCTATATTTTGTACAAATAAATTTTCATGAATATTGACTGATGATAATAATCGATGATTATTGTTAATTATCATTCAAAAACACTAATAACACAGAATAATCATTCGATTCGTTAGTGTTCGAATGAAAAAAAACGAGTCTATATTAACAACTTCTATAGGCTATATTCACTTGACAATGGTAAATGACAAATGCAAAACATTCGCGAATTCTTTTCAGCAGGGTTTTTTGTTGTTGTTGTTGTTGTTGTAACCACCATTATTTCATAATCATCACAAACCTAATTATGATTATTATTATCATCATTATCTCATATCATATATCCTGTACTGTTGTTGTTAACACCAATTTATTCTCATCATGATCATCAAAATGACATTTTTTATGTAATAATAACTGTTTTAATTTCCGTTTCTTGAGACCACTAAACCAACGAACGAACCGGCCACTCCTCTCTGTTCTATTCATCATTGATGATGATGATGACGACGATGATTATCATTTTTCTTGTCAAGAATTTTTTTTTGCCAGTTATTGTTGTTGTCCATAACAATGATATGGTCGAATGTTTTGTTTTGCGGTGGTTGTGGTTGCGGTGGTGGTGGTGGTGATGAACCACCCACATATGTAATGACTTTAATTTTCTCTGTAACCCGAACAATAGAAACAAAAAAACATTGTCTAGATCTAATTCCCGAAAGAATGAAAAACAATACTGAAATAATAATGAAATGGTTGGCCATGTATATGGCGCCGGGCGCCTGTATAAAACACATAACATGTGCATTCATCCGTAATAGCCTGGGCAAGTCATAAAAGGGGTTCGATAAACCCCAACAAGAATCGCATAATGCGACAATTCCGCATATAAAATTCAACTGAAAAGTAAAAAGAAAAAACCCGAGAGAATTTCCCTCTCTTTTGGTTTTTCGGGTTAATATTAAATAATAATTAACTAATTGTTTTCAACAACAACAACAACAACAAAAAAACTTGATGGAACGATGGTTGATTTCATTGATATGGAACCATCAAACTGAAGTGAATGAATTAAATGAATTCAAACGAATCATCATCAACATCATCATCATCATCGTAATTATTGATATGGATGAATGATTTTTTTTGCCTTTAGCTTTTTTGATTATTGTATGCATTATAAATTCTGGTTTTTGATCCAGAATCCATAATGCATATTGTTGGGTATTGTCTATATTGGGAAAATTTGTCTTGCAACAACAACAACCAAAAAAAAAACGATGAGAATCATCATTTGGGAATTTGTTCGAATCAATTTTTTTTATTTGATTCTTTGTTTCGATTGAATTTGTATTCTATTGACACGTACACACACACACACACACACACACATTGAATGGTTGTGAATATAAAAAAAAGAGTATATCTCCCAAATGAATCGATGAAACTAAAACGTACAGAATAATCCACATACAGAATATTAAATAATAATGAAAAAAAACAGCAGTCAGCCAATTCTGGCTAAGATTTGAACGAATAAAATCAAATTATCCGGAATTAGAATAGAAGGGCAAACAAAGTCAAAAATTCCATATCAAATAGAATAGGTGTCTGAATGATAATTGTGGTGACCATACCACCATGCTGATCACATACAAAGGTCCATGACAAAGGTTTTTTTTTATCCACTTGGCATTTCATTCATCGATCCATTGATCGATCGATCATTGCGCCATCAGTTTATTCATAATTTGAAATTATGAATTTTCAGGTAATTTTTTTTCATTTTTTTTCCAGTTTTGGGCGTATATACGTGTGTGCGTATACAATTCATAATTCACGACATTTAATACAATGGGCGATTATTATAAATTGACCAAAATTGTCATGATATAAAAGGGGAGAAAAAAAACAAAAAATCTAGACATTCAATGAATGAATGAATGAATGGCAATTTGTTCGCTGTCACGAGATCCTGAATTCTGTGCATACAAAAAAAAGCAGGTGTGTGTGTGTGTGTGAAGATATGATAAAATACTGCATGAATATCGATTGTATTGAAAAAAAAAAAATCAGCAAGAGTGAGTGTGTGTGTGTGTGTGTGTGATATATACGTATATGTAATGAATGATCATCATAGAGAAAAAAAAGGTCACCATCTAACACACTTGATGACCTAGATTTTTTTTTCATTAATTTGTTCACTATTACACAAAGAAAGGATTAATATTAATTATATAATTATGTAAATATATGCAAAATGACCATGTTTGTTCATGAGAATTTTCCCAAAAATAAAAATAGAATTTTCAAAGAGAATTCATGAATGATGAAATTCAAATTCAAATTCTATCACCGGCAATATCTATTCATATGTCTGTATGTGACCAGAATATTTCAAGAATTTCCGATATCTGTGTTGGTGTTTTTTTTTTGTGTGTGTGATGGCTAATCTTTTTTTGTTTCTCTATATTAAATGGTTCTAAAATCAAATTATTATCATCATGGCCATTAAATAAGCAATATGATTATGATACAGAATCAGAATCAAATGGAAAAATAACAACCAACAACAACAACAACAACAACAACAAGTCAACATTTTCATAATGATGATCCATATATATGATGTGATGATAATAATGAGAATACAAAAAAAACTGAATTTTCAAATTGCAAAATTATTCTGTGTGTGATTCTTCAATGATAAAAAAAAATTGGTTATGATAAAAAAACGATTTTCACAACCATGTGTGAAATGATGATGATCAGATTTTTTTTGGGTGTTTCGAAACACCGAAATAACGTTTTCAACGTTTCATTTTCATTTTTCGTACACACACACAAAAAAAAATTATAAATTGCCCACTATATATTAATCATGTGTTTTGTCATTTTATAATGATAATTTTTCGCAATTTGTTTTGCCGTTTGTTGTTATTGTTGTTGTTGCTGCTGCTGCTGTTCCAATTGGAACGCACACACACAAAAGAATAACAACAGGCTATTGTATATTCTAGTGAATTGTTGAAAAAAATTTTGATTCAAAAAAACAAAAAAAACAGAATTCAATTGAACAACAAAAAAAAGGGAGAGATTTGTGGGTAAAAATAAAAATGGGTGAAAAATTACCGTTTCCGAAATTACAAACACCCGAACCATAAGAGTATTGAGTATTGTTTGGTTGGATTGGAATTTTTTTTTCTCTCTCTCTGTTCTCATTTACAAACGGCCAAACGATCACAGATTTTTCGATTATCATTCAGAAAATTTTATTGACCGTAATAATAACATTTTCTCCAGCGGAGAGAGAGAGAGAGAAAATATGAAAAACGACGATCCATAATTATTATGGATCGT